CCAAATAGATATAGTTTCTGGATTTCAACGTCGAGCCCCGTATTTTTTTTTTGACTGAGTACCGCTGAAGTCAGAACATCCTACTTTGCCACCCGGATAAGCTCTTGCTCTAGTTCTTCAGGGAGCAGCCAATCCAAGTCATAGAATAGGTCGAACCACCGACCTTTGCGAGTCATGCAACCGACAGCCAACAGGTAAAAGGAAGGCGAAAGGGGGAGCTTCAGCATACATATCTACGTAACGCAAAATTCGGAACTATGTAGGTATCCGCGACATGGCAATGGAGTCTACCCGATGTTTAAGCTTGACACGAGTTCTAATCATAATTTTGATTGCCCCTGATTTACTTCTGTCTGAGACCTGCATCCAACAACTATGTTGTGCTCAGGAAAGGAGAAGAAAAGGAAGGGCAGTTGTGGAACGTTGGTTTGGTGTTGTACTACCAACAGGAAATTTTTAAGATGTTGAGAATGTACAAGCTACCTGATTCTGTATGACAGTCACTGTCTATACGGAGGGAGTCAGCAGGAAGAAGAAAAAGAAGAAGAAGATGATGATGATGATGATGACAGGGAAACGGCTGATTCTCATGTGCTTTTCAAATTTAAGGTATAGTAATGTAACATTGCAGCCTCGACCTGACAGTCGTTCCATGAAGCATAGACTAAGCAGCCAATCAAGCAATACACCACAAGAAACAAGTATATCCAACTCAAAAAAAAGAAAACAAATTTCGGTTCCCCCAGAAGAGGAAAAAGACACCGTTTTATCCAACCATCTTCCTTATACCCTTTCGGGTTGGGCTTGGTGCCTGGGTTCAAGTCTAGATCCGGTGTTTCGGATGTTTAGAAGATCATACATACATACATGTCAAAGCTTTAAGCTTTTCGTATGTAAGATACATAGATTAAAGTAAAGATAGAAGCATCTTAAAGACTTGGAAAGGTTGAAAGTTTCCAGAAGAAAGAAAATCACTAACCAATAGATATAGACATCACATGCCATTTATTCAGTCCCTGGCTCTTGTTTTCTTATACAGCGATATCCATGTACCTCTCTACATAAAAATCCAGCCAAATCCATGGGAAGAAAGAAAGTAAAAAAAGAAGAAAAGAAAAGTCGAACCGCAGGACACTCTACCTGAATTACTTGATTTGATAATTCATGGCGGAAACAGGGATTGGGAACAGACGAGGCTTATTTTGGGTTATGAACCGTGGGCTGGGATAGTTACATCGTACATGGTTGGGCCAAGAGGTTTTTTTTTTTTTTTCTCTCTTCTGTTATTACAAGGTTTGGGTAAGTAGAAGTCCAGAAAGGACGATTTCTCTCTCTTTTGAAACATATTTGCCTAGGTAAACACGAAGAAAGCTGATTAGCATAGGTACTATCACATTTCAGGGATTGAAGTTGACGCATTGTCCATGGGTTTGGCTGTAGTCCGAAACCTTTCTCCCTAAGACTCTTCTACTCTAGGCTGCAAGACAGATTCAAGATTGACTCGGTTTGAGTCTCAATTTTGAGTGTCGTAGCAAGTTATGGATGGAGCATATTGGGTGCGTTTTGAAATTTGGTTTTTGTCTGAGTGAGCATAATAGTTTTGCCTCATCGAAGCGGTGAGCTGTTAACAATATGATTGTGTTTAACCTTGGGTGGAGCGTGTAGACATCTGTAGCCTAATGATGGTGTGAAGTCCGTTGATATATGATAAGCTGTATGCAAGTCATACTACATAGCCAGTTGGCGATTATACTCCGAGGGAGGTCATTCGATTTGCCGTACGTATACTTCACTTGCTTCTACTTGTCATCATTCGCGCTCATATGCAAATTTAGCAGCAAAATTGTATAGTGAAAATATAATCATTGGGCATTACCTAGGTACATAAACTTCAAATGAAGAGTCTAAAAGAAAAGGTCGTCTGCCATATACGAGTCTGAATACCCATTCAAAAGAGACCAGTCTCACAGTGCAAGAAGAAAAAAGTGTCGAAGGGAAAACGAAACGGAAAACTTTTTATGAAGTTCTCTTAGCGAATTCAACCCGCAAAATGAGATGGCGATAACCAACTAGCATATAATGTCAGTAACATGACGAGTAAACGGATCTTGATGGGGAAGAAACTTACATCCATCCATCTTCTCACATGCGCGAGCTGCATCACTTCGGTCTGCAAAACTGATAAATGCAAATCCCTTTGCTCTCTGCGTATCTCTGTCGCGGGCAAGGAAAACTCTGGTGACACGGCCGAATCGTTCGAAGAGGTCGCGGAGTTCCTGCTCCTCGGCCAATTCAGATACCTAGGCTGTCGTTAGTCGTCTACTATCATGCAAACAGACGGAAGAAAACTCACGTTCGTAACTCTGAGAGTAGCCAAATCGTCTCTTTCGTACTTGCCACCGCCGCCGCCGCCTGCGGCAGCAGCAGCAGCCGCAGCGGTACCTTTGCGCAGATGAGGAGGAACATAGCTGCCACCAGCAGTACCCAATCCACCAGCCGCAGGCTCCTCATCATCAACACCAGCACCAGCACCAGTAGCTTCATCAACAGGTGCCATAGTATCCTTGAAGGGACACCGGGCCGTGAAATGCTCTCCCTGACAAATACGACATTTAACCTTCTTATCCTTCAACTGATCCTTAACACTACCCTTTTCACCTTCCTTCTCAGCCTCCTTAGCATGCACTTTCCAGTTAACGCTGGGACGGAAAATGATATTCTCGCCAACAGAGGTGGTATCGAACGAAGGACCAGGGGGGTGGCCCTTTTCGAGTCCGAACTTGCTCCATGCCCTTCGCTCGGCGACTTGTGGGTTTACGTGTTCCTTGACAACGGTTGTGCGGATTCGGCGGGTGACTTTGACTTTTTTACCGTCGTCGTTGAAGCGGTAGGAAACGATTGTCTTGGTGCCATCCTTGTTGGTTGTGATTTGTTGTGCGGGGAGCGCGGAGGGGTCGTCAAACTCCTCGTCATCGGCCCAGTCGGCGCGGCTGTGAAAAATAAATTTATTAGCATTTTCTTTCCTGGTCAAAGTTAACTAGAAAATCTCACTTCTCAAGCTTCGACATGGTTGCTGTGTGTGTCGGGAATCGTGGGATTCTGCATCAAATTTATTGATATCGGAGCGGAGGCGTTGTGGATTGGATTTTCTCCCGGTGCAGCCTCTGTGGCGCGGTCTGTGGCTGGAGCTAGCGAGTAGTCACGTGATAAATGCAAATATGGCAAACACCTGTCTATCATGACGACTTCATCCTGAAACTCATGCTGCTACATTGGGTCTTATTATCTCTTTCGAGCCTTTGATAGGAGGGCTTAGCTTATGCTTGTCCTATGGAGATAGAACGGACTAGAGGCTCAGATGAATGATTCATCATCTACAACGGATACAGTGGATACATCAGTCCTGACTGAACAGTCGTACATATCCACCGAAAGCTGCTCACAAACTTACACATGATGACAGATTATGGGAGTATCTTGCTTCAGCTAAATATGCTTCACAAGTTATCCGTCTATGGACTTGCCAGTCCGCTTCCGAAATCATTGATGCTAAAGGCGTGCTTCGGTCAGGGGTGTTATCAGGAGCGGTGACCGGACTATTGCCATTTCTATTCTCTGCGACTCAAGCCAGCATGCTTCAGTCGTTTCTCAGGTTCATGATTTGTCACCACCTGCGGCCGCGAACGCATTGATCGAGGGAAGGCAGCTTCTATTGTCAACAACAACAACAATAACATCAGTTTCAAGCTGTCAATGATATCCTGATTCGCCAAAGACCTTGACGTATCATTATCAATGCTGTTGTCCTTTCTAAATATGACTTAATTCGAACAAAATCATAGCCACTCGAATAATGGATCCTACTTGTGGCACGTGCACGCTCTTTGTCCCAAGGTGTGCAATAGCCTGGCCAGGTATATTGCGCTCCGGGAAGCGGACGGACAATCTCGCCTCTATCGAGCTCGAAACTTGGGCCAGATACTTTGTCTTTTTACGTTTCAGTTGTATAAACGGGTAAGGCAGTTTGATAAAGACATCGAGAACAAACGAAGGGGCTTTATGCCGGCTCGAGGTGCGAAGAGATAAGGTATATGCACAAATATAGTATCTATATGACGCATCTCCCGGCCGATAAAATTTCTGAGAGTTTGGCTATACCTCCTCTCTACCCTTCCCAAGGGCGGTCATCCACATCAGATGCTAGCTTGGTGAACTCCTTCTTGTGATAGTTCATTCATTTCCCATGTCTTTTTGTTAATGATGCACAGATTCTCGAAAGCTCATCGCTGTGATTCCTATGACAGCGTAGGCTTGACGCATTAGTCAATACGGAGAACACTTTGAACGATGGAGCGTCTACAGTAGTTTGCACCTTCAGAGTAACAACTGACACTCTCTTCTCTTTCCTCTGAAACAGTGCCAAGAAGACGCTATTATAAATATAGAATAGTGTAGGAATAATGTTAATGCGGAGATAATACAGTATCTGTCGATACAGAATTTTATTTACAATACATGAATGGCGGTAAAATACAATAGTCTGAACACGTGTTCTAAAACTGCCTGGTAAAGTTAGTAGAGCAAGCCTAACACTTCTGTCTCCTGTTGACCAGCAACGGGTTCTTGGACTGAAATCCCGACTCCCAGCCTCTCAACGCTTTCTATGAACATCCCTAGCAAATCACAATGAAACTGATAGATTTACCTACTGAATTATTACAACTCCTGACAGAATTCCTCGAAACAGAAAAGGATATAAGCGCATTATCTCGGACTGGCCGACATTGTTATTCCGTGTTTATTCCATGTCTTTATCGGTATGACCGTCAAAATAAAAATAGCTTCGCACTACTATGGGCTGCTAAATACGGGAATGAGAGTACTGCTCGGATTAGCATCCAATACGGGGCTAATCCAGATCCAAAGGATGATCATAGCTCAACACCACTAGTTTACGCGGCATCAGTGGGCGTGAGGCAATAGTAAAGCTACTTCTCAATATGGATGGTGTCAATCCAGATTCAAAGGATAGAGATGGCTGGACACCACTATTTTATGCTGCATCAGAAGGGCATGAGACAATAGTGAAGCTACTTCTCAACATGGATGGGGTCGATCCAAATTCAAGAACTGATAATGGCCTGACACCACTGTCAATGGCTGCATATAAAGGGCATGAGGCAGTAGTGAAGCTACTTCTCAACATAGATACAGTCGATCCAGATTTAAAGGATAATAATGGCTGGACACCACTTTCAAGAGCTGCATCAAGAGGGCATAAGGCAATAGTAAAGCTACTTCTCAATACGGATAGGGTCGATCCAGATTCAAAGGATAATAATGGCTGGACACCACTATTTTATGCTGCATCAAAAGGGCATGAGGCAATAGTGAAGCTGCTTCTCAACACAGATGGAGTTGATCCAGATCCAAAGGATGATGGCTCGACACCACTATTTTATGCTGCATCAAAAGGGCATGAGGCAATAGTGAAACTACTTCTCAACACGGATAGAGTTGATCCAGATTTAAAGAATAATGATGGCCGGACACCACTGTCAATAGCTGCATATAAAGGGCATGAGGCAACAGTGAAGCTACTTCTCAACACAGGCAGAGTTGATCAAGATCTAAAGGATAATGATGGCCAGACACCACTATCAAGAGCTGCATCAGAGGGGCATGAGGCAATAGTTAAGTTACTTCTCAACACGGATGGAGTCGATCCAGATCTAAAGGATTATTCTTGCTAGACACCATTCTCATTCATTTGAATGGACTTAATAAGCGCAAAGTGGAGCGATGTCTTTAATTGTGCTTGAATGGCATTAACCAGCTTCAGCAATCTGAGACGAATTGAGTTGATTACTCACAATTATACCGTAAACTAACTACCCTTGAATTAATTATACAAAATGTTGAGCCGTTTTTATTTAACATTAGTTGTCGATTAAGATCCAGGAGAATCTATTGTAAAGTAACGCTATACCTTAGTAACAACATATATATTACGAAAACTAAAATGTCAGATATGGGCGAGAAAGCCGAAGTAAATGGCAGATTCTTCGTGTTTATAGTTACTCCAATCACTGCTGACATCTCGGGTCAATATTGGACCGGCCACCTATGGAAAAACACGCATATACTATGGAGTAGGTAAAATAAATTTGCGCACTACCCAAGCCTACGAGTAGGTAGTGATACATGTAATTTACGGGCGTATCAAATCTACGAATGCGCAATACGCCACGGAGAAAGTTACACGAGCGAGGGTTATTCCGGATCTAGCTGTATGTAGACTAGGAAACTCCTAGCACTGTTTCAGAAGAAAGAGAAGAGAGTGTTAGCTGTTACTCTGAAGGTGCAAACTACTGTATCGAGCCCGACAACATTAGGAATGAAAATTTCTCAATGGGCTTGCAAGAGATGTCAATTAACGACACCTCAACCATTCCAGAAGATGGTGTTGAAGAATTCGAAAAAATCCACTTAATCGAGTACCTGTTCAAGAGACTCCATCAACTCGGTGCGCGCAGTGTTTACGGTGTGTCAAAAGACTACAATCTCACAGCACTCGACTATGTCCAGCCCTGTGACTTACGTTGGGTTGGAAATGCAAATGAATTGAATGCCGGCTATGCTGCGGATGACGCTCGTATCAAAGGTATCTCGGCCCTCATGACGGTAATGGGTGTCGGCGAGCTGTCTGCTATGAATACTATTGCGGGTGCATTCACCGAAAAGGTTCCATCGTGCATATTGTTGGTATGCCATCGACAAGATCTCAGCAACTGCAGCTCAACTTGCATCACTCCTTAGGCGATGGCAATTTTTGTCTATTCTCTACTTTTTACAAGGCGATTAGCTGTGGCCGGCTCATGCTTGGTAACTGGTCGCCTGATACTAGGGCTTTTATCGATGTTGCTCCTATCGATTGTACTGTCGACGATATACTGGTAGCATGTATGCAAAAGAGCCAGCCTGTCTATATTGGGCTTCCCACTGACCTCATCGAACGCAAAATCTCGTCTGCCAGATCGGTTCAGTCTGTTGGTTATCCCTTGTTCGTAACGTCGCGCCCTGAAACTCATGATTATCGAACCCGCGTGATGGCCACCAATATCAGGGAGATAATATCCGTATCGAGGAGCGTTATACCCTGTGTGATCGACTGAAGGAACCCAAAAGACTTCCAGCACCCATTGCCGATGTCGTGATTGATCAAGATACGCTTTAGTTCCGCATCTCCAGGTTCTTCAAAATTAGGAGATATCATCTTGACAGAAACGGGCAGCTTGTTCTGCAGGTCAAGATTTCTTTCTTCCACCCGACACCAAGATGATCAACTCCGGCGCTTGGCTCTCTATTGGGGATACACTCGGTGCCTGCATTGGAGCTGCCGTCGCTCAATCGGATGCCAGCGAAGACCATCCGGGATGTCCAAAGGGACGCACAATCCTCTTTGAAGGCGACGGCAGTTTCCAAATGACAGCTCAAGCAGTCAGCGACATAATCTGCAACCGTCTCGACATGACCATATTCCTCATCAACAACGACGGCTACACCATGGAGCCAATCATCAACGGAATGCATGCTATCCGGTGTTTTACTAGACGCACAAACAACTGGGGGGAATTGTTCAGGACTGTTGAAAGCGTCGCGGCTGATTGCGGGTAAGGGGTTCAATATGGTCAAAGTGATTATGCGTTGAAGGAATTGATCGAGTTGTCACAATAGAACAATAGTCCAAAGCGATATGGTTTCGGATCGTTGGATTCCGTGAGCCTACTAGGTGCCCATCATGGACTACCTTTTTGTGGCGGCCTCTCTATTCGGGGACCTCCCCTTTCAAGGCATGCAATCGTATAGAGTATCACAGCAATAGCTGAATAAAAATGGCTCGCTCGTATACGCACCTCCAGGCTCAGTCACCACAAGCTAGTCTGTAGGTACGCATATCGAAACGATAGTTAGCTACCCACACTTAATCACCACAGAACGGAGCCGGCCGGTGTCAGAGATGTGTGGTCGGCCAGGAGCTTACCGCACTCGGTCCAGAGGTTCTTAATTTCTCGGCGGATCTCGTCTGATATACGGAAATACTATTTCCATGTCTAGCACGCATGTGTATAATTAGTGTCGATATTATTATGATCGATAATACGGCCTTATGATCGACGCGAGTTAGGTTGTGGTACGCTAGTAGTAAGCACGTGGATATATATGCATGTATCTGGCAGGGGCACGGGAGTCTGTTGATTAGGGTATTTCCGGTTATGGCGAGTAGCCCTAATCCAGCATCGTAAACATATCTGACAAAGCAATATTCCCACTGAATAACTACTACAACCCACATTGCCTCCTACATGTACTCGACACAGACCACGTATCCAACAGGGACCTTGGAATACCACCAGGTCTCGGCATCAATAAAACCACATACCTACCTAGGTAGTAACATCCTCCACGACGAAATGAGACACTATCTCAAACATTGAATCGTAGATAATGAGCGAGCCCTTCTCCATATCTGCTTCATAGCGGTGACAAGCTTGTTTACCCCGGACTGCAAGCCTAGGAACGCTCCGCCGGCGGACAGGGGATCGGGGAGTTCCGTTTTTTATATTGAGGTGTCTGATTGATGCAAGATCAATCGAGTATTACTACAGAGTACTTGTCTTTGAAATATGAAGGCAGTATTGACATGAAATAAGATCAATATCAGATGCCGAACAGCCTGATTGGACACTCCATATATCACTATCATTTAGTTACGTACATGTTAAGCAGATAATCGATGTAACCTGCGCACAACTAGCCCTGTCAAGCGTAAACCGATCAACCGGGAATCATATTCGCGTTACGTAAAAAGGTTAACAGAGTGGATTGCTGGCCACGATGAAATCATTGTGCTTTGATCTGATGCTGTCAATCTCGAGTATTGCGATCCGATGATGCATGGCTCAACCCTGTCTGATGCATTCCGTTGCATTCACACCGAGCAATGCGACATACAAGATGTATGGGGGCGGGAGCGGCCGAAGCTGTGGCATCGCAGACAGATAGGGGCAAGGATTGGCGTTGAGGCTAAGCGTTGATAGTTCAGAAATATGTTATCTCTATGATCTGAGAGCAGAGAGTCATCCAAGTGATTAATCGCGGCGTATCTGATTGGCTGTGAGGCTTATCAGCGCCACGGTCGATACAAGCAAGTGCTTGCTTAGGGCAGGTGCATATGCCAGCCAATCACAAGCCGCCAAGATCGGTTTTTTCGTCTGAAAATGGACTAGTGCAGGCAAAGCCCACGCGACTGTGGGTCCACCTAACTCTGTGATTGACTATGATTGGTTGAGGTTGTTTCCACTGATAATGGCCCGCTCCTTCTACTTCTAGATGAAGAGGGATACCACCTTCCTCGGTGGGGCGACCTGAGATAATCCCGAGAACAGGAAAAAATTCAGCGTGGTTCGCACACGCGACTCAGCTGTTATATAAAATTCTGCTATAACCCTCCCTTCTCCTCCCCGTCCTGACTCTTTTCTTTCGTGCCGTTGGTCAATCCCCCATTCCTCTTGGGATATGTGCATCCGTTGTTAAAAGAAGTCGTGTGGCCTTTTCTTCTCGTCCGATCTCGACGCGGTGCACTATCTCTAATCCACTTATACAGACGAAATCCGCACAGACAAGATGTCCGGAAGCGACTTGACCGCGGATGTCGAAAAGCATCCCGTCAACAACTACTATGAAGACAACTCCGGCACAGTTCCCGGCGAAACGTTTGAATATGGCGATTCCTGGTACGCCAAAATGCAGCGTTTTGCTGGCAAGCTCAACGTCGAACAGAGAGGTATTGAGCGGGTGCCGGACAACGAGCGAACGGATACGTCCTACTTGAACGTGGGAAGCATGGTGCGTTGCATATGAATATAACCATATAGCGAATGAATGAATGAATGAATGAATATACTGAGACTTGATAAAGTGGCTCGCCGCCAACATGGTCGTGACGTCGTTCGCTATTGGCGTGCTCGGCCAATCAGTCTTCCAATGCGGTTTCGTCGACGGTATCTTGACCGTTTTGTTCTTCAACTTGCTCGGTGTCTTGACCGTCTGCTTCTTCTCCATCTTCGGCGCTCAATTTGGTCTGCGCCAAATGGTGGTCTCGCGTTTCTGGTTCGGCTGGTGGGGTGTCAAACTCAGTATGGCCGATCCTCCCAGCGAGATTTAAGTTTATGATTATCCGTGCTAATTCTGACTGCTGAACAGTCGCCGTCTTCAACGTCCTTGCTTGTATTGGCTGGTCGTCTGCAAACTCGATTGTCGGCGCCCAACTGATCAACGCTGTCAACCATGATGTGCCTGGTGCTGCCGGAATTGTCATCATTGCCATCTGCACTCTAGTCATCACCTTTTTCGGCTACAAGGTTGTTCACGCCTACGAATTCTGGAGTTGGATCCCTACCTTCATCGTTTTCTTGATCGTTTTGGGAGTGTTTGCTCATTCCGGAGACTTCTACAATATCCCCATGGGAGCTGGAAAGGCTGAAATGGGCTCCGTCCTCTCGTTCGGCGCAACCGTCTACGGCTTCGCCACGGGCTGGACTAGCTATGCAGCCGACTACACGGTCTATCAACCCTCGAACCGCAGCCGATTCTGGATCTTCTTCTCGACTGCCATCGGTCTGCTCTTCCCTCTGCTTTTCGTCGAGATGCTCGGTGTCGCTGTCATGACTGCCACTGAGATCAACGGCGGTGACAACAAATATGCTGCTGGCTATGCCGAGTCTGGTACTGGCGGTCTTTTGGGCGCTGTCCTCTTTGGACCCTTGGGTGGCTTTGGCAAGTTCTGCGTTGTTATCCTGGCCTTGTCCATCATCGCCAACAACTGTCCCAACATCTACTCCGTCGCTCTTACACTTATGGTTTTGGCCCGCTGGACTCGCAAAGTCCCCCGATTCATCTACGTTATCATCGCTACCGGAGTATATATCGCCATCGCGATTCCAGGCTACTCCCACTACGAAACCGTCCTGACGAATTTCATGGACTTTATCGGCTACTGGCTCGCCATCTACGAAGGTATCGCCCTCACCGACCACTTTGTCTTCAAGCGCGGTTTTGGCGGATACAATCCCGACATCTACGATCAACCAGATAAGCTTCCCCCCGGTATCGCTGCCGTTTTCGCTTTTTGCTGCGGTATTGCCGGTATGGTTACTGGTATGAGTCAGACTTGGTGGGTGGGACCTATTGCTCTTTATGCCGGCGAAGCTCCGTTTGGTGGAGACGTTGGATTTGAATTGGGCTTTGCTTTTGCTGCGTTTGCATATTTGATTACTCGTCCTATTGAGATGAGGGTTTTTGGACGATAGATAAATTTATATAATGAGGATTTGATAGTTAGTTAATATATGTTATGACATTTATAAGGACCTTTCGTATCCTAAATTCTGTAATACGATAGACCAGCTTGACTACCTAGTAGACAGGACAAACTCCGGAAAATCATGACTCTGTTGATACCAGCCCCGATATCTTGTATGCTAAGAATGATAACAACATGTAGTAACTAGCATATAGTCCAGGAACATCCTCATACTCTCTCTCTCTCTCTCTCTCTCTCTCTCTCTTTCTACACAACTACGTATGCAATGCAATGCAACGAGGTTTTCAATCGAAGCAGATTACCCAATTCAGCCACCCTCTAGGGCTGATGCCCTACCTTCCCTTTCCGTGCTCCATATCACGTGACAATACCCACAAACGCGTGGCCTCGCTTACAGCAACAGGCCATTTCCGGAGCCGTAATGCCAAGCCAGTAACCAAACCGGGTTTAAGGGCACACAAAACTACCAACCTTCGCCTACCGCTGTGGACTAGTTACTTCAAACTCCCTTTTTCGTCGACAAGAAATCGCCAAACGCCCATCCACCAAATCTTTTTTCCAGGTAGCAGCACCCCTGTTGGGAAAAAAACGCAGACACGAAAAATGTCGCACGAGTCTGTTTGGTACAGTCGCCCACGCACATACGGCAAGGGCAGCCGTCAATGGTAAGGATTATTTCTTTCTCTTGGTTGGGCTTGATGGTTGGGGAGAGGAGGATTCTGGATAAGGGGTGGGATTAGAGGACGTGGTCAATTGGAAAGAAGAAGAAGGGCAAGAAAGATGAAGAGAGTGGAATGAATATTGGATTATTAAGATATCGGGTCAAGGATGAGGATGCGCGAAACATATACTCGAGTTGAAAGATGGAGGACCATCAAGCACACCAGCAATTATCGCAAATCGCGAAATGTTACAACTCGCATGCTAACATATTTTCTCTTCCAGCCGTGTCTGCGCTCACAAGGCTGGTCTTATCCGCAAGTACGGATTGTTGGTTTGCCGTCAGGTTAGTTTCTCTACCCCAAATCTGTCGTGTTCCGCATCTTCGTCAATGCATTGTTTGCTAATGTGGAATTTATGATACAGTGCTTCCGTGAGAAGTCCTCAGACATTGGTTTCGTCAAGTACCGATAAACGCCCTACACACCTTCTTTCCTCAACAAACAAAAACAAAAAATAAAACAGACAAATATGGTCTCGGAGAGAACACACAAGGACTTGCGTCGGATCTGAAAGAAAATAAACGCCACTCCCATACGGTTTCTCGTGTGTCTTGAGTATGGGGCTCTGGAATGATTGATTGATGGAAAAAGGAATGGGTTTGATGATGGAAGACAAGACTTTTCTTTTGCCTGTTCACTGCTTATTGTGAATCGAGTATGGCATGTTTTACTTTTTTTTTCGACTAGGATATTCTCAATTTGAATATGGGTGTTGAATGTTGATGAATTTGTTTGTTTCCACAAGTAACATGCTTTGGTTCCCCAAATGCATAGAGGGTAATGGTTCGACTGCGCTGAGGGTAGTGCTACGGGTTCTTAGCTCGGCATATAAAGTCGGCATTTGAGAAAGTTGTATGAGGAATGATGCATACAGCCATACGTACTTTTAAGTCAAGGGAAGTTGTATAACAAACAGATGGGCTATTTGATTATGCTAGGCCAAGTACAAAAATATCCAATACACCGGAAACGAGAAACAAATCGTTATGTATCTACAACTTAGCAATCATCTTATTACCCTTTTGTAACCATGCAGCAGCATCGGTCACGAGCTCATCAACAATAGCCTTGGCAGGCTTCTTCTCCGTGACAACGGCAGAAACTTTACCCATGAGGAAAGGACGGGCATTATCCAAAACCTCCTCATCAACGTCATCGGGCAAGTTCTCAAAGTCGTGTTCGACGGGGATTATACCTTTGGAAGTGAGTTCTTTGATTTCTTGTTGGCGGTTTTCTTCCCAGTTTTGGATATAGGAGTTGTTGCGGACGCGGAGGGGGCGGCCCTGCGTGGAGTTAGTAATAAGAATAGGTAGCCAGAAAGGGAGAAGGAACGTACAGTAAAGATAATGGTTCGGACGTTATCGTCAAATCCGGCGGTGCGAACAGCCTCCTTATGAGCCTCAGAAGCACCAGCCTCATCAGACAGAATGAATCGAGTACCGATCCAAACAGCCGAAGCACCAAGCATCAAAGCCGCAGCAACGGACTGACCATTAAACAAACCACCGGCAGCAATAACCTGCACCGGCGCACCGGTGAGGGGGCTCTTGTGTCCCTGCACAAGCTTTGCGACGGTTGGAATGAGTACAGTGGTGGGGACATCACCAGTGTGACCACCACCTTCACCACCCTGGGCGCAGATGATGTCGACGCCGAGATCGAGGCATTTCTTGACGTGTTTGGGGTGTCCGATCATGTTCATGTAGAGAACGCCGGCCTTGTGAAGCTTCTCAACGACGTGTTTGGGTGGGACACCGACGGCACAGACGAAGAGTTTAGCTCCGCTTTCGATAATGATATCAATAAGCTCGTTGAGCTTTCCTTTGGTGTAGTCATGGCTGCAACAGAAATATACATATTAGCGGGAACATTTGCATGTGATCCCGACGAAAAACAAAAAAGAACATACTTGGTCTTTCGCGCATTACCGCCAACCTGAGGCAAAAGCAAATCAACGCCAAATGGCGCATTCTTATCGTTGAGATATCCCTTTAATTCGTTGAGTTGTTCCCGGAGCATTTCTGGGGTGTATCCGATACCACCAATGACTCCGAGACCACCGGCATTTGTAACAGCAGCAGCGAGCTTCGGGCCGGCGGCCACGTTCATACCAGCTAGGAGGACAGGGTGGTTGATCTTGAGAAGATCGGTGACGGGGGTGCGAAGGACCTCTATTATGGAATATATTGTCAGCTCATCTTTCAGTCATCGAGGAGGTGACTGCTTGTTATCAATGCGCAGAAGGAAAACCCACGTGGAGATGCCATGGTTACACGATGTATCGACGTTGGCCGTTTGGTATAAGGATATGCGAAAGATTGAAGACAGAAGATATAAAGCGTGTCTAGACAGGATATAAAGGCGAATATGAAAGAAAAGATGAAGAAGATATGTACGTGGAGGTCGGCTATGTAACTTCAGCGTGACCGAGGCACCTTTTTAGGGAGCAGCTTCTGATGGTATCTGCCGTGGTGGGGTCCGAGACGGAATGCCTCGGTTCTCCAAAAGCTGGGGAAGCGCTCGCTGATTGGTTGGGTTTTGGACTATGGCCTGAGGCAATTATTCTGAACTTTACATAAAATTCTTTGAACCTTCTAGTTAAATTCATGTTATGTGGTAACGAAGTGCTCTGTTCTGGACTCTTAGCAAAGTAGCTATTCTACATGCTTACTCATTGAATGGACGTGTCGATATTACTTGTACACTGTACGCGCTTCGCTAGCCCACAGATCTCTGCTTATTCTAGGCTCTAGCTTACTAAGGCAGTAAATGAGTTAGGGCATAAATTATTGTGAGAGACATTTTGTCTGCAGTACCTCTTTGGGTGCCAGAGAGCAACTCACTATACGACAATCACGTATTGAGAAGGCGACGTCGTTTAGGCTTCTCCGCCTCCTGGACGCCAAGTGGTCATTTAACCCGCTCTCTTGTCGGCCGGCGATCGATTCGAGACTGGTGAAAGTCTATAAGCATGACCCGACTCAGTTCGTCATTCCATAGCATGTTTTCAAGCCTCAGATCCTTGTACACGATGCCTAGCTTGCGGATCTTCCTTTCTGATCTCGAGATCTCCTGGGCCAGCGTCAAGCTCTCTGCTATAACGCTGTTCCGAAACTCCTTCCCACCCACTCAACCGTCCCCCTATTGACCACTAGAAGGAGGCGTAGAATTTGTTGGACGTACTTTAGATTTTCATTCATATCCGTAGGTATTTGGTGGCCGGTTAATGATATGTTCCTAAAAATTCATTGGCCGAAGACCTGACTGGTCTTCTTTGACTCTGAGCTTATGAGGCGGCTTGTATTCCATTGTGATCACCAAGGTATCGGTGGGCCATCGACTCGATGGATACAATATTGACCTGGTCTGGGATGATGTGTAATTGACCCATCAACAATGATTGTCGTCGTCATTTCCTGGCTCGTCCAAGGTATTCGCATGATTATCAAACATAATGCCATCTCCAAGCCGAAACCTCTCTCGGGCACCTGGTATTTTGCACAATTCTGCTATGAGATCATGGACATTGTCTTCAACGGCTACATGCTTGTAGAATTCATGATCCCTCTCGCTCCGCACCTCTCGGAGCGTTAAGCTTCGATGAATGCCCTGCAGCCCAGCCAGAGATGCAAAGTCTTGGGGGCGCATCTTTTTCCGCTGGTTGCAGGTAAGTGTGAGCAGCATTATATACTTCTTGCTGCTTTACCGGACAGTCTGACCACAAGCAATGTCGTGTTGGGCAGTATTTCCCAGTAGGCGGTGGGATTTTTCCCTTCGTTGGCTTGGTTGGGGTGCCGACTTTCAACGACGAGAAAGTAAATTATGACAAGATTGGGTGAACTCCGTAAAAGGTGTCGGTCGAATCTGTGCTTCCGCCTCCCTGTATAGCTCTGCTTCCTGCCTGGGTAGCTCTGCTTGCCGTTGAGAGAGCTTTGTAATCGGGTGAGCTATTGTCAGCCATCAGTCCGGATAATGGACAGAATAGAATTCATGAAGGAGGTAGAATGGAGAATGATACCTAGGTAGTAAACATGCATCGTAAACAACGCGTGAATGGGCGGTGACACTTTACGGGCTACAGACGGACTCAGTCACCGTTCCAGCCAATGATAATCGGTTAACTTTCCCAGTCTTGGTATCCAAGATGAACAAGTAGACATTAAGATCATAGTAGACCACTTGAGATGATACATCGGCTAGTGACTCGAGAACAACATTACCAAGATGAAGCATGGATATGATCCATGATAAAAACAAGCAGAGTCATTGAAATGGTCATATTCAACGTGTATGGAATTGATAGACATGTATAAAGATGTTTTATCTGGACGGAACACTATAAACTTCCACAGCTGCCACACTTCACATGAGTAGATCACTCTTCTGTCATCACGAATGCATCGACTACGATGGATTGAAAACAGAGATAAAAATTGCTCGAAGTTTCAAACCCGAACAAGCAGAACTTATATCAGGGGATTGTACTCGTAAGTTCGTCATGGACACTGTTATAATCAGGTTGCATATTAACATTATATCTAGCTGCAGTCAAGTGCATGACTTACCAAATCGAGAGCCTTAATCAATACCACAAGTATCTGTCCAATGCTATCTGAGGCGAGGTGTCAAAGTACCATGTATGGCACAGTGGTCCCAAATCGTTCAAAGATAGCCCAAACTGGGAGCAGAACATATACTGGGAGGCTGCCGATGAACCAGAGCTACTCTCTTTCTTGGGATTACTGATCCAGTGCCACATCGATCTACAAAGGTTGGTGTAAAACCGTAAATTCAAATGGATTCGAAAAGATGCTGCAAAAATTTAACAATCTGGTGGACGAATTCGACCAACGGACTTGAATGGAATCACAAATCGAAACTTTCAAGTCGAAGCTGGCAGAAGGATAATTTTCAATGTACGTCGACTCAGTGCGCAAGTTGAGGCGAGTTGAGGTCATGATAAAGGCGACTACCCAAGTTTTGACGACGAGGACTTGTACTTCACCATCCTCAAATAATCTTGCACAGATTTGGTACCCTGATCTGACGAAGAACGGTGGTCATGTGGCGCTTGACCTGGATGTTGCATGTGGAGTCATATGAGAAGACAACTCTACACATTGCACGCAATCCTTGAAAGTGTTGACAAATTCATACAAGAAGAATTAAGGCGTACATTAAAGCCACAGGTCGATCACGCACGAAAGACAAATTGATGCTGTAGCGCTGGAGCTTTGTTATTGTCCTGACTCGGCTCTCGATAATACATGTTTCAAAGAACTGCCTCAATAAGCTATTTGAGCTCATGAAGTCCACCTGCCATATTGGATTCCCCAAGTTTGACTATACCATTTGGGTCGTAGGTGGAATGCTTGTCAAAATGAGTCATCAAAACTACTCGCGACGCATTTCGAATCCGACCCCTACCATGCTGCAAATGCCCTAATTATCTTCTATCTCTCCTTGGTCGTATCCTATCCGAGTTCAAAGATGATCATTCACGATGAATTGTTTTTTTTTTTTTTTTTTTTTTTTTTTCACATCAGATGTATACTGGAAACACTTTCCCATCCACAATGCTTCTCGTTATGGACTACGAAGTATGCCAACTTTTTCTGGACCATATGCCACTAGTTGGAAAGCGCCACTTCTCTCAGCCTACATAGAAGGGCGTCTTAATAACTGTACACCACTTACTCTTGCTATAGCACATGGGCATGCAGAAGTGTGTCAGTATCTCGTGGACGGGTTCAAGGAAATCAGGAAAAATGCTCCACGGGACTTCTGGATCACGAATATTCGAAATGGAGAGGATATAATCAAGGGTATCTACTCGAACATCAATTCCTGCCAAGCTTTGCCTCTATACGGCCCTTTCAAAGATTATCAAGGAGCGCACGGTGAAACTGCACTTTATGCTGCTGCCAGCTCCAGAAATTATTCCGCAGTGTCGTTCTTATTGCAGAAGAAGGCGAACGTTAACATCCCGAAGAAGTCTCGTGGTTGGAACCCCCCTTCATCGTCGCCGTTATCAAACGATATGGGTCGATTGCACAGCTCACTGAATCCGGCGCAAATAAAGATCATAGGAATCGTCTTGGTCGGAGAGCAGTTTATTATGCAGAAGCTGGGCGTTATAAGGAGAGCATGAGTATTTTATCGGAGGAAGGTCACGGGCAAGAGACAAGTTGTCTGTCCCATATCTCTTCAAATTTACCCGCTAGTGGCATCGAGATGAGTAGACAAAAATCCATTCGAGTACATTTGGGCGATGTGTCCAGCTACAAAATGTCATTGCGCTTTTAGAGATTGAAAATCTGTACGAGGAACGTCTGCCTAAATGTTGTAAACCTACAGTGATATTGCATAGTACCTTGGTTTTACGCAAACAATGTTAAAGCCCATGGCAGTCTCTTGACCTTGTTTTGCTTCCTTGTAGAATTTAGAATCTGTCCAGGTGCCTTTACCTTTGAACATCCAAGTAACCCTTTACTTGGCTAACGTGCATTCCACTTCGGGATAAACACGACGTGTGTTGCTCCACTGGTACCGACCAGCCACAAATCCATGTCGATACGAGGTCCTAAAAACGATTCAGACCATCCAAGCTCGAAGACGGTGACAGGGTAATCCGGACTATCGAGATCAGGCTCCTTTCTGGATCCTGCTTCAGGGTTAACTTACTGGTTCCTGAAGTTCAGTCCAATCTAGCTACTAACGAACAGTAATAGCTCTCTTTATATCTATATTAATCCCAGTTTCATGCGTATTTAGCATATTATCCAGGCTGTCATTTCGATGGATTCGTGTTTTGAGTTCTCCGTACTGTCAAATATGCCCGCCTCTTTTTCCTTCGCACACCCATCTTTTCGGATTGATTATAAAGATGAATTTTAGTAGCACCGTTGGCCATTTCAATTCAGAAACATATTTGCTGAGGAAAGTGATATATATCGATGGCCGCAAGGGGTATTTTACCGCAAGGAACGCTGTAGAGCTGGTGCATTCTGAAGGCCAGATCTGTTACCAAGTCCGAATGGCTAATAGGAAGTGAAGAAAAATGTCATCTGTTAAAAATGAAATAAATTGATATATAAGGTTGCTTCACGTCCCAAAACCGAGTCAACTTCTAGGTATCTTGACTTGAACCCCAAGAGGCAATCTGTATTTTATATCACCAAGAGAAAATGGGTAAAAGGAAACTACTCTTGTTATTGGGAGTGCTGAGGTTTGCGAAATCGAACGTTGGCCATACCTATATAATGTATACAGGAGAAATTTTTCAAGATATGCTATGTAGTATTATCAATAGACATTCGCAACTGGTCACTAGTTGATCTTCTGTTGAAAACAAAGAACCAAAGTAAAAGGTTGACTGAAAGTGCGACTGGAGTGTGACTACCTCATGCTAGGTTGGTACCGTTCAAGCCAGAAATAGAGGTTCGTAGAAAATAAGGATCTTCGTCAATTCGTTTTCGAAGCTCTCCAGAAGCAAGCTCTTCAACGTCCCAGGATGCCCAAACGAATCTACCATGTAGGAACTTGGCTTCATCAGTCGCAGTCCAAACTGCAAATGCGCCACAAAGATCGTCTATCATATTGTTAACCCTTTGAGCAACTTCTATATGTGACACAATCTCCAAACTAGGGCTGGACAAGACTTACCACTGTCAAATAGCTCCCTGGGAATCTTTAAGCCCACAGTTTCCCATCCTGTACTATAGATGTAGCCTGGATGAAAGCTGATTACCTGCATCTTTTCAGGCGACACGTTCTGAGCGGTAAGCTGAAAGAACATTGTACCTGCCATCTTGGTCAATGGATAGGCAGGACGGTCGCCAACCCCCGGATACGCTGTCATATGAATAACGCTTGATGACACATTGATCAAATACTAGTAAAGCAAACCAATTAGTCCTTACTATTCCGTCAATCTCATGGGACACATGCCACCACACACCTTTTTCTTATCTCCGGGCTGATTGTAGAACTTCTCCGTGAAATAAATTGGGGACTTGACATTGATCTCAAAATCCTCCCAAACGCGAGTTGCACCAAGCTCAGTCATCGATTTGGGCACTGAACTTCTGCCAACATTGGCGACTAATACGTCGACATTAATACCTTGAGTAGCTAGATACTCCCAAAAAGCATCGACTTGTACCAAATCGACAACGTCAACAGAGCGGGTAATAATCTTGCTACTTGTGCGAACAAGTCGGGCTTCTTGCTTGAGATCAGAGGCAGCCTTCTCGAGGACATCTGCACGGCGACCAATTATAATAATGGTATCTACTGAGGCGCGGATAAATGCCTTTGCGATGCTAAAGCCTACTCCAGTACCTCCACCGGTGACAAGAACAACCTTTCCGGTCTGGCTCAGCTCAGGCCGCGAGGGTGAGATAGCCGGATACGGCTCTTTGTGAACGTTTTTGGTAACATTTGTTGCAGAAAGGCCTCTGAAGACTTGCATCAAGATTTCCGGATCCATATTAGCCGATGTAGGGAAGTTCTGTAATGAAAAAATAGAAAAGAAGGGAGTAGTAAGTAGGAAAGTAATGTTGAGTAAAGAATTTGTAGAACCCAGAACGCAGGAAAACGCTACGTATTTATAATCATTGATCCTGACTGCAATGGGATATTTGGCAAATAGCATTATCCCCTTTGATAAGCATGTCTATCGAAACCAGCAACAAGCTGTAGTTAGTACTAGACTTAAGTTAGGGCAAAAATCCACTAACCCGCACCTGACCCACAGCGTGGGCAGCGATATGGCAATACCATTGGCTGATTTAAATCTCAAGTGCAGAGACTAACCTGAAACGGATAGCGTCCGCAGACTGGCCGAATCTAAAATAGATCAACAAGCTTACTTATCCAACGGCATCTCTTCGAAAGGATTAAGCGTGAATCAGGCATTGTGCTCATTTTCGAGTACGTTGTGCTAGATTTTTACTGTTTAAGGCATTGAAAGACATGGAAAATGCATGTAAGCCCTGTGCCACGGCAAAACGGAAGTGCGAGAGACAGACACCACAATGTGCGCGTTGCCGCAGACGAGGCATCGAATGCACCTACCCCCCAGCAAAGCAGACTGCTTTCATCTTATGCGAAGATGACCACTCGTCAGCTCAGGAACATGGTAGTATTTCATACGTATTTTCTTCAGATAGTGCGCTCGACTCTCAACTGTCTCCCTATTCTCACTTCAAGCACTCATTGTATCTACAGAATCAACCTATACTCGTTCCGAAACTCTACCGTTGCCAAGTTGGCCCTGTACAGTGCCAGCCCCATCAGATATTGGCCTTCTTGCTGTATCCGCAACTCGACTGGTAGCCAGTGACCAATTGATGTCATATGTCGCTATGCTCCGTACCTGGCTCACACAGTGGGTGGACCAAGGCAGCAATCCATTCATTCATGCTTCTCTTTATAAAGCACGAATGCCCTCATGTATGCAGGATGCTTATACGGCTTTGTCATCATACTTCCTTAAGAACCCGACCAACGAGCAGACTATATACCACATCCTAGAGGACCGACTCCAGCGGTTGGTAGACACTCAAGGCGTCGAGGAGTACGGGCCAGCAAAGCGCCAGCATGACTTGAACTCAATTGATCATCTAGCTAGGGTCCAGTCTCTACTAATATTTGTAGTTATGGCGCTGTTTGATGGCGATATCCGTCTCCGTCATTTTGCGGAAAGCTATATCCCGGTTCTTGAGATATGGGTGGAAGCAATGATTGATCATACTAATCAGATGTTATCACTTAGTGTTGGCCCTGAAAAAGAGAGACAGCTCTATTACAATCTTAATGTTGAAAACGCTAATGACCGCCAAAACCTCAATTGGCATTGTTGGGTAATCGCAGAGAGCACTCAACGCACGTGGATGATGGCAGCAGGGGTTCAGGCTATTTATTCAATAATGCAATCGGGAAAAGCCCCTCCTTGTCGAGGCCATATGGTTATAACTACACGACCAGGAGTATGGGAGGCGTCATCAGCTTTGGCTTGGAGTAGGCTATGCCTGGAGACGAATACCGGCATCATACAGATGTCAGAAGCGGATCGGCTATTTGCGGAAGCTGCACCAGAAGAAGTCGATGACTTTACAAGGGTTTTTTTAGAAGCGACATATGGCAAGGATCGGATGGAAAGATGGGTTTGTGACAGGGAAATAATGACTGAGTCGTGAAAACAAGTGAAAGTAACGTGATTATATATTGTCGTCACTGTTAAGGGATTCTCACTCTGGATACACTTGATGCATCCCTACTCTAGCAAATTGTCTTCGCCAGTTATCCTGCAAATATGATGCTATTTCCCATGGATATAGGGATCACACAAGATGTCACACTGTCATTTTTTGTTGCTATTCCCCGAGGCATCACTCAAGAATATAACAACATAATGGTGATATCCACTCCGGGGTCTCATATGGTATGTGTCTATCTTACGAATGATATCGAAAGATTTGCTTACATCTAGAAAGCCAAACCTCAAGTTGGTCTAGGAAAGACGGAGCTTTTGTAGCATGCTACGGCGGTAGAATCCTCTATGCAGGTACCTGCTTTCCCAGGCAGCCCAACAAATATCTGGGTTCCCATCTTCTCCGACGACTGTAAAGATATTTTTATTGCTGAACTAAGGACATTCTGGTTAACGGCTTCAGCCGCTTGAGTAGCTTCTAATCGCATCAGAAAATGAGAGAGTCTGTCGGGAAGTACTTAGATTGCTTGGTTTTAAGCAAGTAGCGTTTCGCACATCCTCTACATTACTGCTAAGATATTTCAGGTGCTAGTACTTAGAATTTCCTGTACATAACTAGAAAATTACAGCCAACTCTGTAGAACATGCAAAGCAGGGTTAGGGTTATTCATCTAGTGGGTCCGGCTCCGGACCAGATTATTCAAATGAAATCTGCCATCAGAGATCCTTCTGTCTCCAGATGAAATGATCTGATCAGATTGTCGCAAATTAGCCAACTTGCGTTCCTGGCATAAGTCATGGCGACCAGGGCTGTATATAGCTTCCACAACCTCACCAATTATACAAGACATAACGGTGCAATTCGTTCGGCAGCCAGGGCTCGACAGTTTTCAGTAACAAGCGCTAAAGGGCAAGATCCCTGACAATCCCATTCCTTCTATCTATGCGACATTGTATTGTCCTTCTAACATTGGTTCCAGATTTCAATTTATTACAAATGGGCCGAGTAAGCTTCTCTCCTTGCTTCTTTCTTCACTGACCAGTGAGATGCGCGACTTGCATACGCCGCGCCACGTGTGGCAATTCCGTATACTCTTTCTTATAGCTATGGAATGAGCCTTGACAAGCTAAGAAGCCATCTTCAGGATCATTGAAAAAGCGGATATTTGCACAATCACTATATGCGCCAATAAAGACGCATTCACCGCGAACATCAACTACGCAACTACAGTCTGCGAGGAACTTTTCCCAATCCAGGATGGTGGCTACAGAAGACGAGCGCGACAACGGAAATGAAAGCAGCAGTCACAAAGCTTACATTGCCCTAGGCAGCAATATAGGTGATCGCATTGCGATGATAGAGCGAGCCTGCGCCGAAATGAATAAGGCGGGGATCAAGGTCAAACGAACGAGCTCACTTTTTGAGACGGCGCCCATGTATGTTCTTGATCAAGAGCCTTTTTTAAATGCGGCTTGTGAGGTATGATTTTACACTGTCTTTCCTGCTACCGAGATAATATAGTGACCATCTGAAAGGTCGAAACGACTCTTGGACCTATAGAGTTACTTGATACCCTGCAAGGCATTGAAAATGGTCTAGGACGACAAAAGATCATTGACAAGGGTCCACGTAGTATTGACCTTGATATTTTGCTATATAACAACGAGACCGTGTCTCATCCTCGATTGAATATACCGCACAGATTGATGCTGGAAAGAGAATTCGTTCTACGGCCACTCTGCCAGTGAGTCGCCTTCAGCTCGCCGTGCCATGGATGGACATAGTCACAGCTAACGCTCATATGTAGACTGATACCACATGAGAGAGTCCCCTTACCAGGAACGAATCTCACATATCTATCTGCTCTTCGATCTTTACCACCATCCAAGACAGTCCCAGTCGTGACAAGTCCCCTATCACCACACATCCCACCGCTAACCCCTTCCGACCCCCAAAAAAAAACAGTCGTCATGGCCATTCTCAATGTGACACCCGACTCCTTCTCCGACGGCGGGAAACACTACTATTCAGGCGAAAACTTCAACCCCGAACAACTAACCTCTACAATCCGTGAATTCATCACAGCTGGCGCAACAATCATTGATGTTGGTGGTGAAAGCACACGGCCAAACGCGACTCAACTTACCGCAGAAGAAGAATTGTCCCGCGTCATACCCGTCATCAAACATATTCGGTCCCTGCCAGAAGCAGCCAATGTAGCCATCAGCATCGATACATACCGGGCACGAGTCGCGGCTGAAGCATGCCGAGCAGGTGCCGATATCATCAATGATGTATCAGCCGGCACACTGGACCCAAACATGTTATCCACCATGGCCGCAACTGGCAAATCAGTGATATTGATGCATATGCGCGGTACACCAGCGACAATGAACAAACTAACCAGCTACCCCAACGGCGTCATCAAGGACGTGGGCACAGAACTCCTAACCCAAATCCACGTGGCAGAAGAAGCAGGAATCCCCCGCTGGCGCATGATCCTCGACCCGGGTTTAGGATTCGCAAAAATAAAAGACCAGAATGTCGAGTTGTTAAGAAATCTGACCGCATTGACTCACGGGATCGAAGGGTTAGAAAGTTTCCCTTGGCTGATTGGGACAAGTCGCAAAGCTTATATTGGTCATATTACTGGCGTTGAGAAGGCGAGTGAGAGGGTTTGGGGTACGGCGGCGGCTGTTACAGCTAGTGTTCAGCAAGGGGCTGATATTGTGAGGGTGCATGATGTTAAAGAGATGGGTCAGGTTGTTAAGATGGCAGATGCTATTTACCGGTCATGAATGTCGCCTGTAGATAAACCAAGACATGGATGATATATTGAAGTCGTGTCTTGGGCACAGCTAGCGCACTGTTTGTACATACGGATATTCAAAACTTACGGCGTAAGAGCATAACATGTATGTCTATATCTCAATTTGAACCTCATTACTAAGACAATATTGTATACCAAAGATGAACAGAGAATAGCCAGCAGGATACTTGCGCGTTGCTAACAATCAGAAACAGAGAACCCCAAACATTAACATCGAATTTTTGAGCGAGCAAGATGATTAAATGCTTAAGTGGGCCGGAAAGTTGGAAGATGAATGATGAATTTGGTATCTGTAAGAAACATGTCGTGAATCATTTAACTGTTAAGATAGCTACGGATAGCGCCTGAAACCCCCTATTAGTGCGAAGAACGTAACCAAGAGAGTGAACGGGACAAACCTTGTAACTTCGTAGCACCCTCGCCCAGGACTTGCGTCAAGTTCTCCAAGTCATCACCAGCAGTAATTCCGAATCGACGAACAAAATCCTTCGCTGCGTTCTCGAGATCGCCGTATCCGTCGTCAATAGCAGGGTAGTCCTCTTCAGGCCGTCCGAAGTATGCATTGCTGGAAATAGATGTGGCGCCTTCGAAATTGTTAAGGCGAGTCTTGGCCTCTGCCTGTGCTGCAGGGTCGAACCGATCTCGGCCAAAGAATTCGTCTGATGAGATACCTTTCTGCGACCCGAAGCGAGTTCTGTTTTGTTCAATTTCCTCTTCTGTAGGCAACATTGTCAGAAACGGCAAAAAGTTCCATTATGCAATATTGAAAATAGTATGTAGCTTACCATCGGCAGCCGATCGTTGAGCAGGAGCGACAGCGCCAAACCCAGGCTTCTTTGCAACAGCAGGCTTCGATACCTGTCCAAAGCCCAGACGACTCATACCCATTCCAAGACGCTCCATTTCGCTTGCACTCTTTTCAGGCGCTTTGCCCGTTGAACCAAAGCCACCTCGAGCAGGGCTAATAGGAGTGGGAGACGCAATCTTCGTGGTAGCCGTAGCCTTCTCCTTAGCTTCTAACTCAGCTTGTTCGGCTTCGGGATCATAACCCAATTTCTCTATACGTTCGGCCTCCTCCTTTGCTTTGCGCTCAGCTTCCTCAAAATCGATCGCATCACTGCTCACGACTTTCTTCGCGCCGAGTTTTGGGGTCTTCTTGGAACTCAATATACTGCCCTTCTTAGCACCAGCACCAGTGGGACCTTTTCTAACAACGTTTCCTGTTCGCACAGCAGTAGGAGGAGGTGAGGATGTTTCATCTTTATCACTGGCTGAAAGAGGTGATTTCGACCTTGCTCCGTTCCCGTTCGAGCCCGCATTCAAAAAGGGAGAGGCAGTGCGGCTGGCGTTCGATGGCGTACCAACTCGGGAAGGTGGATTACTAGGACGCTTGATGACTGGCTTATCCCAGGAAGAAAAGAAGTCGTCATCTGGTTCGCCGGCAGGAGTTGCAGTGTCATCACCAGGGGTACCCGCGACGTCTGTCACCACGACTTCACCTGGATGTCTGAATTGCCTTATTAGTCTCCGTTACGCATTTAGACCCTAGAGCAACTATAGATACTAACTCTTTCGCATCTTGAGCAGCTCTTCGCTTAAGCTCTTCCTTATATTTCACAGCAGCAGGCGATTCATATTTGACGTGGGGATCTTTGCTGGCCAATGCAGCGGAACCTCCGTGCGATTGGAAAAACTTGGTGGCCGACTCATTTCCACCGACTTTCATTATACGGAGTTGTTCCCATTGCCATTCTATACATTTAATCAGCGCAAGTCACATTATCAAACTGGCGAGAAGGCATACGGTCGAGATTCGTGGAGCGGACGAAGGAGATATGAACACCGAGGTTACGATGATGAGACGAACAATCCAGGCATAGGTAAATACCAAAGGGCACAGACGACCATGTTGGATTCTTCGAGCCGCAGTCAAAGCATAGCTATAATACAATCAAAGGGTTAGCATGCACCGACTTGAGCAAAAGGGGGTTTTCTTGTTGGCGGGGTGGCTTCACTCACCCTGTTTGCAGGCTTGGTCTTCAACTTCTCAAAGATCTTCTGCGATTGCGCCTTGGTGGCACTCATGGTTATTGGCGATATCGATCACAGTATCGTTCGGTCGGACAAGAGTACTGGTTGATGTGTTTTGTCTTGATCAGATAAAATGTTGCGGTGACATTTCAAGTTGGCAGGCGGAAGAGCGAACGTGGTCGGAGACTAAGTCTGCAAATTGCGGTGCCCTCCCAATTCTATTTTTGCAATTACCTAATTAAGCATAGTGTGTTCAAATTGCGCATCAGCACGTGATACCATGCCGGTTTTGCAGTATTCCTCCGCAATGAGACCCATTCTTCGCATCAAGCAAAAATTAGCCCAGCAATTCCAGAAATCAACCACGCATTCAAGCGTTGCAGGCGTCAAATGTATTCGATGCCAGTTCTGACCAGATATCAGAATGTATCGCTCACTCCTACATAACCCGACATTACTTGCGGTTCGCGCTCCTACCACCACCACCACCACCACCACACCATCTTTCCTCAGAGCTTCTACTACCGCAGCGACATCATCGAATCTCACAAGAGGTTATGCAACGCAAAGCAGTCTTGGTGGCAATGGCACGGGACCGGCAAGGAAACAGATATCCGTCATGACGGACGATGGGCGATATAAATGGTCAGAATTGAGTGGGAAGGAGAAAGTGGCTCGAGCAACACAGCAATCATTCAATTTTGTGATTGTGATTGTTGGTGTAGTTATGACGGTATGTGGGATATATCTTTAGGGTCTTTTGCGTGATGTGGTTCTAATTTTATTTTCTTTCTTTTTTGCGATAGGGTGGTGTTTTGACACTTCTATATACCGACGTCTTCTCTCCGAATAGCAGGACCTGGCAATTCGAAAAGGCAGTCAGCCGCATCAAGGAAGATCCTCGGTGCACGTCATTACTGGGAAACAGCAAAGAAATTAAAGCATATGGTGAAGCGACGGGGAATAGATGGACTAGGAACCGGCCAATTGCGTATGTATTCCATCTCTTTCTTAGGACTTGCCAAACTAACAACTGGGCAGAACCACGATACAGAAAGATTCTCTCGGTAGAGAACATATGAGGATCAACTTTCATGTAAGTCATCCTATGTAACATTGATGTTAGATGCATACTCATGGGGGTACGTAGGTTGAGGGACCTCTGAATGAGGGTATTGTGCATGTACATATGATCAAACCTTTGGATGACCCGAACTTTCAATATCGGTTTCTTGCGGTAGATGTCAAAGGTGTGTCTTGTTGCTCCATATCAGCAATATATTTTAGCCTTACTAACTCTGCCAGGCCACCCCCGAATAATTCTCGAACAATCCAGTGATGAAGCCCTTGGCGGGAAGAAAAGCCCCTTGAAGATCCTTGGTATCAACTGGCGTTGAGTTTGATCGACACGATGGATGAAAATTCAAGTCTTAGCTAGCCCATCTAAGATCTACTTGACCTGATAGCTGTTGACTAGCAAAATAATCGGGCAGAGTCTCGAGCAGCAGACAAACATAATCCCCCGCACTGTAAGACTACCGGGTTTTTGCAAACATCTTAGTATGCCGCGGTATTCTAGGTCAAATGTTGTAGTGTAACCGTCTCATCAGGCGGAGCACTCTATATCCATTTTCCTTGGTTTACTTGGTTCAACCTTCGAGCGCAGCGAGAGCACACAACTTGTATGGTTGCAGACAGATGCGTGATCCAAATCAAACATGTATTCTATCATGAGCGCTTATCCATCAGTTTAACCTCTATGAATTCTCTCCAATATTTTGCCTAAATATCAGGCACATCCTTAACCCTCGGCCAGCCCTCAATCGATCTCCCCGACCAACTAGCTACCGCCTCAATAGCCAACTGCACTTTCTCCGTATCCTCCTCACTAACCCCCAACCTCCTCAACCCCCTCAAATGCCAAATCGTCGGCGCACTGAGCCCCTGAATCATAATCCCCGTCAAAATAACTAGCTCAGCCTCCACAGCCGACAAAATCTCATGATCCGAAAGAAATAATCCATAAATCACAGATCGTTCCATCCACATAAAATCACTCGCAAAGGAGCCCCATGACGAGCAAATCGGAGCCAGGTTCTGACGATAAAGTTGTTGTAGGAATTTTGTACCTCTGTCGGGGATATGGTTGTTGAAATCAATGTTTTTCCTCTTTTCGGGGAATTCGAGTAAACCATCTTCTGAGGGAGGTTCGAGCGTGATGCCTCTCTTTTCGTAGAATGCTGCTTCTGCTTTTCCCAGGGCAGTTACAGCGTAGACGATAGGTGTGACGCCGACAAGAGTCCATTCTTTCATTAATACATCGCTTATGCGGGATTTGATGCGTTTTTCTTCCGTGTCGGACACGCTTTCTACTAGGTTTGTGTAGAGGGTGCCTGTCTCATTGGGCTTGTTGCAGCCGACCAGGGCTGCCGTCTGTTGTAACTCTTAGTATATACTTTTATTTGAATAAATTGAAGGGGAGAGGACGCATACAACAATGAGATACCATGCATCTTTCCGGAACTGTTCCGGTAGGATGCTCTGGACGCGAGTGCAGAGTTCTTGGAGTGTTTCTGACGGCGAGGTTGTCATATTGTTGAGAAAGTACCGTGTAGTACTAAAGTTCCTTGATTTTCTCCAGGAGATAGACCCCGGAAATTGTCTTTGCTGTGGTAATGGATATAAACGTCCCAACCTCGGAACAATTGATGTCGAACGTTGAAGAGTGTTGCTAATGAAGCGGAAAGCCACGAGTGTTAAAACCATAGAGCTCTCTCCTCTTCACGTAACTAAACCCCGCAAATTGAACTTCAGGTTGGCTGAGAATAAGATTTGTTCACCTCACTCTACTAGACAATTGCCGGGCTATAAGTTAGGTATGTTGTTGAGCTGAATCTGCTGAGTCAGTCCTCGGTAAAGCTGACTGGAAGGTGCATGTACCAAAGCCGAGATCGGCATTTACCTGTCTACTATGTACGACCAGGAGAATCACTTAACATGTTTAACAAATTGATGCAACACTATGACAGATACATTATTTTAGCAGCTCCTCCAACTCCATTCCATCTCAAATACGTGGCCCCTCCAAAATAACCTTCGCAGCATCCGTCGTCCACCAACTCTTCCCCTTCTCTCCCGGGAACGCATATTCATCCATGCTATCCGCCTTCATCTGCACACTATACCCCGGCTCCGTCGGAGTCACAATATACCCATCTTTGACCTTCGCCGGATGCTCAAAATGCTCATGCAAATGATCCACATACTCCAACAGACTCTTCTTACCACTAATCACGACATAGTCAATCGTGCTCAAGTGTTGCGTGTATTCAGGTAGTCCGACACCACCGGAGTGAGGAACGATGGGGATACCGAATTTGCGCGCCAAAAGTAAGATTGCGAGACACTCGTTGACGCCGCCGACGCGGCAGGCGTCCGGTTGTAGGACGGTGAGTGCGCCGGCTTGGAGGAATTGTTTGAACATTACTCGGTTTTGACACATTTCGCCCGTTGCGACGCCGACGGTGCCGTAGGGGGTGTCCGCGAGGGCTTTGCGGATGGCCGCGTGGCCGAGGACGTCGTCGGGGGAAGTAGGTTCTTCAATAAACCAGGGTCTAAACTGGGCTAGCTCCTTCATGTACTCAATAGCTTCAGGGACAGACCAGATCTATGAATCTCAGTCATCAGCAAAGTAAAATAGGTAAAAGGCAGAAGTAAAAAGAGAGACATACCTGATTAGCATCCACCATCAACACATTTCCCTTATCATACCCAATAGCCTCCCTCGCAATCCCCAATCGGATCTTATCATTCTCCAAATTCCCACCAACCTTCAACTTGAAATGCTTAAACCCATCCCTGACACTCTGATCCAACAACGCTCTCAACTTCTCATGCGAATATCCCAGCCAACCCGCACTCGTCGTATACGCAGGCACAGCTTTGTTCTGCTCCGCATCTCTGATCCGATCCTGTTTCGTAGGTTCAACTTCTTTGAGCAGAGCAATCGCTTCTTCAGGCGTCAAGGCGTCAGTGATGTATCTAAAATCGATACATCGCACCACTTCTTCGGGAGTCATATCCGCCACAATGCGCCAGACGGGTTTATTGAGTGTTTTGGCACATAGGTCCCAGAGACCATTGACCACGGCGCCGAGAGCGAGATGAATAACCCCCTTCTCGGGTCCGATCCAGCGTAATTGACTGTCTGAGACGAGATAGCGCCATGTCTTGCCCCAGTCGGATGTGATTTCGTCGAGATCTTTGCCTACGATGAGCGGTGCGATGGTGCTAATGGCGGCGCAGACGATTTCGTTGCCACGACCAATTGTGAATGTCTATGGGCATACGCATTTAGTTGCGACACATGGTGAGTATCAAGGATAAAGTCTCACCATTCCATGACCCTCGTATTGTGAATCGGTCTTGAGAATGCAGTATGCGGAGGAGTAGTCGCCGGCAGCGTTCATGGCATCAGAGCCGGTTTTGTCGAGAGAAGTCTGGATTCATCTCACGTTAGCTTTTACACCTAACCCTACGTGCATGACAGCAGGAAACTTACAGGAAACCTCACGTCTCGCGTGAGAAAGCCTGTTATCTTCACCATTTTGTATGTTCTCTTTCAAATTCGAATATGCTGTCGAAAATCAACTGATCAGTTACAGTTTAATATGCTATGCAAGGACAAGAAATATGCAGTAATGCGCTGTAACCAGGAAGAGAAACGAGAGAGAAATCAAATCAATGAGGGGATATCCAAGCTATATAAACCAAGTTCCAGATAACCATTAGTCAAAAACCAGACCGGCTGCACTACATACAACCATCCCACGTCCGCTTGCCTTTTTACCTTGTATTCCATATCCATTTCAAATAATGCTCCAATGATGAGACTGACTGAGGCTTTGTATGCGGGGGTTCATTTTGCGGGTAAAAAGTGACTCGGGCAATACCCCACTAGATACTATTGGCGGGATTATAGGATGCTATGGTTTTTCCGCCTATTAGCATGCAGTGTGCCTGATATGGATCTCGCAGTTTTCTCCGATGGTTGAGTAAGATAGTAGTTGTTGTATAATAGCAGTCCATTCTCTGAATTGACCACGCCCCTGAAGAGCGCATACCTACTAGATATCAGTAGATACATGGAGCAACCCCGAATACAAACCATCACTATGTCGAAAGACCGCGCTTCTCACTCTCAGAAAAGAAAATGATCATACGCCACAACTTCTTGACCAAAACTTCCGCTTCCTCATCCAAGGCCTAGTAGAGTATAAAAGTTAGCAAAGACTTTAGTTCAGATACAAGGATACATGCAAAAAGGGTACTAACCTCGGCCAATTGCTCGACCAACTCCTGGGGCTTTCCGTGGTTGCGAATGTGCTCTTCAACAACATCAACCAACATATCCTCCTGCACACCGAGATACTCCATAATCTTCTTCTCAACAAATGGTTTCAGCTGCTCGCCAAGAACAGACTCGTCGACAAACTCCCATTTGACATCCCACTTCCATAGGCCTTCCTTGTCCGAAGGAATTTCCGCCGCAAGCTGTCGAACAGCCTGTGCCCTTTCTTCGTCAGAGAGACCAGAGGCTTCTGCAGCAGTATCGAATTTGATCGGGACGAGCGTGCGTTTTGTCGTGGCGACTCCCTCTTCTTCGTCTTCGAGTAGACCTTCAACTTCAGCAACAGTGCGACGGGACGTGGCAGCCTGGGCTTTCTGCTGTGCCGCCGCACCAAGAGAAAGTTTGAATCGCTGAGGTTCACGTGGTGCTTGTGGTTGCGCTTCAAGCTCTTCAGCTTGGCGAGCCAAGAAGTCGTCCGCCATACCACGAGCTTGTTCACGCTGTTGAGCAGATCGAGCCTTTTCTCGTCCCTCAGCGGCTCGGTCAGCTTCGTCCGCCTTCATTTCCCTTGCACGGATAGCCGCTCGGTTTCGCATCCAGGCTCCATGGTCTGCATAGTATTCCTCCTCCTTACGACTAGCTTCCACATCGTCATTCCACTCGCGAAGAAATTTGGCCATCGTTTCTTTTGCTTCCTCGACCTTGGCGTCCTCTTCCCTGTCACGCTTTCTCTCACGTTCAACAGCTGCTGTACGACTCCGTTCACGGTTCAACCATCTGCGTTCCTGATCTAAGAATTGCTTCTCCAATTCTGCATTCCTCTTTTCTTGTCTTCTACGCTCCAGTTCCTCGTCGCTGGTGTCGGTGTCCTCATCTTCCTGGCCATACGCCACTCCGTTACCGTTCACGAACGAGACGCCTTTCTGGTACTCCTTCGGGATCTGCACACCAAAGCCCTTGGTCTGAGGGTGCATTCGCTATAGAACGGTCACGAGGACCAAGGGGAACACCATTGACTCCTCCCGCAGGTCCACTGGGAGCTGACAAAGGCGGGGATACCAGCCGGTTGGTACGTCCTCCCGAATTCCTGGCACGCTCCATGGATTCAATTTCCTCCTCTCGGCGAAGACGCTCAAGATCCCGACGGTTGCTCCTCTCTCGGAAAGCAGCGATTTCCTTGGCGACCGTCTCGCGCATCTCAGCTGGTATGTCCGACAATTCGTCTTCAGCAGCGATAGGGATAGTAACGACTTCCGCAGCAGTATCCTTGACGCCTCCTTCCTGCATAGACACGACGCCGTCGCGATCAACAGTGGATGCTTCATCGGTCTGCGTAGGTACGGTTGGATGCATTAATTCTGCTAGCACAGTGAAAAGCGATTGGCGGGCAGAGTCAATACGGGAGTTGCGATCAGAATCGTCTTCCTCATCCCCGGTGAACTGGTATTGCTCGATGTATTTCAGTGTGCTTTCGTCGAAAACGACCTACGGTAAAGTTAGAAAAACGTAGCGTAGCCTCAATGAATGCTCAAAAACATACCAAAAGCTTAGCCTTCTCCACTTCAGTCTCCTCCTTATCGCCTTCTTCCCTAGGCATCTGTCGCTTAACTGGAACCTCGACATCCTTGAAAATCTCTAACGCCACGCTGAGGCTTTCGAGATCTTCGTATTCCGCAAATCCAAACTTGCAAGGCTTCTCATCCGCATCAGTGGCGCGGATCCAACGTTTCAGGTTACCTGCACATCGTAGAATACGCTCTACACCGTCATCGCCTCCAGTGCCCTCGGTAATACCACTAACAAATATGGTTCTCAAGATTTCTTCTTTCGTTGGTGGTTGAAGCTGCATCATCGCATCGCGGATGGTCTGGCGCTGCGACTCAACGCTCGTAGCCCCAAGTCCGGCTCGTCGACTTGATTCGCTAGATCGTCCTGTACCTTCAGGTGTCGCGGACTTGGGGGGACCAGATGTACCAAGTCGAATAACCGGCGCGGAGAAGTTTATGTTGGGCATGTTGGGAGGAGGCTGAAAGTTGGCTGGAAAGCCGCCTGGGCGACCTGGCTGTTGCGCGTTTGCCTGTTGAATCCCTGGAGGAAGGGCCGTCCCAGGGGCAGCCATGCCCGGGGGAGCGCCTTGAAAAATCAGTCTAAGATGCCTTTTTCTTTCTTTCGCGCTCTCTTTCTTTTTGGTAGAATGTCAGAAGAAAGTTGTGAACTTACCCATGCCTGGAGGTGCACCAGGATAGCTTCCATAGTCCGCAGACCGGCCATATAGATGTGAACCTAGAAACAAGAGTTAGTCAAGTCCTGAAACAGAGGTCAAGGTGATTAAGGTGATTGTGGACTAGTTGTCGAACTTGCCTTGATAAGGATTGTACATGTTTGTGACAGTCCACCTATCACCAGTGGGAGGTCGTCAAAAGACAAAAAACCACTAATGCTGCCTTAGGTACTGCAGTCTATCACAAACCAGGTCTGAACTGTTGAATACAAGCTTGTTGATACCAGGAAGCAGTCCGGACTCTCTCTTTCTGAAGAGTGTAGAGTCTAAAGGCAGAACCCAAGAAGGAAAGAGGCAGCCTTGCGAAAGGAAAATACTGACCAATAGGAACACTGCAGGCGTTTTGCTCTCCATCGACCAATCAGAGGCCAGGAAATGCTCTATACATTTGAGCCTACATTTTTGCTCTCTACACAGGTTAAATTCAGGCACTAAAATGTATGGCCATCAGAGCTCATAGGGCTCAGAAATAAATATGGCATGTCGACATGGTACAAGAGTAAATCCGAGCTCATCATATATCCGCTGGTCGGTGACTAAGAAGCTTACTCATAAGCACGTCCATGAGCTCAGAGGAAACGTAAGCCGGTAAGCAGACCAGTAATCAAGCCCGTTGGTAGCATGAAGGAGTGTCCGTAGAAGGCTAGAGCTCCAAATGTGTATACAGGCTCATCACTACTAAGCTTACTGCCAGGTTTCCTGTGGTTTGTCCGCGATTGAGCATAATCACTATGCGCATGTACGGAGTAGCCACGCAGAGAATCTGTATCCTGTACGAGTTTGTGCACTTGATTGCGCAGTCGCGATGTTGGAATGCTTTTTCTTTCATTTTCCGCGCTAAGAATTTATAATGATAATACCAGAAATTTGCGTGGGCAACAACACATGATTGACAGGAGACCGTGAGCTTCTCATGTTGAGGGAGAAGAAACAAGATTGTAAATGAGAATCGTATGATGGAACGCGATCCATCGTGGAGACTGTTTCTGTAATTGACGTGATGTTGGATGCGCCGATAGCCTCAACTCGAGGCCACCAAGAGAACTCGTTGTCGCAACAATGCATGAAAACAAAAAACTAATCTTTACACAGACCTTTACGTTAGAGTGTTCTCCGCGGGTCTACCGGAAGGTCGACTGAAACTTCATGGAAGACGTCTTGGAGCAGTGATTACCTGAGCAGGAGCTAGTCCGTCCCCCGCTGCCCCTCCCACCCGTGACGTTACGTATATAAATATTACTTGTTCGCGCTCCCACCTTTCCAGACATCAACATCAACATACCCATCATCTGTCCTTCTTGATTCCTCATCATCAATCGACTCTGGTGTCAATTGATTGCTAGGTGAGTGTTACTGGAGCTGTCTACTGTGTGTTCTCTCTCTCAAGACTCAATCCTGAGGACCCCGCACTGACGCTCAAGGCATCTAGAACAATCCCGACCCAACTTCCACCTCACGATGCCCGGTTTCAAGCAAGCCACCGATCTGGACGCGTGGAAAGCGCTCCAACAACACCATGCATCTGTCGGAAAGAGCATTGTGTTGAAGGAAGAGTTCGAAAAGGACCCGAGCCGTTTCGAGAAATTCAGCCGTACCTTCACCAACACCGTGGACGGCAAGGATATCCTCTTCGACTTCTCCAAGAACTTCATCACCGACGAGACCCTCGACCTCCTGGTCAAGCTTGCCAAAGAGGCCAACTTGGAAGAGCTTCGCGATGCTATGTTCAAGGGCGAACACATCAACTTCACAGAGGACCGCGCTGTCTACCACGCAGCTTTGCGCAATGTCAGCAACGAGCCCATGCAGGTTGATGGCAAGAGCGTTGTTGAAGGTGTCAACAGCGTCTTGGAACACATGAAGGAGTTCTCCGAGCAGGTGCGCAGCGGTGAATGGAAGGGATACACTGGCAAGAGCATTAGGACCATCATCAACATCGGTATTGGTGGTTCCGACCTGTAAGTGCCGTTCAGTCGACTCATTGAATTTTGAAGACGTGACTGACCTCCTACAGCGGCCCCGTCATGGTCACCGAGGCATTGAAGGCCTACGGACACCCTAACTTGAAGTTGCACTTTGTATCCAACATCGACGGTACTCACATTGCTGAAGCTCTCAAGGAGTCCGACCCTGAAACCACTCTTTTCTTGGTTGCATCCAAGACATTCACTACCGCCGAGACCACCACCAACGCCAACACGGCTAAGAAATGGTTCCTTGAAACCGCCAAGGATGAAGCTCATATCGCTAAGCACTTCGTCGCCTTGTCCACCAACGAAGCCGAGGTCACTAAGTTCGGTATTGATAAGAAGAATATGTTCGGATTCGAATCTTGGGTTGGTGGACGTTATTCCGTCTGGAGTGCTATTGGTCTCTCTGTTGCTCTCTACATCGGTTATGATAACTTCCACCAGTTCTTGGCCGGTGCTCACGCTTTGGACAAGCACTTCCGTGAGGCTCCTCTGAAGGAGAACATCCCCGTGATCGCTGGTCTTTTGAGCGTCTGGTACAGTGACTTCTTCGGAGCTCAAACCCATTTGGTCGCTCCATTTGACCAGTATCTCCACCGATTCCCCGCCTATCTCCAACAACTGTCCATGGAGAGCAACGGAAAGGCCATCACCCGCTCTGGCGACTACGTCAAGTACACCACCGGCCCTATCTTGTTCGGTGAGCCCGCCACCAATGCCCAGCACAGTTTCTTCCAGCTTCTTCACCAGGGCACAAAGCTCATCCCCACCGACTTCCTTCTCGCTGTCGAGTCTCACAACCCTGTTGAGGGCGGTAAGCACCAGCGCATGCTTGCTTCCAACTTCTTCGCTCAGGCCGAAGCTTTGATGATTGGAAAGACCCCCGAGCAAGTCAAGGCCGAAAATGCACCTGACGACTTGGTGCCTCACAAGACCTTCCTCGGCAACCGACCCACGACCTCTATTCTTGCTCAACAAATCACACCTGCCTCGTTGGGTGCTCTGATTGCTTACTATGAGCACTTGACATTCACCGAGGGTGCCATCTGGAACATCAACTCTTTCGACCAATGGGGCGTTGAGTTGGGCAAGGTTCTTGCTAAGAACATTCAAAAGGAACTCGAGACACCTGGCGCAGGCGGTGCCCACGATGCTTCCACTGCTGGACTTATCAAAGCTTTCAAGGCCAAGGCCAACCTTGCCTAAACAAATGTATCGACATGACGGTAGATTAGTATGATTTTTCTTTTTCCCCTTCCCCGATGCTTCAGAATAGCAATGATTAGAAATGAATACCAAAATAATGTTATACTCTATTAATTCTCACGATAATTGTTGGTTTGGTATCTCCCTATTCCGTTCGCCACCACAGCTAAAATCCGCCAACAAATCAGTGGACCCTTTCTCCGCAAAACCCAGGAACTAAAAACAAGCAGCGTGGTCTTTTTCGCAACCATAACCCGACTCCAATAATAGACTATGGTCATGTCTTTTTCATATTGATTTATTTCTAAGTTTGTTGGCAATATGTTTTCTCAACGTTATATTCCGTTCTTTGGGCTGTTCCTGTCGACCGGAGCACTTGCTGTTTCGCAAGCTTCGAAAGATGTTGCTGGTTATGCGTATGGGCAGCCGATTCCTGTTAGTTGTTTGAATAGGACAATGTGAGTGTTACCTTTTATAATTTGAATCGAATGAATCGCTAATCAGTAGCAGAGACTCAGGTGAACATGTGCGTATCTACGCCATTCCTATACCCGTCGCATAGAACATATTGCTTATGACTTTGTGATAAACAGATACGAGACTCCCTCGGCCGACTACAATACATCCCCTTCCCAACATGCAACGAAACCTCTTCGCCTCTCGCGCTCCACTACGGCGTGACAGAAACCGTCTCCTGCACCATTGACTCTCTACCCGACGAATTGTACCATTTACTAGAATACTACGTCCACTCCGATGCGCCGCTGACATGTCGCGTGCCCACGATCCCATTAGACGGCGACTCTACCTCGGTAGAATACGACGTCGGCGGTAGTACTAGCAGCAATGGAGGAAGTCTTACCAACAACGAAAACAGTGGACCACCATATACACCACTCACGATCGCATTACAAGGGACTCTCCAACTGAGCCATTTACATATCTGGACTGATATGAACGTGCTCATGCACCGATTGAGTTCCGTCGAATCTCCACGTAAAGAAGAAGAAATACAGATCAAGAAACAGGCCAAAAAGAAAGCGTTAGGTCGCACAATATCGCCTGGTTATATCGTTGCGGGAACGGCCTATTCTTTGCCGGAGTTACATGCCGCAACAAAGACTGATAAATCGGAGATAGTAATATCAGAAGAGGAAGAAGACGCCGCCATAATCGAGAATGCGCGAAATCCATGGACGGCGGGCCATGGTTCAAAAGTTGTTCGTGGGGAACCTCTCACCCTGAAATTCAGGGTAAGTTGGGTTTCTGGAGCCGATAGTCTGGGTTGGTTGGATCGTGAGGATGATTCCGCTCATATCCATCATGCTCATGAAGGAACGACGTTTTTGGGTCTGTTGACGAAGTTGATTTTCTTTGTCATGGCTGCTGGGATTGGAGCGTTGTTTGCGTCTTATTACCAGCGGGTTGTGAGACGGGGTGGTAGTGCTGGTGGTGGTGGACCGGGGGCTTGGAGAGGGGAAGGGATACTTGGACGTCCGATGATGGCGACTGCGTCTTCGAAGGGACAGCGCCGGGGAAGTTTTAGTGGTGTTACGTATGGGAATGGGGGGAGGTCGAATGGGTATGGTGGGTATTCGCCTGCTTCTTCTGTCACGTCGACGCCTGGTAATGGGGGATATGGGTATGGAGGGTATGGCAAGAAGGATTGATGGATGATCGGGTGTCGAGGACAGTGTTTTTATGCTACTAGATGTGTAGTGAAGTGGTAATATAACTGGCAAAAACAATATGTATATCTGTACAATACATCTATCTGAACATAGAACCCTCAGCCCATCAAATCTTTTCTCAAACCCAATACTTATACACAGAAAAACCCTTGACAAGAAAATTTACCACCCCTGATCCCTCATCCTCTGAATCTTCTTAACAGTCTCATCAAACGAAAACTTAAACAACTTCCTCCACCTCTGACTCCTCAAATCCTTTCTCCTCTGACCCCGACGCACATGAAACTTTTGCAAATTAGCCTGTCTCCTAACCCCATTCACAGCGCAATTGATCTGAACCATTCTTATGGCAGCCGCAACATCAACGCCGCGATCATTGGAGACAAAAACCTGTCGACCGAGCTTTGTGCCTAGTTTCATGGGCACGGTGCGGAATCGTGGTGGGGTGATGGGATCGGCCTGGTCGATGCTACCGACGACACTTGCTGCTGCTGCTGCTGCTGCTGATGTTTGTTGTCTGGAAGGTGCTGCCCTCCGCGATAGGAGGTTGTCGAGTTGCTGTTCAAGACCTCTGTGAGCTCTATCTGCTGCCGATGACGACGATGGACTCTTGACAAATTCGCGAGTTGCGCGTGGATGAGGCACGGGTTGAGTGACGTATTGCACGTTTTCGCGAAGTGCCGCTAGACTTTCTGATAGTTTTGCGTTTGCGTTGGTTATATCACTTGTAGTAGTGGAGGAAGTAGTGTTCATCCCGTCAAATATTGAGCTTTTCTTTGTGGGTTGAGATTCTGATGAGTTGGAGCTTGGTTTTCGGTCTGCAGAATCATTTGTAGCGTATCCGGATCTTTGGGAGAATTGGAAGAATTGTCCTCCTCGAATAGGTAAAGACATGGGACGGATGAGGGTTGAAGGCGAGGCGCGAAGACATCTCGCGAGAGAGGATTGCACCGCCATGGCGGGCCAATTTATTTATGATATATGTCTTGATTTATCGTGACGAATTGGTTTCAATTCGTCGTAAGACTTGTGTCAAAGTGTTGGTTGCTGGAGCATCAATGGCCGATGAAGAGTTAACTGATGTCGGATAATTAGGAAATTGAAGACCGCGGAAATTCTTGATCACGTGAACTTACAGTCTCCGCTCCGCCATATCAGTTCACCTTGAATCGTTTCTATTCTTACTCAACATAGCACTTTATTTTCTGTTAATAGAGCGTATAATTATAAATTGGTAACTTTTTTTTTTTTTTTTTTGCCAAGAATTGGGAAGATACAAGTCATTGCAGACAAGAAAATGTCCTCAATCACAATCGCAACACTTCCTCGCATGAGTCGAGATGTCCTCTCATCTCTACTCTTGTCCACAAGCACTCCGAGCAAATTAGCCATTATAGACGTTCGAGATTCTGGTGAGCATATCTTTTATCAAACTCCTATTCAAAGCGCTAACTGGACGACAAAAGACCACGTAGGCGGCCATATCCACACCTCAACCTGGGTCCCCAGCTCAACCCTAGACTACCGCATCCCCGAACTCGTACGCACACTCAAAGACAAGGAGAAAGTCATCTTCCACTGTGCTCTCAGTCAACAACGAGGACCGTCCGCGGCATTACGCTACGTGCGCGAACGTGAACGTACCTTGGGGGTAGAAGAAAGTAAGAAACAAGAAATATATATTCTTGAAGGAGGGTTTGTGCAGTGGCAGGAAAAATTTGGGAATGATACGAGATTGACGGAGGAGTATATTGAGGATATTTGGAGGGAGTATTGATCCCTTTTTTGGACAAAGATGGAGTGAAGGTCAACATGCGCTGGACGCAGTTGTATATATTTCGATGATACCCTACATTTATTCTACAGTTATACATGTTTCTATCATACATCTCCTGTTAAATTTCGGATATCAACCAACAACACCGCCCCCGAACCCAACAGGTCTTCTCCTCCCCCCATTCTCGGGAACTATAACCAAAGCCTTATACAACTTCCCCATACCGTTAGGCCCCTTATCCACCAATCTCTTCCAAGCCGTCTGAAGCATCTTGCGCTTCTCCTCTTTATCAGCAGGTAATTTGGAAAGTAACTGCTCCGCTCGCTCAGCGATACCCAGTGAATGCAAGAATTCGGCTTGATCAACTGGACCATGGACCTCGACGCCTTCACTGGCTTCTAAAGCTGCTTCAGCGAGGCTAGTGAAATCTACGTCGGCGCTGACGTCGACTTGGCCTGGGTATGCAAAGGGGGAGGTAGTGGCATGTTGCCGAATGCCGCGAAGCGAATTTATAGGGACGGTGGATGTTGTGCCGTAATCGAGGATTAGAGCTGCCCCTGATGGATGTTTCTTCTGAATTGGTGCTGTTGGAATATCACCAGGGGAAACTTGTTTGGCTACTTCCCCCGGTTTCCGTTTTGGTAGTCTAGGTTCTGATGGTGGCGCATACCCGCCAATTCGACGCGCGAAATCAGCGACGTATATCCTGCTCTCGGGACTGACTTCAATGACCGATCCGGGCTGAGACTTGAGCGCTTTGTATCGTTCGGAAATCTCGGGGAGGAGTAGAGAATTTGGAGTTGATATTTTGGCGCGCGAGAGTTGGAATTCTGGTTCATCCTTGATGTTTTCGACAACAGACTTGGAATTTAGTGCAACCATTAATTCTCGCCATTGGGGGCCTGTTGGTCTATTCTTGGTGTTTCTTTGATTTGTATGGTCCAAGTCGAGGGGACCGGTTGGTGTCATGATTTGTTTCGGTTGCTGTTTTTCTTCAGATTCTGTGGGTTGAATGCACTCAAAAGCGTGGATTGGGAGGGCATCAAAGAATTCATGGGCGAATATGAATGGCATTTTATCATCTGCAACCTGTTACTTCAGCTGTTCCAAGACATGAGCTTCCCGGACAGAACTTACTGTATGGCAGTAACCGAATATCTTCCACCCAAACAATCGGCGCACCAGTATGTTTATTGATACCCCGATACCCAATATCAATCTCCTCAAGAACCGCATCCGGCCCACAAAGCAAATTCTTCTGAACTTCCCGCAAAGGCGCACTCGCTTCAACAAGATAGATATTCTCAATACTCTTCGAAAAGGTCTTGAAATTCCTAAGCGTCTAAACCATCAACCAAGTCAGCCACATCCTTCCCTTCATATTCTATCTGATATATTGCTCACCCTTAAAATATCATCCATCAATGTTCCCTTCCCCGGCCCAACCTCAATCAACTCAACCCCCTCCTTCGGCATCCCCTGCGCCATCCATTCTGTAACCGTCCATATCCCCACCAGCTCTCCAAAAATCTGGGTAATTTCTGGCGATGTAATAAAATCGCCCTTCTTACCAAAGACTTCGGTTTTGCTTTGACTGCTTGGTGTGGTGTAGTAGCCTGCGTCTGGGTTTGTGAGGACTTGTCGCATGTATGCTGCTATGGAGATTGGGCCGGTCGTCTATATTCCAATACTTAATTAGACTTGATCTAATTTGGATGGGAAAGGGAGGCATGTACTCGAATCGCATCAGCGAGGATCTTGGCTAATGGTGTTGACCATTCTTTCTTGACAATGTCGGATGCATAGCGTTTGGTTGGCGAATGCGAAAAGAGGCGTTTGCAACATTGTTTTGTGAGGTGTTGCGTTCCACGTCTTAGACCATGGTTCATTGTCGCGTATATGCAGATATCAATTTATTGTAATGTCAATCGGTGAGAATGCGCCGAGCGATTGGGAGTCAAAAAAGTTGAAGATTGTTTTGACTTTTCTAAGTTTTGTTCTCCGCAACCTCCGCATCGATTCTCCGCAGCGATTTACACGTGATTTCTCTTCTCAAGGTTTTATTATGGAATATCTGATCAACAATTCAATCCAGATGATGCACAAGTAATCATGTTCATCCTATCATTCCAAAAGGATCAATCTAATACCATGGCGCCGCTAATTACCCAATAACTCCAACGAAATACAAGAATATACTATTCATACATCAAAGAATTCTTAATAGCCTAATCGCTCAATTAGCGAAATCCACGGTTACGCTGTGAGATTGGTACTGCAGGCGCATCGACCATCATTTTATCGCTATGCAGTCCATTGCTGTGTTGGTTGGTGCGAGTGCTCGTTCCGTTGGAGTGCCTGTGTTGTCCTGTAGAATCACTGAACCCGTATCTTTCATCCTGGATCTGAGGCTCGGCCACTTTCTTCCTCTCTCGACGTTCGCGATCGGCTTGTTCTCTGAGAGCGTCGTAGTTATTGGTTGCAGAACGGGAGACAGCAGAGGGACCAAAGTAGGAGTTACCGGCACCTTTATATTCGAGTGAGAGGACGCGACCGTCAGCCTAGAAGTTTACTGCGTTAGCATGGAAGATCGAAGATTGTAGATCTGATCTACAAACCTTCTGCCCATTGAATTGAGCCACGATAGCCTCCGCACCCCATTTCTCAGCACATGCAATCTGCGCATTAACATACGGCGTATAAGACGTAATATGAACACCAACAATATGTCCAGCTACAGGCTCCATCGCAGTCTCGATATCGGCGGCATTAGTCCCCGGAGCGAAATTCCGGCCAACGACGACAAAGGGGCCTGTAGCTGCTGTTCCCTTAATTGTTATCTCTGTCGGTTTGCGAGGGGTCACGTTCACATTTGTATCTTTCCGACCATTGATGTCTTCTACCATGCGATCTTCTCGTGAGCGACGTGAAGAAGTAGATTTGGTTTGTGTGGTTTGTTTTGCTGTAGCACGAGCAGCGGCGAATGTGTTACTTTTCGGTTTTGAGGATGTCGATGCTGAGCGCTAGACAATAAACATAATGTCAGTAACGAATGATGCCAATAAGGGTTGACAAACCGTGAGGATCACCTTCACAACACCAATCCTACTCGCAAGGCTCCTGTCGGTCGGTGTCTTCTTATTCCCAACCCCGGGCCCCGGAGCACTAGCTCGTCGCTTCTTACTGCCCAGTAACTGATCTGCTAGAGCTTGATTCTCTTTCTTCTTGCGATTCAGTCGTTCTTTGAATATTTGACTCCAGTTAGCCCATGGTATGAGGTTCATTTCAGCGTCGTAAGGGTTTGGGGGCGCAATTTACCAGCCTCGATGATAGAGTCGAATGATGGAGCGCCAGCTTTTTTGGCAGAGCCCTTTTTGGCGACCATGATGGGGAAAGTTGTGTAGGTTATGACCAGATCCAGGGAAATGGTCTTCTGAACTAAGAAGTGAAAAAAAAAAAAAAAAAAAAAAAAAAAATTGCTATGCAGAGAAATAAATTCCAAAATGAGGATGTTGAAGGGTTGGAGGGCTTGTTTAGCTGAGGATTGCGCGCGGCCAAATCTAAATTTAACACCTACTCCGCCTTCGCCAAAATCAAAGACAAATAGCGCTTAATACTTAATACATCTAAACACAATAACAAGAATTAGCATTGATACAATATCAGATGAATTTCTACAGTCATAAATAATCTATCTAATATCTATCCAACCCCACCCATTAACTACCTATACAAGAAACAAAGACAGTGGTATATCGAGTCTTTCCAAACCGGGTCCTTTTCCTGCCTGCTTTCCTAGTATACAAATCCCCTCCCCAAAAATATGACAAGACTCCATATCGAAAAGAAAACAACGCCATAGATAGTGAGAAAACAGGTATAAGCATCATAAATTCGTGGGTGTTGATTGACCATGCATACATATTGCTGGTCGTAAGAAGTAAATGTGGTCGAATGGAAAGCCATTGAATGCCGATATGTGGTGAAATGTGTATGTGAACCAAATTTTCAAGTGGTGGAAATATTGGCGCGAGTCTCAATGCAAGGAATGGAAAATGGAAACAGCTGCAGCGAACACAACAGCAACCCAAGCGGATACCGCAGAAACGCTTCGTACACCACCAGAAGGCGCTGTATGAGCACTAATCGCCCCAGTAGTCCCTTCAGCGCCCAATGCACTGCTTGTCGGTGACGACGCAGAGCCAGGATCGGAACTACTCGTGCCTGTAGTCCTACTATCCGTGTAGTGCGCACGAATGATATTACTAGCCTGTTCTGCGACTCCATACGTCGACGCCATAAGATGCGTCGACAATGAAATCGGGACAACGCTGGCATCCGCAACACGAACATTGGCAAGACCGTAGACGCGCAGGTTGGCATCGACTACTCCGCCTTGCTCTCGGGGTAGCATCGCACAGGACGATGAAGGGTGGAACTCTGTCCCCGTCGCTTCGCGGATCCATTCAAGCCAGTCGTCGTCGGTTTTGACGCTGGGACCGGGGATTGTTTCGGCTATTAGACAGCTGCTTAGGGGTTGTGTGTTGCCGAGTTGGCGGGCTAGATTGAGGCCGTCGCGGAGGATTTCATAGTCTGGAACGGTCAGTTTGTGTCGGTATGTTTTGTTCAGAGAGACAGAGACCTACCAGCAGAAACAGCAAGATAATTCGGATCAATGACGGGATAGTCCAACGGATTCGAGGAATTGATGTATATGCGTCCATGGCTGTAAGGATGTTGAAGAGCAGCAGTGATACCAATATCGCCGTTTAAGTCACTATTCATGAACAAGAGCTCAATTTGCCCGATAGAACTACTGAGGATTGTGGTTGCGGTCATATTTGCAATTGCTTTGTATCCTGCAATGACACCAGCATCGTAAGTCGTGTTCAGCACGAATTGGTTGATTTGAGTGGTGATGTTCTTCTGTAGTGCGTCCAGATTATCGCCGTACATCAGCGTGGAATTGATGTAGGCGATGGCTGAATCGATGTAGGAGAGATAAAGGGTGTTGTTCTAACTGGTCAGTACCATTATAAAAAATATATATATATATGGTGAGAACTGCAAACCTTGTCAGAGAGATTTTGATAAAAGATCGAACCAGAAGTGACAGCACTAGTATTCCACTTGATAGTAGCGCTCTACTAGAGTCAGTTTGATCTGTTGAATCGAGAAGGGTACTTGAGAAAGGCCCTTACAAAATGATCCTGAAGGTGGTGACCCACACCAGGAAGTTCAGACACCAGCTCAACTCCAGCATCTGAAAGAACATCTTTCGGACCGACACCGCTGTGGAGCAGTACCGCAGGACTGCCAACCGTCCCAGCTGATAAGATCACCTCTTTCTTGACCTTGACCGTGCAGTTTGTCTTGCCGTTGTCAAGAGTATACTGCACGCCGTTTGCTGTCAGATTATTCGACGGAGAAGAAGCATCAAAGAGAATGCGCGTGACAAACGCATCGGCCACAACGTCGTAATTGCCGTTGTCTGCGAGCGGGTCGAGATATCCCGTCCGGCTGTACGAGCGTGTCCAGTTCGTGGGATTGATACTCGACGTCGAGACTTCGGCGCCATACACCTCACCACCGTACATATCGTTAGAACTAGCAATGCCCATTGCTTCCAGAGACATGACCCATTCGCCGACTTGGGGGAAGGTACTACGAGTTATCAGTGAGACAGCAAAGTAAGGAAAAGCGAGGCGACGTACTAGCCGGGATACGTTGCCTGAATCGGTCCCTGAATACCACGAGTAGAAAGGTCCCATGTAATGTTCCCTTCTGTAGCAATCTCATTCGACGGGGGAGTAAAAGTCTCGCTCTTCTTCATTGCAGCATAGAACGAATCCCACGACCAATTGTCCGCCCCGTCCATGTCTCCTAGCAGGTCTTTCCATGCATTGATCTCCTCTTTACCGGGGCGAGTCAGGTACAATCCGTTGATCGCAGAACTTCCTATCCCATCGTCAGTCTGGGGTACAAACTTTGTTTCGGGAAGGTACTTACCGCCCAGCCCCTTACCACGGGTCCACTCAATTTGACGATTCTCGGCATGGGATTGAGGCACAGTATAGTATGCCCAATTCATTGGTGTCGTCCATAGTGACTCGTAGTAGGAATATGCGGGAGTATCTGCACAAAACGTCAGCAATTCGGCCCGTTGCATAACAAAAGTTGTACGTGCCTATTCGTTCTCGAAATTCGTCTCCATTCGTCCCTGCCTCCAGCACGAGAACTGTATAATTTGCAATCTCCGACAGACGAGCTCCGATCACGAGACCAGCCTGGCCGCCGCCAACGACGACAAAATCGTATTCCTCGGCAATCTGGGTGCGCGGTGCCAAGGCGTGCACGTGGGCAGCGAGGACAGCGAGGGCAGCGAGGAGAGCGAGGCCTGCGCCGATAGAGCCAAGTCGCATATTCTGATCTGATCTTCTTGGACGTATGTCTGCATTGGACGATGTCGACGAGAGGAAAACCCGAAATCAGGAAGAAAACAGAGCCAGACTGCAAGGGACTGGGCGCAGTTATGTACTAGTGCATTCCAACCGTCGAGATCGGTGGGCTGGGCGGTCGGCGCCATTGTCTCTCTTTTTTTTTGTGCGTGCCTTTCTCCATAGTATGATGCAATAGGTACTTAGCAGTACGTACAGCGCCGCAGCCACGTAGCCGGATATCATACAAAAAAACGCTCGAGCGTATCGTAGTAAGATACACAAATGAAAATCATGCCCCATTGTGGATCCGTTTATCGCCCGATCAGGGAAGACGTCCCTGACTAGTCTCAGTTAGGCCAAGGTACAAAGCTTGCAGTCGATGTTTCAGTCCAATCAGGCTCGTAGAATAGATATCTGCCCCACTATCAGATAAGTGGAACTGTGGAAACGGCGATGAGTGGATCGCCATCTCCGATAACAAAAAATAAACGCGCGCCGATTGGACGAACTGCATAAATGCTCGGTATTATTGAGACACGACGAATACCGATGTCTACATAGTAGATACCAATTAGTACTTCATGGAGAGACTGAGTATGGAGGATATGGAGTTACCTGTCAAAGGAGGATGGCAGACTCGACACGACTGCGATATTCAACTAGGATCAGTTGCGCAGTGTGCCGTATTGTTCCTAGTGAAAGGACGATGTGGCTGACGGCAGTCACAACTGGCACGCAGGGCGCTCCTTCCTCGTCGACATGGACAACCTCAACTACATCTCAGCCTGCAAGATGGAATCCCGTCAACAGCGTCGCGTCTCTCGTTCAACTACTCAAGTATATCGTACTTGACATAAGTAGCACACTGTGCCTGCTGCAATCTTACGACGTATTCTTACACCTTTCTCGTCATGGCCAAACTATTCAGGAAGGTCGCAAATCGGTTCAGAGGAAAGTCTTATGCAGACGTATCGTGGTATACCGAGAGATATCAGACCATCGGCCATTCAACCGGGTGAGTGTGACCTTTGCTGTCTCTGAAAAACGGACCGTATCTGACAATTGGCCAAGAGCAAGCGATGTAGTACATTCTGCGCAAGTGCAGACCGATAAGCAGTCAAGACTCAAAGCCTGGACCAGCCGGCTCAAAAAGAGCACTCGGCGCAAGGACTCGCCCCCAGACGCAACGATTGCCCCGACAGGTTTACTCTCGTGCAACACGTCGTCTTGCGCAACGATCTCATCTCCACATGCATCATATTCGGTAAATAAGATCGACAAGTCCGATACGCATCCATCATTCTCTGCATCAACAGCCGAGATCGATTCCGAGTTTGGCTTCAGCATGAGACGTATGGACTTTAGTCTTGATCCCAACAAGAACTCTCCACCGCGGCTATATCTCGACATGTCTCGGCAAAGCAACACGTTTTCGCCTTTCAGGCCGTTCAGTCCAAATATCCTGCTTCCGAGTCTGGATACGAGTGATGCTTCGCTTGGTCGGAATTCGCAGAGGTATCTCAGTACGGCTTCATTCGACAGGTTCAGAAGTATTTCGGCTTCGTTAGCAGCAGACACCAACCCTCATGCTGCGCCGTCGCGCACTGTGTCCATTGCCAGCAATGCCCCAAATCGGTTCTATTCACAATCCAACCTCGATGCGCTCGGCGTTACTCGAGCACCCACAGCAGATTCAGGATTATCGCCCACGTCACTCTTGAGCGGGACATGCACTCCTACCCCAAGCAACCAGCCGCCGCATTCTTTCAGATCGTTTTCATCACAGAGTCATACGATGAGGTCATTGTCAGCGGAACTGTTGGGTTTATCGAGTCGGAAGAATGCGGTTTCCTTGAAAAGCCCGATTGGGTCGAGGAATACGAGTCCTTCGTTTTCGCTGGCTTCGCCAATATCGTTTTGTTGAAGTATCCACCATTCCGGTGTGTATGTTGGTTGCAGTCTTTCTTTCTCTCTTTCTTTCTTTCTTTCTTTCATAGAGTATGAGTATTCTATTAGTTGCTGTATATGACTAGTCCTCTTCAATAGATACTTATCCTAGTCTAAGCGTAAATCCAGCCCCAGTCTTCCCTCCAGTAGAAGACGCACCACCAAAAGCATCGGCAAAATCCAACTTTGGCGCCTCTTCCCCGTACCTCGGTGCCTCAGGCGTCTCCTTCCTCCTCCTCTTTTCTTGCCCGGCCTTTGATGGGAAAGTAGGAAACATTTCTTTCGCCTTTGGTCTCGGATCTTCCCTAAAATAAGCATGTCGTAGACATTCTGCTGCCGTGGGACGCGAGGATGGGTTTAGAGCTAGTAGGGATGAGAGAAGGTTCAAACCTGCATTTGTGAGATACGGGAATTGGGAGCGCGGAAGGAGAGGTGTCGCTGAACCATTAGAAGAGGAAGAGGAAGGAGGGAGACGAAGAGATTTGGCGTTTGGTAAGGAGCGGAAAGTAGGCCAGGATTGTTGCGTTGGTGGTCCAGTTATCGCGAATATCTGTACTCATTTAGCCCAGTTCCCTATATAGCATATCGATTGAGAGTATAAAAGAAAGGAGCAGTACCTTAGCCAACTGATCAACCTCATTCTTCCCCGTAAACAACGGCTCTTTCCTCAACAATTCCCCAAATATACATCCAACACTCCACATATCAATCTCAGCACCATACCTCTCCGCTCCCAACAACAACTCCGGCGACCGATACCACAACGTCACCACCAACTGCGTCAAATGCGCCGGCTTCGGGTCCCCGAAATACCTCGCCATGCCGAAATCCGCTAATTTGATTTCGCCGCGGTTGTTTAGAAGTAGATTCGACGTCTTTAGGTCCCGGTGTAGAATCCAGTTGGCATGCAAGAATTCGGTGGCGGAGAAGATTTGTTGCAGTAAGGTTTTGATTTCGGAGGGTAAGAAAGGTTCGGGCATGTCGTCGAGGAGGGTTTTGAGGTCGTGTTCTAGGAAATCCATGACTAGGTAGACACTATATCAAACAAAATCAGAACTCCCGCCGAAGGGAGTTTGAATATAGTCAATAATCTTGTATCTCGGACTTCTCAGTTGAATAGCAATAAAGAGATAGGATAGACGCACTCCTTCATACTATTCCCCATAACAATCTCCCTTAAATTGACAATATTCACATGTCTCGCTCGCTGCAATGTCTGAATCTCTCGGAGACCCGTCACGGGAAACCCATCAGGCGCATTATCAATCTTCAGTTTCTTGAGCGCAACAATTTCGCCAGATGCTAAGTCCCTGGCGCGCGAGACGACGCCGTAGGATCCTTCTTCGATATGGTTTAGTCGTTCGTAGTTGTCGACGTGTCTGCAGGGCGCCCATTCAGTGCTCGGGAAGCGGAGTAGCTTTTTACGATCTGCTGCTGCATCAGGCGATGCGCTTTTACCGTCAATTGATAGACGTCTTCGTTTCGTAGGTCGTGCATCTTCTGAAGCGCCAGTGGCAGCTGCTGTTGCTGCGGCGGCCTGTTTTTGCTGCTCTTCCAGGCGCTGCCTCTCAGCTTTGGCGCGTTTCTTTGCTTCCTTTTCGCGTTTGCGCTGTGCAATTGCTGCTTCTTCCTCGGGATCTTCTGCTGCCCATCTCGATTTTGATGACATTTTGTCCTGCGCGTATTGAGTGATGTATGTCTTCTGGTGGTGGTCGTCGTCGTCGTGATTACGTACTGAAGAATTAGTCGACTTTATTCCGATGACCGCATGCCGAGGCCGCAATCGATTTCAAATCAAATCAATCAAACAATCACCCCTCTATTGTCAGAACATCATGGAATTTACGGATTCTTCATTTTCTTTTCTGACTCCTTGATTTGAATTTTGTATCTTTTCATATTATATTTTATTGCAACCATGATTGAACCATTCCAGGTATGTACTCTGTCACATTCGCATTGTTTATTACTAATTCCGGACAGACGACCTTTCAGGTCCCAATGACCTGCGATGGATGCGTACAAGACGTCTCAGGATCCATTCAGAAATTACCAGGTACATTCGCCTCCCAATCATCCCCGAAGTGACTAACTAAATAGAATAGGAATCACCAAAGTAGAAGCCAGACTCCAAGACCAACTCGTCCTCGTCGAAGGCACAGCAGCACCCAGCTCTATCGTCGCCGCCATCCAGGGCACAGGACGAGACGCAATCCTGCGTGGAAGCGGAGGCACCAATAGCGCTGCTGTATGCATCCTCGAAACACACAATACCTCTGTCCCCGAAAAGATTCGCGGTCTTGCGCGAATGATTCAAGTCTCTAAGTCGCAAACATTGGTTGATCTTACTATAAACGGCCTTTCGCCGGGGAAATATTGGGCTACTGTTAGAGAGGCGGGGGATATATCCCGTGGCGCTGAGTCTACGGGTGGTATATGGGAAGCTGTCAAGAATAAAATACTTGGACCGGACCAGCAACCGCAGCCAAGAGGGGTGTTTGGAGTTGTCAATGTCAATGATGCCGGTAAAGGGAATGTCTTGATTGATCAACCAGTGGCGATTTGGGAATTGATTGGACGCAGTATGGTCGTCTCGAAGAATAAGGAAGGCCCCTTTAAAGCTGAGGATGCGGATACGATTGTTGGTGTGATTGCGAGGAGTGCTGGGGTATGGGATAATGACAAGATGGTTTGTTCGTGTTCTGGGAAGAATGTGTGGGAGGAGAGGAAGGAGCAGGTTCAGAAGGGGATGTTATAGCTAGAGGTTTTCTATATGACGACAAGTAAGATTGAATACTGAGGCATATATAGGAGAATGGATGAGTGTCAAAATTGTCAATCAGACTCAATTTGTTCACTGAAGCAGAGCCAAACAACATGATTTGTAGCCCTGCTCATCCGGCTGTCAATACAATTCCTGACTATCAAGACTGAACCGTGGAAGTAATATCATGCATTTGACCTAATTCCGCTGCGGAGACATCGAATCGTCCTTGATTTAGGTTTAGGGTTACAGCATATATCAGGCCCTCGCACTGTTATTTCACTTTTAAATACACCATTAATCGCTCATATGCCTTTTGAGGCCTCATTATATTCTAGCCAACCAGCCCGACTGATCAGGTTATCTTTCTTAGACGTGACTTCTGGCAAGGCAAGTCGGCCAGCTCTATCTCAAGCCAGGAATTGACAGATTAGCAGACATCCACACTGCTTATGTGTCATGCACCACAACTGGTACTCCACGCATCAACCTAGTGAGAAGTGCTCTTATTTCGTTTAATAGACAGGATCAATTCCTTTCCACGTTAGCCTCGTGATTTACGGTTACGCTGGTGTAGACTACACTTGTCTTGCAGCCAAAAATGCCTCTATTGAAACCTATCCTTTCGGGACTGTTCCTTTACCATGTTCTCTTCTGCGTTTTCGTCTGACCATTCGACTATGCTGAAGACTGGGAAATAGATTGGACGTATGGCCAATACGGATTACATTCAGGTGATTAGCAATCAATGAGGTTGTTGCCTGTATGTCTATAATATCCGCCCGAACCGAATAGGCGTCTCGGGTATCCCCTACAGCAACAGTGGCATCAAGGGATTCCCTAGGCGTACAACCTGAAAGACACGCCCGCACTGGGACTATTTCTGTTCAGTGATGAGTGCCTATACTGTTGGCACAACCTGGGTACTTGCGGTATAAATATCGCCAACTTTCCGACGGGGGCACCAACTAGCCAACGCATAGAACAGCTTAACAGAAGGAAGCTTGAGTTTATCAATTCATTGATTGAGCAAAATGGAAGAGCCAACCTACGATCCGAAGTATGTCTTCCACGTCCTTATACGACTCATGCTAATCGAGGCACTATAGTCGTCCCATGCCAACCATCAAAGTTGTCTACTCGTACAAACTCACCAACTGCCCTGGAAAGACAATCGTTGGCCTGCGCGTAGAGTTTCTTCCAAATGGATCAACTCCTCCTCATCGACACGGCGGCGCCTCAGTCTCGGCCTACGTCGTGGACGGCACTCTTCTGAACAAAATGAACGACGACCCGATGAAGGTGATCCAGGCAGGGGGTTCGTGGTATGAAGCCCCCGGTTGCCATCACCGTATCAGCGACAATGCTAGTCCTACGAAGCCAGCCACGCTGATGGCTGTTTTGATCTTGGATTCGGAGGTATATGAGCGTGAGGGAATGGGGGCATTGATTCAGATCGACGAGAAGTATAGACGCATTTAGCACAGCGACTTGGAGGGCAACGGTCGTTATGGCCTTTGATTATGCTGGGCTTGTTTACTGCACTCAAAAGAAAATCAACAGCTAGGACTCACGCCGGGAAACTGGGCACTTATTTTCAAAGAGGACAACGTAATCAACCAAAAATAGATGTGGAATAAAATCGTATCTGAATCTATACCGGCAATTGTTTGTGCCATATTCTTAGCAATAGGCACGACGTGGTCATTCCCTCACTCCCATCTCGTCGAAGCCCATACATGTCAGTAAACCCTGGCTATAAGCACCTAAATTTAGACAGGCGAAAATTGTGTTATAACTCAGGTTGCGCTATATATGTCGAGCGCCATACAATATGTATATAATATTGGTGGATATCTATTTTAGATTCAAGCACCTCAAACCAAACTCGACGGGTTTGACGACAACAACTGCAATGATCTTGTAGGACTCATATATCTATGTAAATCTGTATAGATTTAACAGGAGCTCGCGGCGCAGTCGGTTCCTTAAGACGCTCTTGTCGCACCTATAGGCCAATATGTGATGATTTACAGCATAAACCCATCCGGAGCGTACCAAGGAGGCAATTACGTGTGTAAATCATTCAAAACCAATATTAATCTAATATTAACGTATAGATTGAACTCGTGTTTCATTTTTTTATATGTAATACTGATTCCAGGGTCTCATTTTACCCCAGCGACGCCTCCGTCCGGGATATAAAAACGCAACGCCAAAGAGTCTCACGTGCTCCCCGTGAGAATTAACCCGGTGCATCTTCAAATCGTATTGTGCTGTAAATCCAAATAGGGTAATATGGAGGATTAAGCGGGTTCATTATTGCATCGTGATTGTGCAGTCCATTATCTGAAAAAGCGACGAATATCAGTTTGACGCTGTGCAGCGACTTTCTCCATTGTGAGATGATTTTCGTATCTGGTAAGGACTTGGATAAAAGAGCTGTCAGCTTGATCACGTTGCTCTTCAAAAAGACGAAGAGTTTAGAGGCTTTGTAAGGCCTCTTGAGCTGTAACCAAAGGAACAGGCTCATCAACCTTATCTTCTTCGGCCTCATCAATCTGAGGGACTTCGAATTGGATTCAAACAATATTATCAATATCCATCATTGTATCGTTAACCTGCTCATCCAGAGGATTCAAAAATTGGTGGATATCCATGACATCCTGAACCCGGTTTGTGAGCTTCAAATCCTGCAGACTATTCTGCAAATCCTGTATCAACAGTGCACTCTCGAACTCAGCCTCAGTCTCGTCATGAAGAGCTTTCTTGAAGCAATTGGTAATTGTTGTTGATGTAACTCCTTCCCACATATTAACCGCCCACCTTACGGCACGGAGAATTGTCATTGTAGATAGAGGGTCAATTCCACGATCAAATTCGTCGATAATAAACCGAACCCATGCTCGCTTCCATAGAGCTTTCCAGGCTTGGATAATCCCTTGTTCGAGAGGTTGGTATTTTGTTGTTGAATCAGGGGGGAAATATATAATAGTTGTATACTTTAGATCTGCATTAACCTCCTGACTGCAGATTCGTGTGCAGAAAAGTTATCCATTAAAAGAATCACGTTCCGGCCTGCCATTTGCGCGTCGAACGCGAGAAGCCATTCCTTGAAAATATCTGAAGTCATCCATGCTTTTCCATTAGACCGCCATTGGATACCGAGATTATGAGGCTCAATATGAGCCTGAGTGAATGCTCGTGGCTTTTTTGTATTGCCAATAATCCAAAGAGGGATTCGCTCCGAGCCATCCGAATTGCAGGCAAAAAGAATACTAATTCGTGCCTTCTCTTACTTCCGGCCAGGCAGAGCACTCGTTGAAAGGCTTCGGTCAGGGAATAATTCCCAAAACAGGCCAGATTCATCACAATTGAAGATATCGTGCGGAGGATATGAAGCAAGAAGTCGACGAATCTTGATCATTTGATCTGCACCATCTGTAGACAGGCTTGCAACTTCTCCATGTAGTTTTCTGTTCTTTATATTATTCCGCGTTTGGAAAACAAAGAGCCAGCCGTTACGAAATGACGGTATAGGGTCATTAGGATGAAGAGGTGGCCAGTATTGCTGCGCTTTGTAGCGTATAGCTTCCTGTGAGATAGGAGCTTCGGTCTCAGCTAATCTTATCCAATCCATAACAGCTTTTTCTAATTCCGGCCACTGCTCAACACGGCGCCGTTTATCCTTCAATTGATGTGGTTCGAGGTCGTCAATGAAGGCGTATTTATAGGAAAGGATTCGTGTTATCGAAGCCCGGTCGATCGGTTGGTTGTACGTGTCTTCAAACCACTTCGTCAAATCTTTATGCGTGAGATGCTGGTTGATTCTCTTTTGAGCGCGTAGCGCTGCTTTCCACTCGTTGGGGATAGCTTTGCGGTGTCGTTGAGCGCGTTGCTGCTGCATATTGATGATGACTTGACGTTGTACAACACTGAGTAATGTTCCTGATTATAAGCAATTTTGTATGGGGCTTGGAAGTAATGGTGCTTTTATCTTATATCCAGGTATAAAGCACATTTGTATGAGGAATGAAAATTTTTCAAATTTTTGATGCTATAAGTCGAGTTGTGCTATAAATCGGGGATCTTATATCCAGGTTTTACTGGTAATAATAGCATAGCACGGCATTCGAAAACGCTTGAATGCACGTGTTTCTGCCAGATGTCCTTGCCATGACTCAACTACGAAGATACTCTCACTCCATTCCAAGCTACACCTATACAACGACTTAGGACGCTATTGGACTTATCCGAAGTTCATATAGTTACATTGTACTAAGTGTGTGCATTACCACTTGTGACCACGATTACTCTTGCGGTGCCCTCGAGGAGACTACTAAGTATCTAGCATCAATGTTAGGTAGAGCCAAGGAATCTGGTGCAAAACTCTCTCTAGCAGTCTTCAACTAAATCTATCCTCTTACAGAAACCATCTCAGACTAGTAGTCTGATTTGCAAAATTCTAATCAACCACATGGATCAATTGTTCGAACAGCTGGTCAGAATCAGGTAAGACAGGATCGGCCGATGCGAGTGCTTCGTGGGCATTGTCAGGGGGGTATATCAATTTTTGGTTGATATAGCACTTCGCTCGCTTTGCAGTATCTCCAGACATTTTGATAATGTCCCTATCCCAGCCAGCAGCAACTAGGGCACCCCAAGCTCCGAGATCAAGACAGCAGTTATATGCAGCCTGTGTGTACCCCATTAGGGGTACACCAAGAAGCTCTGCTGCGGCATTATACCCTGATACGCGGCCAAGCTGAAGCGCGTGCTGGCAGGACATTAACGCATGTTGGTTTTTACCATCGGCGAGTGCACAGGCGGCGTCACCTGTGGCAAAGACACCATCAACGGGCGAAACGCGAAGGTATTGATCAACATAAAGGCGACCCAAAGCGTCTCTGGGTGCCGCAACCTGTTGTGTCAGCGGCGTAGCTTGCACACCGGCGGTCCAGATTGTTGTTTTTGTTTGTATACGAACGCCAGACGTAAGGGTAACTCCTTCGGGATCAACTGCTTTCACTCCGGCTCCAAGCTTAACCTCAACACCCAGGTCATTTAACGCTTGTGTTATGGTGGATCGAGGGCTGGACCCAAAACTAGGCCCGACTTCATCTGTATTTCCGACCAAGATAACGCGAGCGTTTGCAATATGGGCAAGTCGTCTAGGCAGCTCGGCAGTTAGCTCGATACCTGTGAAACCTGCACCGCAAACGACCACAGTGTCGCGACTAGGACTTGCAGGCAGTGACGCAAGAGCTTCGAGATGAGATTCAAGCTTGACAGCAGAATCCAGAGAATCGATATCGTAAGTATGCTGACGAAGGCCTCCGACGTGCTGAGGTTGTATGACGGAACTCCCAGCAGCAAGAATCAGGCGGTCGTATTCGATAGTCGATTCGACACCCGAAGCACATTGAACTTCAACGGCGCGTCTTTCAGTGTGAATGGTCTTGACGACTCCGGGGCAGAAGTTTATGCCGGCCTCCTTGAAGAGGGTCTCTAGAGGATGAATCAAGCTAGACGCTTTGGACTCGTACAGTCGTGGACGCATAACTAAAACTGGTTTGGGAGAGATCACGAGAATCTCGACCTTATTCTCCTTGCCCGTGCTCTTGATGAGACGCTTGGCCGAGAGAGCGCTCCAGACTCCGGCAAATCCTGCACCAATAATGACTATTTTGAAAGACATGATTCCGAAAGGGGGTAATTCTGTACAATAATTGTTTGGAGATATGCTGTTGTAACTGTATAATCAATAGAGAAGAAAAGCAGGATGCCATACCATCCTGCTGCTCCTATTTATACTCTAGTTCTACTGTCCTCGGGATTTCACCATCAGTCACACCCAGACTCCCGAATATGGTGGATAGGTAGTAGTTCTGGTATTAAGAGAGACCTATTTACATAAAATTACGTGTAAATTTCACCACTAATACAAGCATTGGCGAGGATACCCTATGTAATCGGTAAACCGAATACCCGGAAAACGAGTTCCCGAGTAACCGCAGACAAGACGAGCGTCACCCTCAAATTCTCACCTTGTGATCCCATGAATCCCTTCAATGATTCGGCAGCACGCAGGGTTAGGCCTTCGCGTTCTTCGCTGGCTTGTCTGCCTTGTCGGTCGCGTCATCTTAAATGCGACGGGAAAAAGCCATACTGCAGTCGCTGCGTCGAGACAGCTAAGCAGTGCCATTATGTTCCATCGCGTCGAGGGGGTCTGGATCGTGCTGCTCTGGCTGAACGGCGCAAAAGACTTCCTCCAACAGGGAGCGCTGCAGTAATCGGCCTACAATTGCCGGCGGGGGTACAGCAAGACCATTCATCTGGATCAGTTGACGTGGACTTCCCTACTGATCGTCAGCTGCTTGGTGGGAATACTATCGATGAAGGCACATCGCTAGCTGTGATCCAAGTTGATACCGATAACATCGACGGTGATGCTCTGATAGAGGCATACTACAGATACTTCCACAAGTTCCACCCGTTCGTTGTGCCACAGAAACACCTCACGAGACTCTACCAAGATATGCGCAGACAAGCCAGCTGGAAGATCCTCGTCGATGTTTTACGACTTGTCGGACATATTTTTATTTCGGGAGAATTGTCAATTCCGCTAAAGGATCACGTTAAGGCCTGCCTTACGCAAACGTCACCAGTAGATGCAATTATAGTCCAATGTCGACTGTTGTATTCTATGATATTGTTCTGGCATGGCCATGAAGACGATGCTAAAATAGAGATTGACACTGCGATCCAGATTGCTGTTGATCTACAAATGTTTCTTCAAGCATTCGCGTGGGAGCATGGCGGTGCAGACCCTGTAGTAAGGGAAAATTTGCGAAGGACATGGTGGATGTTATACATTGTGGATACATACTATGCTGGGACTCTGGGAATGACGGCGTCTCGACTGTGGGATATTGAGAGCACAGTCGAATTGCCTTGTGAGGAATCAGATTATGAATCGGGGGTAAGCAGTAGCGCCTTGAATTTTGTTCTTTTAGTGACAGCAGCATCCACATAGCTTACTGAGTTCTAGGAAGTGCCCGAACCCATTTCATTGCAAGAGTTTGACTGTCGTGAATTCGCCCCTGACAGTGTCAGATTCTCCTCGTTCACCTACCTTATTGGTGCCGTACGATGTACAGCATTAGCAATATCCATGGCACCGAAGAGCCTTGTTAAAGAGGACTCAGCTGATGTAGTCCAATCTGTTGACTCAATTCTTGACGGATGGCTGCGTCTACTACCAAAGAACAGTAACAAGGTTATGGATAAGTCTGGCAATATTGACGAGCTAATGTTCCAAGCTCACTTGGTGATTCATATGTAAGTTAGCTATCAAAGTTTTCTTGCCCTCGTGTGGAGGAGAGCTTCAAAATCTCACATTGCCCAGAACATCGATTAGCTTGCATCGGCCATTCTCGGACCTCAAATTCGATATAGTCGAGAAACTCTCCAGCTGTGCACGGGAACCCCTTTCCGGTACCCTTGCACCAGAGCCAGTCAATATTCACACTCTGCGCGTTCTCCAATCTGTAGAGGCCCAAACCCGTCTTTTGGTGTTGCCTTTTCGCCAGTTCCACCATAGTCCTTTTGTTACCTGCATGATCAGCGGTGGAGCACTGGCGTTACTTTCGGCCTGCAAATTCCTCCTAAAGGGAAAAGACTTGATGGTAGCTAGAGGGCAAATGAAGATGATTATCGGATGCCTGAAGGAATTAAGCGAAGTGTGGCCGAGAACGGCGAGGAATCTGACGGAGATCCAGACAATTGCTCGGCATGTGCTAGAACTAGAGACGAGGACAACTAGCAGCGGTGATACTACATCCGAATCTAATGAATTACCATGTCTTGCTGATGGGGGAGGAAGAGATGGCCGCAGCCCTAGGACTGAAACCACAGTCAGCGAGACTGGCCACTTCTCTTCCTTGAGCTCTATTGAGGGCCTCTGTACTTGGTTTAATTTTGACGATTTTAGCCTTGATCGGCTCGAAGAATAGAGGTTACCTGCTAGAAAAAAATACTTATATTTCCCTTGAATTTATTTGGTGACAGGCAGTACAGTTTTACGAAGTGTGAGGACACCGCGAATAACAATCCTAGCTGTTTGGGCCTAGTGGATGTCAATGGAAATTTGCTTTCTGGATTCAAAGAGAACCGGAACTGCTTATAGGACTGTCAGGACTGAACCTTAGCAGCGCTGGATAGATCATGCAATGGTTTGACGGACGCGTCAATGAAATTAAGAAGAATAATAATAAGCGGATCAGAATCAGAATTCAGAGTCCTGGACAAGATCCATATTCAACTAACATTTGCCCAACCACAGCAAAATTGCAATAGCCGGAGTGAACAGAAAGATAATAAGATAGAACCCCATCTCGCAAACAAAATGGCAGCTCGCTCACCACCGGCATATCTTTGGTCTGTCAACACTGGGTGATTGTCAAAAGAAATCTCCACCAAAGTGTCTGTAAAGTAAAGACCGGAAACATACACAGTCCCTACAGCATGCCAGGCCATCAGCCACGCTCTCTGAGTGAGAGTACTGTTCCCTGGTTGAAATCTCGACATCACGCCAATTGGAACCAACGGCAACAAAGCTACTGCGAAAATCAGGAGAGTAAAGGCGTCCACCCCTTATCCCGAATCATCATAACCAACGCTTGGGCTTTAAGCGCCTGGTAGCGTATTTTTGCAGAAGCTTGCCCGTCGGTATATCGTGATAATGCCGCGACCAGCTCCTAGTGAAGGGAATAATAGAACGAACAGCATATTTAAAATAGTGATATGTAGAGGTTCGCCGGGTGGCTTGACGACGGTTGCGACGTAAGTTAACAAAAAAAATGCTGTGACATCCGTCCATGAGGTCTTTGTACAGACATCTTGCGACTCGGGATGGTAGGTAACGCTGTCGGAAATCGTTGTGGGCGTATTACGCTCAGGTAGATAGGTGGCTAGGGAGCCACATGCCAACCCTAAAAATATCAAGCAGACCAAGTTCCGTTGTGCCATGAAGAAGTGGTTAGACGAAGGACAGAGTGTAGGGTGCAGATATCAGTTCAGCTGAGCTTGTGGGCTCATGTTGACTTTTTAATGTTGGCAAACGACGCTAATCTCGCTTATACGAACAGCTTGATGTCTCCGAACTAGCCTCCTCATAGGTAATCGAATCAACATACTGCTGACAGTCAATAACTACTACTCTGAATTTAGAGACTCTTTGGTCACATGTGTATCAGGGTCAAAGACTGTAAGGGCTTAAGTCTATAGAACAGTTGTGATATCGGCATATCGTTTCCCATATCACCTAAGATGGCATCTTCCCATTGTGCCCCTTTTCCCGTTGATAGAAGGCTATTTCGGCTCTTTTGAGGAAAGCTCCTGAGACTGTAGTTTTTCTGATCTGTAGTAGACTGTTTTGGTTTCTAAGTTTTAGGAAGATTCCCCTTAAGGACATCCAGAACCTCGCTCTGGAACTGGGAAATCCAATATGTCCTTTTCGTCTTCTTAATGCATTCTGCATAAATGGACATAAGTTTATCATCATATTCATCGTCGCCATATTTCTTCTAAAGATGACCTAGGCCTAGGCTGGCCTCATTGCGAGGCATAAGAATGGAATTCTAGAAGGAATCTTGCATGGACAGTCCGCGATGAACTGCACGCCAGTCTGTAGAATGCACCGTCGTCTTCTTGATAGTCGGCATTCATCTAGTCGACTTCGAGCTTTTCCACCAAATCGATGATTTTTTTGAAGCATTCGTGTTGAAGAATGCTTTGCCGCCGTCCACAAGATATGGTCTTCATTTCACCATCCTCTGAAACCACAAGGTGGGGAGATGTTTCCATGAGCCAGTCAGAAATCCCTTCACAGCTACGTTTCATAGCAAAGTCGAGTCTTTTTGCAGGAATATCGAGCGTTTACAAAAGCAGATACGAGTCCTCCCTCACGCCGTCCAGCCTGTAGGTGGCCCTTTCCCATCTTTGTACCTCTCTGGGTTTCGTTTGGTTTCCCAGTGAAGAAGCGGTACGAATATCCCATTGACCACCACTCAGACTTTGGGCTGTCATTGTGGGATCTTGAGAACCGGAAAATATACCGCTTGATCGACACTCCTATAGGGCCTGGCAGTTCATCTGGTTTTTGTAGGGGTTTTCCAGCTAACAGATTGACAAAAACCAAGACTTTGGGTTTGCATCCCTGGAAAATGGCCCCTATTCACTCTTCACTAACTCTGTGGGTAACAAGCATAGTCTTACTGAGACCATCTCATCGCGGCAGATTCCTCCTCGGGAGTTTGATTTGCACAAGGAATTAACTACACTACACCTATAGACTGCCATAGATGTGGCGAGTCGACAAAAGTGTTAGGAGAATATACCTCGCGGCTGCCAACGATTCCTAGGGCATCTAATAATTTTCATCAGCTGGTTATCGTCTACGTAGATAGTTGAAACAAGATCTATACCATCCTACCAAAAAGGGGCCCCCCTTAATGGGAATTTCTGGTAAGTGCCACTAAGTGATATATAGCTTTTCCAGAGCTCTAAAGCTGGTCTATTGTTTCCGACAGAGATGATTGCGTCCATAGTTCTTTTGTTCTCGTTTGACAGAACACACGAATATTACTCCGATTGAGTTCTTCTTGTGCAAGTTAGGAATGACGGGTTCTACCTAGGAGTTCGTGGAAGATATCTACATTGCCCTACATCATCTGGAGAAGTGAAGTTTTAGTAGGTTCACTGACCCTCACTCTGACTTTCGCTCCATCTGGATTCTGAATATTTGCATCTCTCTACGTTGCTTACACCAACCGAGATCAGCCTTGCATCATGACCAAACCCCAAGCAGTCTTCTTTCTTCGTCCGGAGCTGCGCTTTTTGCTCTTGCCAGAATTGGCTTTCCACCCGCCCACTTGTGAGCCAGAACCCGAAGGCAGACATTGCACTCAATGCGGAATGGCTACAATGACTTATATAGACATTGAGCCCCGCAAGCTCTAGTACACTAGAGATGCCATGGCAGCTTTCAAGACCGCTAATAACAGCGATATCAAAGTCCACAGCTGTTTCAAGTGTACGACGAGCGAATCTTACAATTGCAGAGCTTGGGATGACATGAATGGTGAGAGGATTTGGGTAGTGAAAGAACAGGAGAATCGTCCTGCCCTAAAGGTAGATCCTTATAAGGAGGCACAAGTAGTTATCAATGAATTCCGATGAGATGGACATGGAGCCAGACGAAGTATCATACGCTCCCAGGAGGGACTTCAGAATTGGCGAACACAAGTACTTCGATTACGGCGAGTACATTAAACGAAAATTGCCGGACTATAAGAGAGAGGTAGAACTCTATTTCAAAAGGTTGGCATACAGACTTCACAATAACGAATCGCGAGACCGCCAAACAATCCCTATCCCAGTGCCGGAAAAGCCAGCAGTGATGTTCAGTTTTGATGAAAGAGGCGACGTTTTCATGACGATGCTACTCTCGGACTCTTTGGGTGACAAAAGAGAGCAACCCATTCGCCCTCCCAGCAGGCCATCCTGCCCCTTCTCTAATGTTTAACTCGCCACATCATGAGTAAATTCCTCTTTACGAGGAATATCACCATCGGAAATGTCCGCGAAGATGCTATTTGACATTGTTCGAATGGACAATGTCATTATAAGTGTGGATTTCTCGCAAGCGGGAAAGAAGATGTATAATCAGGTCATGGACAGTAGGGGCTTTTCTTGCTTTTTTTGTACGACTGATGGCTATGTTTGTACAGTAGAATCAGGCTATACCGAAAGAAGGGCCAAGGCATCTCCATATCTATGCTCTCAGTTTGAATATATTAGCCAGGTAATATGAAAGTGAAGAGGGTCTGCTTGTTAATATGCAAATGGAGAAATATACCTAATTGGAGTATATTGCCTTGGCCTCCGCTTGCTACATGTATAGTCAGATTCTACTGTAGTTGTAATAGAGTCGCTCTTTATACACCAATGGCTCACTTAGTTGACATCCTTTGCCCAACTTAGGGTTATTAGTGTTATTAGGGTTTAGGGTTACGTATAGATCGCATTCAACCCCAGAATTCGATCCCGATCTCAAGCAACCCAGACCGTATTCCAAAGCAGACTCAAAACAAGATCAATTTAAGCGTATCCCTGCTTATTTTGTCTACAAATATGATATCATGTTTACAGAAATTTTCTAGTAGAGAAAGATAAAGATCATGCAACTCGCACATGGCACAATTCCGCCTCGGAAATGTCAAGTAAGTTAGCAGCGAACTACAGACCAGCCATGCATTAATCTCTAATCGCAACTTATGACTTGGCTTAGTCTCAATCTAAAAGTCACGGAGTCTTCAATCGCCGAATCATTATTTTGTATACATGGGGCCTTCGCCCAGACTTTGCATACCCATCGGCTAAAGGTTACAAAACGCCTTCTCAAACATTTCAAGCTTCAGAAACGCCGCAGAACGGCCACCGGTTTCTTGGAGTTTAGTATCAGATAGAGAATTCTCACACAAAATGACCGCCACCTGTTTTTTCGCAACTGAACTTTGAGTTTTGAATCTTTCCCCCCCAATCTTGTAGAACAACTTGGCAAGGCGACCTTGAGGTCAACTTATGTAGTCTTCCCTGCTCATGCAAGATCAATCACATATCAGCGCGCATAGTCACTTGCTAGAAGAGACTTATTGTTCTATTTCTGAACGTCAAGTTATTAATAGGCATACTGAGTATTCACACAGCATAACTGAGTCGATTGGTTGTTAGGGCTAGATGCACTCGGGCCTGCGGGCAAAAGTGGTGTATTCAGCTCTGTGATTGGCTGATTGCAGTTTCGACGTTATTTTAGCGGCGCTTCTCTTTTCTGTTCTATTAATACTGTTACTATGATCTCGAATAAATGAATGTCATATGATATGGCTGTTGAGTATGCTGAACAGGTTGTCGAGTTGATGGTATGATAGAAGCTTAGAAAGAGACTCATGAACATGATGTATATACATGCTGTAAATACTTGGGGATGTATATCCTCAGGGTCCAACAGTCAGAACTAGATCCCGCATGAAGCACGCATTGACATGCTTCGATCCCCTGCGACAGATCAATTAAATGCTTTCCCAACCCGGCACTCACCGAGGCCAATACTTATTCCTGCTATCAGCCAGTAGTTACTAGATAGCTAACCAGCTATTTTCTCTCCTTTTCTCTTTTGTGAGCGAGCGAGCGAGCTATTTTCGGACCTTTCCACTCATTCGAGATTTGTTGGCTTGGCTGGTCCAGTCACCATTCCCTTCGTTCTGTTCTGTTCCGCTCTGTTCACGACTTCGTTGCGACTCGTGTAATTTTCACTCTTGCAGTCCACAGCTGACTCGTTCAATCGCTCCAATTCTCCATAATAGTAATTCTCGAAAAGTTGACGACTTCCGGATCGTGCATGAAGCCCCGCACTATTCAAGTTGCCGACGCCAATCCCAGCCAGTGCTTTATTAACCCTCTGTTCGAACCTCTTTTATTTTGGTTATTTGGTTACTACGGAATATTCTTCTTGCTCGACTGTTGTAAACATTCTGTCGAGTAAGCAAGCATGTCGTTGAAGCAGGTATGTCTACACCTTCACCCTCTCAGCAACAGCCTTAACAATCGTAGGAAATCGAGACGTGGGTGCAGGCGCTCGCTCACTACGACAATAATGAATACGACGAAGCTCTCCGAGTCTTTGATAATATCGCCGATACTTCCAAGATTCTGTTCAATTGCGGTGTTATCCATGCCACATTGGGCGAACATGAGAAAGCAGTAAGCTACTCCTACTGCAGTATTAGACATAAAGTGACATACTAACGACCACAGGTGGAATGCTATCAACGAGCCGTTTCCCTCGACAATTACCTCGCCGTAGCGTACTTCCAACAAGGCGTCTCAAATTTCTTGTTGGGCGACTTTGAGGAAGCCCTCGCCAATTTCAATGATACCCTTTTATACCTGCGCGGAAATACATCGATAGATTACGAGCAATTGGGCCTGAAATTTCGGCTGTTTTCATGCGAGGTTTTGTTCAATCGCGGCTTGAGTTATATCTATTTACAGCAGATGGAACCGGGGTTGCAGGATTTGCAGTTTGCGAGTAAAGAGAAAGTGACGCCGGACCATGATGTGATTGATGAAGCGATTAGGGAGCAGGCCGAAGTACCCAACCCCCGATTTGTAACATTCTTTGAAGTGTATGTCGAGCTAATATGCCCAGGGATACACCGTCTTTTCCATCCCAGTCGGAGTGGTCTACCGTCCCAACGAAGCCAAAGTCAAAAACCTCAAGACAAAAGACTACCTCGGCAAAGCAAGACTAGTAGCCGCTTCAGACCGCAACAATGCCTTCACGGGATTCCAGGGCGCTGAAATGCGAAAAGTTATCGCTGTCGAAACAGCTGCCAAGGACGACAGACCAGCCGAGAATATTTCGTATGCAGCTACGAATCTGGTTCAGAAGAATCTTATGAGTCGGAGTAGACAACAGTCTGAACCACCGCTGGGTAGAAACACGTTTCCGCCTACGCCGCCTCCAGAGTCGGATAAGAATAGCACGTCTAGTAATGCTAGTATGGTTGGTGGGTTGACGCAGCGTGCTGCATCGGTTCGTTCGGGTGTAGCTGGTGGTGGTGGTGGTCGCCCACCGAGACTGGAATTAGATCGACCCGGTGGAGCGGGCACAAATGGACGGACAGGGGGTGATCTGCCGTCTATGGAGAAATCCAGAATTGGCACGACGCGTACAGCCTCTGAGCCGCGTGGACCAGCTTCAAGACAGTACTCAACGTCATCTCGAGCCAGAGATGGTCGTCCGCGTCTCTACCGCGAGACTACCGGTAGTAGTCGTCGTGGTGGCGGCGACGGAGGATTCGATTACGTCCCCGAAGAAGGCTACGCCGGAGAAGTAATCGACATGTACGCCACTCCACGCACAAACGGGAATGGATACGCGCCCAGACCCCGTCAGCAGCAGCCACGATACATTGAAGAAGAACCAGAATACAGCAGTGAATACGACGATGAAATCCCCGAAGCCGAATTCGAAATGATGAATGAGCAGCCGCCGCCACGACAACAGCGGTCTAGATATAGTCAACCCCAAAGCGCATCTTCGGGAGGACAAGGACGAAGAGCACCTAGCAGCAGTCGTCGGCGCACAATGCCTGAAATCCGAAAGTTCCGTGTCAAGGTACACGCTCTTGAGGATACGCGGTACATCATGATTGAATCGAATATCGGGTACGGCGAATTCGAAGGACGGATCCGTGAAAAGTTCGGGTTTAGGGGATTGTTGAGGATACGTATGCGCGATGATAATGACATGATTACGATGGGGGATCAGGAGGATTTGGACATGTTGTTGAATGCGGCCAGGAATGAGGCGAGACGAGAAAATCAGGAAATGGGGAAGATTGAGGTATTCCCTTTCCCCCTAAATAATACTATTGAGGGTTTACTGACTTGTAACAGATCTGGGTTGAAGAACGAATTTGATTGGATTTATGCCTAGTTTTATGTTCATAGTATTGTTTGTCCTTTCGAGCGAGGAGTTGGTCAGATGGGTTTTATATATTTTTCTCTGTCGTCTCAGTTTTGCTGATGACTTGACTATCTTTGATATCCCGATGAATGAAAATATTGTTTTTCGTATCCTGCAACTGTACAATGTGGACTGTTTAGTTGTTCAGTAGAATATTGTAAACAGTATACCAAAAGGGGAACAAGGGTTAGGGCACGCCAAGACCAACCCGCTTCATTTCGAGTGACGTTGACATTCTACCTCGAGACAACACAACAAGACGACGACCTCGAAAATGACAGACCTGACACCTTCGGTCCACGATCTCCTCCGGGAGAAGAAGAAACAACTGGCGACTGACCAGGACATCCCGTCAACAACTGTCCAGAATCCGAAAGACGTTAATGAATTCTTAAAAGAAGCATATCGCATTGTCAGTACTTCCTAGACACCAGATTGAACGAATACTAAATAGTATACAGAACTCTCACATCCAATCCCTCCTGCACTACCTCCAATCAATCCGCCACTCATACCTATCCATCAACACCAACAGAAAAAATCTCAACGAACCCAGAGCGACATCGCCAACAACAAAGCTACCAACATCACAAACCCTCTCCGACACAGACCGCGACTCAATCGATTCCTCTACCGCTCTACTCCTCCGCGATTTATCATCTAGTATTTCGAATTTACAGTCTGCCGAACAATTACGCCAAGAAACTGAGCGGCAGCTCTTGAATAAGAAATATGGCCATTTCAAGGGTACGGGGATACTATGGCGCTGGGCAGCGGGTGAATCTGACACCACAACAACCCCGAGAGACAAAGAACAAATCATTGCCGAAGAGACTTCACGCTGTATACGGATGGTCAGGGAGAACGTATTATGGTTTCTAAGGAGGAATCTGGAGCAAGTTGCCGAGGTGCAGAGGGGCATGGTTGAGAAGAGGATTGAGAGGGTGAGGGAGAAGGAGAAGAGTGTTTTGTACAAGGCTATTCCTCCGAAAATGCAATTACAGCAAATACAAGAGGAGAAGCCGATTAGCAGAGAACAGCAACAAAGGTACGAAAAGGCGAGTAAGCTGTCGACCGAAGAAACAGCTACCATTGAATCTCAGCTTTCCGCTGAACAACTCCAACTCTTTGCGGAAGAGAATGATCTCATGCTGAGGCATTATGAGGATACATTAAGTAAAGTCCAGTTCGTCTCCCTTCCCCCTCTTATTCTTTTTTTTTTTAACTACACTAACGTCTGGCGATGGCAGAAACGCAGAAAAATCCCTCCTCGAAATCTCCTCTCTCCAACAAACCCTCGTCTCGCACCTATCAACTCAAGAAGAATACATAACCCAACTGGTCACGGACGCAAGCACAACGGCTGAGAACGTGGGTAAAGGGAATAAAGAATTGAAGCGAGCCAGTGAGAGGAGGAGTACGGCGCAGATGGTATTTTGGTGTACTGCTGGGTTGTGTGTGTGGTTAGTTGTTTGGGATGCTATTTTCTAATTTATACAATATTCATGTATTGGATATGCTGTATGTATGAGCACCGAGATGGATTCATGGCCTATCTACCGCCAATATGTACCGTACATCCAGAACCGAAATTGCCAACATAAAAAAAGTCCGAATGTGGACATGTCTAACCAAAATCCCAGAAGATGACTCACTGAGTCTCGCGAACAACACTGTCAATCGCCTCGGCCACATAATCGATATTATGCGAATTGAGGCCTGCCATGGATATACGTCCATTCTTAGTCTGTAATCGTCAGTACACATCCAATTTTAGATTGACAGATTGGCATTAGGGAGGGGAAAGGGGGGTTACCATGTAAATATGCCACTTCTCCCTCAAAATCTGTACTTGCTTCTCACTCAACCCCGTGAAACTAAACATCCCAATCTGACTCGTAATATGTTCCCATGACCCAGGTGTCTGTCTCGCTTCTAATCTTGATCTCAGACCTTTCCTCATTTCTGCGATTCGACCACTCATCGTACGCAAATCCTCTTCCCATTCTGAGAATAACTTGGGGTCGTTGAGGATGATACTCGCAATTCTGGACCCGTAGGCGGGAGGGTTTGAGATTTCAGATCGTTGCAGGATCGCGAGTTGACTGGCAATATGTTGTATACTGTTATCGGGCTGATTGGGCGGGGATACGAAATGGTAAGCGCCCGCCCGTTCACCGTACAGGCCAAAATTCTTCGCAAAGGATTGAGCGATACACGTCTCAAATCCTTGTTCGACAAAATACCGAATCGCCCATGCGTCGCGCGCAAGATCACCAGACGCAAAACCCTGGTACGCGCAGTCAAAGAACGGGAAATGATTCTTTGCCCTAACGACTTCTGCGATACGTTTCCATTGGTCGGGCGAAGGGTCTACACCCGTCGGATTATGGGCGCATGCATGTAGCACGATAATTGAGCCTGCAGGTGCGTTGTTCAATGCAGATACCATCCCTTCGATATCAAGACCTTTGGTTTCGCGAGAGAAGTAGGGGTATTTCGCGATTGAGAGACCGACGTTTGTGAAGATTTGGTTGTGGTTTGCCCATGTGGGATCGGAGAGGTAGACGGTTGGACGCGGTTGTTGGTGTGGATGGAATTTCGCAAGGAACAGAGCACCGAGGTGCACGGCGCCGGTGCCGGAGATGGTTTGGAATGACGCTACCTGTTTTTGTCAGCGATTTGTATCAGACAGATAGAAAGAAGAGGAGGAGGAGGAGGAGTACTCGGTTGTCTTTGATGGCAGGACTATCAGCGCCCAAAATCAACTTTTGCGCTGCACTGGTATACTGCGGCAAGCCTGCGATGGGGAGATATTCATGATTGAGCTCTGGGTCGTTTTTGAGAATATCATCTGCCTGTTTGGTTTTAGCATCATTTATTTACTTGAAAGACTCGAAGACAAAAGAGGGGATACCTTTCGAACAACAGGCAAAATCCACGGCTTCGCATTATCGTCTCGATAGGCACCAATACCCAAATCAACCTTTTTATCAGAGGGGTCCTTGCGATAAGCGGCCATGAGCCCAAACAAGGGGTCTTCAGGCGCTTGGGGCACATTGACGGCAGTAAAGATGCCAGCTGTCGATGTCGAGCCCATGATGTGTGATGACAATTGCGACAGACGAGAGACGGCGGTTGCAGAAGTTGTTGTTGGTAGAGAGTTGTGGGGTGAAAGTTGGAGACGATGAGGGGGTGGAGCCATTTTTATCAGGCAATCCTCAGGGCGCACCGCTTCAAGCAATCAGGCAAATCAGGCAAATCAGGTTAATAACATTAATCGCGCAATCTTGGTATGACAGTCGGGGCACACGCCGTTCGTCCCTCGCCGTTCGTCCGTTGCGATTATTGCTTGTCGGACAGACGGTTATTTTTTGAGGCTGTTGATGAATATGGTCACCGGTGAGTGTCAATTGTTGTCAATGTCTCGGGCGAAGGCCGTTAGACCTAAATTATGCCAGTGTCTTCAGGGCACTTGAGTTGTGAGATGGTGCATATGTGCAGTGTGTCCAAGGATATAAAGATACGCCCTGAGAAAGAGCATTCTGACTATATACCTATTCGAGAAGACGAAAACGAAAACAGAAAGCAAGCCGAGGTCCGGAACAAGTCTTGTGACGTAGAGAAAATGGCTCATTATTAATATTAACATATGATCAGTGGATTCTTTCTATAAATTATTTCACTGATTCGGACCTTCAGTTAGTTATTGAAAATAACCGATATGTAACCATTCACATGCTCTGTCTGTCTGTCTAACGTTGACCCTAACAATGCTGTTATTCGAATTCTTCCGCCAAGTTATCCACCAAGGTACGGAGTACTAAAGGTCTAGATTAGTAGAGACCGAGAGTACGGTTAATTTCCAGTAGGTAATTAGTCTCAATTATCCTTTCAAGTTCATAGAAATCGACCTAGTGACATCCTCTAGGACCAGACACCCCGATGTCGAAGTGAATCATTTACTTGTGTACAGCTTTATTGCAACACATCTGAAGAAGCTGATGTGATGCTCAATTTCTAGTTCTAGATCTTTGCCCAAAAGTAGGTCAAGTTAACTTGCCTAACTTAGTTAGTGTTAAGTTAACTTTAATAGCACAGAGACGATTACGTAAGTACTTGTAGCCAATCAGGCATTGCGCTACCTATATAACACGTGACACGACTGCCTAGCTGAATGAATCAACCAATCAGCAGGTTCCTTCAGAAGGAACGTCTCTCATTGGCCATCCTCGATATCGACAAATATACTCGTCGTAATATAACCCCTGATGGTCTAGTAGGTTATGGCGTCTGACTGCAATGGGTAGCATATAATCAGAATTTCGCGGTATGTTCCTAATATATAATGGAGAATATAATATTCATAACTAATCGTAAAGTAGGGCTCCCCAGCTCAAGGGGATATTTTTTTCTTATTTGAGAGTCTAGGTAGGCCTTAAGAACTATGATGCCTAATAGCTACAAGTACTAGGGTATTTAAGAGTGATAACATAGATTAGACTCCTTCACGTAACGCTCAGAGAGGAGGTAGTGCGCATAGAAAGTTGTCAGATTGACAGAAAGTCAATTCAGGTCAGTCTTCCAGATGTGTACGGCAACCCTGACCACTATCTAGTTGTATAAAGGAGAGAAGGCCCCTTTTCCTTACTATCCAGCTTCCTCTTGACATAGCTACACTTCTATTTGCTGGACAGGAGAAGTCTCGCCGTCTGCTGTCGTCTCTTTTTCTCTTTTCTCAATTCTCTCTGTGTGCTGGGAAATACCCCTGTGCAAACTACATGCTCTGGATATACCCAGTGGAATACCACAACCTGGAAAGATGAAAGAGAATTTTGAGAAGGAAGTGGCCTATACTTTACACCATTATTCTGCATTGTCTTGAAACTCACAAAACTCATTTCTCTACAGAAAGCATATGGATACAGAACCAGACTATAACGAAGGAAAGTTGCCTCATTTTTCTACTGATCTCAGCTTGGATCATTTTAATATGGAACTGAAGAGCATCCTATTCGTAAAGTACTAAATGAGCATATTGGAGGTGCCCTTCATCCCTAAACCAGACTCAGTTCTGGATATAATGACTTGGACCTTCTGTTCGTTATAGCCAAGTTTTAATGTATACATAAACCCCTTGCCGCCACGCTTCCCCCCTCACACCTATAAATTCTCACGATGCTGTCTCGGCCCGGCTTAGGATATGTTAGTGACTTATTAGAAATTTTTTTAAGGGGCCCCCAGTGTATCTTCAGTCGTGTCTGCTGCCAGTAATATGGCTGCACCGGCCTCAAGGGTGATTTGGTATGTATCCTTGATCAGGCCGGCCCTAACCCCAGCTCAGCTTGGAGTCCTACAGTTATAATCAGCCTCAAATCATGTTTGCGAAAACTATTTTGCAGATATTTGTAGAGGTTAGGCCACTACTTACGCCGTTAAAGTCCAGAGGATATCATGGAAGAACTTGTGAGCCCCTCCCAATATGATTAGCATATCATATGGTTTGATATTAAATTCGGGAACCCACCCATGATATTCGTATTTGATGCCTGCAGGTCTATTTACTTCAACGTCTTCCGGCGGCTCGGGAATACGGAGGGGGTACGCCGCCCCCGGAATAAAGGGAACAGACAAAAAAAACAACAGCATGTTGATATTGTTGCGGTTGTTGCTGGTTGCTGTTCTTCTCGCCCTCTTCCCATAGCTTGTGCACCTGGTAGAATATGGAGATCTTTTCTCTGATTTTCTTGTTGATTGTAGTCGCATTTGGGGATACAGATGTTTAGAAGCCTAGAATCTCATTGCACAATCTCTTCATCTCATCAATCTCCTTACTGGATATAGCGCCGCTATTCTTTCAAATGCTGCTGGTGTGGGTCTTTTGAACGATGCAGCAACGGCCGCGTTCAAAGGCCTGTAGAAGTTAGACTTAATTAGAATATAGGTCTGCAGGAGAGAACATACCCGGGCGGATAAGTTTTGGGTTTTTCGATGTATAGTCGCTTCCGTAACTTATGAAGAGAAACGGCAGGAGTAGCATCAGACGAGTGCCTTCGAAGCGCAGACAACTGACAGTTGCACACCACAGGTGGTAAAAGGTTGGTCAGAATATCACTTACTGGAAAGCTCCATTAAAGGGGGTCCCCTTTTTGGTAGATCAGTGTGAGTTTTGTCCCAATATCTCTTGCAATAGTTGTTCTTGCAACAGTTGTTGTTGTTGTAAGAAGAGAGGATAAGAGAAGGGGAAAGAGAAGGAGAAAAAGAAAGAAGAAGATGGAAAATGTCCCAAAATGGAAGGTGTCAAACGCTCCTTCCTCAATGCCTGCAATCACATCACATGATTCATGTCAGCTGATATTCTCTTCTTATACAGGGATGTACCTAGGTACCTCTGACACAGCGCTGTCGGATTACAGTAGTTATGATACCAACCATCTGCAGTCTGTATCAATGCTTGGCTGTGTATAGAATGCAGCTGTTTACCCCTGTAACTCCACACCCCGGATTCCGTATCTTAATTGTGATACGGGGTAATCCCTGGATAGGTACTTCATATCTATCAAATAATTCATTCTCCTATACACCCTATAAAACCAACTAACCAGCCAACCGTTCCAAGAAATGTACATAACATAAGCGCCGGCCATAAATCATAAAGCATAGAGAAGAACATAAAGCCATCCATGACCTAGGTAGCCAGCCAGGTGTATAACCAAACCAAACCATATAAACGCCGTCGAAGATCCGATGCTGATGGGATAGAAAAGAAGAAATAGCATGAAATAGAAAGGGGAGTCGCGCTTTTGGATGCCCCGTTTCGTTGTTTAAGTATATATATCAGGTGGGACGTGAGATGTGAGATGGTAATGTGCACGAGATGGGTGTATGTAAAGGTGAATATTCCGTTGTAGAATATTCAAGTATGTTCATGTATATGTTCAACCAAGCTCACGACTCAGAACCATGCTGTCTCGTCCGAATCCTGAATCGATCGCGTAACCGCATCGCCAAATGCCGTCGACGACCCTGACTATCTTCCGCAGAATCATCTTCCTGCTGTCGTTGATGCGACTCACGCAATCGTCGCAATGCTTCAATGCGTTCTTCCACTGGAGCGTTGCGAGCACGTCTGACATCGGATAGATATCCTGCCAAGCCGCGGGAGTGTCTATAATTCGCATTCGAGTTGATACTTGTCTGATTGTTTGAAGGGTCGACTGCATCAATGTGTTGCGTTTCACCTTCTTCGGTATTTGAGTCGGCGTCTTCGGCTGTTTCGGAGTTTACCGGGTTAAGGTCGATACGACAGAGGGGACATGTCCCCGAGACGTTGATCAGCCACGGGTCAATACATTCGGGATGGAATTGATGGTTGCAAGGTAGGAGTCGGACGTCTTGGCCTTTGACAAAGTCATCTGTGCAAATGGGACAGTTGTTGTTTCCTGTTTCGGCTACGCTGTGAGGAGCAGCTGCGGGAGCAGTCGTGACCTGATCCGGTTCAGGGTGAGGGTGTGCTACTTCATTCGTAGGAGTTGTAGTAGTAGTTGTAGCGTCATGTGCTAATACACCTTCGTGACCGGTCTCACTCGTATGGGTTGACGCTTCATCATTCCTAGACGCCATCTCCAAATCCCTCTTGGCTGCATCAACACCGTCGTCTTTATCATCGCCGAACTTCACAATCGGGATCGTCTCCAACATCGCTCTAGCAATCCCCTTTGCTCGACTCTGCCGCGGTCGTCCCGTCACATTCCTGGGTCCATACCGCTCAGGATGTCGATGAGCACGCACTGCACCGGTGATGATAATCCCCAAAAACAACGCCGTAATAATACCAGTGATTGTATACAAAATAATCATCGCCACCGCCGTAGTCGATGAAGACACCGTCCCCCCAGCTCCAGAGGAAGTCGAATTCCCGCTCCCAAAAGTCGTAGCACTACTCGTCGACATATCGGCAGTAATACCCGCAGTGACCGTGTCGTTGGTACTAGGCAAATTGCTCAAAAACAGCTGCGCCGCGGTCGAATTGACGATAGTGAAAACGTTGAAATAAGTAACTCTCGGGTCGTTGACGGTATAATTGCAATGATTTGACTGTACACTGTACAACAGAACGGCAGCGGGACCTCCACTGGATAATGTAACTACGTCTGAAACGGTATCTGCGACATGGAGGTAGCCGGTGTAGGCGGATGGGTCGCAACTTATCAATGCGATGTTTTGAGGCGTGACGGAGGCGGTGTTGGATGGTGTGGTTTGGTATAAGATGCCTTGTATATCAAATCTCTATATAGCGTTGCGGGGAAAACGGGGACCGGAAGTCAGCGGGAAATCCTTCATACGTAATACGCACAGCGTATTGGGGGGTAGCTGAATCGTCGAACGACTTACCTGAAAAGACGAATAATCTAGCGTCCGCAGATTATTTGTTAATGGAGCGAGACTGATTCTGTCCGCGGAAGAGCCGCTTAGAAAGAACCGTAGAGGACCGAATTGGCGGGTGAGGGCATTGGTGTCGTTTGTCGGGTTGGCGGAGACGATGTTGGCCGCAGAGACACGAACAGTGAAGAACACGAGCAGAGACACGAGACAAAAAGGAAAGTTGTGGAGAGAAAAAAGATATGGAATCATTGGAATCATATCTGGATGATTACGGAAGCGCTGAGACAGACAGCGCATTCACTGGTTGTGAAACGAAGACATTGGAGTGAGGATATGACTACCGATGACAAGGCTGTCCGGCTTTTGTGCAGTCGGTCTCTGAGTTGTGGGGTGAGGATCGGGATCTTGATCACACTACTCCGTAGATAATTTGATTTGTACTGCAATGCTAAGAGCCTGATTAGTGGTTATGGTTGAAGAAGCGAGGCTGAAACGAGATCCGGACTTGCGACCGACACAGTTTTGAGATAAGCCACGGTCCCCCCGGATCGTGCGGTAACTCTTGGGCGGACAATTGGCTGGTCCGCTTTCCTCTTTGAGAACGATTAATTGTCACTCCTTTTGTCCAGATCTTATGAGTAGATTGTCTGAGTGTTACGGTCTGTTGTCTATCTTCACGGATATCCGCATGCGGCATTTTCCTTCTCTTTTGAGCAATTCAGAGATTCGTGTCTGACTTATGGGAGAAAGATTCCGTGGTGTCCAGGTAGGATTGATTGAGGATGATCTCCTGACCACTGGAAGATCGCCCATGCACGCTGCAAATATTGCGCTTCTGAGGCCCAATGATAATTTACTCCGTAGACACTACGAGGGACCATATATGACTACGTTATCTCTCGGATTTGTTGTTGAAATGTTCGTGATAGCCCTAATTGAATGCCTCATCCGTCAGGTGTCGATTGAGCAATCATTTAGTTGTCTGCCAGGTAAGGAGTACCCTTGTCTTTGTTGAGGTTGTACCGTGGCCTTTAAGGCATAGAGACGTGAAACGACAAAAATTCGTATTTACAAAACATACATTTGGACACACTCGGCACGGCATACGTTGATTGGCTAAAACAATACACTAGTGTAAGAAAATCTTATCTTATCTATAAATAGGGACTTTTATTGGTTCAACAAAGCTAAACTTGTAATCTGATTGGCCAGTACTAGTGGCGTGTTTGGTCAATTTAAGCAAGAGTTGCACGTGATCTTAGGGCTGTCGGCTGTACGAGGATTTGCATGAGAATTCGTGAGGATTCGTATGAGGATTTGCATGCCTAAGGCTGAAAGGCTAGTCGCGGTAGGGGGATAAACTCGATATCTTCTATATTAGGCTAGCTTACACGATCTGCTACCGCTTTAGGCCTTGGCGCGCACAAATCTTACCCCTTTTCAAACTCATATTCAAATTTATTTCCGAGCCCATATTCGAAGCGAGATTTGACCTCATATCAAGCTTATATTAAGCTTATTACGTATATTGATTAATAAGGGCTGCGATATAAGCTATGCTTATTAGATGCTTATATCCTGCGTTAATCAGGAATTCAAGAATCGGATCTAACAACCAATAGAAAGTAAGCGTGGATTTGTAATGTTACAATGTGCACGGATGTACAGAGTAAAGCGATTGAAATACGAATTTTGTCGTTGACGTCCCTATAGGTTGTTTCTAACATTCGCGACGATCCGCGGGATCATCATGAACGATAGACTGATCTTCCTATCAGTATCGGGATTCACTCGACGAGATACGAAAAGATATCAGGTGAAGAGCCGAGGTCTCAAGTCGCATCATTTTCAAGTGACGAAGCCGATCAAAGTATCTAAGTAGAGCTGGATCTCCATGGATAAGTAGAGACTACCCAGTAGATAGGGTAAAAACGGCGTCCAGACTGTACTACCTGTTGGTAGCTTGACCTGTTTGCTGGTACCTGGGCTGGCACGTTCCATACGCAAAACAAATGATAGTGAGTAGGTCCTCTGTGGGAACTAGATGAATAGTCAGACAGGAGAATGACTGATCACTCGGCACGTCTTAGGGTGTAATATTCTGCCGAGACATGATAGCCACAAGACCCATCATGAAGATACCTATATATAGAGTAACGATAATAAAAACACTTGAGTCTGGAGACAGACTAAATATATGTTCCTCAGTGCTCACCCCAGACTCTGGCTTGTGCTTACGGAGAGGACCCCGGAAATACTTTTGTCACCCGCATATATCGACGCCACACGGACATCCGACTAAAGCCCCTGGAGAGTTCCAGGCTCTTTTAATTATGTACTCCCGAGTCCGTGACTTATGATCTTATTACAACTATTATAGAGTCACAAGTAAGTTAGTTAAAATGATTGAATAGAAGAATATTACGATCGATCGATGCACCCGATCAGACTTTATTGGCATGTTGACAAGGCAAGTCAAAACGATTCGAGCAAACACAAAGAATGGTCTAGACACGCTGCCCTTATGCATCCGGCCCATTCAGGCTATGCCTTAGGCCGGTTGGAGCATAGTGCGAGGATCCTAGCAGTGTATAAAATTGGATGTCTCAGTCCCCCTCCGTACAGAATAAATACCCAGCGCTCGCCCCGCACTGCACGTCGATGCTTTTGTTTTGTTGCCACTGACCGATGTCTCTACGTAGTATAGGACTTAAGTAGTAGATGTACCGTTGTCTAATATCCTACACTGTTGTTGTAGTGTTGTGAACTATATACTAATATTTGTATTGTACTGTCGTACTGTCAATGTCATACGATAAATTACCGAGCCTAATTAATAGTCCCAATGAGCAGCCAATCAGCACAGCCAGGCGAGTCTCGGCCGGTCTAGCCTCTGCAGGCAATACGGACGAGATCAGATCATCTGGTGAACTACTGTATCGCCTTACGCCGATACCCTCCCAGCCAGAGCGTGATAACCGTACCAATACATACATACCATACATACAGCCAGGGTCTCGTACTTTCCACCTTCAACTCTCGTTTCCCCTCCTTCATTTGTTTGCTCGTTCTCCTGCTCACTGCTCTCTCACGATATGATAATGCTGTGCCGTCTTGCCCTGTGCAGCCAACCAAAACCAGCAAACTGACAGCCTGATACCGAACAGACAAGTGTAGCCTGCTAGTGCTGAGTATCGATTTCTACGACCTTCTGCGACTGATACAGTACATACTTGAACGCAACAAAACTACTAGCATAGTTAACTATTTTATATATACCCATACGCAGAATCATGACTGCTTTCTTCATCACTACAACCACAACAGAGTCATCCTAGTCGAGTGACTAACAACAGACTGCATACTCGGACGACGTGACTCAGTACGGGACATGACTACGGCAACTCTGCGCCAGCCCCGACAGCATGCCTCTTCCATCTTTGCGCTCAAATCGAATATCCTGGCTTCTTCATTGAACATGAATCCTTCTTCCGCTACCGCTTCAGCCGCAAATACCACCATGTAGGTTTCTCGGATCTAGCTGATCCACATTCTATGTTGGCATCCACATGGTGATTGTTGTCTCACTTATTACTCCCACTTGATCAAATTTGCATTTCCACTTCGATATGATGACTGATCGGATAAAGGTCCCAAACCACAAGAATGAAACTCGAAATAGAAACAAGACAACTACAACGAGCCTGGAAAGAATTCCAAGAGTCCTCACTTTCTCAAGAACAGAAACAGCATCCAGATGATTTGATCCGGGAAATTCAAGACGCCATCCAGTACTGGTCCTCGCATCGCCAGCGAGTCCTCTTCCGGAAGTCAATCAAATGGGCTGAGAAATGTCTCGAAACCATGAATGGACATGCCGTATTGATGCAAGCCCTGCCAGACCCGAAGCGGTATTGTGACTTATTCTTTGGAGTTGTATATTCCATCGTCAGGGTATTATCTCTTTTCACAACTTCCTTACCTAGCTGACATGAACAGGCGGCAAGAGAACAATATCGGGTAGCAGAAGCCTTTCTCAAGCTCCTGTCACGAATTAACCATGCCGTCACCTCTGCAGTCACCTCTGCAGTCCAGATGGACTCGTCGACCGAAAAGGTCGCTACCTTATACGGTCAGGTATTTTTATTCCTGAGCGAATTCCTCCGCGACTATGTCTCCAAGGCCCGCTGTCGGCTACTGTACAGCCACAACGAAGACTTCAAGTCTAATTTCAAGAATCTAGTCACCAGTGTCGAGAACCTGGCGGCTATGCGACTTGAATCTGCTTGTGCTGACTATACAGACAAATCATGCGCTGCATTAAACCATGTTGACCATACAGGACTAGAAAAGGTTGGATTGGAAGGGGACGCTCGGAGACACGTATCTCAGACGACAACGGTTTGGCAGTTAATTTGGAGTACTCGACAACAACGGCTCCTCAACGACAAACTCGCCGCTGAACAGACCAGAATTTTAGAGGCGTTTTTGGCTTCTTTGCAGGCCCAAGTGCATCAGCTTGAGATGGATAACGAATGTACCTGGTCAGGTAGCAGCGGTATGTCCTTTCTTTGAACTAGTAATATCCGGTGATATACTGACTGAATAGTCCCCCACAAAACAACCCGTCCACCTGACTCTACAAAACCGGGTTCTAAACGTCGCCTTCTCAAAGTTATCCTCCAACAAGACTCCTCCCCTTTACAAGACTACTTTGACAACAACGAACAGATCCATCCTTTTGGCCGAGACCAGCGCCTGGAAATCTCAACGTCAATAGCCAAAGCTCTGTTTGACTGGACCCAGACAAATTCGTCCGTCCCTCTTGCGATCAAGGGTTCTAAACCAGTGGGACTCCCCGGGCGACTGACTTTGGTATCTGCATGCTACATTTCTGTAGCACGCAAACAAAACATCCCCGTCATATCGCACTTTTGTGCTGCAACACCACGCCCAAACAAAAAGGCAGGCTTGATTGCACTCGTATATAGTCTGATCCGGCAACTCATCGAACTCGCCCCTCCCATGCTGGATTATGATAGTAACTACGATTTAAGTGGAGACCGCTTTCGTCGGTTGAACGGTACAATTGGGTCTTGGGCTGATGCGCTTTCGATTCTGGATACATTACTGCGATATCGACCACCCGTGTTGTTTTGCGTTATTGACGCTCTTGATGTGCTGGAGGAGTCGGGAACAGCAGATGACCAATACGTCAAAGGATTAGTGTCTATTCTCTCATCCCAAAGCAGTCGTCAACCGACAACCACGCAAGCACCTGCTACAAGTGGGACTACATCGGCCGCCGACGACGAAGCAAAGACCAACGGCACAGACAATATGGCATCTACGACAACAACATCAACAACATCAACAACATCAACAACATCAACAACATCAACAACAACAACAACAACACCAACAGCATCAATCGACCCGTCCCCCGCTCAGAACGGCTTACTCAAAGTCCTATTTACAACAGCCGGGAAATGTAAAGCTTTGCAAGATGTGTTGGTGGACCAGGGCTTAGGTCAAGTGGTTACCACACCGGACACAGAGCATATCAATGTTGCTGCTGTCGACGCCGACGAAGATGTTGCCATGGTGGATGCATGATTCCACTCACCTTATTCAACACTCATTCTTATCCTACCCTCTTGCACGACGCAACCGACTTATATACCGATAACGACATGTACGACATATTATTTCCTACTGTTCTTCCTCTAGCGTTTTTCGTTTTACATTACCCAAGCATGGATGGATTACGGTTTTTCTTATTCCTCTGTAGGCAGTTAGTTTCTTTTGGTTTGGAATCGGGAGGATATATCTGGGCATTTTTACTTTTCATTCTTCTTTCACTATTCTTCTCATGCATGCATGCAAGCAATTTAGTGGAATTCTTTCTTGCTTTCTATTCCCCCTCTCCTCTACGGGCCGTTTTTATACACCCCACGACATTCATTTTATACGTATATACGATTACGCCAAGAATTGGTGCTTCTATTTTTTCTATCTTCTTCTATCTCTATCTAGTATCTAGCCAGTACTAGTGTGTAAGTTATGGATCTTAGATGTATGAATATGAGTCGTTCCGTTCGTACATCCACCCCCAAGAGACTGTTGCTTAGTTTGTAGCCATCTGCTTCCTTCTAAATTGTGGTGACTCACCTGGAAACCCCTTCCCACGGATTTGGATTGTTAGACCGCTACTCTAATAGAGTCGTAGACGAGGTTGTACAGATAAAATAGGAGAATATTGAGCGCATGAAGTCGATTCAGGGGAATAGTCAGAATCAAATACTAGTATCGAGATCGTACAGCCATATCAGGAGATGACAGTCTAAGAATAACCGTGTACTATGTATGTAATTAAACATACTACTAACCGTATGTACGGAGTACGCATAGAGTAAAAGGTGTTTCACATACAGCCACCACCGCAACCTTGTCCGATAAGGATCCACTGCTGAACAGCGCTGTCAGCCATATCGCCGCCGAAATTTCTTCTGATTAAAACATGTACATACTCCGTACAATTCGCATCCCTCTTACATACCTCCGTACTGTCATAGTCATACCAGTTGATGGCAGTGTATATCCATACCTGAGAACTCTCGACGCGCCTGAAATTCCATGCAAATACTCGCCTCTCATTGGACCTGGGCCTCGCGTGCCCTGAAACAAGTCAGTGGCCAATCAGATGGCTCAATTAATCAGTCCACCAATTAAACAGCAGCAAAAACGCCATCCCGGGGTGACCCATCTAGCCTTACCGAGTAATTTACCGTTCCTTCCTTACGGCTGTGTATGTTTTATTAAGGACTGTTTTTTCTTATGAGCCATCATCTTTTTCTCTTTTATCAACTTCATCTCTCTCGTTTATTTGTGTTGTATCTTCTATCGTTTCTCCTCATATTTATTCCTGTCATCATTGTCATCAGCATCAGCATCATCATCATCATCATCATCATCATCATCATCAATGACCTCCCAATATTTCATATTACCACCAACTATTTAGCCCACTGATCATCCCCACGTCCACCCATCGGGAGCCATTCATTTCGATCGATCGGTGACGCCTCGTCATTGTCTCTCCACTTCCTTGTCTATCTTTTTTCCTGCGTGTCCCCCTCTCAGTTCAGATCTATCGAGATAGACTACCGAGGAAGGACTCATGTCGTTGTATGATCAACTGAATTAACCCCACCGTCGTCTCTCGTTCTATCCGTTTCTACAACCTCGCTCGCTTTTCTTCACGTTCTTGTATTTTATTGATCAATGTCGCGCCCTGGTATCGGCGAAAAACGCTTCTCAGCAAATAAATTCTACCCCCTCCTGGATGACAGCAGTAACAACAACAACATGGCAAACCCCAACGACGCTACCATCGATATCCCCCTAACTACCGTCCCCAGTCGCGGCACCGGTGCTCGCAAGACCAATACCAACAATCTCCCTTCTCCAACGGGCTACGGTAACGGTTCACCTAATGACGAAAAACCGCAACATCGTCCTGGACCCGGCCGGCGGAAAAAGACTGGTGCGGGGGAATCGATACAAAACGGCGAAGAAAGCGAAGGAGCGCTCAACACCATGGGGAGGATTTATTTTGCTGTTTTGAATTTTTCGGTCATCACTCGTTATTTCATCTATGTTTCGCCCTTGGCGCTTTTGATTGCTATTCCTATTATTATCGGTACCACTGCGGCTCCGCATGCTGCTATTGGTGGTGTGAGGATTTGTTGGTTTTTCACTTGGATTGAAGTCATTTGGATCAGTTTGTGGGTGTCGAAGATTGTTGCCCATTTCTTGCCGTTTCTTTTCCAGTTTTTTGCCGGGTTTGTCAGCCCCGGAACGAAGAAATATGCCCTGATTTTGAGATCTCTTGAAATCCCGCTGTCCTTGGTGGGGTGGGCGATTGTCTCTTTGGCTACGTTTATTCCTATCATGACCCAGAATCCGACTCAGCGGGCGAATAACGATACAGGGGAGAAAAGCTGGCAGGCAACTGTGAAACAGATTCTTTTTGCGCTGCTCATCTGTACATTGATTTTTTTGGCGGAAAAGGCTCTTATCCGGTTGATCTCTGTCAGCTATCATCGCAAACAGTACGAACTACGGATCAAAGAGTCCAAGCACAATGTCGAACTGTTGGGTTACCTATACGATGCGTCTCGTGCCATGTTTCCAGAATACTGCAAGGAATTCGCGGAAGAAGATGAGATTATCTCCTCGACAATTCTCGCTGATAAGAAAAAGGGTCATAGGCGTGGAGATTCTGTCGCGCCTTTGCGTCTGATTCGCAATGTTGGACGTAATGTCGGCCGTGTCAGTGATAAGGTTACTGCTGCCTTTGGAAATGTTGCCCACGAGATTACCGGCAAGAATATCTTTGATACTGGATCTGCACATGCGATTGTCACTCAAGCATTGGATAAGCGCCATGCCTCTGAAGCTCTCGCTAAGCGTATCTGGATGTCGTTTGTCGTCGAGGGACGAGATGCCCTGTACGAAGAAGATATTGTCGAGGTCATGGGTGCGCAGCGCGAGGAAGAGGCAAGAGAATGTTTCCATATCCTGGACCGCGATGGAAATGGCGACGTCAGCATGGAAGAAATGATTCTCACCGTTGCCGAGTTTGGACGTGTCCGCAAGTCCATTGCCAGAAGCATGCACGACGTCGACCAGGCCATTCATGTTCTTGACAGTTTGCTTCTTACCGTGGCTTTGATTATCATGATTCTCGTTTTTGTCTCTTTTGTGACCACCGGTGCGGCCACTGTCATTGCCGCTGGTGCTACATCTCTACTGTCTCTATCCTTTGTCTTTGCAACCACAGCTCAGGAGGTGCTCGGATCTTGCGTTTTCCTATTTGTCAAACATCCTTTTGACGTCGGTGACCGTGTCGAAATCAACAGTCAGGAATTGTTTGTCGAGGAGATTTCCTTGCTGTACACTGCCTTCCGTACCGTGGCCGAACAACGAGTCACCCAGGTCGCTAACAACGTGCTCAACTCTGCTTGGATTGACAACGTCACTCGCTCGAAAGCCATGCGCGAGCGGATTTCTCTCTTTGTCGATTTTGGTACCACTTTTGCCGATATCCAGTTGTTGAAAATCGAAATGGAGAAATTCGTGCGCGACAAGGATAATAACCGTGATTTCCAGCCCGATATCGAAATCGAAGTTATCAGCGTTGGAAACATGGACAAGCTCGAGCTCCGTATTGAGATTCGCCACAAATCCAACTGGTCTAACGAAACGGTCCGCGCCGCGCGTCGATCCAAATTCATGTGTGCTTTGGTGTTGGCTATCAGGAAAATCCCCATCTACGGCCCTGGTGGCGGTGGTGCTGCATTGGGCGATCCCAGCAATCCGTCGTATTCTGTTAGCATTACCGACGAAAAGGCAAAGGAATATCGTGAAAAGGCTGCTGAGAAGAAAGAAGAAGCCCGTCTAGTGCCTACGAGTGCTATGAAGGAGTTGCATTCAACTTTGTTGCCGACTGTGGGAGCCAGTACTGGTGTTGAAACCGTGACAACTTCTGGTGGACTTCAGCAACGAAGCGGCGGATCAGTCAAGAAACTGAGCGAAGCTGATTTCGTCGGTGCGCTGAACAGTCGTCCAGTTGGTTACGATCTGGCTCGTCCTGAGGAAACAGCGCAATTGTATCGCATACCCAGCGCCAATTCCACGCATGAGCAGCAAGCATTAAGCCCTGTTCAGGATATGAGTGACGAGCAAACATCGCTCCTCCGAGCTCCATCGACAGGTCGCCGCAAAGAAAGCAGTACCGTTCCAACTCTGCATCAACCATCTCCCTTGCTCATGCCTCCGTCAGCCACTGGCGCAATCCCGGCTAATTCTGGCTCATCGATAACATCCCAACAAAGCCAAGGACGAACAGATCGATACGAAATTCCAAGCTATTACTCCGCTGCCCCTGCTGCCACCACCACAGGCACAACCCCATACGGAGCCCCCTACGAAGCCAATAATCCATATGCAGGAAATTATGGAAACGTTTCTCCGGCGCCTTCGACCGCGGCCAGTCAATACAGACCTGCACCACCGCAATACCAGTCTCCGCCGGCATCTGCAGCAGCATCGAATACGCGTGCAGGTCAAGGGCCAGCGGGTAATGCATTTGCGCAGCAGCAGCAACAGCCACGTTCTGCACCACTCGATGATGAAGATAATTAACGATCTTTACATTTTGCATCATCTTTACAAAAAAAGATTGGTGATTTATGACAATTTTGCAGTTCCATATCAAGCTGGATTTGATTTATAGACTAAAAAGCTTTTCTTTTGGCATTTTCTAGTTTAGATAATTGTCATGTTTGTTTGTGGGGGAGGTTACCTGTTTTGTTAATGACTGTTGAGTCCGATTCTTGTATATTATTATTATTGTTATTATTATTACATCAGGCAGGATTCGAATTCGAATATCTATGAGAGAAGAATACCGCCATATCTAATATACACAATCGGAACGAGACAAGACTACTTAGTAACCTTCCACGGATACCCAACCTCCTCATCCTTCCTAATCCAAATCTTACTCTTCCTCTTATTAACTACATGCTCGACAAACACCTCCTTTGTGTATTGCGCTTTGAATTTTCGAATCCATCTCGGATCCCATAATTCGCTCGCAACACCTAGATCCTTGCAGCAGCGTACGAGAGCGTTGGATTTGCAGCCTTCGGTGGCTGTGGGGATACCGTCTGGATTGAAGTAGTCTTGTTCCCCGCGGGCTATTGATACTAATCTTCATCTCCCATGTCAGTGAAAATTCCTAGAAAGTAGGGAGGGGGACACACCGCCCATGACAAATCAAAGCATATTCCCTCGTAACCGTCTTCGGGGTAACAATACTCTCACTCCTGGGCACAAGACCCCATCCTCCAGGTCCAAACGCTTTGTTTAGTATTCTTCTATATTTGATTTCGGGCAGGTAGACAATCCCGTCGGGTTTGATTTCTACATCTTCCGGGTTCACTTCTTCGAGTAAGATGGAGACCACTTCTTTGGCGAATGGTTGGTCACTTATACCATGGAAACTGCGTGTCCAGTCGATCTTTTCGCTGGAAGGGTCATACCCGTTGGGGGAGAGATCGAGGGGTTTGTCGGAGAGGCCGGTTTTGGCTATGTTGGGGGTTGTTGGGGCTGATTTTGGGGCTTCGGATGTTGTTGGTGGTGGTTTTGGAGGCGAGGGTGAGGTTTGTTTTGGCGCTGGTGGTGCAGGTGTTGAGGATTGCAGGCGTCGGGGGTTGTAGGTGTAATACACTGGGGATCGTCGAGGTCGTAGGGATTGTGAGAGAGATTCGAGCGCGATATATGAGCGCTGGAATGTCCTTGTCGACATGTTGGGCATGTTCTGTCAGGTCGTTGCCGTGAAGTGAAGTTAAGAGGTGAAGTTAAAGAGGTAGCTAGCTAGCAAGTCTATCGGCCAATCACAGGCGAGTATCGACCTCATTCGATGAACAGCTTCGATTCGACAACAGACAGGATAATAATTGAAGAGGAGATTATTATTATTAGCAGTTCAATAGATATAGTACATGATCGTATCAGAAATATTAAGCGTTCTTGGTTTCAGTTCGTTCGTTATTCCCCTGCCGTTTCCAGCATTCTCGGAATGCCTCCATCTGCGATAATTAGCATGACTGCACCAAGGACTCAATGCATTTATCGTAATGAAAGTACGTAGCCTGAATAAGACAATCAGGATATATGTGGAAGGAGAATGAGCTCACCTCTTTCTTACAACTCCTCCAATCTCTTGTATCGTAGTAACAATCATTCATTTTCAATTGTTCCGCTAGAGGAAAAAATATTAATATTCTCATCCAATATGCTAGAATAGATAGAAACATACCAGAACATCCGGTGCTGAAGATGCGCTTGTCCCTGCGGGCGGAGGAAGATCATTCAGTCATTCCGGAGTCGGACCTCAAAACTATTTTCCCTCTGCACTCACCAGTCATCGGGTTCGTCGTCGTCCTGCTGGGTTGGATTCGTCTTGTCAGACGTGATTTTCTCGTTATTTGACATTTTATATCTGATCAATGAGAGAAATCAGTCCCTGCTGTTTCAGTCAGGTTGGTCAGGTTGTGTGACGAGGAAAAGAGCCGGAAGTTACCCACTACATGCAATAAAAAAAGATTCGGCAAAATGTCTACTGGACGAGCCATTAGCTCGGGGAGAGTCAACGTCTTGGTCTACTCTGGTATTCCCAACTTCATTCAAGTAAATTGACGATGAATTAATCAAATTGTATAGGCCACGGAAGCACAGTAGAATCAGTCCGCCACTGCCTCTACACTCTCCGCCGCCTTCTCGCTCCAAACTATGCTGTAATCCCCGTAACAGCAGACATGCTCATCAAAGAACCCTGGCAATCAACCTGTGCTATGCTCGTCATGCCAGGGGGTGCCGATTTGGGGTACTGTCAATCCCTGAATGGTGCGGGAAATCGTCGTGTTTCTCAATTTGTGTATAATGGTGGTACTTATCTCGGGTTTTGTGCGGGGGGTTATTATGGTAGTAAAAGATGCGAGTTTGAGGTTGGGAATCAGAAATTGCAGGTCATTGGGGAAAGGGAGCTTGCGTTTTTCCCGGGGATATGTCGTGGTTGTGCGTTTGAAGGGTTTGTTTATCATAGTGAAGCTGGTGCGCGGGCGGCGGAGGTGAGGGTGTCAAAGTCTGTGTTTGTGGAGGGGAGGGTTCCGGAGAGGTTTCATTGTTACTATAATGGTGGTGGGGTTTTTGTAGATGCGGAATCATATGCGGATCAGGGAGTTGAGGTTTTGGCGAGTTATACGGAGGAATTGTCTGTTGATTCAGGCAAGGGTGCAGCGGCGGTCGTATATCGCAAGGTTGGCGAGGGAGCGGTTATTCTTACAGGACCTCATCCAGAGTATGTCTCTTATCATTTCCCTGTTGTTGTTGACTTCCAGCTAATAAGTAGATTTGCCGCCATCAACCTGGATAAATCCGCCGGTGGCCCCGAATATGCAAAAGTGATTGATCAACTGGCGGCCGATGACACAGCCAGAACAGACTTTTTGAAAGCATGCTTGACAAAACTTGGACTACAAGTCAGTCAAGAGACTACCACGGTACCGTCACTTTCCTGCCTGCATCTCTCCTCTGTCGAGCCTGAGTATACTCAAGCCATTGTATCTTCGTTGGAAGAGATAATGACCAAGGATGAGCGAAAAGAGATCCTCAAAGATGATAACGATACCTTTGAAATCGAGAGAGCGGATAAGACGTACCAAATGGATGATTTGAAGGATGCGTTGCCGGGGGATGAAAAGACGGGAGAAAAGGCGATTGATGACGGGATCGTTGATTATAACACGATTATCAAAAGGTTGCTGATCCATACCGAGCTTCCTTCGTCTAAATTGACGCCTTATTTCAATCATCACGCTTTCTATGCCAATTTGAGACATTATCAGTCCATGTCAAAGGAAGCAGTAGTCGACTTTGGACGGTCAATCATGTACGGCGAAGTGGTTACAAGTACAAATACCATGCTGGAAAAGTGAGTTGTCCCTGTGCCTTGTTATGAGGATCTGGACTAATTTGCAGAAATACTCGACTCCTTCGACGATTACCCACCGGTTTCACAATGACAGCTACAGTCCAAGTAGCAGGAAGAGGTCGCGGATCTAATGTCTGGGTCTCACCAGCAGGAGCCCTCATATTCTCAACTATGGTGCGCCATCCGATGGAAAAGATGCAGTCAGCGCCGATTGTCTTCATTCAATATCTCGCTGCTATGGCTGTTGTCAAGGGAATCAAGACGTACGACAAGGGGTATGAGGAGTTGCCGATTAAGATGAAATGGCCTAATGACGTTTGTAAGTTTCGGCTTTCTTTCAAGGAGTTTATAACTAATGAGTTAGACGCCATGGACCCCTCCGACCCCGAAAAACGGAAATATACAAAGATCAGCGGCATCCTAGTCAACTCCCACTACTCATCAGAAGAATATGTTTCTGTCGTCGGTATCGGCATAAACGCAACCAACACCTCACCAACAACATCCCTAAATGCGGTTGTTGAGAAATTCGCATCTCGTGCAACCGTCAAATCAAGCCCCATCATTCTTGAAAAGTTACTTGCACGCGTTTTGACCGTCTTTGAAGAGTTATACATTCGTTTCCTGCGTACAGGGTTCGATAAACAGTTTGAAGATATGTATTATGAGGATTGGTTGCATATGCATCAGATCGTGACCTTGGAAGAAGAAGGTGGTGCCAGGGCTCGCATCAAGGGGATCACGCGCGATTATGGTCTGCTTCTCGCAGAGGAACTGGGCTGGGATGATCGACCTACAGGGAAAGTATGGCAGTTACAGAGTGATAGCAACAGTTTTGATTTTCTCCGGGGGCTATTAAAGCGGAAGATCTGACACCTCTTCATTATCTGCTCATAAAAAAGAGAAATTCTGCTGCTCACTTTTCGCTTCCCACCCTTCAATCACAAATTCAAAAACCCTATCCCCTTCCCCCAACGGTATAGGATGAACATGTTCATCATACAACGTTCTCTCAACATATTTCACCCTCCCATTAAAATCAACCAGTAAAACGGTCTGTTTCTGCGTCCCGTACAATCCAGTCATATATCCCGCTAACCCCATATGCGCCAAATGCTCCTCTTCGGCCTCGAATTGAGGGCGATCCCCCAATAACGGGATGAAGATCGATTCCTTGAGTTGATTCATGTATTGTTCTTTGACGGGTTCGGTGTTGGATAGATACGGCATTGTATTTGTTGAGAGGACTTGGAAGAGTCGTTGGATTAGGTCTGCTTCTTCTTCTCCGCCGGTTGGATGGTGATGAGTATGTGGGTAGGCGGCGATATGTGAGTCGATAGCTTCTCTCGTTAGGATCTCGCCGTTGATGATTTTGGGCCATGTTCTGTCTTTTAAGAATGTATTGCTTAACCCTACTGTTTCGCCACGGGTTGAGGCAATCCACGTAACCGAGTCGATGTTATCCGACATTCGATTCGAGATTATCGCCAACGGTTCCCCGATCCGGCCGCAGACGAGACTGAATCCGCCGGCTTTGGCAGCGATTTGACTATTTATCATATCTTGCACGAAAGCGCGTGTCGTCCTCACCCCTCCATTTTCCTTTTCCTTTTCCTTTTCCTTTTCCTTTCCAGTTCCATTTCTATCTCCTGACAGATGTGCAGGACCAGTCTCAGTCAAGAAATCATTCACAATCGCCCCTCTACTCACGCTCCCTACGGGTGAAGCTTCGCGATAATTGGTCAAGACGGCTACTCTCCCCTGCCGGGTTACGCCCATCCATGTCCCTTGTTCGGGACGAGCGAGGTCGCGCGAACCGAGGACATGGGTGTTTGGGCTTTGCCACCAGTTTGCGGGTGCTGTTGGACGGTGGAGGTATTCCTATACATATTAGCTTGTCTGCTGTTCATGATGATGGTGATATGGGAGAGGGAGTACATCTCGGTTATCGATTATGATGAGCTCATATGCAGGATGCGCAGTGGAGATTAGCGCGATGCACATTTTCGGCTTTTGTTGGTTGGCTTTTCAATATATCAATCAATATGTTAAGTGAAGCGTATACCTAAGTACTGTGCGATGTATCATGCTTGTGAATTCGTCGACTTCATATAGATGTATGTAGTTGACTTTTCAGGTGGTATGTTCTCCGCATTATCAACATCAGCCCACTCGCCTCGAAAAAGGTTTGCTTATGTAACATTGGCCAATGTGACTAACTCGATTTGACTGTAGCTTAGTTATATATAATAAATAATTATGATTATGTCTTTCGCACGAGAACTCAGTAGAGATAGATCTGGAGACGATAGATCTTTGAGACTTTGATTGTGCGGGGTAGAATGAAGCTGTTCCTCATACTTGACATAACCACTTGCTGAGCTCTCTGCACGCGGATGACATTTCTACATATAGAGAACTATTCTACTATTTATTCTCAAATATTTATTAGAGAATCGACTGATAAAATAATAGAGGAGAATATAGAGGAAAAGTCGCGCGAAGAGCCCCACTCAGTCACCTGCCGATAAGGCGTTGTCTTATCACTCCGCCTTTCTCGACGACTACCTTTCTCCTCACACCCCCAGTCTCGAGTCAGAGAAGAAATACCTTACTGTTTTGACTATATTGAATACATGGGCTGAGTTATATAAAAACCATCACGGCAATGTTTGGAATATTTGCGGACCTTCTTTCGTGAGTCGTTCGAGTCTGCTTTCAGCTGACAGGCACCAAACTTCTTACATCTCAGCTCTTGCACGTCCAAGCTAATACTCTCTCCTCCTACAGATCAGTTATTACCATCCTCTTCCCGGCATTCGCATCATACAAAGCTATTCGTTCCGGAAATCCAGCTCAGCTTACACCATGGTTAATGTACTGGGTTGTTCTGTCGGGGATATTGCTAGCTGAGTCATGGACGGTGTTTATTATCGGATGGTACAACTCCCTTTGCAACGCCTCTTTTACTTGAGCCGTATCGTACTAATCAAGAGATAGGTTCCCCTTCTACAGCTGGATCCGTCTGTTCTTCCTTTCCTATCTCGTCCTCCCACAAACCCAAGGCGCACGCATCCTCTTCCAAGAATACCTCGATCCATTCTTTGAGCAGCACGAGCGAGAAATCGAAGAATTCATCGGCCGCTCCCATGAACGTGCCAAGGCTCTTGGCCTTCAGTATTTCTATCAACTGATTGATATAATCCGTGAGAAGGTTCTTGGCTTGCCATCTCAACAGCAACAAGCTCCTCCTCCTCCTCAACCGGCCGGTGCTGCCGGATATGCGCAAGCATTACTCTCGCGATTCAACCTCCCATCCCCCGCAAACGTCGCACCCGGTGCAGCGGCAGGATCAGGCGCAGATTGGTTTTCAATGGTCACCTCGGCTCTGGGCGCGGTGACATCCACTACAATCGCACAACCTCAAAGCCGCGAAGCACAAGTCGAACAACTCTCTGCAAGCGGCGTACTAAATACAGAACAATACAGACATCTCTCTCGATCCCAAAAGGCGCGATTATATTCCTCGCAGCGCGAAAGGTTGGAAGTTCTTGTATCTGCATTGGAGAAGGAAGAGAGTAAACTCCACGTTACTCCTGGAAGTAGTGAAGACGCCTCGGATGATGATCTAGCATACGGCTCTGGCCCAGCTGGTTTGCGGAAGAATGCGAGTGAGCATTCATTCGATCAGATCGATGATGACGATTTGACGGGATCGCGATATACTAGCAATGAAGCAGCAACCGGCGGCGGCTGGGCAAGTGGTTGGTTCGGTGGTTCTACTGCTACTGGTGAAAGTCATAAAAGGCCATCTACGGGGAGTAAAAGGAATGTATCTGATTCAGTGGATTTTGCGGCCAGGAGTGTTGATGAGATTGGTCGGGCGTCGGGGTTTTCTAGATAATCTGACAGGTTGTGTGAGTCGTTTTGATAGATTGTTTGTTTAATTCAGGAGTTCTTTCTGCGGTTGACTTTGGTGTCCACTAAACCATACGCGGTCTAATCTGGAAAGTCACTGTCCAGACATCAGGTCAGATTGCATGCACGATTTCTCCTATATACACATTATCCCCTTTAATGCACAGCCTACTTCAAACTACGATTCTGCTCTCTACCATACCGCGCCACCTCATCCCCAGTATCCATCTCATACGCCACCGTCTTCGACTGCGTCCCATCCATCTCATACTGCGGCGCGCTTCCCGCCATCTCAGACCTAACCGGCTCCCCGGAAACTTCTGTAAAAGCTCCACTTGCATGGTGATAGTACATATCTGATGGTTCAGACTGTGCCGTTTGATAGGAGGCTGTATTTCGTTTGTTGGGGTTCTTTCGTCGATACCAGAACCATGCTAATCCTGCTGCTGCTATGAGTGCTATGCAGGGGATAACGACTGCGATTGCGATTGTGGTTGTTTTGTGGTTGTTTCCGCTTGATGATGTGCCGGTTGTAGTTGGTAATGACGATGAAGAAGAAGAAGAAGAAGAAGAAGAAGAAGAAGGGAGATCGGTAGCTTGAAACTTGATTTGTACCATTGTTGCAAGCAGGGAGAGAGTCGTGAGAGAGAATGTTGACGTTACAACCGATGAAAGCAGTGTCTGTGTAGTTGATAAAGTGACCATTGTCGGCAATGTGAACTCCGTTGTGGATGGTGAAGCACTATTTGTGACGTTCAGACAGGTGATTACAGGCTGGGTGGTGGTGGGTATGACTTGTTGACACCATTGACTGGAAGCAAGCTGCTGGCATTGGTATCCTCTATTCATATATCAGTCAAATAGTCTGTCTCGGCTGGAAGAAGGAGTCATACCGTGGACAACATCCCACCACCGTCTCAGCAGCAGTAGCAGAATACACAAAGTCGAAACTCTGCCATCCAGACAATACCGATTGAATCCCATCAGTACCTGCCTGTGCCGCACAGGCAGTCGTATAACCAGCCGGACACGCGATACCAGGCGAATAGTATCCCGTATATTGATAACTCGTAGTTGTAATCGTCGAAGCACCCACCAAACTTCCAATAATCGTAGATTTGTTCACTGGAGGAAGACAGTGATTGTCCTGGGTGTAGGTAATATCCCCTCCACTCAGACTAGCGCATGTCTGGCCCAGAGTGGGATTGTAGACTCTGTCACTTGCAGAGGCCCAATAAGCCTGACTGCATTGGCTGGGGGCAGTGAAGGTTGTAGTTAATGGGCCGAGGAGGAAAGATGGTGTTGATGCGGCGGTGATTGTTGTGGTTGGTGAGATTGTGTGTGCTGTAGTTGTCGGCATTCTCCTGACTTTTCCTTCGTTCTCAGTATTTTGTATTGTTGCTCTTCGTCTCAAGTTGATAGCAAATTCAGGGTCCTCGAGATCTCCCACTCTTGATGAGTTCAGGAAGTATTTGTGGTGATGGCGAACAAGGAATGGTACCACAATAGAATCGAACACTTGTACCCTTGTCAAAGAAATCGATTCCTCTACTAAAATAGCTCATAATAAATATTTACCCCGCTCTCTTTGTTTCGATCGAAATGTTTTGAGAATTTTGCCATTACAGTGTTATACATATCATGCTGATAGGCGATCTTCTACTTTAAGCGAGGCCAATCAATAAAGAGAAGAGATATATAGAATATGAATATATTGAAATGTAATGCAATGCAGAGAGTACTATTCTTCAACAAGACACACGCAATGCAAGAAATAAAAACAGAACACGAAGAATAGAAGAAAATTAATCTACATATTTCCCGATTCCAGGCTGTGAATGCACTTTGTAGGTAACATCCACCATCATTCCTCATCATCTTTCATCCTGTGTTCGTTCTTCGACTGATATACTGATTTCCCTTTTCGTTGCAGTCATCAGATTCCCTTCTACCTATGTTCTGACTCGCTCGGAATGGCATTCGCCTTCGCGCCGCCCTTATCAATTCCTCTGTCGACGTGACCGCGACATGAACCTAGCAACGACCCCATCAAGCAAAATATCCAAAAGAATGAAAATGAATATGTAATTTCAGTAATGGTATCACATCTCCAAAGCAACAACAACAAACAAACATTAGACAATACTCGGACAAAATCGAAGAACGAATAAACCATGTCCGAAGACTCGAACCGAAGCATCAATCGAAACAATACAAGATACAAGAAAGAAGTAAAAATGAGAAGAAGAAGAAGAAGAAGAAGAAGAAGAAGAAGAAGGTAAATATTATAATCTTATAAACAAAACCCAAACTTTTGTCTTTCCCGAAAAAGGTCAAACATCGAAAAACGAAGGGGACAAAAAAACAACCCGGATGCAAATGCATAGAATTGTGATAGGCTTTTTTTTTTTCCTTTTTGCGGTGGGTTTTTGTTTTTGTATGGTATGGGTAAGTAGTTGGTACAGGAATGATGGTGGTATCTTGGGTTAATGATTATTGACCTTTTTTTTCTTCTTTATTAATAAGTTCTTCTTGAATTTCTCGTCTTCGCTATCTTTTCTTTTTCACTCAATCTATGCTGATTCTCCTTCGTTCTTGACTGGTTGTGATTTTGTTAACTCGGGGGATGTCGGGTTTGACGGGGGTGAGGTTGCCATGTTGTCTTCTAGACTGGCTAGGGCACTATCATCTCAATTAGTATCTGTTACTGATAGACAAGTCAGGGATGGGAGGGAACATACCTAAATGCGTTAACGGAGGATGCTGCCTCCTTCTCATCCTTCTTTCCTGCTGGTGGCGTACCAGTGCGGCTACTGGCTCCGCTGTCCTCACCACCACGAACCAAATTGCCACCTGGGCCAAGGTTCTTGCGACCACTGCTACTACGAGAACCGAACATGCTGGACGGTCCGAATGAGGCTGGTTGGTTGATAGTGCGCGAGGTCTTGAGTCGACGCAGATCATCGCTGCCGACTTTGCTGGATGTGTAGTCTGGAGGGGGGGCTTGGTTGCGGTAGTCGCCGGAAAAGTTGCGTGCGTCGCCGCGGCCCATGGGCATACGGCCACCACCGCCACGGCTGGCTTGTTGACGGAGACGTTCCATTTCGGCTTCTTGTTGAGCGCGAGCGGCCTGTTTATGTTAGTGTTTGTCTGAAACAGATTTAAAAATGATAGATGTACCTCTTCGCGAATCTCTTGGAGAGTCTTTGGACCCTTGTCGCCACCTTTAGATACCCAGTTGGCGGCACGCAAATCGACAACGTCCTGCAAAGGTCAGTACACTTGGCAGATAATAGAGCGTAAGGAGAAAGCTTACCATAAGCATAAACTTGAGACGACTCGGCAGACCAGGTGTCTCCATCATCATAGAGATACGACCAAAGTAAGCATCCATCATAGCATGGCCCTTCTCGGAAACGTCCAAGCTGGCACCGATGGTTCGCAGCAAACTGGTCAAACTCTCCACCTCAGCCTCATCAGGAACACCCTCATAATCGACAAGTTTCTTAACACACTCGTGCATAATACGTTCTGTCAACATGCCCAATTTGTACAGCTCACCAATAAACTTGACAAGACCAAGACCACGGCGCTTGGCGGCAGCAGCAATGTAATATTCATCAGACATCAACGCAGCTGCCTCGCTGTCGCCCTCTGGTTTGGGTGGGAGATTAACTTTCCATCCACGCTCAAACTCCTCTTGACAACGGTTCAACAAGTATTTACGGAACAAGCTGCCACCTGCAACAACATTGCCGGCTTTATCCTTGATATTCTCATCTTTGATTTCGGGGCTCATGTTCTCGAGCATACGTTTGCAGAACTTAGCGTACATCGGAGCCCAGTGAGCTTCATCAGTAGCCTTCTCAAAGGTGAGTTGAATGACTTGACGCAGAGTACGACCGTCTGTTTCATTCTTGGACTGAGAAACAATATCGAGAATTTGTTGGGCGATACGGTCAAAGTTCTCGGGGGTCATCTTGTTCAAGTTGGCTTTGACCTTACGTTGCACAACGTCAGGAGGCATATAGTCGGATTCACCACCTGGAGTAGGTCCGGCAGTTGCTTGTGCAACGCTTCGAGGCTTCCAACCACTGGAGGATATCTCAAGAGGCTTGAGGCTAAGACCGGCAGTGAGAGGCATGGCCTTGTTAGTTTCTTCCTCCTTCTTGGCGCTTTGTTTGTCGCGTCGGCTTCCTGTGCGGGTGCCTGTCCTGCTGGAACCTGGACGAGGAGATTGCGGCACATTGTGCAGAGCAGCAGAAGAACCAGGACGACTCAATGAACCAGGGCCCATCGAGCCAGGACGGCCAAATGGTCCAAAGGGACCGCTGCCCATGGATGGCATGCGGCCAGTAGGGTTGGGGAAAGCATCCCTTGGTGTTCCAACGGAGGGTGTACTACCACCTCCAAACTGACCCATCTTGAAGTTGGACGGGATACCACCACGAGAAGCGGTGCGGCCAGCGCCAGGAGTACGAGCGGACTGTGGTCGTGAAGTATCACTATCTCCAACAGTCTCGCGGATACGAAGGTCCCAGTCCAAAGTGGGCTTCTCCTTGAAGACATTCTGGAACTGAAGTAAGAATTCCTTGTTGTACTTGAACTTGCGATCCGAAGGGGCACTGGCGTTCAAAGCAGGGTTGGGAGAAGCAATCGAAGGAGGATATGTGACATTGGCCAGACTGTCCAAAAACTTGGCGCTGTGCAAGGATTTGAGAGCTGCGCTAGGCTGTGGTGGTTCAACGGGTTTGGTCTCGAGTTTCAGAGGACCAGGCTTGGCTTTTGAAACACTGGCAGGCTTGGATGGAGGACCCATAGAAGCATCGGACTGAGAGACAGGTGTTGCAGCGCCACTGTCGTCGGGAGTCTGAGGAGCAGGGCTCTCGCTTGCAGGGAGCCCACCTTTGCGCAAAGATGCGAAAAGCTTGGAGCTGTCTTCTTCAGCAGCGCCGCCAGCTTCGAGTTTCTTGAGACGGGCTTCTTCGGCAGCCTCGGCTTCGCGTTCAGCCTGCTTCATGTTGCGCTCATAGGCTTCCTCTTCCTCTTTCTTCTTGCGCTCGGCTTCTTCCTTCTGAGCCTGCTTCTTCTTCTGATACTCAGCTTCAGCAGCTGCTTCCCTTGCTTCAATCTCTGCCAATTCGCGCTCGATCGCATCGTAGTCGATCTCATCATCGCCACCAGCTGGAGCAGAGGGTGCAGCCTTCTCTTCGGCCTTCTTCTCTACAACAGGTTCTTCAACCTCGGGTTTGACTTCTTCCTTGGTAGGTTCGGCGGCAGGGGTAGCGGTGGGTTCTGCCTTGGCTTTACTCTCCTCCTTGTCAGCTATAGAAAGGCTCTCAATTGCTTTGCGAGCATCCTCTTCCTTGCGACGTTGCTCAGCTTCATCCTGTTCGATCTTCATTCGGACGGCATCACGAAGCTCCTTCTTCTTCTCCTCGTCAGTCTTCACTGACTTGCTCTCAGTACGAGCATGATCGACACCGCTGGTGGCACGAGGGGGAGGCGTAGGAGCGGAGCCCTTGACAGGGGATGGAGTAGCACGAGCTGGAGATGCTGGCTGTTTCTCGAATGACTTCACGGCACCGCTGTTAGGATCCTTGATGACGATGGCGCTCTTCTTTGGTGTCGGAATGATGAAGTGATTCTTTTGCGGAGCTGGGCTGTTTGAGGACCTGCTTTCAGTGTGAGCATGACCGGGAGCAGGGGCCACTGCCGCAGCAGGACCCTGACCAAGACTCGACCCGGGACGATCGTTGGAGATTTGGGAAGTGCTTCTCGAAAGAGGAGTAGACTGGACCGGTGGCGGTACAGCTCCGGCGGGGAACTGGTTTGGCATGAACTGAGTAGGCTGACCGTAGGGAATACCAGGACGAGGTTGAGGCGAAGGGGGCATGTACATATTCTGTTGAACGCCGTATGCTGGGTAGTAGTAGCCGCTATTAGGGTCATAACCGCCGTGCGGATAATTCTGATTTTTCACCATTGTTAGAAACTGTTCAAATTGTCCACTTTCTGGAGCAAGATTAAGATTAAGATTGATAGAGGATTGACGAGGTGCAGGGGGAGGTGGAGGTGGAGGTGGAGGGTCCATAGGGTAAATGACAGGAGGACGTTTTGGCAAAGTGACAGAAGACTCATCGCTTTGGGTCCCTTGCGAACTCTTCTGCCGCCAATTACTTTTCTGATAAGGGTCCATTTTCTTGTTTTTCCAGGATTTGTTGATATTAAGAGAAGAAGAAGAAAAATTTCGGGTTCTCACATTTTGGGGTCCCATGTGTTGGTTGTAAGCACCGTAGTGTTGATTAGCCATCTGGGAATGCGACATAGGTACGTGACTCATTTGCGGCGTAACAGGGTTAGCATTCGACATGGCAGGGCTGCGAGCTGCCTGGTGAGGAGAGCTGGGATAGGGTATGGGGCGTCCGTGATTCGGTGCATGGAAAGGAGCGCCCATGTTTGGTCCGCCTCGAGGTTGATTTGGTGTCGCTCGATAGTTGGGACCGGACTGATATCCCATTTGATTCTGGTATCCGGATCCAGAGTATCCTCGACCGCGACCACCTTGGTAGCCACCGCGAGCTGGACCACCTGGACCACCGGGAATGTGTCCGCCCATGTCACTATGCTGAGACTGAGAAGATTCGCGACGAAGGTGAGTAGCCTGGGGGCCAGGACCGAGATTATTTTGGCCCATTCTCATCTGTCGCTAAGTATGCGGTTAGCCATGACCGACGCGATATGCCGCGTTGGACAATATAATAAAACACATAAAATGCAGGGAGAGAAATCAACATACAGCGTCTCCAGATGCCTCGCCAAAACTGCCAAAGTTAGGCGCATTACCTGGGGCTTGGTATGTGGACGGCGGCCGGCCGCCGCTCGATGCGGGTTGAGGGATAGGCGAAGGGGAGGTCGACGGCGAGGTGATACGAGGATTCACCGGTTGCGCAACGTTAAGACTGCTATGAGGCTGGCTAACGGGGAGAGCGGGAGAACTCATCGCAGGCGAATTTTGCTGATCTACCGAACCAAACTGAATGCTGTTGCGATTCGGGTTTCCAGCAGGGCCACCATTCGGGATGAAGCCAGTGGCGCCAGCCGAGGTAATAGTCACTGATTGTTTCCTGGTGTGGTCCGTCGCATGGACGGGAGGAGCGCCATTCACGATGGTCACTCCGGAAGTTTGAGGATTCTGCATGGATAATTTGCCGTTCACTGTGTTTAAAGTCGTTGAGGGCGAATTTCCATGGTGCGCTGAGGCGAGCTCGGAATCAAGCTTTTGGGTGGCGTTCGCGTACGTCCTGGTGGAAGCAGCGCTGTTTGCCAAAGGTGACGACGAAGTAGTTTGTTCACGAGACTGGTTCGAGCTCATTCGTTCCAAGGGAAAAAGAGTTCGTCGTGAAGAACGCGAGATGGAACTCTCTTGAAGATCGAAAAGAAAAGGACCGACGGCGTCGCACGCAAAGAAAAAACTGCGAGTCTTTCTTGAAATCGATTTTCTTTCTGCACAAGGCGAAGAAAGAAGAAGAAGGGTGGGAAAAAATGACCTTCGAGCGCAAGCGACTTGGATTAAAAACCAGTTGATTCCGATAGCTAAATCGAAACCAGAAGTATTTTTCCCGATGAAAATAAATACTCTCCAATAAACTTCTGCACAAGAGAGTGAGGATGAAAATTAAATAGAAGAATAGAAAGGTGAAGATATGGAAATGGGAGGTGGGATAGTCTGTCAGAGAGAACTCGCACGCTCACCAAAGAGTGGCTGTGGATCGCACAACAAGAAAAAAAAAGTTGTTGTTTTTCAAAGTGTCGGAGACAAATATCACCGAATGATACACAGAAAATACAAATTCTGTGATCAAATAAAACAAACAAAGTAAAAAAAACCTCTTCTGATCAAACAGATAGAGGAAACTCCTATTAGAAATAAGGGTTTAGTTTTTTGGTGGAGGAGTAAGAAAAGAGAGAGGGAAGGGAAGGGAGAAAAAAAATATGATTTAATGCCGCCTGTCTGTCTCGGGGCTAAGCCAACTTGATTCAAGTGCCCGTCAGGCAATCACTCTATCACTCCCAGGTTATCAGACCGGGTTGGATCTTTTTACTTGCTTTTTTACTGGGTATTTCTCGTTCAAGTATGCGTTTGCAATGATGAAATCATTGGCTTGAGTTTATTTTCTGTCTGCTATCATTCTGGAGTGCAGCGTCGAGTTCCTTGATTCTTTTGCCTAGTTGCTGACGGAGCACTTCGGGGATAAGAAACGCGTCTATCGATAGACAGACAGGTCTATCAAACAATCTGGGCGGTCCCAATTTTGGCAAGAATTCTACCGGTAAGTTCCATTCTGTTTACAGGGAGTATACAGGTAGTTTACAAGCAAACGACGAAACAAGGCGCCCTGTTTTGCACCGGAATTACGCCCCCCTTCCCTTGCCACGCCCACCTACACAGGCCCATCCCTGCAAAATCAATATTGTATTTGTAACTAGGCACTGGTACTGAATGCGCATTGACTCGTACGCATACTGAAAGCAGTTTTATTCTGGTAGAAAACCAGATACGAGTGATATAAATGTAAATCAAAAGAATATGCAGAAGAAGCCCAAAGGAAGAAGTGGGCCGATCCGAGCCGCAATGACGATCAGACGCATGCCTACATCCACTAACTACGCAGAAGAAACAAATGAGTGCACGGCTATCATACTCGATTGCCTAAGAAATATATTCTCTTATCGTATCGTAGCATATCATATCATCATCGTGGAAGAATAAAGTAACAGAAAAGAAAAAAAGGCCCGAAAGGGAGAAACAGGCGTTAACGTCATGAAGCGTCTGCTAATTGCAATTTGCTTGTAAGAGGAGTGATATCCTCCTCCGTCTCCGTGATTGATAAATCTGACGGTGTAGTTTCGTCGACATCAGATGAACTCGGATCTCGGCCGCGTGTTGTTTCTGTATCGCTCTCATCTTCACTGTCCGGTGGCGTGTCAAGATTGCCGAGGCCGGGGCTTTTGAGGACTCGTCCGGCATTTTCATCTTCAATATCTGGCGATAGCTGAGGCGAGTCTGAACGTAGAGCGTCCTTGCTGTTGTCTTCTTCTGTTGAACTAGTGGTGGATAATCTCGAGTCACTGCCCGTGTGTGCGTGTTGAAAGTGGCGAGGAAGTCCAACAGCTTCTGCAACAGCTGCGGCTTCGTCGGCGGGGAGTTTGGCCACGTTGGTGTCGGAGCTGACTTGTTTATTGAACAAGCCACTGCCCTGTTGTTCGCTGATCTGCAATATGTTTCCGTAACTGCGACGGGTCGGATCGGCGAGACGTTTCTTCTTTTTCTTCTCACGCTTGGTGGATGGCCGCACCACAACGACTGGAATGGGTGATTGTTGAAGACAGTATTTGGAAACTGAGCCAGGTAACAAGCCTTGCATACCGCTGAGGCTGCGCCCCCGTGTGCCCACGATCAGCACAGCCGGTTCATAAATGCGAATCTGTCGCTCGATGATCAGCATTTTCTCCGGCACTTAAACTCATCGCCTAACATACCATTCTTTGAATAATATCTTGGACCTTCCCTACTGCGAGCTCCAACACCAAGCTAATCGCCTTCTCATCATGCTGGTTCTTTGCAATAACCTGACTGAGAAGCTTCTCGGCTTCCTTGCGGTACCGACCCTCATCCATGCTTGCATCACTGGCTATTTTAGAGTCCTTCTCTACCACCCATAGACATATGACCTCATCGCCGTCATCGACCAATTCATCAATCAACCATTCAAGAGCAAACTCGGAATAATCATTCTGATCGGTTCCACATAGGAATGTGCGACTTCGTCGTGTAGCCTGGTAATTCTTGTGTTTGTACTTCAAGGTAAACGAGCCGTCGGTGGCATCGCGATTATCGAAGGTGTCAAAGGATACGCCTCGCTGGTATGTACTACAGCAGAAATATTAGACTATTTGCACTTACAAATCGTCGATGAAGCAACTGAGCGATGCAGCTTACCTGGGCGGTGGCGGAGATGAGATTCTCTTGGGAAATCGGCCATCTAGTACTGGCGTCTGTCTACCACTGCTAACGATTGTGCTCTCCGGAAGAGGTTGGCTGTCTGAACCACTGGACTGCGCGGACCGTCTCCTTGGGGGATCTTCTCCTGCGAAAGAGATTCTGCGATTGTCCGATCGTGAGCTCGTGGTACTGTCTGCGGAACTCTCGGTAGTAATTGGGAGATTGAGTATGGGTGCAACGGGATCCGGGGATGTAGTGGCCGATGTCATTTTAGCGAAAAGCAAAGTAGCATATCATGAAAGGAGAGTGGGAAGCGATCCGAGTGAGTCAAATGCCCGTTTTGCGTAGAAAATGTCAGTTGAAACAAAGAGAGAGATCCCGTCGGCTGAATCGTTGAGTTGAGTTGAGTTGAGTTGACTGTTTATGATGATGGATTTGACTCATGAAGAAACATGTGACGAGTTTCCACAAGTGGGTCGGGTCGACTTTATCCAACGCTCTAAATTTGAAGACTCAGCCACGATTTGGCAATCACGTCTCGTTTTTGTCTGTCAGCTGATGGCAAGTTCGAGTTTTCTGAAGTTCAAAAGGGAGGCATAAAGATATGTCGTAGAATGCGCCAGTCACTGGCTGCCACTAGGCATCCAATTGATAGTCTAAGCCAGCAAGTCGGCGGGGAAGGATATCAGGAACGTGAAGTACCCGATGCCGAGAAAAGTCCAGCACACTCGATCCTAGGACATTCAGCTCCTAATATACAGCAGCAATGCAGAGATATAATTGGAGCCCTTTAACCAAAAAGAGATGAAGAATTCAGAACAACAGACAGAGAGTAAAAAGGAAGAAAAATCAGGCGTCGAAATATTCAGCCCAATCATATCGTGGATCCGTTTTGGGATGTATTCATCCAGCGCTAGACCTGGAACAGACTAGTGCTTTAGTCATGGGTAGAAAATGCGGGGCAACTGCTTCCTTCCCGTTTTGGCTGGCATGGTTCTTTCCTCGTGTCGTGTGCACATGACCAGACCTCAGAATTCGTTTAGAGTGACAACAGAAGACTTCGAAGTCGCAAAGATAGACCACAGTGTGTGTGGAGGGAACCAGAGTTTGCGCTTGTTACATCTTCGCCGGCTCAGGAAGAAGCTTGATGACCTCCAAGAGTAAACCGAACCGATTCAACTAACAGCGATTTGCTAGGAGGAACTTCCGGCTTGATTATGCTGAATGGAGAAAATCGTTTCATTTTATATCACTTGCCAGGCACCTATGCAGTCCTCCCGTCTGTTATATAAGCCGGAAACGAGAGACTTAAAAAGTCCCCCAGATGAGTCGACCACTTGTGTATGTGAAGGGAACCAGAGTTTATGATTGTTGTTGGATCTTCACCGGCGCAGAAAGGCACTTCATGACCTCCTCAACAGTAAATGGGACCGGTTCCGTGGAATATGATATGCTAGGGGGAGACTCCCGACTTGATTATGCTGAGAAGAGAAACCCGTTTCTATTCAGCCCTAATACATCCCTGAAGAGCATAGGCGGGGGGAAGTTTCAATGTATGCTTGCTTGTGATCGAAATGTTATACCACTCGCAAACATTGAGGCACCCTACGCAACCCTCCTCCCGTTGATTGGTAACATTTCATAGAAGCGAACGTTATGCAGATGGCTTTCATTAAAAGACACTTTTGGAAACATACATGTATATGAGCCTGGAACCGTTCATATATCACTTCCAAAAAGGGCCCCGAGGTCCTTAAGGGGGGTTTGTCCTTTTGGTAAAACGGTATAATCTTTTTCTCAACAGATATGTCACAATTAAGTGGTACAGATGGTGCCTAGCAATTCATAATCATCATCAAAGATGTCAACTGTGATCGCGAGGATCATAACAGTAGCCCTATTTGTGGATAGCTCAACGGCTTCTGAAGTACTATCAGGGGTAATTCCGGTTATACTCTGAGACCTTGTGGAGGCCACCGGAAATTGATATCATCTACCTGAGCACTTTAATTCTGATTCTTTACGTCTATAGGGGATATCGGTATTGGAGTATACTGACTATCTCTGCTGCAAGGAAGGAAGATGTGCAGAAGGTAAGTAAATTATCCTAGGTGCAAACGACATGTAGTATGCATCGCAAAGCACATTTGTCAGGTTTCTTGATATAGGACAAGTGCTAGCCCCGCATACATGTGGGAGTAACGAATTCTGGTACAAGACTTCCCCGGATATAGGGGACCCCACAATGCTAGTTAACCAGGAACGCTGTATCCAGACACATGCAGAGCTGGCCCCGGGCCCATCGTGCGGGGAAGGAATTCATAAAATGCACTTATCTCCAAAAGAAACCATCACCTTGCGTGGAAAGCTCAAGAGTTCTTCCAGCCAAAGGGAATACTATCCTTAACAACAGACAATGACGACTCAAACGAACGCCAGTGTTGCCGGAAACCTCTCCAAGATCATAGTAGTCGGCGCTGGACCGTCCGGACTTTTGCTATCGATCCTATTAGCAAAACATGGAATCAACGTGGAACTACTTGAAGCCACCGAAAGATTGGACGAACAACCCCGAGCCGCCCATTATGCCTCTCCCGCCGTATACGAGCTTCGTCGTGCGGGTGTCATTGACGATGTGATTGAAAGCGGTTTCAAACCAACATCGGCATGTTGGCGCAAAGCCAACGGGGAAATTATTGCCGGAATGAGATTTGACGTTGTTCCTGATGACCCTGAGCGGATGGTTGTGTTACCCCTGGATCGACTAGGCAAGCTGTTGTACGCCCACCTTCAACGGCAACCACTAGCAAAGATCTATTGGGGACATCGTGTTACCGAAATCGGCGAGGAGAACGGAAAAGCTTGGGTGAATGCCGAGACTGCGTCTGGGCCGGTCAAGTTTGAGGGCGATTATGTTGTGGGAGCCGACGGCGCAAATAGTACGATTCGAAAGCTGTTGTTTGGACCGAATAGCTTCGAGGGGGAGACGTTGAACGCAGCGATTATTGCTACTAATGTGAGTTTACTTTCCACATCCGAAAGGTTATGCTGATAAAGGACAGGTCATACATGACTTTACCAAGTATGGATATTGGGACACGAATTATATCGTGGATCCCAAAAATTGGCACATGGTTGCAAAGATTGGACGAGACGATCATTTGTATCGAGTGTCATATAGCGAGGTGCCTGGATTGACACCAGAGGAATATAAGAGGCGACAGCCAAACCGCTATAGAGAGATATTGCCAGGAAACCCTGAGCCTTCCGAATATACCATCACCAATATCAACCCATACAAGTTGCAGCAACGATGTGCACCTTCATTCCGCAAGGGGAAATTTGTGTTGATGGCCGATGCTGCACATGTTTGCAACCCATTGTAAGCATCATTGCCCCTGAGACTGCGGGGATCTTCACTGACATAATTTCAAGCGGTGGCCTTGGTTTGACGGGAGGTATTGCAGATTTGGGAAGTCTGTTTGACTGCCTGTATGGAATACATCAAGGCCTCGCTGATGATGGTATCCTCGATCGATATGCCGAAATCCGTCGAAAGATATACCGCGAAGTTATTAACCCCCTGTCGAGAGAGAACTTCCGCCGGCTCTGGGGTCAGGATCCTGATAAAGCAAAGGAGAATGACGAGTTCTTCAAATTACTTAATAGAGCTGAGACGGATAAGGAATTGGCAAAGGAACTTACCTTAGTAGGTTTGCCCTGATTCGTCTGCATTACCTGCATTGTGCTGACATCATCTCAATTGATTCTAGGGCCTGAATATTCTTCGACATGACTTCACCCAGTACTATAAGAAAGATGTATCAAGCTGATGATCCTTCCTGTACACATATCTATTCCGAGACCGATTTGAGCCATATGGTATTACGATGTATTGCATACCTATTAGCTGCTCTTGTTGTCTAATTCATCCTGTATAGCAGGCTCTGAACGGAAGTAAATGGTAGAAAGAAAAAGTGAGGCACGTGAGCAGCCTGGTTCCTGCCTGAGGAACCCAACGCGTTCGCCCGGGTTAATTTATTATTTATTCTGTAAACATAAAAAAACATCTTCTCTCTTATACCTCTTTCTCCTCTTGTCGCAAAGGTAAACATCAGATCATCTTTCATCCCTTGTCTTTTTATCCTTTTGTGCATCTTTCCTTTATTTGCGTACATATTACCTACACTTACCCCTTTTCTATTCACTTAGTCGCCACAATATCGTCAAGCTAGATAGTGTGCACGATGGCTGACCCTTTTTCACGACTGCCTCTTGAGCTGAAGCTGATTATTCTTGGTCTGCTTCAGGAAGATGGCACCAAGCGTCACTTGCTACACTGCCTGACAGTCAACTTTGTCTGGTTTACTCTCATCGTCAGACTTCTCTACAAGGATATCAAACTGCGTGCTATCTGGCATTTACGTGACTCACCAAATTCTGAAAAGTATCTCAAACATGTTCGAACCTTGATTCTTGGCCTGACTGACAACCGTTTCCATCCTGATATAATTATAAAATGGGCTAAACCACCTCTTCCAAACCTGCGAAAGATTTCATTCATGCCTGGTTCTTTGTTGGAAGGCTTTGATGTCGACTACATAATCCCCTATCTACAACCATCTGTTACCTCAGTTGAGCTATGTTGTGTGCGTTGGACATCTGATCTACTTTCAGCATTGAAAGAAACATGCCCAGATCTTACAGAGCTGAACATCAAGCGTCCATTCAAGGATGAAGACTTTACTCTGGATGCCAAAGGCTTTAAAGACTGGCTTCAAGCTTTCGACTCTCTCAAGTCAGTTTCTGTCTTCCGTCGAGGTGGCTACACTGCCCATCCTCACGATGACATCGAGGATGACTTGGCAAACTTACTATCATGGCCAGAAGTGCGCAATCTTCTGCTGCGACCCCTGCGACGTCTCCGTCTTGAGTGTCCACTGAAGGAATGGCATAATATTTACGCCTATCCCCCATTCTGTACCTTACGCGAATTGAGCGTATGCGTCAAGCTAGAGGACATACCCTACTTGCTCAATTTCACGGACTTGCGAGGATTACACATTCAGATTGATGGTAAAATTGGACCAGAAGTGAATGTTCTTTCATCTTTCCGCCAAATGACACGACTGCGATCCCTAAGAATCATGTTTACCGATTCGTATGAACTCAAGCGCGACCAAATTATGTCGTTAACCAGTCTTAAAAAGTTGGAAATGCTTGAGGTTTCCTGTAGGGACCGAGAACGTGTTAATGAAGATGAATATAGCTGGGGTGGCATTACTCAATACGTCCCTATTACAGTCAAGGGACCATTTGACGACAACGATTTTGACCAATTGGCATCGTCGCTTCCAAGGCTGCGTCATGCCTGCTTACTATTTGATTGGAAGGAGTTGACCAGCAACCATGTACTCAAATCGGCGGCGTTCCTTTGGCGTCAGCTGGAATATCTCTGCCTGGGATATCACATCGATCTCTCCGAAAGTATTCTTATGTCCCAGAATGGAGAACCAGTGTTTCCAAAGTTGAAGGAGTTGGTGAACCTGCGGGCGTTGATTGGAGATCTCGTTACCGACTGTGAGGTGCTAAAGGTGGATCACGACGCTCGGTGAGTAACCCTCTTTCACACGTCTTTGGATTTTCTTTCGGTCTTCCTGTAGTTTGTAGATACTCAAGCTCTTCATAATCCTATTAATGAGCGTCTAAATGCTAACGTTATTGCTCCCTCAGCTATGCTTATACCAACCGCCTCCGCGACAGACTCCAAGCTGCGTGCCCCCGACTCGAGCAAATCACATTCGGCGAGTTCTATCTCCAAGACGGCTGCCCTGAGCATGAACCACTCAACATGAGAGGAATGATCAACTTGTTCATGGGACCATGCTGGAATTGGTCCCGCGACGCGCGAAAGGGGGTTTGGGATTTTGATTACATCGAGTGACGCAAACCAGAGGACGGTAACAGCTTGGCTAAATTGGTGCCATAAAACCAAGCGTATGAAGCGTTATTTCTAATGTGGTATCAACAACCCGATGTATTATTGCGTTTTGCGTGTCTGGACAGTGATTTTTGAGAGGGGTCAGTCATTTCTGAACTGAACTGCTTGGGGGAATAGTCCGCGTCACATTTGTAGTTGCGTCAATACAAGTTCACTTTGCTTTTTTTCTAACAATAGTAGTACGTAGTAGTTATGCAGTAGCTTGCAACTAGTTAGCAGTAAGCGCCAACTGGTGGTTATCAAGCAAGGTTGTGATACAATCTAAAATGAGGTTTAGGCATAGTCCCTGTCAATGGAGGCCAACCAGAGAGAATGCCGCCCAACTGACGCCTTAGTGCGGCGCTGTAAGTCTTAGCGATAAGAGGCCCCTGCAAGCACCAATCGCTCAAATTTATTTATTATTTCCCCCCTTTCCTTTTTTCCTTCTCTTCCTCTTCTGTATACAAATCAGGGAAACCACATTCATCAAATCCATCAAAATGGATGGATTGAAAATTGAGCCCTTACAATCCCTTCAGTCCAAAGACCAAGCTGCCCTCCTCGACACAGTCGATGAACTTCGTAGCCATGGCGTGAATCGTTACGTGTCGCTGCCTCAGCTCATCGTCTGTGGAGACCAGAGCTCTGGCAAAAGTTCTGTCCTGGAAGCAATCTCTGGTGTTCATTTTCCTGTCAATGATGGCTTATGTACTCGATTCACTACAGAGGTCATTTTGCGTCGTGCAACCAACAATCTGGCTACAGTAAAGCTCATCGCTCCCCAAGATGCGTCCCGTTCACACAAAGAAAAACTATTTCAGTTTCAAAAGAGTTCCATCAACCATGCAGAGATTCCTAATCTCATCTCAGAAGCCAAGTCATTTATGGGTTTGACTGGAGGTAGTAGCTTTTCACGAGATGTCTTGCAGCTGGAAGTATCTGGTCCCAAGTTGCCTCATTTGACTTTGGTCGATCTCCCAGGTCTCATACATCATCCCAACAAGGAGCAGACTGAAGATGATGTTCGAATCCCTAGAGAACTGGTGAAGAAATACATGTCTCAAGAACGAAGTATTGTGCTTGCTATCGTCACAGCAAAAAATGATACTTCAAATCAAGTTGTGCTGGAAATGGCCAAAGCAGCTGATCCTCAGGGCAACAGGACAATTGGAATCATCACCAAGCCAGACTCGCTGATCAGAGACAGTCCAAACGAGTCAAATTTCTTCGCCCTAGCCAGCAACAAAGAGACTTATTTCAAGCTTGATTGGCACGTTCTACGCAATGGTGACTTCAACGAACGCAAAGACTCTACTTTTGACAGAGACGCCGTGGAGAAAGAGTTCTTTTTGTCGACGATCTGGAAAAACTTACCAAGCCACAAACGCGGCGTGGAAGCATTGCGCACCAGACTCAGCCATGTCTTGTACCAACAGATCCAGAAAGAACTTCCTAGTCTTCTCAAAGAAATCGAACTCGAACTAACAGCTTGCAAAACGACAATGGATCGACTCGGTTCTCCTCGCGATACTCCTAATAGCCGACGGAATTACCTATCAGATATGGCTAACCGATTCAACGATATGGTCCGAGCGGGTGTCAACGGATTCTATCAAGATCCTTTCTTTCGATCTGGAAACACAGGAATTCTGGGAGGTCCTGAGACACAGAAAACACGTTTGCGCGCGAACGTGAGAAAGGCGGAACAGGGCTTTCTTGACAAAATGTATCAATACGGCCACTCCTATGTTATTGTTCCTCAAGGTTCGAACCCAGTGATACATCCAGAGTACAAGGCTTACCAGGTGGTCGTGAATGAACAAAGCTTCCTCCGAGAGATTCGAGATCATCTCAATGACTCCAAAGGTAGGGAACTTCCAGGCACTTTCTCACCCTTGCTGGTTGGTGAACTATTCATTCGCCAATCGACAAATTGGAAGCCGTTTGCCATTGAATTTGTTGAAAGTGTTTGGGATATCGTGAAGCAGTTCCTGGACGATGTCCTGGCTTATGTGGCTGATGAAAGCGTGAGGGAAGCGCTGCTGGATGAAGTCATTGATCCAGCCATGGACGCCATTCTGGAAAATCTCAAAGAAAAGGTCACCGAGTTACACTCCCCTTATGCTCGCGGATACCCGGCAACTCTCAACCCTCGATTTGTGAAGGAGCTCCAGAATCGACGATCTCAACAAGCCGAAAATCCTCCTGCTGTGACAGAATCTTTTTCTCCAAAACCTGATGCTGATGATGCTGATACACACGCGTGTCGAGAGCTGCTGCACCTAATGCAGGCCTACTATACTGTCGCTCTCGACGTCTTCGTGGATAATGTCTCAAGTCTTGCTGTTGAGAATTGTCTGATGTCCGCTCTTGAAGGTCTGCTATGTGTTTCTCAAATGGAGGACGAGGTGATTGAAAATATCGTGTTTGAATCACAAGAAGTTCGTGAATTGCGCAGTCAGACTCTGGAGAAGCAATCATCCCTTGAGAAGAGTTTCGCGATCTGTCGTCGGCAAGCGAGGAAGTTGGCATCGAACCGACTCAATGACGATGCACGAAATGAAGCACAAAAGACTGAGTCTGTGCTAGCTTCGATCACGAATGGGGTTGCGGGTGTGAAGGTTTCAGAACCTACTGCTACGACCCCTATGAAGGTACTTCGTTTGAAAACCACCTTGTTCCTTTCAATTAGATGGATACTGACATCGATTGTCTATAGTCGGAAGTAATTAATCCCGCAAAATCTCAGCAACCGCGCCAGACTCCTTGGGGTCAGTCGGGTGTCTTTGGAACTGGGGGCCAAGCTGCGGCGAATACATTGGGTTCCTCTCTTTTCTCTACACCAACTCCGACTACACCTCAAACTACGCCTGCACCCTCTCTGTTTCCCACGAAGACGTCGAGCTCGTCTTTCTTTGCGACACCAATCTCAGGTCCATTCAGTTCATCCCAAGGCTTTGGAAGTCCTGAGGGAAGGGCAAACCAGAGTTCTAATGGCAGTCCAGCGTTTGGAAAGAACCCAACCCCGTTTAGTGATTCTTCGGGGTCTCAACTAGGGCCAAAACCAGTGGGCTCAACTCCTCCTCCTCAGCCATCGACTCTATTTCAAGCTGCGCCTGCACAGCCAAATGCTCCCAAGAAAGGTAAAGCAATACAGCTTTTTCATGTACCATAGAATGTTCTCCGGTTGGATCATTTTTGGATGTGGTGATACAATGGGAAAATCTGACAACCTGCGTACAATAAACAGTTGATTTCTCCTATTTCAAGGATATTCCCACCAGTCTCCGAGTCTTTTCTAAACTACCTAAAGGCAGCGATGGCTATGCCGGATGGACAGATAGCGCTGCACATGATGTTTTCAAGCACATATCTTGCGGATTTCAATATATTGGTATGTTCAAGATCGATTGCAACTACTCTGCCGAGGTGAGCGCCTTCTCTTTACACGTGCCCGTTTATTCTATTGTGGATGGAGTGACAGCGACCTGACACGTATCATACTTTAGGAGTTGAGGCTCAAGGATTACTACACCCTTCCACTCACTGAAGATAATTCATGCTAAGTAAAAGGAGAAGGTACCAGAACCCGTGTACAAATGTAATTTCAGAGTGTGTACCCTAGATACCTGTCTCTTCCTTAAAAGTCTTCAATAATGCAGCTGAGTAGTTGTCTCCAGCGTGTTAGGGTTTAGGGCTTAGGGCAAATTGAACTAGTAAAATCCCCTTTAGGAAATAGCTCAAGAATCGATGCCTAATCGGAGCTACCTTACGGACTGGCCAATCCATCTTATCCACATCGATTTGTCATCATTCAACTCAGCCTCTCCCAGTCTAGATCCCTAGATCATCCCGCGCTTTTGAATGGTCATCGTATGAAGTATTCTAGGCTAACGCTTTGCAATAGCTTCGTTCTATTCTTGCAGTGGATATCGTAACTTGTTAAGGATTTTTTGAGCATTTATTCTCAAGATTCACGACCGCTCTTCTTCACTAGCGGACAGGCCCACCGCGTACCGACACGGCCACTGGTGGTCTATGTACATACATGTCCATGACAAGGCCTAAGGATTTGCCAAATGCCGTGGTCACCGAGAAAGACACAACCAATGTGCGCCGGCTACGTCGATGGGCACCCAAAGCCCGGACTGGGTGTCTGACCTGCAAGTAAGTATAAAGTACCGCAAAGAGATATGGAGTTGAAGCCAGAGCTGAGCAAGCTGTAGGATTCGACGAATTAAATGCGATGAGATCAAGCCGAGGTGAGTTCCTTTTTCCTAGATACGGAGTTTAATCTAGACTAAAGGTACTAAAATCTTACACTGTTAGTTGCAAAAAATGTACTTCAACTGGACGCAAGTGCGATGGCTACGAGGATTGTGCCGTAGATACTCAGCCTATTGGCTCAATTCGATCGTCTACTTCAGTTGCGAAGAAGACAACCCGCTCTAGGGCTTTGGTACCTGCAGCAGCGCCAATCTACTCTGTATCATGGCTCCCATTCTACGGCGGGGAGCTCCAAAAGCGAAACTTTGACTTCTTTCAATCAGTGACCTCTTCGGCACTTTCATCTTTCTACGGAAGTGAATTCTGGGCCTCAGAGACGTTACAGGTTGCGCATCAATATCCGGCTCTGTTTCATGCCATTACGGCTTTTGGTAGCATACATCACGGTTACTTGAGCGATACGACACCGTTAGATGTACCTCGCACAGGGAAAAATGATCATATTGAGTTCGGACTTCAGGAATTTAACAAGGCTATTAAATCCATGTCCGCCCTTATATCGCAAAAAGAGCTTTCAGCTCAAGACCAACAGGCGATTTTAACGACCTGTATACTTTTCACTGGCCTCAGCTCTCTTCAGGGGAGACAGTCGCAGGCGTTTATGCATGTCAAAAATGGGTTGAGGATGATTCATCATTGGCGTCTGAATAGTCGCCTGATCAGCTCGAAAGAAAAAAATGCGGTGGATATGCTCCTGTTAACATTTATACAATTAGATACGCAAATACGACCTTATCTCGCCGGCCAGGAATCTTTTCTACAATGGATAGATGAGGTTATAGTTTCCCCATCATCTCGTCGGCGGATCTTTCGGACGGTATTCGAGGCGTATTTTGACCTTGAAATATTCCTTAATGAGCTTTTCCGATTAGATTTCAACGCATACTCGTTCGACCAGCTTTATATAGAGATAGACTTATTGAACAAACAGGCAGATATCTGGGATCGACAGTTTGGACAATTATTATCTACGATCACGCCAAACATCTCAGACATGGATGCATTAGTTGCCATTCGACTTCGGCGAGAGTATGCTCGTGCCATACTGTCCAGTTTAGTGGTCAACGGGAAGGACAATGTGCACGATGAAATGCTTCCAACATACCAGGTAATAGTGAATCTTGCCCAAAAGATCCTTCAAAAGGACAGTCGTGCATCACTTTCCGGCGTACCAAATAATCGGAAACTTGAACACCCGATCTTTGTTCTCGGAAGCACTGTCGTCGAACCTCTCTTCTTGGCTGCAACACGCTGTCGGGAACCTATACTTCGTCGTCAAGCGCTGCAATTACTGCGTCAATGTCCCCGGCGGGAGGGGATTTGTGAGGGTATGATGGCTGTTAGGATAGTGCAAGAGGTTATTGAAGTCGAGGAAGAAGGGTGCCTACGATCTGTTGACTGGCGCAGACGACATTCGGCTTCGCCAACAACCGCTTCTCCGTATCGGTCTACATCTCCATGCCGTCAATTCTTGCCATCCAGGGGATGTCCGGATTCATTGACCCAAAATAACTTTCGGGGAACAACGGAATTACCTGATGGATTCATGAACCATATCAATGGACCCATATCACCCAATATCGAAGAGATGAAGACGATCAGGTCTAAGATCCCGACTGAGAAAAGTCAATGCTCGGAAAAAGGGAAATGGGTCTGTGAACAACATCGAGTTGTAGACACTCAATTTTTGCTTCTTACGGAGCGGCAGCTCAAAATAGTCATCTGGACTAAGGAGGATCGTGAATCGAATAGAATGGGTAGAGAAATGGTTTTGACGTGGTGGTGAGGACGTAGGGATGGCCCAGTGCTTCTGTCTATGACCGGATTGGCGAGAGGGAACAGAAACGAGCCAATGCGATCAGTCTTAGATACCTGTTTTTGCCAACATTTATGAACGGACTGAACCAAGCAATACCCTCATATTTTCGTAGTCGGTATAGACCGAAATGCAACACGCCCATCTTCAACCTTCAGCACGTGTACGAAAACATTAACCCTCAATCTTGGAAGATTCATTAGAGCTGCAAAACGGGAAACGTGCGAAACATCATTATGGCATTTTGGACACTGCCAGTCCTTGCTCGATTCATCGTCTTTTTCAAGTTTTTTGATACATGCATTGCAGAAGGTGTGATCGCAAGGTCGTATACTATAAAGCGTGGAAAGAAAACGAGATATTAGAATAGTACTACCTGCCACATTATAAAGATCGAACTCACATGCAATCACAAAGTCGTATCTTGACTTGGACTGAGAGCGGGGATGAGACTTACAGGGGATGGCCACAAATTGAAGGACGACTCCTTCCTGGACATGAATGCCATATAGCTATGGCAGTGCTGGCACAACTACATAATCTTGGGTGTGGTTGGTGCTCTGAGTGACTCCTTTGGTGTCGTCCGTGGTATTGCCAGCTACCGCATTAACGCGCCCAACACAGATCAGCAAGGCACAATTGCGGTTCATGACATGGAAACTTATCCAGAGTGCCTCATGCAACCACATGGGCAAGAAGATACCGCCGCCACTTTTGGAAATTTCATTGGGAGCCTGTCCGTATACTCACTCACATTGTATAATGGGAAATGGCGTAATGAGATAGGAAATTGGTGCATCTACCATCATCAGGCATGCGCACTGTTCTGTGAAATTTAATTATTTAATTGTAAGGATATCATCGATCTCAAGAACATCCAACTTTGTGCTGACTTGGGCTTCGCCAGACAATGATATAGGGCCACTCTTTAAGCCAAAGGTGACATCGGTTCCTCGATTCGTGAATGCCACCAGATGCTCATTGATATGGATAAAATTTGCACCAATAGATGCCTCATCCGCAATGACTTGAACCTCCTTGTACTCATGAAAGCATGGTTCGTCTGGTATTTTTCCCATTGGCGCTCTTTACGGTCACTGAGGAACGGAGGACGCAGATATCCTAGGCCTGTACCTTCTGTTAGCCACAGTTATTAGTCCCTAAAATTAAGGAAAACATACAATCAATTTTCACCCACAGATCAGCGATAGGTGCATTCCTAGGTAATTCGATACGCTCCCCATACGTCGTGGTAGCGTCTGATGGAGAGCTACAATGCACTTTTTGCAACCCCTTAATGAGCACTAAAACTCGTCCAAGACAGTTCTTCATGTTGTAATCTCCCAGTGATTAATAAAAAGCGTCGAGTTCGCAGTCGAGAAGGAGTAGGATGGAAATGTTGTTCACCGCAACGAAAGGAAGGCACAGTCAGTCTCGCCTCACAACCTCGTACACAAAGTGCATCCTATTGGCCGTGTATCTCTACATTTTAGTTGATTCTTTCAGCCTAGAGCACAAGGCTGCCCAGCGTGGAACACCTGACTACCATCTCGTGCTTCAATTTATAGCCCGATAGAAAAGTCGCCAGGAGAACTTGCGGAATATCTATGCTCTGCCAATGGTAAAAGATTACTATCAGGCCAAGACTTCGATTCTATATCTCTTAACATACAGCGAACGGACCAATTTCCGATACCTATGCAACTGGAACTTGAAGAAACCTCGCAATGTCTGTGGGTTTTGGATTCTCGGTAGGCGATATCGTGCTCAGAAGCCAGCTTGCTTACCGACTTTACACAGTCATCACAGCAAGGAAGCCTATCACCAAAGAACTGAAGCAACTGGGATATGCACTGTTTGACCTTCACTGTGCCTTGGATTATTTGGGAAAGACCGTGGATGGGATCTCGACCAGAGTACCTAGTAGACCGAACGGGAATGAGAGGGTCGACAACGTCCGCGTTCGATGATTGGCTCATGTGCATCTACCTTGAATGAATTAGACGAGGCAACGAAGAAATATAGAGAGGCTAATGTACAAGAAGATGTTGATCAGTCAATCGCGCCTGGTGCAAACGTCAAAGGAAGCGCCCGACTGCGTATAGTAGAGCGTTGGAAACAACAGCTTAAAGTACATGGAACAAAGTCCATTGGGACTTTAAGGAGAGTTCTGTAATAATGTACCGGCAGAAAATAATCTATCATGCAACCACAATCAATATGGTTCTAAACTCTTTTATCTGGTGAGTTCTACTCACATCGAAAACATCTTTTCTGGCATTGATGAAATGAACAGGTCTACCACGGATCGTCTAGAGGCTAGCAGTGGAAAGAAGAGAAACATGCTTCAGAAATTACGCAATCAAGGAGTCCAGGTAACCGACGGGATAATGGAACTTGTCGAAGAAGTTTGAAAATTGGAGTTACATCTGACCTCTACTCGTTTTCCTGGCTCTTTCGACCAAGATACCGGGACTAGAGCGGTACAAAGTGCTCGATACTATTCACGAGTTCCAGAAAGTACTCAATCTATCAACCAGAGTCGGCAAGTGACTGAAGTGATACAACCCCGGATACTCCAAGAACATGACACGATTTCCCCGTCCAGAGCGCAATATTCGATTAGGGGAGGAGGTGAAATTACTTCCAAACAACAGCTCAAACAAGGAATCGACGCCATATTTTATCTTATTTATCCCTCAAATACTGTAGATGCAGCATCGATTATTGACGAAAGAAAGCGAGAGGCGGGTACTTGGGTAAACGCATGAATACTGTTTTGGATTCATACATGTCTCCATCCAGGTCGGCTGGTAGCATGAGCATCAACCAGACTGACTTGACAAACGAGCTTGTAGATTTGTTGAATTTCTTGAATCGGGCATTGGAGGTGAAAACTCCGAACTACAAGCTTTCTTTGACGGATCAGATCATGCCGGTATTGATCTTACCTTTCAGAGATTGCGGCAGATCTCGAGGTCTGTTCGATGTGTAAATAAAACCGAAGATTTTGAGAATATGTGCAGTGACTGGAGTAAGAAGAAAGTCATTAAGGAACGCAGTATCTAATACCAAACGACATCACTCATTCATATTCACTCAAGTATGACTCCGACCTCGGTGTTATAAGATAACCTACGTAGAGTTTGGATGCATTCTTAGTCTTGGTACTTGTTGAAGTCGTCGTTTTGGAGGCTGGTAAATTTTAATAACAATAGGCTCTTTCTCTGGAACCTGCATAAAAGCTTGAAGACAAGGATTTTGCCTTTCTCCTGGAGGTTCTTCTGAGTTGTCGTTGTATAGAGAGACAAGATTTATTTTGATCTGATCTCATCATCCAATCTATGAATATTTGTTCATTCCACTACTATGAGCAATGGTAATCTTGACCGATAAACCAAAAGACTCAACCAAAAAAAAAAAGAGTCAAACCCAAGTCATTTGAAAGTCTTAAATATCATGCTTTCATCTAACATAGGCCCCTGGTTTTTATTCTTGTTTTCTCTCCAGTATCTTCCATTACCTACACACAGACATCCCCTATCAATCTATGTCGTCAAAAATGTCTGGAAAGCAAAAACGAACAAGTCGAACTATTACATGAAACCAGTGCCATGTCCAATAGGCAGACAGAGCCATCAGACAGCTATGGAAATGCTCCAACTTCTCAAATAATGTCTCACGGAGACCGTGACTCAATTCTAATGGAGGAAAAAGTATCGAATTATGTGGTCATGGATACAAAGTACCTATTGTCCTCTGAACAGACCAAATGAGAAAGCATCGCTCGAAGCTAATTGATGGTCTCAGTGAATCTCAGTTACAACAAACGGCATACCTATACGAAACTCTGAGCAAAAAGGAAAATGACAATTCTCTGCCGGAAACATTCTCACAAATCGGTTTGCTGGCTGAGTTGGATGTGACTTACGCGAGTCACAAGGTCCTCGATAGTATGTCTAACACCAACATCTACCAAATATATTGTACTTGCTTTTATTAACCGTTTTTGTTTAGTGCTTACCGAAGGAGAAAAGGTCAGGGGATATCAACACCAGATTACTCCCAGAGATCCTTCTACTTCGACGGGTTTGACGCCACCCAGAGATTCGGCTTCTGGGATTGATCTAGAAAACTTGCAACGAGTGCAAAACACTCTACATGATACGGACAAAACTTGCTCTTCCTCATCTCAACATAAAGAGGAGCGGTACGACCGAATTCTTGAGGTGACCAAGGCAGAAAAGGTTCGAACGTGGCTTAGAAGCCCAGAATCGGGGCGATTCGTAATCATCGACATACTGCAAGAATTCTGTGTAACTTCCATGCTGTATTTGTTGATAAACCAGTCAATCATAAATACAGTCTTGGGGAATTACGAAATATTAGGCATGCCCTGATTCCAATGATATTTATTTGCGGCACCAAAATTGAGGATATAGACGGCGCACGCACGAGGATTCAACCAAATCATAGCCATTACAGTCTCTTCAGGATTGATGAATAAGAATATGTCCTTCCAAAGCTATGTAGGTGACGCATCAAATGACTCAAAATATGAGTCAACATATTCATCCAGAATATTAAATAACGCGTCTATTGCTGTAGATCATGTCGATATTTCTCTCTTTTTCTGTTCCATTTACTTTTCTTTACACCTAAATTCACGCAGGGTGAAGATTTATTTAGCGTTCTACAGCATTAGAGCGTACTCGCTATTCAGTCTATCAGTCGAACAATCTTGGGCATTTATCTAGACATCCGATCCTTTTAAAAATGCCATACCGAAGAGTGGAGAGAAGTCGCTGGAGAGGAGAGCAGGCAGAACCAGTAAATCAGTATGATCGACACTCCAATCTCTCGAATGGCCGCAGAAGACGGATGAAGTTGTGCGTCGCTTTCACCCAAGGGAGCAACCGGCACCGCGACAGAAGAGCCCGACTGAATTCTTCGAATTTATCGAAAAAGAAAGATGCATGGATCAGAAGCATGATGAATTGACTGCAACAGTGAGACCAAGAGAAGAGGCAGACGCCGTCTATGGTGAAATTATGGACGAAAATACAACCAGCAACGTGGAGGGATTATCATTCAAAACTTGAAAAAGACTAGAAAACATGCTAGGTCCACATCGAGACGGGTGTATCAGTATTCCTAGAGAGACATCAATTAGCAAATGATATGCTGATCATATTAGCAAACCCTAAGACAAAATGTGACCCAGATGAATCAGTATCTGCCAACCACACAGGGATCCGACAACTTCAAACCGTACGGACCTCCCATGCTCATACCCTAGTATCGGCAATGCCTGCTCAAGATCGAGAGACTGCGATTGACTCGTGGGAAATCTATGAAACATTCCAAAACTACGATAGTTCCCAATTTGACATGAAGGAACTTTGGAGGCACCGCACTCGAATTCCAGAGGAGGTCAAGGAGATTCTAGATGATGTTATGCTTCACAAGCACTTTGGAAAATAGATTCACTTGCTAAACACAAAAAGACTGATAATTGTCGATGGTAGAAAATGTTCTGAAAAGTATCTCGGGATGGCCTTGTGTTTGTTGATATTTCAGGTAGGCGAAGATATTCAATTCGTCAACCCCATGGGTCATCGAAGAAAAGTATCGAAGTGTAGCGCAGCTATGCGGAGTGTGGGCGAATTATATATTTCTTGATTTTGGGATCACCTTCACGAAGGATTTATTATTACCCTTTTCTGAGGCATGATTTATCTGGAAGAGGTCCGCTGGATGGTTCTAGGGCTTAGGGTTAGGGCTCCAACATGAATAATCATTCCTTTTCAAATCGGCTGTTTTGCTGCGGATTTTAATCAAATATTACATTTGTATTATGACTTAATAATCTACCACTTACTCTATAGATATATTTCGTATGCCACATAGACATAAGCTAGGTAAGTACTCATCAATTACCTAGGAGAGTTTCGAAAGGGTACGCTCCTGATTCGGCCCAGTTGTGAGCTGTCAACCTGCTTTCCATGCCAAAAAGGATCTCAAGATATTCGACATATGTTTATTAGTTTCTTGCGGAACTGTCCTGTTTATCATGAATTGCCGTGTTGTGCTATCAATATTGTAACAAACACCCCTCGTATCAGTCAATGCGGGGTAGAGAAGAACCACTGATAAGCAAGTCCTCAAAGACAACTGCTGTCAAAACCAGTCCCAACTTGTCTCGAAATCACGTTCTCACAAGTTCTTAGACCTAAGAATTGCGTTGGTAATATGGCGCCCTCCCAGGAAAACGACAATGCAGTCTCTGCGGGCGTGCAACAGGACGACTTGACTATTCCAGTAATTACTCTAGACGAAGGAAGTCTCCAAATCTGAAACTGAGATGTTAACATTGTCGCAAACAGCTGATAAATTTCTCAACCTTTCTAAACGGTGACTCAAAAACGAAACAAACCACTGCATCGGCAATCCTACATGCATTCCGAACCAGCGGATTCCTTTACCTCTCCAACGCCGGCATTTCGCCCAGCACCGTCCAAACCGTTTTCAGTAAATCCGCCAAATTCTTTAACCGTCCCGAAGAACAAAAGGAAGCTCTGACCTGGGAGACACCAGAGTCAAATCGTGGATACGTGAGGTTTGGCAGAGAGAAAGTGACGCAATCGGCCGACCCTGAGGAGATATTGCGTCTTCGGACATCTAATCCAGATTATAAGGAGACTATGGAGATTGGACGAGAAGGCGTTGAGGGTCTACCGAACAAATGGCCTGACTCATTTGATGAAGAGGGTAAAGAATTCACCCGTGTGATGCGAGAATTTCATGACACGTGCAAAAAACTTCATATGCAGGTTATGCGTGCTATTGCGCTAGGAATGGGTTATGAGGAGACGTTCTTTGATGAATATACCGATGCAGGCGATAATAATCTCCGATTATTGCATTACCCACCTGTTCTCAAGAGTGTGTTCGAGAACAATCCGGATGCTGTGAGAGCGGGGCCCCATTCAGATTATGGTTCCATCACGCTACTCTTTCAAGATGATATTGGCGGTCTTGAGGTAAAATCTCCGCAAAACACATGGGTGCGCGCGGTACCCATCAAGGATACCATCGTTGTGAATGCGGGCGATCTCTTGGCAAGATGGAGTAATGACACAATCAAGAGCACAAATCATCGTGTTGTCCAGCCTCCAGCTCCTTCTACCTCGGATGAGTCGAAGGACGAATCGGATCTATATCCCACACGATATAGCGTGGCATATTTTTGCAATCCCAACTTTGACAAGATTATCGAAGCGCTGCCGGGAACTTATGGAGATGTTAGTGAGAAAAAGTATCAGCCCATCAAAAGTGGTGACTATTTGACGATGAGATTGGCTGCTACATATTGAGCCATTTGTCATTAGATGTACGTATTGAAATATTCAAGATATTCGATCAATCCTGATCAGGGCCTTGGAGGAATTGTATTGGTAGTCATAGCCATCGAACTATCATCAGCTCCGCGCCAGCTAGGGCTGAATCTGATGGCCGAATATTGTCCACCGGGATTTGCTAACTGTCGGCTATTTGGTCTTGACTTCGAAGAAGTACGTAGTCCACAATCTAAAGAGGTTTAATTGGAGCTTATTAGCACTCTACGTTATTTTAGGAGAATGGAGAGAGAGAAAAAAGATCTTAGAATCTGAATGGATCACCTGCCAAAAGGGGTAAAGCAGCATCAGCTGAAATCTCCCTGCCGACATGCAAACTTTAACCCAACGTCAGCCATCTTGACTAGTCAGGTACAATGGCGTGACCATTTCCCCGCAAAAGCTCCCATTTGTTAAATGTCAAATAGTTAAATACAAAGTTTTGCGTGGCCTAAAATGAACCAAGTTGATAGTACGGAGTATATGAGGTTGGGAACAGATGTTCTATGGCCAGTGCGGATCCAAGATGGCGTCTCCTACTCTCTTATGCCTCCGAGACTCCAGGTAGATACCGATGTACGAAGAAAAGGATAATAAAGCAGTCATGGCCTGTCATACCGTGATCGATGTTTTGAATGTCTTAAAAGCAGGCAATTTCGATCTTCAACCATTTACCGGCGAAGGTCTGTCATTCGTTTATTTGCCGCTACCAACATGAAGTGGACGTATCTTTCCCTGGCACTAGCAACGGCTTCTGCTGTTGCCCTTCCATCGCCAAATATACCAGCTGAAGAGCCGAGCCCTCAGCTCCAACCAGAGGGCGGTGACGATGATGTTTGTTACCCTGACTGGGAGGACGATCTCCTGAATCTGTTACACGAATTGCCTGGAGTAGACGATTACTGTCGCCATTTGCTTATTATTCCTCCTGTTGTCATCACGAACACCGACTCGGCGATTCCCAATCCGAAAACTATCTGGCACACAAACACAGTGACAGATACAGAAACTTGGACTCGTACGGCTACGGACATTGTTTGGCAAACAGTTACTGGCTCTCCTTTGACTGCTACTCAATACGTTACTATTACTAATACCGAGTCATCACCCGCCACTGTCACGGATACGGAATTTGCTACGATTACAGGTTATGTCACTGCTGATGTTACGGAATCTGTTTTGTCACCAATACTCGGATGCTGACAAGTGATGTAACGCAAACTGGAACGGATTTCTTCACGAATGTTGCCTACAATACACAGTCGGTTTATGTCACTGAGGCCATAACGGAAAGATACACAAACACTATCACTTCCTACTCCACACTCGTTGTTACCGACTACATTACTCTAACGCTGCCAGCCTACGTGTCAAACTATATTACAGATGTGACCACTCAGACAATCACGAACTATCATACAGCTACTTTGACCTTGTCTTATACTGACACAACCACTGCGACGGAATCGAATATAGAGTCAATCACGCTAACCGTGCCCTGGACCGTGACTACATCTCAGACGACATTGCCTACCGTTGTCCAAACAGAGATCGATACCTTATCCAGCACTGTTCCAGTCACTCAAGTCATTGATACTACCTCGACAGCAACTACATTCATCACCAATACTTTCACTGCTACTACCACAGCCCCTACCATTTCGACCATGGTTCCTGTACGTCGGCATGCACTGGGCGAACCCAAGCCTGGCTCAGATTATCCTATTCCGGAAGAGTTGAAAGATTACTCTCGCCAGGAGCTCCGCAGTGCTTGCTTTGAGTTACATGTTCCAGCTGCCACGGAAACTGTATGGGTGACTCAAGCTCTGCCTCGTCCCACTGTATGCTATGAGTTTCCCGCTGTCATGCCTATTAGAATACTGACAATCAACTAGGTAACCAGCACCACCACCACTCATGTTCCGGCCGATGGTGTACAGACCGTTGTCGTCACCAAATACGTTACTGATTATGTGAGCCTAGCGCAAGACCCTGTGACAATTGCTGAAACAAATACTGTAGACCTGACAGTATCTTATACTGTTACTGCTGACATTATCAAAACTGCCGACTTGACTCTTACAAGCACAGAAACCGACGTGGCTACTATAACAGCGACGGAGGACCAGTGGGCGACGGTGACCGACTGGGCCACGTTCGATGCTACGGTTGATGCAACTTCATCTGTTACTGTGACAGTTGATGTCAGTGAGACTGCTTCAGTGACTGGTTGGGTCACCACCACAGCCATACCAACCGTGACAAGCGACGTGACAGTCACCCAGCCAGTTTCGGAAACAGTAGATGTCACAATCGATCAGACTGCCACTACCACAGTTGACATTACCAACACTCAGACTGTAGCGACCACTTCCACATCAGTGGTGACAACAACCATCGACGTTCTTGCGATCTCAACCTTCACTTCGACAAAATCTGTAACTGTGGTAGTCACTGCACCAGTCACAGTCCCAACGACCGTGTATACAACCGTTCCACTCACACAGACAGTTCAATCAGTGTCAACCATCGATGTGACTATTACCAAAACAGTTTCATCTACGACAACAACTGTTACGCCAAGCTCTGCTTCGACATGCGGTGTCAACCTCTTCCGAAACGGTGACTTCGCAACTGCCGGCTATAGCTCATGGACTGTCAATCCCACCGGTTCACCAAATGTTACAGTGGTAACTCCAGGATACCAGAATGGCCCGTCTCTTTCTATTGGGTTGCCAAATTCTTCATCATCAGTCAATCTAATTCAGACTGTCAATACTGTCCCTGGAAAGGTATATACCTTTTCAATGCTTTATAATGGGGTCATCCGCGGCTCTGGATCGACTATTGTGTGCAGCTTCAGTAACGCAGCTGCTACAAGTTTAACGATCCAACTTAATTCCGTGGCGGCCGACCAATGGTTCTCAATCAGTGAATGCGTAGGCCCTTCCTCGTCATCAGTCACGCTCACCTGCCGTTTCCACTCGACTAACATGGCCCAGATAGAGGTGGATAGCTTCAGCCTGAAATGTTGATTTGGAACCCACAATCTGTCAGTTGTTTCCTTCTCTGTCATTTAATTTATTTCTACTACTTCCTGTCGAGGGAGTCTGAAACAAACTGTTTTCCTTGTATATAATCATTCCACAACATTTTTCAGCTCATACTACCACATTACGTTATACTCGGCTGTATGCGCAAGACAAGGCATTATTTTTATCATTAGTGTGGTTGAAGTGCTGTCTCTATGCTCAGAAAGACTACCGTGCTCTTTATGAATGGACTGATTTCAATGGTAAGTATCATCTACATCTTACAGAGGCATGTGCTGTATATATCAGTGCAGGGCCTATCTCACATTATTCCAGGTTACAGCCGCTTCCCGAGGTCGTCCGTAGGACCATATGCTCGATACATATCCTAAATGAAGTAGCTAAGGTGATGTCCTAGCCATACCGAGCATTGCCCAGCACATCCTCATCATCAAACCACGTCGGCATAACTCCATAGTTGTACACAATGCTCTTGACCTTTGTATAACTCTCATAAGCTTCGCGTCCGTTCTCCTTACCCAAACCACTATCCTTGAAACCGCCCCATGGAGATGAAGGATCATTAAGATGATGCCCATTAACCCACACAATCCCCGCCTCAATCTTACCCGCAACACGATGGGCCTGCGTGAAATCCTGTGTCCAGATAGAAGCCCCCAGCGCATAATTGGTACCATTAGCAATATCCACAATCTCATCTTCCGACTTGCAGCGCAAAATAGCAATAACAGGGCCAAAGACCTCGTTACAAGCCAGGTACGATTCTGCGTTTGTTTCAATCAGTGTCGGTTCAAAGAAATACCCCTTGCCCGCATGTGTCGCCGGTTTTCCGCCGCAGAGAAGTTTACCGTTTTCTCCTTCTTGAGTTGTTGCTCGCGAAACGAATGCCGCGCATCTTTCGACGGCAGCTTTGTTGATGACTGCGCCGATTTGTGTTCGGGGGTCAGTTGGGTCGCCTAGACGTAATGCTTTTGTCCTCTTCCCCAACATTTCTACGAAGGAATCGTAGATATCTGTGTGAACGAGTAAGCGGCTACCAGTCACGCAGGTTTGCCCACTTGCAATGAAACTAGCGAATAACGCTGCTTTCACAGCATGTTCGACGTTCATTGATTCAAAGATGCAGACTGGTGCTTTACCACCTAATTCAGCCGTTATGGGGATCATATTCAAAGATGCAGACGACGCGATAGCCTGATATGTAGCCACACCTCCTGTAAGATCGATTTTGGATAAATTCGGTGCCTCGCATAGATATTTCCCTGTCTCTCGACCATAACCCGAGATGATTTGCAACGTTCCATCCGGTAACCCAGCTTCTTTGAACAGAGGTCCCAACTGCAGGATTGATATCGGCGCAAGTTCTGAAGGTTTCACAATAACCACGTTCCCAGCCGCAAGTGCTGCGCCTATCTTCTTGATGCTTATCAATAATGGATGATTCCAGGGCGTGATTTGAGCGACAACACCTAATGGTAGGCGGATCAAGGTGTTTACAACAGGGCCCTTGAACGGTGTTACAGCACCCTCTTGAACGCGTGCTAGACTGGCAAAATATTCCAGCCATTCGGGGATACGTGCTAATTGGGCACGCATTTCGCGAATTGGGCGACCAGTCTGTTGGACTTCGAGTTGAACGAACTCTGGGATGCGGGCACGTAACAACGTCGCTGCTTTGGATAAGACGGCGAATCGCTCAGAAGCTTCGGCCGTGGACCATGCACCTTGATTGAAATTCTTCCATGACTTTGTGACTATTTCTTGCACTTCATCGTGACTTGTAGCGTCGACAGTGCCTATGGTGGCTTCGGTTGCTGGATTGATTACTGGTAGAGTCGATGACGACGGGGGAGAGTACGCTCCGTCGATCCAGTTGGAGTAATGTGGAATTTCTTGATTGATCATTTTGTCCGTTTTCTTTTCCTACAACCCAGAAAATAGGTTTATGGTTGATGTTTCTTTCCTGATATATGTAGTAGTAGTTATATAAAGATTACTGATAGGTGAGGGGGTTACCCCACCGATAAGATAAGCGTAGTACAGATACAATCCTGACTGCGTACGACCAAGAAGATGGGCATTTCCAAACATTTTCATGGAGAAGGATTTCACGTGTAGAAGAGGAGACGGTGAATTGTGGGTTGAACGAATAAATGTTAGAAATATGCCTACTCACAAGCTCATTGCATTGCGCGCCTTGAACATCTGTTCCCCAAGTTCCTTTCCGATTGTGTCTTCGTTCAGACTCAAACGTAGGACGTGAGAGAATATCGAGACTGCCGCAAGAAATTCACCTGTCTCGTCCTCGGTAATGGGACGGCAGGGTTATCTGGCGCAGGGAACGGTGAGAGTTTCATGCACTTGTCTGGAAACGACAGTTTCACAATGCAACAACGGTGGAATGCATGTTTGGTCTTGTTGAATATCAAACTGATTTGCGAACATGACAAGGTCTGAGTGATGTTTTTTGTCAAACCTTGCCAGGCAGAAGGGTTATTCATCAATTGCGAGTACAAACGTCTCACAGTGGGATGAGCCGAGCCGCCTGATTTGTGACAAAAGGAGATCCCGATATCCTTCCTCTCCTTGATCTCAAGATCTCCCAAGATAGATGGGGCTATGTCATTCGTTGTGTGGTTCGAAGAAAGAACCCTGTCTATTAGGATTTCCTGGCCCCGAGATACCTACTTAGCTTTATCTTCTGAGAGGTCAACCACTTCCTCCAGGGGAAGGGCCATTGTCAACAACTCTTCTCAAGTGGGAGCTGTTTCACTGAGCAAGAACGGGGATCCGGATGAACATGTATCAGACATCGATCTTGTATGAGGACTACCCAACTAATCATCCCTTCTTTGTGTAATTTGTAGAATGTTGGACTTGGTAATCATGCCGGGTATGCAGACATTTGCGCAGGAAGTATGTCCATGGCGCAAATGCATGCTTCTTTGGAGAATGGAACTGTTCACTCATCGACCTCAATTGGTCCTGCTCCATGAGGCGGCAGAAAAAGAAAGGGCTCTCCGCGAAGAGACGGTCCTGAAAAGTATCGGATACTACTCATAGCAGAATATCTGAACAGATCCTTGAGACGACTCATTATGGACTGGACAATGGAGAGCAAAGAGAATTGAGCCACGATTGTCCAACAGACAAGCCACGAGTGGGGCGTGAACAATACGTTAGTGACGGTAATTAATACGCACTACGTAGGCCCCAAAGACATTTGCGCAATCCAGGCCAATGGAATACATTTTAGTTGTAATATACTGGTAAGATATCGGTAATTAGATACACACGTGCCGATTCCGTGATCTTCGGCTGCAAACGGCGGATCTGGCGGAACCAATTCAAAGCGCGCTTGTAACGTCCTAAAAACAGCTCCTTATTTTGACCAATCAGAGGCCGCTAAAACGTCACTCCTATGTACCACCGTTACGTGCCTTGTAAAGGAGTGCCCAAAGCATAAAAACTGTCAAACAGAGAAGTAGATTAACTTCATGGATTTTATTCCCGACTGGATCGGCCGTTTTGATCACAGATGATGAAAGAACCGTTTCTTTGCATTGCCTTTTGGTCGAGTCTTGCGGACTGGGTTGTGTACTCCGTAGCATTTTAGTAGTTCCTTTTTAGCATAGAATATTATTAGGAATTGCGTGGCTTCGATACCAAATACAATAGTTACCTTGTTCCATACCGTATTCGACAGTCACAGGTATCGTTTTTCTCACGCAGCTGCTCTCACCTCCAGCGTATCGTCTTGAAAACATTGTCTGTAATTACCGAATCGGTATCTCCGCGTTAGTCATCTTACTCCGCTTACGTTTCCTGCTTCCTTAGTCCGGTCTTCTTCAACTTCATGTCTCACCTTTTCTCTTGGTCAGGTATTCTCATCAGGAAAGGCGATGATGGCCTGCTAATACAGGCATCTTTCCTTCGCTTCAATTCTGTTTTCTACCTTTATATCGATATCACACTCACGATCGTTGCAAATATGGGCCTCGCTTGATCCCATTATCCTATCGCTTTCTTCCTTTCACCTCTGCCAAGTACAGTACATCTGATCAATTCCGCCGTGCCGCCGACGCATAAGCACATCGGGACAAGCGTATCAAAAAGTTCAAACGATAGACTTGGATGCAGTGAAACTCTTTGAGTCCTCTCGCCATGGCTATCCTATCTTTGAAAAGAGCGCTGGTCTCCGCCATTCTCCTCATCTCAACCTCCCACCGAGCCTCCGCACAGGATACGTTCTCATTCCTACCGAGCGCGGCAACCTCAAATTTCCCAGCATGCGGCCTCCAATGTCAGCTCCTCCTCGAGGCTCAATCAGCCTGTGTCCCGCCCCAGGCTAGAGTCAGCAATACCGATACCTACGTTTCTTGCTTTTGCCAGTCATCCCTGATCTCGGGTCTGCCGTATACCGCTTCCATGTGTCCCACCTGCACGTCTGCTTCAGATCAACAGCTGTTGATCAATTGGTATAAAAGTTATTGCGCTGGTGGATTCCGGTCCACTTTGACTAATACAGCGACTGCCACGACGTCGACTGTCTCCAGGACAACTAGTACCACCTCTACTACAAGTACTACCACCGCGCCTGCGCGCAAAGGGACCTCATCATCGTCGACCGGTGTTTCTAGTGACTCGAAGAGCTGGTTAGTTTGGACGTCCCTCTCATGTTGTAAAGGTAACACTGACCGGGTATAGGTTCTCCACTCACTGGCAATGGGTACTAATGTTGATCATCCTGGTGATCGGTTTCTCCGCACTTGCCGCCGGAGCCGTATGGCTGAAGAAACGTCTCGACGCCAAACAACCAGGTCTTTATCACGGTGACGACCGACGCGATGGTGGTGCCTCTGGAGGTGGCGGTGGTCCAGCAGCGGCATTTTTGCCAGGAAGCCTGCGCAATTTGTCCCGAAATAATCTTAACAGTAACCGTGCATCAACAACCAATAATAGTAGCACCAGCAATGTCGTTGCCGGTAGCTCGAGAATCCCCAAACAGCCAAGCATGTCGACAATGAGTTTTTCGAATCGCCGCTCCCTGAGCAATTCTATAAGCAATCAAAATACGAATAATGGCCATCAAATGTGGGGACCCAATCAAGCGCGCGATTTTGATAACGTCGCCCCTGTCGAAGAGCCCGTTTTCAGGAATTCAATGGCCTCAGCGGCAGCAGCAGCAGCATTCCGAAACGGAGGGGCCGGATCAACAACATCAGAAGGAGCAGAAGGGATAGGAATAGCGACTACAACAGCGAACAACTCACGAACCGATATATCGAGTGTCGGCACCGGAGACGGAAGAGCAACACCTAGAAATCTGAACAGATTGAGTATGCAGTCAGCATCAGCATCGAATTTACATCAACAACAACAAATGCTGCAGCAGCAACAGCCACTGTTACATCAACAACAATCGCAACGGGAGCTGCAGAGGCCGAAATCTGCAAGTCCCGTTAGTTCGATTCATGATTAGAAAATTTTTTTTTCCCTTCGATGTTCGTCTGTGTCTTTTTGGGGGGTGTTTTTGCATGCATGCATATATAATCAATTTTCTCTTCCGTCTGTGAGCATCAACCGTGTCATATCTTTCCTTTTTGTCGGTTACATATTGCACTTGGGTGTACGTACGGTGTTTATTATATTTTGGGTATCATGACCGTGTTGATATAGCTTTGCTCTCTCTCTTTTTTGTCACTGTCTCTCCCTGTCTGAGATACTCCTTGGCTGATCAAGGTTTAAAGTTTCTTTACGGTTATCTGTCTCCTTCGGAATGTTGGAGTTATTGTTCCGTTGTCTGATCTACACATTCCTTCTGGATTTTTGCTTGATTCGAATTGATATGCAAGGGATGGAATATTTGGATATGTATAGAAGGATGTAAGGGACAGCCTGTGTACGATTACTAGGTACATCTATCATCCAGACTGACTATAATTCGGCACCCTGACATTTCGGGTTACATTTCGCACATTTTACACTCTCTAAATACAAACGTACTAGTACATCACGACACACTAATACTAACGATCTTCACATCTTCCTCCGGTTTCTCCTTCTTAACCCTCACGTTCTCAATCCGATGCACAACATCCAATCCTTGAACCGCCCTGCCAAAAATCGTATGTTTCCCATCTAACCACGGCGTCTTCTCCGTCGTTATAAAGAACTGTGACCCGTTCGTGTTAGGTCCCGCATTCGCCATACTCAGTGTGTATGGTTTATCATGCTTGATGGTCGGTGAGATTTCATCTTTGAATTCTCCGCCCCAGATACTCTCGCCTCCCGTGCCGTCGCCCAAGGGGTCGCCGCCTTGGATCATGAATTTACGGATTACGCGGTGGAAGATTGTGTTGTCGTAGTATCCATGCCGGGCGTGCGTGACGAAGTTTTCGACAGCTAGAGGCGCGATTTGTGGGAATAAGCGGAGATGAATATCGCCCATTGTGGTGTGGAGGATTGCTGAAGTTCCGGATTCGGTCTTTTTGGTTTGTGATTCCTTCGACGTGATGTCCCCTTCACGCGGTTTTTCGTTTTGAATGTCGCGTGTGGATTTATTGATTTCGGTTTCGTTGGTGAACATGTAGAATCGGACTTTGCCGAATCCTGTAGATACGAGGATTGGATCGCGTTCTTCGGATTCTTGGAGCAGAGGATTGGAACTGGCGGCCATACTAACTGTAATAACTCCTTTCTTTTGTGGTTGTCCCTGGTATACGGCAAGATTGAGCGCTCGGAAGGGTTCGTCCTTGCCGAAAACGCGGGCAACGCGGTTGGTGAATGTGTTAATGCATTTAATGCCGTGAAGGGAGCCGTATAGTATAAAATAACCCGACTCATCAAAAATAACATTGATCTTGGACCGCGTCACGGGATTCTCAATCTCGCGCTCAACTGCTATTCGACGTCCGAACTCGACTTCCCCTAGTCGCTCCAGTGCCGTCCCGGCTTCTTGCATATCGGTGATTGTGGTCAATGACTCGTCATACGTCCTATACAACTTCCCAGACTGAAAATCAAACACCCGGACTTGTCGATCGGGAAATGAAAAAGTAGCGAATTGTTGGCCAGATGGCGAGATTGTAATCGACGAGGGTACCGATTTCTTCTTTCGAAATTCGAACAGATTCGTAGATGACTTTAGCTCAAAGACATTATCTGGTTTTGAAAAGTCGTCTGAAGGTCTCCAGTACTCAATCATCCCAGCTTCGTCAGCTGAGATAACGCAATCGTATATATTATTGAATGCCATTGCTACTACCGGCTTCCTGTGAATCGAGGTCAAAGTATGCAATGGCTCGCGATTCTCTCCTCGTCCGTCAAATATGGTTATTGACGGTGTTGCTTCGTCGGTAACAGCCAGCAGTGGCAGGGATGCACCACGTTTATGTACCCAGCAGACGCATCGGGGAGTGAACACCAGATCAAACATGGCTAGAAGATCTGCTCAAAGTCAGTATGAACGAGCTCGTTTACGGAAAATAAACAATTCCTCTTACCAAAAGTAATAATATCAAAGATCTTAACAGTCTTATCCGTCCCCGCCGTAGCAAAACTCCTACCATCCGCGCTGACAGTCGTGCTCGTAATCTCACCAGCATGCGCTCGGAACTCCTTGACAAACTCCACCCCAACAGCCATCTTCTTCCAGAACTTGACGACACCATCAATCGAGCTCGTAATGAGAAAGTCGGTCGACGGAGTGAAATTCACGAATGACAGTTGGTCGCGATGCATAAGTGACTTTGAATACCGTTGGGATGTAGGTAGCGCGTTGACGTAGACTTTCTCAAAGGCAAGTTTGCGCCTCTTCTTCTTTGGAGCAGCTGCGGACGGGAGCGCTGGACCAAAGTCATCGTCAGAGGAGGAGTCATCGCCTGTTCTAATGTCAGCTCGATAGCTTTGGGGAAATAGAGTACTGCGTCGCGAACTGACCATTCTCGGTTTGCGGTTCGTTTGCTACATCAGACAATCGTCTCTTATTGGATACGGACTCCGTGTGGTTTTTAGCTTCAGGCATTGTGCAAAAATCAATCCACAGCTCCGAATATACAAAAGTGGTAAAATTGAGCTTCTGCTGAGTCTAAGTAAAGCTTGCGGACAGTTTTCTCGCATAGAAGAATCGGACTAAATGACGGAGACGAACAAACGCACGGACCAAGTCTCCTAAGCCTAACTTTTTATCAAAACACCTCCCCGCTTTCTCTATCTGTCCAGCACATTCAAGTCAAGACAACAATAAAGGAGTTATCAGCAGCATTCCCGAAATTATGGCGGGCAACAATCCTACTCAAATTTTTGCTGATGATGTGGTGGAGGAAAAGGGAGAGAATGCTCGTCTCTCTGCTTTTGTTGGTGCTATTGCTGTGGGAGACTTGGTGAAGTCGACGCTGGGTCCGAAGGGAATGGACAAAATATTGCAATCTGCGTGCGTGCTCTATTCAAAACAGCACAAATGCCACACTACTAACATATTTTTGCTGTAGGTCGACTGGAGAAATTCTGGTCACCAACGACGGAGCTACCATCCTGAAATCAATCGCACTAGACAATGCCGCCGCCAAGGTACGAATATTCGATCTGGCCACTAGAAATAAGCATAGTTCTAATGAGGCTTGGTATAGGTCCTGGTCAATATTTCCAAAGTACAAGACGACGAAGTCGGCGATGGAACTACATCTGTCGCAGTGCTCGCAGCCGAGTTGCTCAGACAAGCCGAAATCCTCGTGGACAAAAAGATTCACCCACAGACCATCATAGACGGTTACCGGATAGCCAGCAAAGCCGCGCTCGCTGCCCTCGAAAAATCAGCTGTTGACCGCAGTAACGATCCCATTGCTTTCCGCAAAGATTTGCATGCCATCGCTCGCACGACGCTGAGTTCAAAGGTTCTTGCTCAGGACCGTGAGCACTTTGCTACCCTCGCTTGCGACGCCGTGCTTCGATTAAAGGGGTCTACTGATCTCAGTCATATCCAAATTATCAAGAAGGCTGGCGGAAAGCTCTCAGAGTCTTATTTGGATGAAGGTTTTATTCTTGATAAGAAGTTTGGTGTGAACCAGCCCAAGCGCTTGGAGAATGCAAAGATTTTGGTCGCGAATACCGCTATGGATACGGATAAGATTAAGATTTTTGGTGCACGAGTGAAGGTAACACTCCTAGGAAGCTGCGCGATGGGTTTCATGGCTAATATTTATACAGGTCGACAGCACCGGCAAACTTGCTGAATTAGAGAAGGCCGAGCGGGAAAAGATGCGCCAGAAGGTCGAGAAGATCAAGTCACATGGCATCAATTGCTTGTAAGACTACCTTGGTCCGTTTCGTAAAGTTTGAAGTGTACACTAACGTGTTACAGTGTCAACCGGCAACTTATCTATAACTGGCCAGAGCAGCTTTTCAGTGAAGCCGGAATTGCCAGCATTGAACACGCAGACTTTGATGGTACGCTTCTCCTACACATTTTCAGAGTTAGGGTAAAGTATTAATACAGGATAGGTGTCGAGCGACTAGCACTTGTCACCGGAGCAGAGATTGCTTCAACGTTCGACAACCCCGAACAGGTTCAGCTCGGTCATGCCGACTTAGTTGAGGAGGTCATCATCGGTGAAGATTCATTGCTCCGCTTTTCCGGAGTTGCCAAGGGCGAAGGTGTGTGTTACTCTCCAAATACTTAGGACTATCTGGCTAACCGTCTCCAGCTTGCACTATCGTTTTGCGAGGTTCGACTGAACAACTCCTTGATGAAGCCGAGCGTTCTCTCCACGATGCTCTTGCCGTTCTTTCTCAGACCGTCAAGGAGCCCAAGGTCACTCTCGGAGGTGGCTGTGCCGAGATGACTATGAGTTTGGCTGTTGAGCAAGCCGCTCAGAACACAACAGGAAAGAAACAACTCGGTATGTCCACTCACTTCCCCCTTCTCTATTATTACTCTGTACTAATCTATCCTAGCTGTTGACGCCTTTGCCCTCGCACTCCGCCAACTCCCCACAATCCTTGCCGACAACGCCGGTCTCGACAGCTCAGATCTCGTCGCCCGACTCCGACAAGCCATCAGCAAAGGCATGGCAAGCTCCGGCCTGGATCTTTTCGAGAATAAGATTAGCAACATGGCCGAACTCGGCGTTGTGGAGGCATACAAGCTCAAGAGAGCCGTTGTTAGCTCTGCTTCTGAAGCTGCGGAATTGTTATTGCGTGTGGATAACATTATTCGTGCTGCTCCTCGGAAGCGTGAGCGTATGTAAAATGGAGAAGTGAGGGGAATATTTTGATAGACCGATATTAGAGACGAGGTCAAGGAAAAAGTTGTATGAAATGAGATGATTGTTTATTGCATGAGATCTTTTGTACAATGCAGAAATGGTAGTAATATATACTAATTGCAGTTAAACACATGCCCTCAACTACATTTAAATAATACTTACGCACGGATGAATGTACTGCCCTCTCTACAGAAACGAGGAACCCGTGTCGTTAATTGCTTATGTACCTACTTCTAGCACCAGCCAGTCACAGCACACCAATGACCTCGGGAATTCCCGTTTTGAATTTCAATCATTATAGGCATTGATCATACCCCTATAATCAAGATCATTGCAACTCATGTCTTGTATTACCATGACCCTGCCCCTGATCAGCCGGCATCTCTGCTTGCGTCACAACACCCAGATGATACTGATAATGATGTTGATACGATGAAACAGCGCCCAATTCCTGCGCACCTCCATCAGGGGACTGGTAATATCCCTGAGATTCAGAATGCAATTCACTCGTCCTTCCCGTTGTCGATGACGGATCGTCACTAACGGGTGAGACTGGGGCTGCAAGTCCAGCTGGATTGTGTTGTTGATCGTGTACCTGCTGCTGTAATCGCTGCTCTTGCTGTTGCGAATCTAGCTCGGGCTTATGTTCGTGATATATTGGAGTCACTACTGGCGCATCTGCTTTGTCGTCCTCAGCATTGTTTGCCGGCGCGTATACAATATTTGTTCCCACTGCTGTCGTCTCTCGTCGACGGCGAGCACAACAATAAACGATCAAGGCAATTATACCTCCGATAATAGCGAGACCGCCCACTCCGGCACCAACGCCGATACCTATCTTTGCGCCTGTGCTGAGGCCAGAAGAGCTCTTTTGTGCGTTGCTGCTGATAGAGCTGCCAGAGCTGGAAGAGTCTCCACTATTGCCGGATGTGGGAGTATCGCTCGGAGAACTGATGGCAGTGGTGTTACCTGCTGAGCTCGTGGCGGCGGGCGCATATGTGATTGTGACGGTGGTGACTTGACCGTTAGAAATGGGTATCGTGTTTGTGAATATCGAGGCAGATGCCGTTGGGATTGCAATTGTCGATAAAGAGAAGTCTTGAAGACGCGAATCAGTCAGTTCGTACAAGCTTAACCGAAGCCTGGGAGACAACGGAGCCACAGACCTATTGATGTTGGAAAGAAAGTCGGTATAGAATAGGACGAGGTAATAATAGAACAAGCCGAATCCGGTACCCTGGTAATTGAAACGCCAAAGTCGCTGCAAAATGCTTGACTTTCTTGCCAAACAACTGTTGTATAGCAATAAAAGATTAGCCAACGTTATACACGTCTACCGGATATAGACGTACGATTATCATCAGAGGCGTCGCAACTGGTGCGCACACAGCAGGTGCTCACGGTGTGGAAAGTAGAGGATTTGCAAATACATGTATAGTCAGTGGAAGCGCAGGTCGTACTGGCTGCCCCTATTTCTGCGCATGGTTGCTAGTCATTTCGTAATATTATCAGTATACCGAGTATACGCTCGCTACTCTGATAAAGAAACGATTGAAGATTCCGAACGTTTCTTTCGACTCACTTACAGCACAGACTGGCAGGTAGCTCCATACTGACTGACCATCTACTGTTACAACCACCAGTAACAATGACAGCAATGCTTGGGAACGCATATGGCTTCAACCTCCTTTAATCCAATTTGACAGAATTGACGTATTAGTCGTGGACTCTTTGCTGTCGCTCTTGACCTTTGAGTTTCATCCGTGGCGATCACTACTAGGTCATTTTTCATAACTATGAGTCAAACAGTGTATGATGATGGAGAACAAGGAAGAAACATTTTATGAAGGAGTCTCGAAGAGCAAATTGATCCATTTCCCCACGCAAGCTACAGAGTCGCCATGCTTAAGGTGTGATAGGATGGTCAGGTCGTGCTAGTCAACAATCCTAGTCTCAAGCTTCAAGGACTTCGCGTAATGTTGCTGTTTTGGGCGCAGTCTTGTTGCCGTATCTGGTGTAGGGCAAGGCTCATTGTTAGCTCAATCAAATCGAATTCTTGAAGCATTCCCATTTGTTTGATATGATGGAGAACGAAAGATAAACAAGATGATGGGAGGTGAATGAAAGAGAAAGAAGCTGCGATAGCTCTTGTGTATCTGGACTGCCTTTCCTGCCTTGCTGCCTGAGAGAACTGGCACCATAACGGCACTCAATTCGTGCTTTGATTGGCTGTAAGCAATGCAGAGCTTGTGTACACAACACATTCTAATTGGCCAGCCACTTGCAGAATGACCTTCCCCTTTCTGGACTAACTTAGGGAACAAATGGTTCTTGCTTATTAAGCGACCGATTCTCCAAATTCCAAACTTCTTCCTTCATCACATGGCCATAACCAACAGAAGAATCCCCCATTTCAAGGCAATTCATTAATTGAAATGCACTTTGTTCTTATATTATAGCCTTTATTTTGAGATAAGGTTACTGTAGGTACCGAGAGGCTCTTCTTTCGTTATGCGCGGGTTTTATTGTATGTGTTTGCCATGTTGACTTCATTTCTCCAACTCTTACTCCCCTTCCGACTTTCCAGACCTCAGCGGGGGAAGCCTTCAGACGAGACTGATAGCAAGATAACTTCAGCCGGAAACATTCCTCAAAAGCCTACGAAAGCCACCTAAATTACTCAGGGAGCCTCAATTTTTATTGAACGGTATAGTTTTCGGTATCGGTATATCGTCGTGTCGAGTCGTGAAGCTTACAGAGGTGGACCAGCCCGGTGAGGGACTGGCAATCTGTGTGGTTTTCGTAGGCATTTCCGACCGACAACTGGCTATAATGAACTAAAGGCCGCTCAGAAAGTCAATACCGGTAAACAAATGAAGTGCCCCCTTGGCCAAAGCTGAAGTAACCACCAAGTGCCACTTGGTGGTTACTTTAACCTAACATAGAGTCCGATATAGAAAAACGCTTTCTAACATTCCACCATATACTTTACCACTTTGACGTGCCTGATGATATTCAAAAGAGTGACAATACTTATGTTTCAGTTCCTACCCTGCTGTGGATGACGAATCTCGTTATGAAGCTATGTTGCCCTGAGAAAAAGGCATTGCAAAACGTATGCAAACAATCAAAACCTGGTTGGATGAACTTCAAGCATGGAAAGATAATGTAAACAAAAAGGAACGAACTCGAAATTACGGAAATCTCAGATACGTTTTTACTGTCTTACTAACAACATTAGCGAGCTTATTGGGATTCATGAAGGCAATCTCATGCGATTAAGTTCATTGCCGCCTAGGATTTCAAAGTTTTCTTGGCGAGCGGAAGGGCGTACTTTGATGGACGAGTTTCCGATTGAGCTTTTGTGGAACTTGGTGGCTGCCGGCCTTCCTTTGCAAATACTATGCCCATGTACCGAAAAAGTGAGGCACGGGACTTTCAGTTTGCACCGTTCATTGCTAGTCCTGGGATACCGGCAACCGGGTTGGGAAGATGCAGCCTTGAAATATCTATCTCAAGAAAGGAAGAACGACCGGCCTAACCGTCGGTCATCAACGGCGTGGCCATCTTTCTTCCAAAACTACCTTTCCTACCAACTTCCCTTGATCGAAGGAACATGTCATCATTCCAACTAGTGGTATGTCCTTCTGCGAACCACGAGATTCTGGATCTCTCGCCCACGACATACATATGCGGGAGAACTTGCGGCTCACTCTATGGGCAACTGGATGACAAGTTCTCTATGATTCTTGGGCTTGGACTTGTTACCACGTCCCCGCTCATCTTACAAGACATAGAGGCGAAAGGGGGACTCCTGACTGACCCCAACATCCGTGAGCAAGATGAACTTGATGACTTGCTCGACTTGATTGATTCGTTAACACCTCAGTGATTGTAGTCCTCCAAGTACCTACCTCTACTTAGCTCAGCTTTCATTAATTCAATATGGCAACCAAGAGCATCCTGGTCGTCAATAGACTAATTAGATGAATGTATTAGAGTGCTCTACATCTCTAATTCAAGGTACAGTACAACCTGGCCATAAACAAAAGGCCTCTCTATATCTACGCTAATCTCAACTTGACAACTGTAGTATAGAAGTAAGGGGCTTCCTGGATGTTATTTAATAGAGTAATTATATAGATTAATGTACTAGAGGGCTTTATATCTCTAAATTCTAGGTACAGCTTCTTATCTCTCAGTCAAGCTCACTTCCTGTATATATCAAATTGGGCAATAAGATTACTTGGGTTGTTATAGCGGCCCCGGGGGGATTAATATACTAGATGACCAAAGTCCTGAGAGCCCTTCAGTTCGTTATACCTGGCAGTTTTAACCTGGAATATACATGAAAATGCCCACGAAGCCACATAAAAGCCAAACCCGTGGGCCATAACAGGGAAGCATTCTGGTCAAATAGTCTAGTTTACGGCTCTGATCGGATTCTATAATATTTGGATTGACATATGATTTGGATAGTAAAGCTTAGTGATATGATTACTGTTAACTGTGCTGTCGATTGAAGATCTTCATCGCGCAAATAGCTCTGGTTGGTCCATGTCAAGGACGTACCCTAAATCCGGCGCTCACGATCAGAGTGACTCAAATCTTTCGCTCCCACATTTTTCCCTCGGCCTCCCGGTTTATCTTCACTTCATAAATAAGATAAAGTGACCAAAAAGATACTCGAGAGTAACTTTCTCAAGTCACTAGCAATCAATCGGTTCAAAAAGCACCAGATTTAGACTCGAGAAAGCGAGGGAGAGAGAGTAACATCATGGACTTCAAGACACTAATGCTGCAGGCCCTTGATGCCACCAAAGATGACCAAATCGATTTTCTGCAAAAGTTTGTTCGAGTACCTTCACCAAATCCTCCCGGACATACAGCAACAGCGGCAGCTGTAGTTATCGATTTCCTCTCCAGCAAAGGTATACCTTTTCAAATAATTGAACCACAACCAGGACAACCGAATGTCGTCAGTGAGTTCCAGGGCAATTCGGGCCCTGGAGGGCCACGGGTAGTCCTAAATGGGCATATTGACGTTTTTCCCGTGGCTGAGGATACGCGCAGCAATTGGGAGCGTGATCCCTGGTCCGGCGATATCGTCGATAATCGCATCCATGGCCGTGGTGTAGTTGACATGAAATCCGGCACAGCATCGCTAGTTATAGCCTACGCACACTTATATGAAATGAGGGCACATTTAACGGGAAGCGTCTCTCTATGTGTGGTATCCGATGAAGAAACCGGAGGACAATGGGGCACAAAATATATTATCCAACAAGACCGAAACAAATGGGGCGGTACTGTCATGCTCAGCGCTGAGCCAGCAGGATGCAAGACTATACGATTTAGCGAAAAGGGGACGTTGAGGATGACCTGCACCGTCAAGACGAAGGGTGCACATGGAGCGTATCTGAATCTGAGTAAAGGTGCTATTCGGACTGCCACCAGTTTCATTGCGGAAGTCATTGATGCCGTGGAGGGGATGAAAGTAGAAGCGCCACAAGAGCTAATCGACCAGACCGCAAAGCCCGAAGTGAAGAGACTTATCAATGAGACAATGGGCCAAGGAACGTCAGGTATTATTCTTGGATCTACTGTGAACGTGGGGACAATAAAAGGGGGCGTCAAGGTTAACATGATTCCTGATACGTGCATCTTCGAGCTAGATATTAGGATGCCTGTTGGTTTGTTAAGAGAACAGGTTCTTGGCTTGATACAACAATCCGTTATTCCCAAATACTCGCCTGCAGCCACTATTGAGATTGATGTCCACGAAGCGGCCAGCAATCCATTCAGTTACTCGTCTCCTAATCATCCAATGGTTACTCTACTCGCTGATAATGCCGAATCTTTTACTACTATCCGACCTCTAGCAATACCATCGATGGGGGCTACGGATTGTAAACACTACAGATACGCTGGTGTACCTGCCTTTGTTTATGGATGTAGTCCTGCGACGAGTGAGTAATTCTTCCCAATTGACTTTACAAACCTTGATTTGTGTTCTTACTAACAGAAATCGGAAGTGGCATCTGTGAATGAGTCTGCATCGATTTCGGAGTTTCTCCATGTCACTAAAGTCCATGCTGGCGCCACTTGGGATTACCTGAACATGTGAAGCTATCACGTAATGTCAAACAAGATTGGAAACTCGGGTCAAGTCTTTATTTCAATTTTCTCCGGAATGCCGCATCCGTTCTCGAGAACGAGGTCTAATTTTCCAAGATGTATCTAGTTATCGGATCTCGCTAATAGTAATCTACAAATTGAGCACCATCACAAAAAACGATGCAATGGTCTATTATGGACTTGCACTTTATACTCGGTAGTAGTCAAACTGAAGATCACAAATGGCAGAGGGTCTTAAAAGACGGGGATAGCAGTGAAAAACAAAAAATTAGGTATGTTCACATTTTAAAGAAATTCCTCAGACGTCTCAGGGTAGTCACTGAGCCGCCACGGGACCCAGGAGATTCTGTATTTGAGCCGTTTAGTGTACAATCAGCTAGCCTGGCCGAGCATAACATGAAGTGGAACTTAGCATTTCAGCTTTACCTACTTAATTCATGTAGGTATATAAGCTCTAAATATGACTTAAAAAGAGTATTGTGAAAGTGGTAGGAGACACCTGGGCAGAGAGGACTTCACGCGGTCGATTTCAATATCCAATAATAAGAATAAGCCAAAATCAAATTGTGTTTCGTAGGACCAATTCTTTTGACTGGGCCCTAAAAACTCCTTTGGATTCTCGGCTCAGAATTATGGTCGTCGAAGCTTCATAATTATATTATATTAATACACACGTCCTATGTGTGCCACGGCAAGAAGAATAGGTAAAATGGAAAGACACAATGTTCCGCCTTGTTAGCTCTCCAAGCAACGGCACTCATAGGATCCAAGCTTAGGGCACAGAAATGATCGGAGAGGCCACAAAGTTGACGAAGATACTTCTCGATTATGATAATGCCAATCCAGGAAATGAATCCATGATTCGTACTTGGATGGGCTGTCCTGCTGACACATGAAATTTCACTTCTTTTTTGGCTGTCTAACGAATAGATCCATGCGGCCGACTTGAATCTGCCAAGCACGAGAGGATTGGGTCAGAATGAGGTTGACCGTTGCATCACCATCGAGCTGATTTAGAACGGGATGCTGCATCAGGAGTAAGGGCCCTGGGACACATATCGCTGCTAACATCAAGTTTTCTGTATTCGACAGTGATTGGTGAAAAAGTGATCGGTAAACTAAGAAATGAGCCAATAAAATATGCGGAAAGAAATGCTTAATGAATTTTAGCTTGTTTTAGTACGGCTTGGCACACTTACATTAGACCCACTTTAGTACTTTGAACAATTCGAAGATGATGATTGGCTGATTGTCACATCGTCTGTCAAGGTTTCGGTTTGAAACCGCTGAGGAGTCATTGCAGGCTTCTTCTAAAGCAAATATCGAGCAAGCAAGGGAGATTAGAGTTATAATGACACCGTTTCTCTTCTCACCACGATAGGATTAACAGAATACTACGGGACTGAGAGCCCACACTCCATTTTTGCACGGCATTTTATGTCAAATGGAAAGCAGCTTCTATGGGATTAAGGATAGTAGTAGAAGTTAAAGTATACTAAATCAAAGTCCAACTCACACGTCACAACGCCCCGGTGTGTCGAAATGAAATGAACCAAAAACCGAATAGAAGAGGAAAATTCCGCAAAGAAAAAAGAGAGAGAAGAAGATAAAGGACAGGGTTCGCGGGTATAGCCTAGGCAGAGCGTTCCTCAACTGGGTCGGATACATAGACGGGCATGAGTCTCCCTTCCTTTTCGGCATAATATGCTATCTGCGGGGGCTTCATTTCTAGTATTTTCAGTGTCTTCCGTGCATTCTCCCCATTCTTTTCAACCTCAAACCAAAATGTTATGTCTATTTCCATTCTCATGTTCCCTTCAGATTCTCCCTCTCCATCCTTGTACGTGAAGTTGAATTCGCCGACCATTTCGTACTCCCACTTTCCAGGCTCAAGATTGAAAGGGCATAATACCATTTGGTATGCGTCCTTTGCAACTGCTAGAGGTTGAGCGTATCTCTGAATTTCATTGTTCCCGTTATTTCCCCCTCTTGGTCTCAGAAATTCGTGCAAGGGTCCTGCGTTTTTGGGATTGAAATTCATGAGGTGTCCGGACATGCCCCCTTCAACGATCTTAGTTTTCTGAGAAGGACACTGTGGTTTCGATCCCAGAGTACCCATCATAAGCCACATTCTCTTGGGCAAGCCTTCATCCAACTTGAGTGGCTGTTCTATAGAATTTCCATACACCTTCGTATCATAAGGACTTTGATTGATGTCCTTGATATACAGGTCGAAGAATGGCAGGTAAGATCCCGAAGGATTGGCACTTGTCTTAAACATTGTCGTGGGGTTGGGAAGAGCCAGATGTTGTAGGAAACCTTGTGTTGAATAATAATGGTATAGATTGCTCGGTAATTGTTATTCGAAAGATGATTGAAGAACTTGAAGTTTGAAGGTATGAGGTTGGAATTTTCAAGGCTTATATAGCCCATGCTCAATGACTATGACTCTTTGTGCTGACCCTTCAGTATGAATCACAGTCAAGTTTTGCAACTTGTGCTGATCCATGAACATCGGATGGATGAATCATTGTACACCTAGGTAGATTGTCGCGGCTTTCATCTTAACATTCTGGATTGTGTTCCACTCCAATTTATTCAAGATTGCTCTTTCTTGCAAGGAGGCCATGCAAGCTGAGATTTAGATTTCAATTTTAGTTTCTCTGAGAGGAAGATATTGCCGAGGTAGAGATCATCAGGAATCTATGAATTTCCCAAGTATCTCGTCAGGTAATCCACCGCCGTTTAATACGATACTTTCGTCCGATGATGGTGTTCGGCAACCTCCTTAAGAATTCCCGATTTGTGGACCAGGTAGTAAGTGGTATTGCTCTCTGTATGTCGCTCACATAATTGCCCAAGGTGATTATATCTGTTCCAATCTTCATTCTAGTTACGACAGACTTACTGTCCGGACTATAAAATATACCAAATCATTACACCCTACCTAGGTCCCCGGGTATCTTTTTTCTCGCTGGAATTTAGATAACGTGGAATACATCAAATAAGGAGTATGCGGTGTTTCTTTCGATCCAAGAAAGTCGATAGCTAGGACACTGTTAAACGCCGAGCAGACCTTTCGTATGACAGCTAACTACTAGGGCGCAGGTAGAATAGCCGTGGATATCCAGGTCATCAACTATGCGCCAACAATATTGTGCAGCCCAGGTATGTTTGGACCAAAAAGTCCGATTTTCATTCTCATCTGACGAGCTCTATGACAGGAGTCGGCCTTTATTCAAACTGTCAAACCCTAGTCTACCTAGGTATGAATCGATCCAGAATGCACATATATGGTGCTCGCGGGATATTTCAGTTCGTTGGACCTTCATCTCAAGAATCTGGGTATATTAGGTTTTATTTTGAACTGCAACTGCGAAAACTCTACTATCCTAAGGTACATGCAAACTATAACCCTAGCTTGAATGTTTAAATACTACTTCATATATTGACTCTTGGCACTTTTGACTGCATTTGTTTTATGCATCCTACTTGCAAAGTACCTAGAAGTGGTGGTGGACTTCTTCAAAGAATTGTTATATCTATTTACTATGAAGAAGAAGGGGAAAGGATCAACATGTGCGCATTGTGTGCTTGCCTTGCAGCCCGTGGATCATTAAATAACAATATCAATTATCTAATATTGAAATGTGCAGGTCTGCCCTAAAGAGAGCATATCAACGACAGACATTCCAGTGACTTCGTCCAAGGCACGATGACGTGGATTCTGTGTGCAGGCCAATGGCTCTATGGTCATATAATCCATGCAACTACAGTCCGGAGACGCAAGGAGAACTATATCAAGGCCGTATTCTCGGCATCAACACTAGAACTTCTGGCAGAAGAGTTTGCCTGCGGTTGCGGCCACGAGAAGAGTGCGCTTACATCCGTAAAAACCTTTTACTCAGAGTAGCTAATTGTATGCATTCCCTGTCGCTGAATGTTCCCTGGTGATGCTTAGGTAATAGAAGAATTACATTGATGATTCAACAGTGTGAAATTCGACTACAATATTCACCAACTCCTTTATCTTAGAGGACTATTAATGAGCCCATGAACTTGTCCTCGGATAGAACCTAGAATTGATCTCATGGCAAGTAAAGACTGACCTTAACATATTTACTAAAGAGTCCTTGCACATGTGAGAGATACTTGCATCAATCTGCACTGGGAAGTGCAAAAAGACTTTCAAATCACGCAATTGCCTCTGTCTCTACGACTGTTTTGCAACATCAGTAGATTGATGATTGCATTAAGCTTTAGAACACGTGCATCAAACGGTATCTGTGTTCGAGGTTTGTCCGTCTCATCTACCGAGAATGCAGCTGCCTAGATGGCTATCAGTAGAATCTATCAGGTATGCACTCGGACGGATGGGATTGGGTGAGTTGTGTGGCAGCTGTGGTGGCCACCAATGACTCGTGTTGTCCACCCAATCGAAACTCTGATTAGCGAACCATGGATTTTTGTAAGCCACGCAGACCGATCTTTGCCAACGAAACAGTGCATACGTAGGACGTAGTGCAGCCTTGTTGGAGCTTTCATATGGTACAAGTTCAGATTAACCGGCTGCGTCGATCATGATCTAGCTTCTCCGTTCACTTTGTCTAGACTAGGAAACTCGATGATCCATTCAAAAAGCTTCGATAACTAATACAGTGGCATCCTATTCGGCACCAGTGCAGCCACCCTTCGGGGTTTGGATATGAAACCCTTTCGACTTTACCCGCAGGGGCTTGGGCATATTAGGGCTTTGCTTGGCCAGGAGTATGAATGTGGGGCAGTTTTCAACGGCGACCAATGAGCATTTCGTAATTACCAATGCAGTTGTCAGCTTTCCCAGGCAGAACTTTTTCCACAAAACTCGAAGCGATGTTATTCGCCATGTGGTACACCGATGGTTGAGATTCATCCATTAAGACGGGATCTGTTATCAGGCTGTGCTTGCGATCAGACCCAGTATTAAAGACACTTGGGAAGGCTTTCAGACGTGGTTCGGGATATTAAGCTTTCCATGGCGCACTGGACGCCGACCACTTAGCATTAGGGCGTGACATTGGCCTTTTAAAGGAATAAAGGATCTTTTAGAGTAAACTAATGGATTCTATTTTAAAGAATCTTAATCCCACGAAACTCAAACCCTAAGTCATTTTGTCAATACGTATTGGTAAATAACATCACCATGTTCGTCAATCTCTTATGGATACTGTGCCTGGCTCTGTCGAGGTTTGTCCTTGGTCAAACTGATAACGGCATTCAGAATGACCCTATTTCAGTGTTTGTCACGTCTCCCGGCTCAGGGTCCGGAAACTATGTGTTTGCCCTCAATGTTCCCTCAAACTCGGGAGATATCTACTTTCACCTCTCGGGTCCAGCTGCATACTCCTGGGTTGCGGTTGGAACAGGATCAAAAATGAAGGATTCGCTTATGTTTATTGCATACTTGAACTCGACTGGAAATGGTGTGTTGATTCTTCCAGGTACACTTTCCCATGAGAAACGAGGCTGACTACTGTTCTTTAGGCGTTACACTCAGTCCGCGAATCAGCACCGATGAAACGGAACCAAGTTACTCATCTAGCATCAATGTTGAAACTCTGTCCGGCACTGGAGTATTTAATGGAACCATTTCTGTTAATGCTCGCTGCACTAACTGTACGAAGTGGAACAAGGGTTCCTTGAATCTGAAGAGTACGAGTCAATCTTTCATCTACGGTCTGGGACCTAGCTCCGGAAGTCTCAAAAAGCTACAGAGTGATTCACTCTCAGCTGGAATCGAACGCCACTCTGTTTATGGTATGTGAACGTGGGATTTTCTCGTGGTTCCTAGTTACTAAGTAAGATCAGGCAACTTCGTGATGAACATGACCAAAGCAACCGGAGGAACCGACGGCACCACTCTTCTATCAACAACATTTTCATCCGTCACAACAAGTAGTGGAGCATCGGCCGATGGCGACCAGACACATGACAGCAATTGGCCAGTCATTATACACGCAGTTGCTCTCTCTGTCGCATTCATAATCCTTATGCCCGGAGGAGCCATACTCCTACGCATAATCCCCGCGAGCGTCCGGTGGCATTGGGTCAATCAAAGCGTCGCTACCATCCTTGCCGGCATCGGCGGCGTTATCGGTCTCTGGTTGAGCACAATGTATAACCGATCCAGCAGCTACAACTCCGCCCATCAGGTTCTGGGTATAATATGCGTCGTGGCAGTACTTGTGCAATGGTTCCTGGGATTCTGGCACCATTGGCAATACAAAAAGCATCAGACACCGACCAAATATGGCGCCGTACATTTGCATATGGGCCGGATCATCCTGGTATTGGCTATTGTTGTCGGAGCAATCGGGTTATCCTGGTCATCTGTCAAGACTGGCGTTATCATCGCATACGTGGTGATTGCAGGTGTCATCGTGGTTGTCGTCCTTGCTCTGTCGATGTGGAAAAGACATTTCTCGGAGTCGCTATCATTTCTTCCTGCTTTCGGGCCATCCAAAAGATCGGTGAATAGCGAGGGAAGCTACGAAAATCTGGCGGATCCATTCTCGAATCGCTATGAATATCGGTCGTATGAGTCAAATACCCCGTTGGCCAGCTATCCGAATGCGAACAATTCTAGGTAACGGGATATGTATGATTTGGATGATGGGAGTTTTGGGAATTCATAGCATCTTGTTCAAATCCTTTGATATTTTCAATCTATAGCAGCGTTCCGTGTTTTGGGTATATTGGCTTTTGAATACATAATCTATGTATTTTTGTTGTCCATTTGTATGATAGACGCAGCAAGAATTCGGATTATATAGGCTGTTACTCTCCATGAAATCATAATCATTGATATAAGAATGTTAAGCGTTACGACACCAGACTTTCGATCGAATCGGTCGATAAAGAGATGAGCTTGTTGGATCCAGGGGCCATAAAGAGGTAGTTATAGTTTGATATTTATCTTTGCCCTAAGCAAATTACACCATACCCAGCTTGATTGCTGCTACGGGCCCAATATTCTTCAAGAGTCCTTACTTGCACGGAGATGGACGCTCCAAGAGCTACCTGGGTGATAATGCCTTGGAGTGTATATGTAGGTACTACTGATAATCTGACTTCTGTTGGCACAGTACGGAATCCATGGATCGACACACTCTCACGGCAGTAAACCCTATACCGTATTTAAACAAACAACAAATCCTTCAGCACAAACTCAGGCAGCTGAAAACTTGTATCCCACTCATGCACAAACTGCCACTCCCACTCATTGCCATCATTCGAGCCAGCAATTACCAGCAATGGTCCCTTGGCCTCACCCTGGTATTGGAACGGTCTAGGAGGAGAAGCTGCTCCACTAGCTCCTCGATCTCTGACAGCAGGCAGTAAAAGAGAGACCCAGAGATACTTTTTAAACACCGGTGCAATCACTGTATAGGCTTCTTATATCCAGTCGTGAGTTTCCACCCTTGTTGTAGATGTAAATGTAACTGGGGACCTCGGACTCGTCCTGTTCGAAGAACTTCAAGCGGAGCCACGTCGGAAGCGCTCGAGAACGACCGATAAGGCAGGCAAGCCATTGCGCTTTGAAGCCTTGTTCGGTAACCCTACCTGCTACACTATCTTCTCCATCGTAGGCGGGATATTGTTCTGTACTGGGGGTACCAGCCGTGGGAGGCAGGAGATTCGGGTGTGAGGGTGCCCAGCTGAATCCGTACTCGCCCTGCAGACGTGGACTGCTGAAGACGAGGAATCCGGTTGATAGGAAGTTTCCCACTGTGGACTTCCAAAAGTCCACAGATGCTTTACAGAGCTTTGAGCCGCACACCAGACTCCAGATCAGGGTCACGTCTCGGTCCTTGGTGGCGTGTCTGTGATTCAAGAGGCAGGTTGCTTGCTCTATCTTGGCAGGGGGTATCTCACCTTCGACAGGGCGATCGTCGGTAGGTACGTAGTGCTGCAAGGCTAAGCATGGAGGAATAAGGGTGAGATTGCTGTATGCTAACACATCATTAAGGGTATCCCCAAGAGATATGATATGGTTGTCTTTGCACAGGATGTGGAGGTTCCAGCAACCTCGCATACCTTCCAAAAGCGTCCAGGCACGAACATTCCAGTCACAAACAACGAGAGTTGCCACGATAGCCTCTTTCGCCTCCAGAGAGGGCCGGTCAATATCGATCTCCATGAGGTCGCGGTCAACTAGCAAGGTTACCTTGCTATTGAGGAAGTTATTATTAATCTGGCCCATCGCCTCGTAACGAAGATCCATATCTGTAGGAATACAAGGACTGTCCATCCAATATGAAGTGCAGCCTAACGCCCGTGCCAGTCTGGTATATCTGCGATGTAGGCAGAAGTTAAAGCCAGTTTCAGGCCGTCCCCCTTGACCATGACTTCAGACATGAGACACGGCCATGGTCTCCGTAGACACCGGACAGTATCGAATGTATTCCTCATCAGTCTCTTCCAAAGAAACTGCCCTGGCCCCTTTGATATTTTTATACGACTGTTCGTCCCAGGTTGGGCGACCGCAAGCAGAGCCAAGGCACTCAACGTCATGAGCAGATTGCTCCTGAACGCCTTCGGACTCAAATCTCTGACAGTTTCCAGGCGCTCTCCCATCACAGACCCTCAGCTTGCCGCTACTGCTACTGTTATCCTTACCAGCAACAGTGGGGTTAACATTGCACCGCGGCGCACGGTCACCAAAGTGGACATTGTAGATCTCGAACATTCTTCTGAAATCCTGCGTCACCGAACTGAGATCAGTCCGAAGAAGCTCAAAAGCCCATTTGCACATATAATTTGGTCGCATTTTCTCGAGGGCCTCTCGCCTAGGCATTGCCAGAGGATAGCTATGTCGAAAAAAGGAGGCGCCCGTCTTCACCTGGATGGTGGCATCGAACCAGAGTTGAATCAGTATAGTCTGATGTCACGTTGTATAGAGAAATGCCTGCAGAACAAACCAAGCTCGTGCATCAGCCGTAGATTTTGAATTCTGAAGGAGAAACTCCGTTGCCGTGTCAAGAAGTGTGACCAATGCGTCTAGATAGGCGCTGAGAAAGCCGACAGGAACGCTCCTTTGCATCACTAGGAACAAAGCGATCCGCACGACATTGGTACTCGGCTTGGATAAAACCCGGAGATTGGACCATTTGTATTCATTTTGTAGTGTTCTAGCTGTTGTGGTAGGAGAAGAAGATGAAGGAGTAGCTAGGTACTCCTCTGGCCACGGACCTTCCGCATGAGACTGGCCACGTTTGCCCGTATATTCATATGGAATCTCAGGAGGATATGAGGGAATTCGAGCTAGTAAGGCACACGCCCTATCAATAATTTCGTCCCTGCTCCATTTCTGCTTATGAACCAGGAAGCTACATATTATCAGAGGGGAAAGCAAATCATCCAGTTTCTCGACGTGAGAGCCCAGGTTCTCGCTCTTAGGATCCAGGAATACAATCGCATCCCTGCACCACTGATCGAGCCGCGCCTTAATATCTGTGCTGTCTAGTACGACGATATTTAGTGGATCGCCTGAGTTGGTAAACAGCCGAAAACGCATCTCGATCGGCAGTAGCCATCCCGGCTTCTGTGTTGGGTCGTAAGTATTCCGATCGAGAATCTCAGCGACCTGAGCTCTACTCAAGTCTTGAAGAGTCGGATATATCATTTCCCCGTCTTTCTGGGGATCCTGCCTATTGCTTGTCCTTGATGTTTCTTGGCAGTGTTTGAGTCTGATGAAGCGTCAATATAAAACATGCAAAGCAAGAGGGGTTCGCACTGTGGTTAATTGTGAAATTCGAGGTGGGACTCTTAAGAATACATATTAAATGCCCAAGCTAGGCCTCGTATTGATCATATAGCTAGTACGTACTTAGAAGTTAGTTTGCTACCCATTCCTACTATGAGGGTAATAATCATCATTGGCTCAAAAGTAATAAGTATAGTGCGGCTGAATCATGGTGAGCTGCACTAAACCACCAGCAACAAGAACACCAACCTAGATGCGTTATATCCAACATATCGCCGATTTCAAAATTCTCCAGGTACGAGGAATCTGGACCCAAATATTTACCTAACTCCTACCGTCTTGTGCCACTTCTATTGATATTTGTTCTCCAACACCCAGTCGGAAGTTCGGAACTGTATGCGCTCAGGTCCCTCTCCCGGACAGCATTTACGTTTGGTTTCCTTCTCGATTTACTTATGCCCGAAATCTGGGATGTCTTCCCAACCGAAAACCAACTGCAACAGTCCATAGCGACTTAGCCGGTTGAAGCGTATATATAAGTAGCCCCGGCCAGTAATGAAGGTTATTTCGCTGACGTACAAGCAGCTGGAGTATTACTACATCAGAGCATAAGAAACGGAATTCAGGGATCTATTTTGTGGTGAAGTACTCTATAACGACATGAAGGGGGGAAAGTCATTGGCCCTCCAGTCAAAGATCCACTTCACATATCAGCGAGAATTGGAAGAGAAGGCATCATGACAACAGATCAACGCATTATTCGCCGCGTCTGCGTCGTCGATACCGGGCATCTATGTCTAGGTGAGCTTTTGAGCACGTGATATTTTAGAAATAGCACACGTACCTCTGATCTCCTGCGTTTTTAACGCGTACGCTTGAATCTCTTCCTTGGTTAAGACTCGCAGAACAATGACGTATTCGGGACGCTCCTCGAAACGCTCGAGACCTGCCTCTAATGCAGCAGGGTTGACAAGTCGGCGGTCAATCTTGGTCCATCGTGCTCTGGCAGGAACTCCCTTCTCGAGCGCATCTTTTAGTGGAGTCACACCCTCGTGCACAGGATTAGGCTCTTCGGGAAATTTCGCCTGGGGAGGTTCTAGTATTCCTCTAGGCGAGGTAGAAGTATCTGTTGAAGGTCTAGCTTCGATCCCCTCCTGTTTATCTGAGCTTGTAGGCTCTTTTTGGGGGGCTGTGAGGCGATTATATGAAGGATAGGTAGGTCTACGAGGACCGCCACCATGATTCTCCAGTGATGAATCAGAGCTGTAGTAGGCTACTTCGCCCTGATCTGACACGTTGGCATCATACACAGGAGCACGGCCTGCTCGCCTCTTGGATTGTGCCGCCTGTCCGGGGTTCTCAGGTACCAGTTCTTGGAATAATATCTCTTGCTTCTTGGAAAAGATGCCAGACTCGCTGAGTCGACGAGAAAGCATAGGTTGACCTTTTGCTACGCCTTGCCCATAGAGTAGACGGGCCCGAACCCGGGCACCTAACTCCTGTTCGAATATCTCCGAGGCATTTGTATAGCGATATGCAGTGGTGTCATCCACGCCTCCTGTACGAATTCCGTGGGAGCTTTCCACCTCGAACTCATCTGCAATTCGTGCAGGTTCCTGGTTCTGATGCCCAACACTCAAGGTAAAATTGTGGCCCCGTATATTTTGCTCTAGTGCATTTACAACGGATGAGTCGTCAACTGAATCAATAGCGTCCTGCCAGATAGTAGCTGTCCTCTCCAGACTCTCCTGCGATCTTGAATCCTTGCCGTGCTGTACGTGGACATTGGGATTTTTTGGTTGTGTGACCGTCACGACCTCATATTCTTTCGAGCCGTGCTCTGCCTTTGACGGGTCATTGAATTCTTTGTTTTGTTCCTCGCACTCCTCGATCGCCTTTCCCTTCATCTCGATTGCGTTCTCTCTCAGCTCCCGTGCCTCGAGTGCGGATTTTATCGGCTTGTCGTAGTTACCCCTTCTGAGCAGCTCAGGTAGCTCCTCATTTTTTGTTACATCTTGGGGTGGCCTGGCCATCTTCTGAAGTCGCTCGATCTCCAGTATCTCCTCTGGGTACTCTGCATTTCGTTCATCCTTTGCCAGGCACTTTTCTCCCTCTACCTTTTTGAGTTGCCCAAGTTGTTCCGGACACTGCTCCTCCCACTTGTCGTTCAAAAGGCTCTCATCAACGTTAGGACCGAATTGTTCACTCTCCAGACTTCGTATGTGTTGCGAGTCGTCACCACTAGCAACACCATGACTACTATGGGGCCCAACATCGGATTTAATCCCCTCCGAGCCAATAATTTCATCACTATCGTTCCCCACTGCAATGATAGATGTGGCCGGTGATGACACTTCCGAGTTGTCCTCCTCACTTAGATCCGTTCGAGGCAAGACAAATAGTGCCAGTTCCTCCAGATGTCGGCCAACATGCTTCTCAAAAGAAGCCGGTGGTTGAACATTGATTTGACATAACGGGCAGGTGAAACCATTCTGAGCTGCGGCCACCTCCGGGTGTATCTCACGCATGTGATGAGACCACTGGTGCCGACTCTCGTAGAGCTTTGATGGAGTAGGACAATCCCTTGATAGACAGGCATACGGCATCAGATCCCGGAAAACATGGCGAGCCCAGTCCTTCTTATGTTTGATGCTAATTACATGAAAGCAATAAGGGCACTCAAATGGCTTTTTATCCCTAGACTTCCTGGGCGGATTGGGAATTGAGATTGCATCCTGTGTTGTAATCAAGCTTGTTGCGTAGGACGTTTGAGAGAGGCCCGAGTTGGAGGCCGTTTCAAGGAAATGTAGTTGATCATTACCAGTGGCCATTTCCGTTGCTTCTGTCTCCGAGAGCTTCGTCGAGTCTGTTCCAATGTACTCAAATAGTCCCTTTCCAAGCTTTGCTCTGTGCCGTTCGCGATATTTCAAGATGGCCTTCTGTCTCGCCATGGCAGCACTCAGTCGGCTAACCACGCCATTTCCTGCCTCCGGGTATTTGTGTGAGATGTGTTGCTGGGCCCATGGTTCGAAGTATGATTCGTTCTTAGTTTTCATGTTTAGGAGGCGATCGTGGTCGGCGGGCTTGCGAATAGCCATGGAGATCTGGAATAGGAGATTGATAATATCAACCAGACTCTGGTAAAGCTGTTGTATCTCTGTCATATCATCCATGTTGTCATCCTCATCTTCGAGTTCAATATCGACATTCTCGTCCCTTCCTTCGTTGGCTACCTCCTTCACGTCCTGCAGGACCCGCAACATCCGACTTAAGAGCTTGATAGCTTCGCTCTTGAGATGCGAAGCGTCTCGAAGGCGATAGTCCAGTGACGACTGGCCGACTTGATGTGCTCCAATGTTTCCCGACCAAACCCGGAGTCGGCCCAGTTCATCGAGCCAGCGACGATGTGGCACTTCGGTTTCATACCGGGTGAGGTCGTCTGATGTTGTTAGTGCTGTAAAGTCTTTCAGGCATTGGTTTAGCACTTTGGAAATAGTGTCCATCCTTTGTCACGTTTTGAGTAATCGCAAATGCTGGGTTCATGGACAAGCGACCAGCGATTGGATCCGGATGAGAGCGCCAAACGTAAGGCTCAAGCTGAATGCGGGGTTCGTGCAATTCGCCTTGGATCTAACATCCACATCCTCCCCCAAACACATCCCGCAATATTGCAACGCACCTGTGATGTCTGGAGCGGAGGTTGCAGGTATTGTTCTGGCCGTCCTGCCTTTGGTGGTCAACCAGTTGGATACTTACGCCCGCGGTTTGGAGACTATCAAAGGTCTGCGACGATATCGGTGGGAGCTGGAGGGCTATTCAAGCACGTTAAGCGCCCAGTACGCCATCTTTCTTAACACCCTCGAGATCTTCCTGCAGGATGTTGTCGACGACCACGATGAGCGATCAGGGCTGATTAGCAACCCGAATGGCCCTGGGTGGAAGGATGCGCAATTCCGGAAAGGATTGGCCGAGAAGCTGGGTCGCGATTATAACGCCTTCACAGGGACAGTAACGGCTCTCTGTAGTCTTCTAGAGGAGGTTTCCAATAAGCTCGGCCGCCATACCCTTGACTATTCAAAGGCAAGTAATTCATTCCACCAAACCGCCCTCCCAGGGGGCTAATTGAGTCTTGTTGTATTTCAAGGCTGCGTCAATCAATTCATTAGGCAGCATAAGATTCCGCAAGATACTATCCAAAGCCATCTACGAGGATATACTGAATAAAATCGACAAAGTTAATCAGATCCTAAAAACCCTTAGCGATCAGTCATATCAACTCGATCAAGCCAGAAAAGGCCGAGGCCGGTGGGAAAGGGGCTTGAAAGGTCATCGAGACAGCCGGCGTCATGCTCGGGTTTTATACGACATCTTGGTTCGGGGTCAAGGTTGGAAATGTCCATGCAGGAACGATCATACGGTTTGCTTCCGGCTCGACTTAAATACCATCCATAGCTCAAGAAATACCGAACATCCGGAAAAGAAAACACGTTTCCTAATAATGCTCTCATCAGCTAATAAGGAGGCCCAGAGGCCGCATACTCACAATCAATGGTATGAGATCGAATTACAACCCGAGCTAATCGAGCAAACTGTTCCCACTCACCTCAAGGAAAGATCAACACCAATTTCAGAGGGAAAACGCAAAGTTCAATTTGTTGCAACGAGTTCCACCACCATTTGCGTGGAAACCAGGTACAAAGGACTAAATAATCCGGGCCCTATTGGTGATTTATGTTCTACCCTTAGTAGTGTTGATATGACAGATCCCCATGTGCATCAGGAGTTCATTGGATACATCTTGAATCAATCTAGCGATGCGCGTTATAATATACGCCTCTTGCGTAGTATGGAGCAAGATATCAACTTACACTCTTTACAGGAAATCCTTGCTGGCTCTCCCTCCTCCTTGACTGCGTCTATACAGGACTCAGATGAACTGAGCCGACGAGATCGGCTGTATCTAGCTGCTGTTCTTGCCTGTGGCGTCCTGCAGCTTCACGGAAGCTGGCTAAAACAGCAGTGGGGAACCAAAGATGTCCTATTCGCTCAGAACCTGCATCGTGGATATACAACGTTTGACCATCCATACTTAGTTTGGCATGTCATAGGTCCATCACGCACACGTTGGGAGAGCAGCATCTTGTCAGAATACACGGCATCAGGGGGCCATCGAATCCAAAATGAGATCCTCCTTCCGCTGGCAGTCGCCCTGATCGAGTTGTCTCTGGGAAAGACCATTTCAGCCCTGTATCGACCGGAGGACAAGGATTCTCGTGAATCTCAGTTGCACTTCAACACTGCGACACGAGTGCTGAGGAGTGTCTATTGTGAAAGTGGATCAAGCTACGGGGATGTTGTCAAAGAATGCCTTTATTGGTCTCGCAGCAAGGGGGAACGGTTTGAAGATCCACAATTTGATGAATGTGTTTTTGACACCGTTGTTTCTCCTTTGCTCAAAGACCTTGATTATTTTGAGGGTATCTCTCATATGAAATAGTAAATCCTCTATCATCGGTTTCCTCGGTTGTGAAAAGGGGGATGAGGAGGGGTTGAGGATTGCGGCCGTACATTTGGGATAGGTATGCAAAGTCGTGGTCAAAAGACCTCGTTTAACCTGTAATTCGAAGTATGTATGACAGAGGTACTAGTGTTGCGTTCAACTGGTCTCTAAATTCTCTATATAACCACCATATACAGCTAGGATATAGTTAGCCATTCTTAGACAACTGCAGAGCGTATTTTACCAGGGAATGAGATGACCCTGGAGTACCCTCGCCACTAGTCTACTCGAATGGGCTACCCAGTCTGCGGCACTTGTACCGTAGGGAGCCCTAGAATCCGACAAAACTGACATATCACCTGGGCAGGCAGCGAGTTTCCACAGTTAACAAGAGATTTCCATTTATTTATAAGATTGCCATCTGTTTTTATAGCCTTAGAAGTTGTTATTTTACTTATACATAAGTGTTTTGGGCCGAAATGGAATCCACAAAGACTAGGTATGTTTCAGATGTGCCTATAATAAGGACAAAAACACCATCCTTGCATCTAAATTAGGTAGATAGAAGAATGGATAGAGGATTGCAAAAAGTGATGCGCTTGGAAAGGTGCCATTTACTTTTGTAAGTACCATGTGGAGTAGTATATAGAGAGCCTCGAGGCGGTCATAGAGGCAACATTTATGGGCCCTGAGAAGGATTACCTAGCACTGAGGTATCGTTCGGTTTCGAATCCTGTCTGAAAGATGCAGATCTAGCTTGATTATCCTCTTCTTACGGCTTGGTCTGGTTCATGCTGAAAGATTTATGTTTCCACAACAAAACTTAACAAACAGTCACGATTACATTTGGAATCGATAAAGAGCTATCAAGACTCGGACTGCATATTCTAGCATGAACGGTACTTGAGAGTGGGCTACAAAATCCGCCGAATATGACCTGTACCGTATTCCATATTAACGAGATATGCGAATAATCCGGCACCAATGATAACGGCGGCGACTTTCACATCCTCAATAGTGAGTGTCTCGGCCGGTCCATTGCGAGCAGAAGGCAACTGCAGTGCAACTAGTCTGCCTATTTCCAATGTAGGCGTTGGCTCCGCTCAAGACGTCGGTGTGAAAATTGGTGCCTATTGTGCCGTCATGTATTGCAGGGTTTCTGCTCCTGCGGTACAGCCGCGGAAATATGGATCAGAAAGCGAAAAGTATTCGCATGCCATAAAAGAAGAGTAAGAACAAGCACAGCGCCAGCTTGCAATGAAGAATAATGCCAAGCCAAACGCCTGTACAAATGGCGATGCATCTGAGGACTGATACTCAATCATAGTATCCGCGATACTTAGATATAGGCGCATTCTCTTAGACATCTCTTCATGGCCAGTATGTCAGACGACAACGCAATATCTTCTGGGTCGTTTCCTGGTGAAGACGACATTGCGGTCACAGATCGATTGGCGCAGTATCATCAACATGGAGACAGTCTTGTCTACAGCGCTAACCCAAAATCGAACAATTCATTAACAACAGTTAATGAATTGTTCGATTTTGGGTTAGCGCTGTAGCAAACATCTACCGTCCCTGCTCTTCTATCCATCTGATGTATTGGGTCCCGGTACTTCCGTCCCCTTCCTACTAAGCAAGCACATCAGAAACCCCGGGATCCGTGTGCGAATTAAGAGCCGTGTATCATAGAGCGTCTCATCGTGTGCTTCGGCTTGCCCTTGCGTGCAACTCAAGTAGAGAATATCCGTTGTCGTATGATCCTGGTGAGGAAAATAATCAGGAAGCCTGGCGGTGCTCCACTCGGTCCCCGCACGTGCCACCAGACCGACTTCTCCTTCCGTGACTTTCAGGTATATACCGAGTACTTCATCGACAACAACAGGCGACATACTTCAATTCAGACACCCTACGCTGTGGTATCACAATGAGTGATTGCAAATAAGAACACTGCAAAATCTTCGTATTGCTGGCAAGCACCCCTACTTTCATCCCACCCCGCCATGGCCGAAATTGAACGTTCCTCCGTTGACCGTAAACAACGGATTCTCTCGCGGCGAGAAATTGAGGGATTGATTGCCGAGGGTCGACACATTGTTATCTATGAAGGACGAGTGTTAAAGACAGATGCATGGTTGCAATATCACCCGGGGGGCAAGATCTCAATACAGCATATGGTTGGCCGTGATGCGACGGACGAAATCAATGTGTATGTCGCTCCCTAGACGAGCTCACTTTGTTCGGCACAAATTCTGACAATTCTCGTCTCGCAATAGATTACACTCTGTAGAAGCGCGTCAACGCATGCTGTCATATCAAATCGGACGTATACAAGGACGATGGAACAATTTCCTCCCCCCAATTCAAGGTGGACAATTTCGCTTTTACAATAAAGATGAGCCGTCTGCGTCAGATGACTCGAGTGACACCAGTTCACGTCCTTCTTCCCCTGTTTTTGACGAACCGATTGATGAAAATACTGGATTGCGACGGAGGAATTCTGTATCAACTGTGGCGTCGTCTATCCCACCCACACCCTCTCACGATGAAAAGTCAGAGTCCCGGTTTTCGTTTCTCGATGCCCGAACTCGGCAAGAAATTGTACTAGACATTGCAAAATATCCCGCTCTTGATGCGCGCTCGCAGGATTTTATTGTTCAAAAATACCGCGAATTGGAGCGGAAGATTGAAGCTAAAGGCCTGTATACTTGCAACTACTGGGCTTATTTCAGAGAATGCTGTCGATACTCTTTGTTTGCCGCCCTCAGTTATATTTTTCTTCAATGGGGCTGGTATATGCTGTCTGCATTTTTCCTCGGGTGCTTGTGGCACCAGCTCGTCTTTACGGTACATGATGCTGGTCACATGGGCATTACTCATTATTTACAGGTGGACTCGACCATTGGCATGACCATTGCCAGCTACATTGGCGGGTTGAGTCTGTGCTGGTGGAAACACAATCATAACGTCCATCATATAGTTACGAATGCGCCTGAGCACGACCCAGATATTCAACACTTGCCATTCTTCGCAATCTCACATCGACTACTGACCAATCTTCGCAGCACGTATTACGGGATTGTCATGAAATACGATTTTGCTGCCAAGATCTTCCTACGAGTTCAAAATTATCTATACTACCCCATTATGCTCTTTGCGCGGTTTAATCTATATGCCTTGAGCTACGGGCACCTTTTCGGCGGGAAAGGTCCTAAAAAGGGCCCATCCTGGTGGCATAGATGGTATGAAATTGGTGGAGTCCTATTCTTTTGGACCTGGTTTGGATATGGAGTTTTATACCGCTCGCTCCCCAACTGGTCAACACGTATTGGCTACCTTCTCATATCACATATGGTCACATCACCGCTCCATGTGCAAATCACGTTGTCTCATTTCGCCATGTCGACCGCTGATCTGGGAGTCAATGAATCTTTCCCGCAAAAAATGCTTCGCACAACCATGGACGTCGACTGTCCTACCTGGTTGGATTTCTTCCATGGTGGTCTTCAATTCCAAGCAATTCATCATTTGTTTCCACGGATTCCACGTCACAATCTTCGAGCGACCCAAAGACTCGTCCTAGAGTTTTGCCGCGAAGTTGAGATTCCTTACGCCATCTTTACCTTTGTGGATGGTAACAAGGAAGTGATTTCACGTCTGGCCGATATTGCGAAGCAGGCAAAAATGATGGAAGAGTGTAGGAAGTCGATTGCTCGAGAAGGTGTTTTTTCTGGTCACTAAGCATCGGTCTACTTGAACGTACCTCGCTTTATTCTGAAAGAGGGGTTGGAAAACATCACCATGATCTTCTGAACCCGGGGCCCTGATGGCACTTCACGATATAGACCTCAAATGAACTTGTATTTGATATTATGGATGTATATAGTCACATCTTCTGCGTGAAATAAACAAGACTCGATGAGCCTCACCTACTCCATAGTAACACTCATGAATCATAATAAGACTAGGTTGAAGTTTACCTTTCCCTGAATCTTCTTAGCCTGAGTCCAAGTCAAACGTTCCCCTGAACTCAATGGTCTGTCGGTATCTTTGGGCCCAGTCTAGAACAGGTAACTGATTTGCTAAATTCTCATCAAGCATTTGACTGGTATCTATATTCCCATGTGATAGCTACAGTCTCTTTCTTTTCTTTTCATCTTGAATAAAATATCCCCAAGAAAGTAGACTATTTAAAGCCCTCCATCCCATACCACATAGTCGACCTTGGAACCTGTCTATCTCACAAGAATAAATTCATACAAGATTCATCAAGGCTCAGAAGATTATTGAGTTAAAATAGCTCATTCTACACCCTCCAATCTATGTGAGTTCACTAATATCAAATAGAAGATCTTTGATCTTAAAGCTAATTATTCTGCCACAGTAATTGACGCAAGTCCACATCTTGTCTCATCATCATCAACAAATGATTAATGTCTTGATTATAATTCTTTAGACCCAAAAATGTACCTACTGTCATGACTTTGGCCATGTTCAACAAGACTGCGTGCTCCAGTTGGTAAGAGGCCCCCTAACTCCAGAGCTATTCCAAAAGTCAAGTATGAATTTTGATTACTAACAGATTGTCTTGGATGGATATAGGCACAGAGTCGAGTGATAGTAAGAAACAATCCAGTCTCTTCTCCCCTTTTTTCTTCGATTTGCTCGTTTGCCTATTTTCTAGTGATATAAGACTGACCTCTTTCCTCCCCTCTATGAAACAGTGTACCCTTAATACCACTTTCGAAGAGACGAATGCAAACCCACCGCGAGGCGACAATCTTCTAGGTACAGAAGACAAGGAGACTCTCCAAAGAGAACTCCAGTACGTCAAGACACAAAGCAACAATCTCGATGCACAGCAACGCGAGGTGCTGTCGAGACTGTCGAAGCTGGAAAAGACGATGGGCAAATAGTACCTTGTAGTGATAGATCTTGCTCATTCGTTGACTTCTTCAAAAAGAGTCTTTGGCCCCCATATCATTTCCGGTTTTCATGTTACTCTCATGTACAAAATAAGGGGGCAATCATGGCCTTGACTAGATATTGGTTACCTGAAACTCGCGGTCGCTTTACGTTCAACTTTCTTCAAATTACCATCTCTCAGTGATATATGACATTAATACATCAGTCTCTTTCCGTTTCAATTCGAGAGCAAAAGTGAAGCCGATACCAATGAGCATTCTGAGTAGGGGACTCGGTATAGACTGTATTAGCCAGCCTTGCAGGGAATTAATACACTATCCAGGTCGGACAAGCAATTCCAATCATCAATTAAAAGGGAAAAAGTCGTCTGGGAACGAGAAAACAGATCTTAGCTTATAGAGAAGGACTAACTTACACAATATAGAATATACGGCCATTTAGGGTTTGGGGATAGCCGAGCCCTAACTACAACGCAATTCAACTGCTTCGGATGTATTAGCTGGCGAGACCTTTCGATATTATCGAAAGATGTCTGTAAAGAGAAATAAGTACTAATTACTGATGATAGCTAGTGATCGTAGTCGCCTGGATTTCTGGTTGCTTCTAATAAGAATTGCCATGGAAAAAGGATCATGTACCCATACTAGTACTACGACTAGCTGTGGACAGTAATCAACCGTTTACGCGCGTTTTCTCAAATTAAGACTGAGAAATAAATGGTGTCTTGGGAAAGACAAAGACCTTTCTCGGAGTGAGATTCTCAAAAAGAATTGGAACGTCTGGCCAGTAGTCTTTGAGATAAATAACTAGGCAATCAACAGGACAACCTGCTAGATATACAGCGACGAGCAAAACCAATTTCACAGACAAATCATTTCACAGTCCGACTGGTAAGTCACTATGATAGTCTTACAAATTTGGCTAGGCAGCAGTTCCACGTATTGGTATAGTATGGTAGAAGTCGTAATATTATCAACCTATCTTACCCAGCCAGTCTTGCCACATCATTTGGGAGCTGGTAGAAATCTCTTGTATATTCTAGCAGCTCTACTGACCAGTATAAATGATCTAATTATCCCAGGCCCTTTTTCCGTAAAGAAATTAGAAAATTTAATAGAGAATAAATCAGTTCAGTTTACTAACGCCTAGGCACAGAATCTGATGAAAGAAACCTGCCTAGTGTGAAAGGGTCAATCTTACTGTATTGCTGAGCTGAGCTACATACAATGAGGTACACGTACACGAGAATATTTGACATGGAGAGAAAAAGAAAGGAAGGAAACAAGCTCTCGATCCAGCCACAGAGATCTATATAATCTCTGTGCGTGGCACCTTGCTAAATACAGTACCGCTCTGGCGGTTCCCTATCTGGCAACCCGTAGGGCTGCAGCCCTACGACGGGAATGGCTTCACCTTTGACCTGGTACGGAGCCGGGACGGAGGTGGCTCTGTCACACCTAGAGGCTAGATCCATGCCTAAGAACGAGTGTTCCATTATTTTAACTCCTGAACAGGAGGGTCGATATTGGGGAGGGAATCATAGCATCGGTTTGCCTTAAGGGTTACCCATTGAATTTCTTGTACGAATTGCTCGACGTTGGTCTTGGATGAGGAAGAGGTATTGGCATAAGTATTATACCAAGACTGAATCTTAAGGAATCCCAAGTTGGTAGTTAGATATGGACTGTCCTTGGAAAATTTGAGGTTGGTAACTACCCCATCAATTGTAATAGTCTGCTGCAGTGCACCAGTGGCTATATCCTAGAGCTTGATTCTTATTGTAGGAATCCGACACCAGCAGCCAACCGTCTAGAGAGAAGGTTACCGTCCTAACTGAAAGTGAATAGCCCTCAAGAGTCTACTATAGTGCACTAGTGACTATATTCTAGAGCTTGATTATCTCATTATAGGAACCTAACGCTAGCAGCTAACTATCTAGGTAGAATATCAGCATCCTAACTGAATATGAATAGCTCTCAAGAGTCTGCTGTATTGCACCAGTGGCTATATCCCAGAGCTGGATCGTCTCACCGTCCGAACCCGACACCAGCAGCTGACCGTCTGGGGAGAATGCCACCGTCCCAACTGAATGTGAATGGCCCTCAAGAGTCTGTAATTCTGCGCTCCAGGACTCCTCTATTTTCGGTAACAAGCATATCCATTTAGGCAGCTCTTCGATAAATGTCTGTCTAACGACTGAATTTCTTGGCGCAAACATAAGTCCTGAACAGTATAGCTGAAGCGGTGATATATCAGCTATCTATCTATATTTAAGGATAAAACGTCTTGCAACAAGCAGAAATTTGGATATTTTGGAACTTGTATCCTTTTGTAATCATCAGTATTATATTAATAATATTATTCACAGAAACTTACTTGTATGACGGAATGCAAGATATCTATTATCCCCACAACTTCAGAAATGATGCCTAAAATACTCATCGCTTCCACCCAGTGAAGAAAATGCTTTTCAAGAAATAGAAAAGCATTCTCCAATTCTGTCACTGGATTCTCGCTTTGCGCCAGATGCCGAGCCCAGTAACGACATGAATATTGCAATTCTGGTGGTAGATACTGATTGATGGAACATGCATCAATCTCCACTCGCTGTATGCCATCAGCTCTGAGATTGCATATATTCTTTTTCAGTCTGCAATCCATAACCTTTAGGCATTGTGTAGTGAGTTTATGATGCATCCCTTTCTCATCAACCCAAAATGGGGTCTTTGTGCGCGTTTTTGAATCAAGCAAGAAATCTCGAAAGGACAGATGTAGCAGCCTTACGGGCAGGGTCTCATCATCTGCCATGCGAAGAACTGAACGCAGCGAACCAAGTCGAATTTTAATAGATCTTTCAGAGACACCAAGCAGTTTTGAAAGGGATATAACTGAAAGTGGATTTTCCAGGAGAATAATGGCACCTACTATCTCTCGAAACTCTTGAGCAAGTCGTTTTTGTTTGGTTTCAGTTTGTTTTGTAAGAAGTCGATCTAGGACCGGAAGATAGGTTCTGTCCAGATCAGACTGATCATTTTGATGTGTCAAGATCTCAGTAAGACTGTCCATAGGGTCCCACTGGGGATCTTCGAGCATTCGACATATAGTGGCGGCGAAGATGAAAAGCGGAACCGACATCAAGGCTAATGTCTGTATATTGGTTTTCCCAGGCCAGTCTAGAGGTAGTAATTGGTTCGCGCTCTATCACTGGCATAGGAATTTCGTGGAGGATCGGATCCTGATGGTCATCTATAATTTTCATGAAACCTAATCTGATTTGCAGTTCAGGTCGGCTTGTCAAAAAGAAGCGCAGATACACAGACTTTGATATCTACACTTGTGGCAAAAGCTGAAGAATAGTTCGTATATCGTCGTCTCGTTCACACTCATCCAATGCATCAATCACTATTATTATGGTCGAGGTCTGGTAGTCAGATTGACTGATGCTTTGTAATGGTTGGAGAAGTAATTTTGCAAATTGGTCTTTAAGTGACTTTGTTGTAATCTCGAGATCATCGTCAATTGCTTTTCTAACACCGGGTATTAATGGAGGAATCTTGGCCACTAATTGTCTGATAATTGTTGGGAAGAATTTCTTCGCATTCCCTCGATCCCCTTCGCCCCTTTTGAAGAAGAAGCTCGCCCCCAGCAGATTTGACTGTTTTAACGATTTTGCCATTGTTCGGGAGATTGTCGATTTTCCTGTCCCAGCCATGCCATTCAACCAGAATTTACATTTACCTACCGGTGACAAAGCCCATTCCGTAATTTGGCGGCAAAGCTCAGTTCCGGTGCCGGGAAGACATTCGTCTTCATGTTGATTCATGTATGAGTCGAAGCCTGCCCCTTCTACGCCGGGTAATTTTGCCCAGTCGATATTCTGGTGTATTGCGTCACCTTGGTTCTGCACCATGCTGTCCGCAGTTAGTTATGTATAGACAGCTGGAGCAATACCAATATAATTCTCCATCCTACCTGTGGCTGCCGATAATGGTGGTCTTGACTTGTTGAACTAGAAGCTGTTAGTATATCACGGCCATATGTATGATAAAAGAACTTTGTTTCAGCTGGGAAGAGAAATGCCAGATCTCCAACCTTGCTTGAGTTCACTGACTACTTTATCAGCCCGAGAGAGCATGGCCCGAACACGTTGTGACTTAAGGATAAGCAACAACTCCCTCGCATAAGCCGCAGCGGTCAAAGCAGCATATTTATGCCACTTATCATTCTTATGCGAATCGGAATAATCACAAATTCCACGAATAACAAGGCAGGGAAGGTTATTCATTAGTCCCGCAGCTTCCCTCTCAAAGCATAGAATATTCAAGTCCGGATCTTTCGCATATATCTCTTATAGTCGCATCCTCTATCAAAGTATTCCCCGAGGCAATTGTTCCATAATGGACCGCTATCAATCGGTGGACATGGCGTTCTGGGCGTTTAACTATCTGGTTAGGGTCACATTGTCCACAGTGCTTTCCACCCACATGTTGATACTCTGTTCTGTATAATTGGTCAAGCATCGGTCGCTGATAAGCTTCCATATCATCCATGCGTCGAAGATGCTCGGCAATTCTATCTGGCTTTCTTTTGTCATTGTAGAGTCTTCGAATTTCAGGAATCACTCCTAACAGCTTTTCTAGGGGAGCATTCAGTTGGCCAGTCCTTTGGAATCTACCTTCCTACAACTTCTTCCCCAAATCGTATTGTAGCACACCGCCAAATCCGTCTTGTGGTTGACTCACAACTACATCCTCGAGTCTGATGTTGTTATCCTCCGTTGGTGCACCGCCCCCAATACCAACCATTAATGCGAATCGCAGCTGGGGAAAGCTCCGTACCATATCTCGGGCAACACGCGTAGCCGAATTAGAGCCATAGCGACCGGCTGGAAGACAGCCAATAACCACACGATGGTGTGCGATGCGACCGTAGACATATGTGTTATCATCTTTGTCGTCTATTTCTGGACCACTAAACTCCTCGTCGAGCATCCGACATGCACATTCATATTCTTCTTCTAGAGCACAAATCCATCAGACAGTGTAGCTGTCGGTTGAATCTGGGATCTCTTGCTCTGATCGACTCATTCTGGCATTTCGTATTTTCACTGGGTCTCGTCGGATCGCGATCTTTTCTGTTTTCAATCCATCGGTCTTAGTTTGTATCTAGTAGTTTGATTGTAGTACCTCAAGGGTAGTTCGGAACTTTGGAAGTCCTGCAGATTAGAGCCACAGAAATCTGGAACACAAAGACATGCTTTAGATTTACGGAGTCGTGAGGCTGAAGCTGACGCTGGCACGAAGATGTACCCACTTCAGGTCCCACTGACCTATGGAGGTATCCCGTTCCATACGGATCAAGGTTCTATATTCAACAACAACATGACCGCTCCACAAGCCAAAATGAGGCCCTAGTCTGTAATCATATTATTATAGCCATTGGAACTCGAGGTAGTAGCTTAGTACTTGTGTCATGAGTGCGCCTAGGTTACCTAATAGGAGACTCGACTTGTCGGAAGCTCTTCGGTCCGGACCTAGCCAAAACCAAACTCTGCCATCTTGTGGAATTCTTTCCAAAACTTTATCATGGCACCCCGACTCGCTGGAGATGATTCGTGATATGATCAGCAGTAAGTCACTAGTAACTATGCCCCAGATGGCTGAGGCGGCTGGCTGCAACAAGCGTTCGATAATTAATATTTGCACCAATTTACGACTATTTGGTAATGTTCGAGTTCCTCCGAACGCTGGCGGCCGACGAAGCGCTTTGTGGTCACTTATTAGAGAAACCGGATTTCTATCTTAATGAAATGGTAGATATTCTGTGGGATATGTTCCACGTATTCGTCTCCACTTTTACCATCAGTATTACGCCCCTCCAGACTTCCCATTCCCAGCGAGGCCGGCGGTTCTATTTGCATACACTCAAGACGGGATTGTGTTGTCCCGGGTCTTTAAGAGATCAACTAATGCTCATTTTTTTGAAGAATTTATTGAGCGGCTTTTGCAACATTGTAGCAAATAGCCGGAACCAAAGTCTGTTCTTATCATGGACAATACGTCTTTTCACCGTAGTGAGCGAGTCGTCGAGGAGCTGTGCTCAAATGCAGGAGTCAAGCTAGTCTACTTAAGGAGCGTCCTTTTATGTTCCTAGTATCGAATCACCTTGATTCACTACCGAAGCAGGGTGCTTCTTAGTCACGTGATCCTGTAACCCTAGTCATCTTTGCCTTCGAGTTATCCTTGTTCCGTCGTGCAGTAGTTAGCTTTACTAATTCATTGGCTGTGAGTCTTTGAATCTTATGACAGAGATGACCTTGAGCGCTTTCCGCTCGTGCTCCGACAATGTCGACGCACCATTCAAGAAATCACGCAAGGTGCATCCTGCATTGTTCCGAAATTCTCTCCGGATAAAACTTTTCAACTCGGAGAAGAATTCTTCGATTCAGATCAGGGGAGTAAGGTGTCCATATATTTGGTTTTACTCTACTGTATTTTATTAACTGTACAACCTAGGGCATAAGAGTACTGTTGGTTTTACTACGGTCCGTATCACGAAGCATAGACGGTAGTAAGGCGTGAGCACGAAGCGGCCTAACGAGCCTGACAATATGAAGCTATCTTGATTTCTAATATTGTGACTGATCCCCAAGAGCAAGGGGGATAGCTAGCTAGATATACACGTGGCACACACGTGCCACGTCGGACTAACTAATTCGGTGCCGAAATGTGTAGGGTTTGATATTCACGTTCCAACAAGTACATACCGTACATGGATCACTCTAAGCTAGTCAACACAGTTACTTCTCTCTTATTGACTCTTTATATAAGTTGATACTCGTCTTTGTGACACTCTCGTTAGCAGAATACCACTGAAACTTAGTTCAGTGAGGAGTTTACTCTGATCTGACCACCCGTCAACCAAGGTTTACGACAAGTTCCAGCATGCAGGCAGCAGGACTCACCATTGAAGAGCCATAACAGCATCCAATATTGTAAAATATTTGGTATTTTAAAACTTGTATGATACGTACAATGGCTGTTGGCATGTTTATATTTTACAGCAAGTGATTTGATCGTGGAGCTTAGCAAAAATTAATACGTGTTGTCTAGATGAAGTGAAAAAATTGTCCCAACGATAATGAGGACTGCAAGGTACCTGCTTCTATTTATCACCCATGGGCCGTGGTGAATAACGAGCTGATCGATATCTCCTGCATCAGCTACATCCTTGGAGCTACTTAGTTCCTTTCGTTGGATGCGTTGGGACTAAGACAGATGTATCACAAAGGGATCATGTGTGAATTCCTCGTATCAGCGTCCTCGTGTCGATTTATGAGATAGTATACCTGTACATGGGAATGATAACTCACCAGAAACGTCTTCCCACCAACCAGGAAGAAGACGTCGCGGAAGAAGAACCGAAACAGACGGAGGACGATAAGATGGAGAACGATGATATACAAAATATGGCCGACAATGATGGCGATCAGATACCGACTGCACCAGCATCAATAAGCCAGGCAACGGAGACTTCCGCTGAAAATATTGCAGGGAATCAATAGCCTCGCAGATATTCCGAAACTGCAGAGGGATGATCTTTATGAAGGTGGTCGAGGTTCTAGGTACAGGTGAGGATTCACCCATGCTCGTCTTACTCTCACCATCACCTTACCCTTTGCGGTTCATCAACACACTACACTTCGCAGTTACATTTACCTTACACCAATAACTTATCGATCTTCATCATAGCAACCTACGACGACCTGACACTAGCATGACTGTGCGCTATTTCAGAGATGGAGGAAGAAAGGAGGAAGAATAAGTGTTGAACGCTCAGGGGACATCTTTAAAATGCCTGGTATGAGGCTGAACCACCGAACCTATAAGTGGCAAATTCTCGCAGCGCATGCTGCGTATGAACCCTTTCAAAATCCTCAGCTTATCTGGCACCTCAACACCAACGATGTGGGCCTAGAAGGACCAATACGTCACAATCTCATACACGGTTCCCTCTCCCAGTGCATTACCTAGTCTGGAGCTAGTATCGGATGCTTTCGTTGGAAGAAAGAAGTGGGATTCACCTGACGCCGTTGCTGAGTTGGATCTCCTATGACATGTTTTATAGTATTACACCAATTATGTGGAAACGCGAGGATACTGAGTATTTGGGAACCGACTGTATAGACCATATCATCAGACATTGGTGGGAGATCACAGTTATAAACATTATGAATATTCGGCGTCTTGTAAGTAGGGTAAGTGGTGGAAAAGCTCACTGTTCCTTACATAGCTATGTACAAGCAAATTTGTATTAATCTGTCATGCTGGAGTACTAGAAAGATCCGTGAGACTATGAGCCATGAACATTACATTTCTAATCCAGGACCGTCTGCTAATTTGTTAATCAATTTTATATACCAAGTCTATCAACATAAAACTCATTAGATTGGTATTTGTGTATGTAATGTTCACTCAAAGCCTTGAAGTAATGCTTCATTCGTGCAAAATGTCAGCAAACCTTGGAAGTGGGCTTTCGTAGTTCGGAAATTTGGTCCTAAAATGGTCGCTTATAGAAGTCATGTTTCTCATTAATCGTGTCTGGCCATTCAAACACAATCACAATGCTAGGAATAACTCTCCGAAAAATTAGCCAAACAAAGTACTCAACTACTTGAACTTTTCGACTCATAGAGCTCTCTAAACGCACTTTCCCTCGCCAACAAAGCCTGGGGCGAATCCAACTCCACAAGCTCGCCATCCTGCATAAGCGCCACTCTATCAAAATCCATAATCGTATCCAATCGATGCGCAACTGCCAAGATGGTGCAATCACTAAACTTTTCGCGAATGACGCGCTGCATCAATGCGTCTGAGACTACGTCTACGTTGCTGGTAACTTCGTCTAGGACGATGATTTTCCCGCCGCGCAGTAGAGCGCGTGCAAGAGAAAATAGCTGTCGTTGGCCGTGAGAGAAAAAGTTGGAGTCTAAGTCTGCCTCGATACCACCTTTTTCTTGGACGAGGTCCCAGAGTTCGACGCTGCGGAGGGCTTCGGTTATTTCCTCGGTGGTATGTGTGCCCAATGGATCTGCGTTTACTCGCACAGTACCGCGAATCAGGAATGGTTCTTGTGGGATTGCGTTGAGGGCAGCACGGAGCTTCTGTCGAGGAGCACGTGTGATGTCAACGCCGTCAATAGTAATGCAGCTCTCTGCCTCAATCTCAAGCATGCGGAACAATGTAGCTAGCAATGAACTTTTCCCACTGCCACTTCGTCCACAAATTCCAATCTTCTCGCCAGCGCGAATGGAGAGAGATAGGTTCTTGATTATGAGTTTCTTATTCCCACTTTTGTTATTGTATGAGGCCGAGATATTGCGAAAATCTATTGCTCCTTTGGGAGGCCACGGTTGAGAATCACCATCAACCAACGGCAGATCCTCATCCGGTCGGTTCTCATTCTCCGTAGATTTAACAAATTCACGTATCCGAGCAATTGAGCCAATAGATGTCTCCAAGTTCGTCCACATGCGGATGATCTCAGATAAGGATTGGCTGAATGTGATAACATTTAGAATGGCCAAGCCAACATAGCCCGCACTCACTTCACTGCGCAGCTTGACGATCATCACCATAAGAATCACACCCAGTCCGGTGACAGTTAAATCAAGTGTCAGCTCCAGCCAGCGTTGAATACAAAACAGCAGATAATATGGCTTCTGGGATGCGTCCAGCAGGATGAGGTTCTGTTCTTCAAACCGGGATGACCAGCCAAATGCACGAATTGTCACTAGGCCCGATAGACTTTCAATGAACTGTGAGAATAGAGGTGATTTAGCTTCCAGGTCGAGAAGGCGCATTTGACGGGATGTTCGAAGGTAGAACTTTTGCAGCATCCACATCAAAAGTAGGATTGGTGGCATCGTTGCGGCAAAATAGCGGGCGGAGATGCACATTAAAATGGCAGACATGATCCCCATTGAGAGGGACAACATAAAGTCGACCATGGCATATGGAAGATCATTGTCTATTAGTGTCATGTCTTGACTGAATCTATACAATAGCAGAGTTAGAAGAAGATCAAATCACGAACAACGTTCATACTGTCCGTCATAGGTAGAAGACATACCTGTTTGTTGTCGTGCCTACATCCACCGAGGTAAAGAATGAGAGAGGTGCATTCATCACAGCAGTTAGAAGACGTTGATGTAGATTTTTTGCACTTTTTGGAGCAAAATATAAAATGTAATGATAAGCGCCAACAACAAGGCCAAATATCGTAATGAATGCTAGCAAACCATATATTCCAAGATAGAAGCCATTAGCGCTGTTGCCCTCTATTTCAGTAGCCTCAGTCCACATATTGACGACGAATTCGCTGAGCTTGTTTGCAACTCCACATAGAATATAGCAGCTCGCCCAGAACGCAGATGACGCCCAATGGACGGACCGCAGGTAGTACGCGTACAGTGACAAATCGCCACTTTGGCGGGTGAGATCTTCTTGAGCGATATGCAGTTCGGTGCTCTCTTGCTGGATTATTTGCTCCTCTTTCTCTTCTTCTATAGCTGTTGTATGGGCCCCGTTTTGGTTCTGCTTGGTATCCTCTTCTTCTGCTTTCTCGGCTTTGTATTGTGCTTCAAGCATTGCAACGTAACCCGCGGATGCTTTGAGGAGATCAAAGCTACCTTGTTCGGCAATTGAGCCGTCAGCCGTCATGGCTATGATAAGATCTGCGTATGACAGTCTATGCACGGCATGGGTTACCAGGAGAACAGTGCTACCCAGTTTTCGAAATAAGCCCTGCTGAGAGAATAGTCGTGCGAATATGCGTTCCTCGGTATCAGCATCCAACCCAGAAAAGATGTCGTCCAGCAAAATTACATTCTTGCGCGCATATACCGCGCGTGCAAGAGCAACACGTTGTTTCTGGCCACCCGAGAGGGATATACCTGCGGTTCCAACGTTTGTGACTGGAATATGCCAATTAGCATGCGGTTCTCGAACTGATATCATACCTATCACTTACAATGGCCATTGGGGAGTATGGCAATATCCTGATCCAGAGCACATCCCTTTATCACGGTTCTATACCATTCTTCATCAAAGTCGGAAAGCCCAATGATATTATCTCGCAAAGTTGCATTGCGGATCCACGGTGTCTGGTCAACGAATGCACATTCCTCAAAATTGGTGTAGAGGAACCCTTTCGTGGAGAGTGTTTCACCGAGGATACCCTTTAGAAGCGTGCTCTTGCCACTCCCGACAGGTCCAATTATTATACACAAATGACCGCGAGAGACACTGAAATTGACGTCTCGAACCACAGGCTTCTCGTCATGAGTCCAAGAGAAACTGACATCTCGGGCAACTATAAGCTGAGAATGTTGCGTGTGAGCAGAATTTGCAGGACTCTGCAATTGGATACCTTCTTCCTCAACTGGAGGATCAGTCAAAGTTGACGCGGAGTCGTCAAGATACAACCGGTTATCTCTCCGCGCGTCAGACTGCAAGAAACCTTGTATGCGGTTAAGGGATGCCATGGCTGCATTCATCATCGGCACCGTACGAATCATGTCGTTCATAGGTGTACCAAGTAAAGAAATTAATGTCAAGACCGTATAAGCGGTCTCCGCATCGAGAATATGGCCCTGGGAAGCCAATACAATGGAATAAAAAGCAAACGTGGTGAACGGAGCAAGGGTAAGCATCAGATTAGCCAAGGCCACACGAAAGATGAGCAACTTGCGAAATAAACTGGCCACCGCAAGCTCAGTAACACGAAGCCCCTGGACCATTTCGCCCAACCAGTCAGTGAAGCCCAGCATTTTCACCGACTTCATCGACCCCAGCATCGTGGCTGTTACGTCAACGCGGGTCTGAATGCTTTTCATCCAGCTCTTTTGAGCTTGGCCCATTAAATTCGCAATGGCCAAGATTCCGACAGTAGAGACGAGAGCTAAGACTACTGGAGCGGCGCAAACAACTCCCAATTGACGGGAAAGTAAGTAAACTGCAACCGCTAATTCCAATGGCACTGCCCAGAACTCGTGGATAAATTGAAAGCCGTTGCATATTGTTTGGGTGTCACTGGACATGAGGGTGACGGCAACAGACTCATCGAGTGCCGTGATACTGAGATCAACGGTTTTGGAATAAATGATACTAATCAGGGAACCACGGACACTGGTCATCAAGCGATACGTCATATGATAGTACCATCCGTTCGATACTGCCAATCCAAGGAGGACAAAAAAAAAGCCACCTGTGAGACCCCATCCAATGTCTTCAGGCTGTGACAGATCGTTGGCGAAGGATATTGTCCGTGCTAATAGAAATGGCTGTGCATATCGGAACGCCCCTTGGGAAAGCCGAGGGATGATGCAAAGCAGAAACGGCCTAAGATTTGCTCTTAGTACCGCCCAGAAGAGGGACCTTGAGCTCTCCTTAGACGAAGCATTCCATACTTGCTGCATCTTTTCCCGCAAAACTGCTGAAGACATTTCAGTATCGATAGGGTATAAGTCGTTATTGTGTAGGAGCCGACGGAAACCAGTAGTCATGAGCCAGTTCAGCCAGAAGAAAAACGACCTGCTGTAGATCCCACTCGTCTCTTCAGGTGACAGATTGCGATATGGTTCCAGTAATATTCCACGTTTCTCTGTTGCTTCTATAAACAGTACCATGACCTTGACGGCGACCATACTTGCGAAACAACCGGCGATAGATCGACTTGCGTAAGTAATAAAGAGTGTGCGCAAGCGTGCAATATCAAATATGAGGGTGAATAGCAGATATCCATTCATGATTACGGATGGCCTGATGGAACGGATGTGTTCCAAATGCGATAGTACGCAAAGACCCAAGGTGGAAACAAAAGTCAATGCAGCAGCGGCAATGGTAACCTTGGTACGTTCGGATGAATTGAGTGCATGTACTGCAAGCAACACCAGGTTCATTGCAGCGAAGGCTACCATGAAGAGTAGTTTGGCTTCGTATAGGAAGCCTCCCCGGGCAACTTTTGGTCGTTGGCCACGCAAGGTGAATAAGCGATACGGCAAGACAAGAAGTAACAGTGCGGATGGTATCAAGCTGAAAAATGTATCTTCGAAGAGAGGAGTGAAGTCAAAGGCAGCATCTGCTGTTGGCCCAAAGAAATTGATGTCTCCATCTTTGAAAAGGATAGAGCTGTTTTGCTCGGATGTGAAGAGTAGACTTTCCATGATGATTCACTACCCGGGGAGCAGATGAGAAGAGAGAAGATCCAAGAGGGGAGTCGCTGCGGTCTCCTCCTACTTATACCTTTGAAAAAATTAAATAATTAAGCATCATCCAGAAGCGAGCCAGCTGGACAATTGACTTCGATGAAAAAGAGGCACCAATAACGTCGGAATACCAGTAGATTTTCCGTCGATGGATGGTGGAAAGTGGGCATCAACTGTGTAGGCAGAATAATAACACAATTAGACTTCTATTATGATTTGATATCACTGATTGATCAATTGATGATCAAGTTCTGCTGCCGTAGCTGCATAAGTGAAGTGAAGAGGTAGGCAACAGAATAAGAAATAGAAAGGTAAGATGAAATGATTCATTCCTTAGAAAGTTGGCGTGCTTTAGTTACCTAGTTAGTAATGAGACTAAACAGTAGTTACCTAGGTAGCCTTCACTGATAAGCCAATTGAGATGCACTGAATACCAGTCTGTATCAAGTCTCTAATTTTTTGCTTTGGCCGTCTCTTGCTCTTACCATAGTCTATTCTGCCTATTTGCCTAGTCCATCGATGTTCAGTCGTACCGACGACATGTAGATAACTTCAGACAAGATATAGATCTCAGAAAGCAAAAGAAATATTTTATATTTTATCAAATACAAGATAAAACCAAGAACGAAATGTGATTGGCTGCTTGAGAGATGTGCTTGTCTTGATGCCTCAGGCTCTAAGTCGATTCCTTATCGATAAGAGTTGTCTTAAGATCGACTTTGATTGTTCTCTTTTCTCTTTACTCAATCAGAAAACATCGCGAAGTAACAGGTAAACAAGATGGCATTCCCAGAGGTAATGTGTTCTATTTCAAAATCGGCGCGGGGCATACTCGTGGGAAGAATCACATTAACTAAACCTGAACACAGGCGTCACTTTGGCACTTGACGAACCAGTGGCTGGAATGGGATCAAGTAAGAGAGCCCTTTGTCGTATATGGAGTTACATGAATAGGACAAATAGCTAATTTATTTTAGGACGAGGTTACACGAAAGGAAATCCTGAAGTTCAAGGAAACCAAGAATGAAGCCGAGCTGGAGAAATGCCTTCGGAACCGTCAGTTTATCAGTACCATCAGTGTGCATTGCATATATTGATGATATACAGGTATTCAATTCGGCACCGCTGGTCTACGCGGCGAGATGCGAGCTGGGTTCGCCTTTATGAACTCTCTCACTGTCATCCAGGCGTCGCAGGGATTAGCAAAATTCCTCAAAGCACGCGACGAAAAGCGTGCCATTCAGAACGGTGTTGTGGTCGGTGCCGACGCTCGACATAATTCGCACAAATTCGCCATTCTGGTTGCAAACGCTATGGTTGCTATGGGATTTAAAGTACATTTCCTGGGCTCAGAAATTGCGACTCCATTGGTGGCGTGGGCAACTGGGCATACGGGGGCGGCTGCTGGTGTCATGATTACTGCTAGTCATGTAAGTGATCGATACTCTCAGTATAATTAGCACGCTAATTGTCTCTTTTCAGAATCCGGCCAAAGACAATGGATATAAAGTGTTAGAAATCTCAGTGTTGGACCCGTCTCTCATCATCTACTAACGTCAGGGTTATAGATACCTTCGTGGAGGCGTCCAAGTTAATACACCCTGGGATGCGGAAATATCTCAACACATCAAGGATAACCTAGTACCATGGGCAGGCGCTTGGAAATTCTCAAAAAATGCACATTTTGACAAAGGTGCCTATGCTGATATTATGTTCAAATGGTGCGACGCCGTTGTGAAATACGCTGTACGGCAATCTACGCCCTCTTTTCTTCATCCGTATGAGACATTCGCTGACATCGTGATAGAAATCAACCGTGCCTAAAGTTCTCCTCCCAACGGCATTCATGTACACACCTCTACATGGCACAGGAAGTATTTCTCTACCACACATCATGCATCAGACCGGCATCGGCACTCGAATGCTTTCTGTCGACAAGCAATTCGAACCAGACCCTGATTTTCCTACTGTTCCATTCCCCAATCCGGAGGAAGACCATGCTCTTGATCTCGCCATGATAGCTGCCGAGGCAAATGGCCGCGATCTATTGATTGCTAATGATCCTGACGCTGATCGATTTGCGGTAGCACAAATCATTCCTGAGTTAGTTGCATTCCTCCGCATTATCATGCTCATTCTACTTGGTACTAATAACGTATGTCATTGGTGAATAACAGACGCGGATCCTGGTACACCTTCACAGGCAATCAAATCGGCGTGCTATTCGCCGCTCACATTATCGAAAATCTCAAATTCCCCTGCGAACAAAAGGGATACTACATGCTCAACACCACCGTATCTACAACAATGCTTTCCAAAATGTGTGCAGCGCACGGCATCCACTACCGCCAAACCCTGACGGGGTTCAAATGGATGGGCAGTATCGCGCGTGACCTCGAACAGGAAGGCTACAAAGTCCCCTTCGCCTTTGAAGAAGCAATCGGATACATGTTCCCGGGCACAAAATGCTACGACAAGGACGGCTTGACTGCCGCGGTAGTTTTTCTTCTTGCCGAAGCCTACTGGCGACGACAGGGCATGACGCCGTTTGACAAGTTACAGGAATTGTTCAAGGAGTACGGTCACCACGAAACATTTAATCATTACTTCCGGTCTCCTAACCCGCAAACAACAGCCGATTTATTCAACAAGATTCGCGCCGGAAATGACAAATGGAGAGCAGGAGAGACATTTGGCCAAAAGACCATATTCACAATTACCCGCTGGCGTGACATGACGTTGGGCTATGATTCAGCGACTTCAGACAACAAGCCTGACTTACCGGTCGACAACGGAAGTCACATGATAACTCTCTGGCTCGATAATGATATCGTATTTACCTTGAGAGCATCGGGAACCGAGCCCAAGGTTAAATGTACTTACTCCCTTCTCCTCGATTCTTTCTCTGAAGTGCTTTTACTGATTTCGAGTCAACAGTCTACATTGAATCCTGGGACGTCGATCAAGACGTAGCCATTAGTAGAGTATGCGATGTCTTTGATGCAATCTTGTCAGAATGGATCAAGCCCTTGGCACCTACGATGACATGGGCAGACGAACTTTTCACATCTTCATCCCATCTTTACGGTAGAAGTTTGGCCGATTAAACTCAATCTTGGTCCGTTTCTAGTTATGACTTGGATATTTGTTCTTCGGATTTCTGAGGAGTTTTTGATCTGGGTGGGCAAAAAAAGATTACGAATGGTGGGAGGTAATATCTAGTGGATCAAGTCTATGTTACACACACTGTAGTCAATACTCTCTATCAAACAGAAAAATGAACAAAAAGTCCATAGAATTCTACACAAGAATAACGAAATAAATAAAGGGAAAAACACATTTCCTCTCGCTAGTTGCTAGCACAGTAATACATAGTTTGTCAAAAGATATTGCAAGAAACTTTCCACCTGGATCACGGCGAATTTGTTAGGGGAGAAAGAGAGAGATGGAGGGAAGATCGGGAGGAAGATTTTATGGAGAAAAAGAATACAGGTAATTATCTATCTCGTCCCCAGATGTCAGACTAGGGTTCGCCATAATGAGAAGGCAGGGTTTCTCTTGTTTAGAAGTGGATGGCCTTGGAGTAGGTGGCCATAGCGGCCTCCTTGAAGGCTTCGGCGAGGGTTGGGTGGGCGTGGCATGTGCGGGCAACGTCTTCACTGGAGGCGCCGTATCTGTGGGAATAGTTAGTATAGTTCTATATAAAGCAGTTTTGACGGAGGTCACTTACTCAACGGCCAAGGTGGCCTCCGCAATCATCTCACCAGCGTTGGGGCCAAGGATGTGAACACCGAGAATGCGGTCAGTCTCAGCATCAGAGAGGAATTTAACCTATATACAGTGTTAGGTTCTGTCATCGCTTCTGAAAATATGATATTAACTCTGTAGGTGAATAAACATACCAAACCTTCGGTCTCCAAGTTGGTCTTGGCACGACTGTTGGCGGAGAAGGGGAAGGTTCCTAAAGATAATTAGAAAAAGGGATTCGCTTGAGCGATTACTTCTGACATACCCTTGTTGTACTTGATACCAGCCTTCTTCAATTCCTCCTCGCTCTGTCCAACCCAGGCAACTTCTGGGTGAGTGTACATAACGCTGGGAATGGCAGCGTAGTTGACGTGGCCGTGGCCTTTTGTGATGTATTCAATAGCAGCAACAGCCTCTTCCTCAGCTTTGTGGGCAAGCATAGGACCGAAGGTAACGTCTACTCATCAGTCAGCGTATAGCTCGTATCCCAAGGTTTTAGTTGATACATACCACCAATAACACGGATGTGAGGAAGCTTGGTGCGGTATTCTTGGTCAATGATCAGTCGGCCCCTCTCATCAGCCTCAATTCCAATGTTCTCCAATCCGAGACCCTCAGTGTATGGTCGTCGTCCAATGGCGACAAGAACAACGTCGGCATCCAAAGTCTGTTCCTTTCCACCCTTTGCAGCTTCGGTGCTGATGGAGATGGTCGAACCGCTAGTATCGCCTTTGGTGACCTTGGTGTTGGTCAAGAACTTGATTCCCTGTTATAATTAAATTAGTGGGTGTCGTTGTGAGAAGAGGCATGAGTCGAACATACCTGCTTAGCAAGGATCTTCTGAGCAGCCTTGGAGATCTCAGCGTCCATACCGGGACCACCAATCTGTCCCAAGAACTCGACAACTGTGACTTCGGCACCCAATCGGCTCCAGACAGAGGCCTATATTGTTAGTTTAGCTTGAGATAGTGGAGACGAAACTAATCACCATTTCCAAACCGATGATACCTCCACCAATAACAACCATCTTCTTGGGGACTTCTTTGAGCGACCTTTAACGACGATACAATTAGCATGACGCACTAGCAATTTCAGCAACAGTCAACTTACAAAGCGCCAGTGCTTGTGACAATTCTCTCCTCATCGACCTCAAGACCAGGGAATGGCGTAGACTCGCTTCCAGTAGCAATGATAATGTTCTTACCACGCAGAGTCCGCTCGCCACCCTCGGTCAAGTTAACCTTCACCTCATTCTCGTTCAAGAAGCTACCAGTACCCTTAACGTAATCGACACCGTTTTTCCTATTCAATCACTGTCAGGTTCACACTCCGGGGAAAAAGTGATGGGTCGAAAATACGCACTTTAACAGAAACTCGACGCCTTTTGTAAGTCCCTCAACGGAAGTATCCTTGGCCTTCAGCATCTGTTGTAAGTTGAGTTTTACATCGCCGACCTCGATACCGCGCTTTTTCGTGTCGTGGAGGATCTGGTGATATAGATGGGAGTTGTTGAGAAGGGATTTTGAAGGAATACATCCGACGTTCAAGCAGGTACCACCGAGCGTTCCACGTTTCTCGATACAAGCAGTCTAAAAGAGATTCGCAATGGAGAGTCAGCTAAAATTCATTGAATAATACTCGATGACTGCTTGTCTAGGCACGCCATCGGAAAAAGAAAATATCACCTTCAATCCCTCTTGTCCGGCCTTGATAGCAGCGACGTATCCAGCAACACCACCTCCAATAATGACGAGATCATGCTCCTCCGCCTGAGAAGCATATCCTCGTCGACCGAACAGGCTCAAGGAAGGTGCGGGAATGGCGGATGAAGGAACAGCTTGAGGTCTCGCGATGCGGAGAGCACTCCGCGCAGGAAGCATTGAGCGGAACATGGCGCAAATGTGTAGAGAAGAACCAAAAGGAGACGTATTAAACAGCAAGATGAAAGAGACAAGCGGACCCCAGATGCAATTGAATGGGGTGTGGATATAATGTAGATGGGATGTGATTTTGTCTTTTGAAGGTGCAACGTCAGTGAGCCAGTTCGAAAGTTGTCAAAGCAAAAGCTACGTGTATTGTCACGTATGGTCATTCGTGTATTCTATGTGCTGAGAATCCAATTAGAAGATGTCATTGCCGAAATGCGGGATACAGTCGCGTACAGCGACTAAATACCGCATATAATCGGGCCGATAATACGGAATCCACCGGAGAGCGGCTACTGTTTGATCGATGTTTATTAATCTATCTCGCATCGCAAAACGAAGCCATTCTCGTATTTAATCGTGGCGATCTCTCATCTAATCATAAATTCAGTTAATCGACAACTATTCCAGCATCCTCTACTGACGTCTACTCGAGTCCCATGACCACCTAACTTCTTATATCGTCAACAAAGCGGCACTATGACTCAGTGGCAGAGACCTCTTCATGTGCCGTCTTTGCCGCCTCCGCATCGATCAGACTCGCCTTGCGGTTTGGTGCCAAGATCAGATCCGTGTTTTCCTCCTTGAGGCGAGCAAAAGTCCTCTCAGCATCCCAGTTCCATGGCGTATCAGCCGCAAAAAGAAGGTCCATGTCTTCAAGCGTGCGTTGATTACTTTCGGGATACAGAGCCCAGACCATGGGAATAGTGATGATGTTGCAGACCGCAAAGATGTAGAGCGTCTTTTCACCGATTGAGTTGAACATGACGGGGCACACAAGCATCTAATGAGCAGTCAGACTCTGTTTCACGAATAGGATTGGAAGGGAAGTACGCACCAACCAGCCATTTCCAATACTCCATCCAACTACACCCCATGCGTTACCACGAGCACGCACTGCTAGAGGGAAAATCTCAGCTGGATAGAGCCAAGGTACTGTCAACCAAGTAGCTCCAAAGGCGGCAGTGTAGATGAAGATCATGGATGCCGCACCCGCTCCGTAAGAGGACGCTTTGGACGCATCCCCTACAGCTGAAGCATTGATGGCAAGTCTAGAAAGCCCACCGGCGAGGAACATAGCTATAGCTTGGGCAACAGCACCCCAATAAAGTGTCCATCTTCGGCCGATTCGATCCAAGGTAAATACGCAAATAAGGGTGCTGAACTGTTATACGGTTAGGGAGACAATCATCCGAGAATGAGTATCCACATACCATATAAAAAATATTGTTCAGGCCACTGATCCATTGACTTTTCTGGGCACTGTACCCAGCGATTGAAAAGATAGTCGGCGCATCTGAGAAACATCAGTAATGACTTCTATAATAGCTGCGTGACAGAAACATACAAACCGTGACTCCGGCAATACCAGTCCATTCTTGCATAATCTGCAACCAGACAACCAACTGCACCCTCCTTCCAAGATGCAACTTTCCAGACTTATATCCAAACAACATTGCCAAGTACGAATGATCATGCGTCATGGACTTCTCCAACTCGGCAATATTCAAGATTTCGCGGAACTCCAGGTCTGCTCTGGCGCGTTCTTCTGACGTACTATCACCACGTAAACGACTGAGGATATATCGAGCTTCGTCTTCTCTGCCGACTTTGACTAGCCAACGTGGCGATTCGGGAAAGAACCAGATTCCGGCGAATAGGGCGAGCAGGAAAATGATCTGGAAGGCGACTGGGAAACGCCATCTGAATGCTGATCTCCCGCCGTCGATGAATGATAGACCACTATGATGATTTTTATTAGTGGATAATTGCATTCTCAGTGCGTGATTTGGTTGACAGGTAGGGAAGATGTACAATTCCATCCAGTAAGCGATGACCACGCCGAAGATGTTCAAGGTGAACTCGATGGCTATGAATTGGCCACGAGAGGTATGTTCCTAGATTCTGTGTCAGATCTGCACCTTCGACCTTGAAAAATATAGCATCCATACACTTGTTTCTGTTGCCCAGACCGGAATGATCGTATTCAAAATACCAGTGCCAATTCCATTAACCGCTCGGGCTGTGGTACATCAGCACATTGCCTCTAGCGAATTACCCTAACAGAAAGGTGAAACCAACCACAAATCATCCAATCATGATTCTGGGCAGACGTCTGCAAACAAGCTCCAACAATCCCCCATAGAGTGCCCAGCGCAATCGACCTAATACGTCCAATACGATCACCCACCCATCCTCCCAAAAGTCCCCCAAACAGTGTTCCCAAGTAATAAACCGAGACAATACCACCTTGTAACAAACTATTCGTAACGACCGGAGTCAGTTCACCATTAACGTCTTTGGTATATCCGAATTTCATTAGATCAATATAGTCTTTAGAATTGTTGACACCGCCCATCAGACCCTGATCATAACCGAACATAAGGATCGATAGGGCTGCTGCGCAGTTGATGGCTATAAGAAGCTGGCGCTTCTCGAAGCGGTGGACGACGTTCCATGAACTGATTCTGTCGCTCATGATGATAATGTTTTCGTCTAACATTCATAAGCCGAAACGATTTCCAAGGGGTTGAAGAAGCCTCCTCTAAAAGAATGAGAACCGTCACCACAGATTTTTTTTTTCCAGTTCCAAGTCTGCAGATCGGCAGGTGTCCGACTACTTAAACCCCAGAGCAGGTCCAAAGAGCCCTCTACAGACGCATATGCATGCCTTTGTTCTACATGTGGAGCGTAATGCTGTGGGACTGCTACCAGTGCGAAATACGAAGGGCGAGTGGTCATTTTTCGACGATCCTCCATTGGCGTCAATGGATGCATCGGGCTTGTACTTGCTGTTTATAGTATTCGCTTTACAGTTCTAACTATGGCCGAATGTATGGTGCAGGAAAGTGCTGTGACAGGCATCGTTTAATCCCGCCGAATCACTGAGCAGACGGTTTTATATAGGCACTTAAGTGGTCAATACGAGACAAGACATATACTCCCGAGATCGTAATGTAGACTGTACCACACCTGGAAGATTTAAAGTAGAGAATGCTCTGGACTGGCTGTCAAGTCTGGAACTAAGCTAAGCATATGTAGCCAAGAGCATGCAACCGGCCAACTGTCCGAGTATCAATGCCATTTCTTGGATTTTGGATATGTAGACCCTACCTGGGGGTTCTCCACACGGGGTAAGAGATTCAGTGTATGATTTCTCGAGTCATCGGTTAATTTTCATAACTAGGCTAAAATTGATGAAAGTTCGAAACAAGCATTCAAATCGTGTCTGCCAGGCACTTTGGGGTATCAGAACAAAACTGCGGCTCCAAATGCACAGGCGGAGGACCTCGACTCGCAAATCACGAGCGCTACTTCTCTAGGTGGGGGTTGATCTACAAGGACAATGTGCTCTATCGGCCAAATTCCCGTAACGGCGTAATTTGAAGCACTCTCTAGATATGAAATTATCCGTGTGATCCTTGTTGACAAGGGCAGAGCGCTTGTTACTTTCTCTTTGAATATTGACATCGGAGTTGCGCCGAAAGCGTCAATCCTTGCCGGAATGGGTGGTGTGTCGCAGAAAAATGGAAGTACTGCAGCGTAGTATTTCATGTATTTCAGTTCTTCTTCTCTTTTCAAAATGCTAGGAATACATATAATTGAATATAATTTGCACGTCTGGTAAATTGACTGCTCGATGGATTGCACAAAGCCATCAGGGTTAGGGCTTAATAGTTCCGAGGCTCGGAAACTTATCAGACAATGGGAATGTTATCGTCTGAGTGATTCATCTGGATTCGTCTTCCCTTTGAAATAAGAACTAGCAGAAATGAACGGACCGAATATAGTTATCTTTCTAATCTTTTATTTAGAAGTTACTATAGCTCGGAATGCCGATACTCCATCACCAAGATAGGTATCAAGCTCGGAAACTCGGAACTTTCCGATATCATCTATCATGGTTGTATACTTCCTTGAAGAACTATTCATGGATCATGTATATATACATTCATGCAGCTCAATTGAAACTCTTAATCCTGTATGACATTTGAACGCGCGCCTAAGTATCATTATAGAACAGGAAATCACCATGCACGTCCACCCACTATCAGCTCTCTCGGAGCTCGAGACAACCACTGCTAGGGACGTTATCCTCACCTTACATACCGACAAAGTCATCTTCTTTCGCGAAATATATCTTCAAGAACCTGCAAAGGCAGAACTTATTCCTTACCTGGAGCTAGAACATTCCGGGAATTTGAGTCCTACTTCACCGCGCCCCAAAAGATTGGCGAAATGTCAATATGATGTTGTGGGTAGTGATCGTGTACCGGAGTACCATGAGTCCATTGTCGATATTGAAGGGAAGAAGAGAGTGGAACATGTTGTTGTTGGAAAAGAGCATCAAGCTTCTTTGACGATGTACGTTGACTTCCTTTTTACTTCAACTTGTTTGGAGAACTAATACTACTATAGGGATGAGTTTGACATCTTCATCAAAACCTGTCAAGACTCCGCACTTTTCAAAGAAGCAATAGCCAAATTCAAACTCCCCGAAGGCTTCGATTATGTCATTGAACCCTGGCCCTACGGCGGTCGTGACCGCGTAACGGACGACAGGCGCTATTTCCAAGGTCTCATCTTCGCCCAAGACAAACGCTCCGGAAACCCGGATTCGAACTTCTATGCATACCCTATACCCATCATCCCGGTCATGGATTTTCACAAGCGCGAAATAGTCCGTATAGAGAAGTTGGCCACTGGCGGAAAGGGAGATGCTCTTACGGCATCGGAAGCTGGATTCAGAGAAGATGTTATTGGACATTGTACAACTGCAGAGTATGTACCAGAGCTATTGCCAAAGGGTACACGGAAAGATTTGAAGGAGTTGAATGTCCTTCAGCCTGATGGCCCTTCTTTCAAAGTGTCGCCGGATGAGTCGCTGGTTGAGTGGCAGAAATGGAGATTCCGTGTTGGGTTCAATCCTCGCGAAGGCGCGACCATACATGATGTTTGGTATGATGGGAGGAGTGTTCTTTATCGACTTAGTATGAGCGAGATGGTGAGTATTCCTTACTTCGTTATGTTCGATTTGAACTGACAAACCTGGCAGACTGTACCATATGCAGATCCCCGGTATCCATTCCATCGGAAGCAGGCATTTGATTTCGGTGATGGAGGTGCTGGAAATTGTGCAAACAATCTCTCTCTTGGTTGTGACTGCTTGGGTGTGATTAAAGTATGCCAAACCGACTTTCCGGATATAACGCACAAGCTAACAGAGAGCTTCCTTAGTATTTCGATGCCGTTCTCACGGACAGTGAAGGCAATGTCAAACCCGCCCCGAATGTCGTCTGCCTTCATGAACAAGATAACGGCATTGGCTGGAAGCACACCAACTGGCGTACTGGGCGCGCTGTGGTGACAAGATCGCGCGAATTGGTTGTACAATTCATCATCACCCTAGCGAACTACGAGTACATCTTTGCATATAAATTCGACCTTGCCGGCGGTATATCAGTCGAGTCTCGAGCGACCGGAATTGTTAGCGTCGTCAACATTGACCCCGGCAAGCAGTCTGAGTACGGTAACGTCGTCGGTAATGGAGTCCTGGCACAAAATCATCAACACGTCTTTTGTATTCGTATCGATCCTGCTATTGAAGGCCACAAGAATACTGTGTATGTCGAAGAATCGCATGCCGTGGAAATGAACGACGTCACAAATCCAGAAGGAAATCTTTACCAGATTCGAAAGACGCCAGTTGAGAGATCTACCTGGTTTGATGCCGCACCCCAGCATAACCGAATTATCAAAATGGTTAATACCGACAAACTCAATCCGATTAGTCGAAACCCCGTGGGATATAAATTCACGCCTATGGCAACGCAGCTTTTGCTAGCCGATAAACGCTCTATTCAAGCCAAGAGGGCACAGTTCGCTCAGCATCATGTATGGGTAACAAAGTATCGGGATGGTGAGCTTTTTGCGGGCGGTCGTTATACACTGCAGAGCAAAGACGAGATTGCCGGAGTTTCTGATGCTGTCAAACGAGGTGAAAGCGTAGCGAATGAAGACGTTGTGGTATGGAGTGTTTTTGGTATCACCCATAACCCCAGAGTCGAAGATTGGCCGGTCATGTAAGATTGTTTGTTCCTGTCAAATTCTTGGATAATTGCTAACTTTTGTCGTACGCATAGGCCAGTGGAATGCTTCCAACTCAATATTCGTCCCGCAGACTTCTTCACGGAAAATCCGGCTATTGATGTTCCGTCAAGAAAGAATATGGCTTCTCAGCTAGTGACTTCGAATTGTTGCTCAAAGCCTAGCTTGTAGACTGTTATGTGATGAGATTATGTCTTTTATCAGCAACATCATCCTGTTTTTGTCTCTTTGCTATTCTTTTGCTTCGGCGCCTGTATTCAGTATGTCTTCGACAAGCTATGCACTGCCCGTCCTCATCAAAATAATGGCCATTTCTGACAGAAGAAAGCGTTAGTAATAATCCTGAGGTTTATTTAATAGGTTCAATTGCTATTACACGTAACTTACAGTTCATGTTCGCAGTTCTGATGCGGTTCCTCATTATTGCAGGCATCACAGACTGGTATGCGATAAGTACAATCCCACAGCGCACTTGTATGATCCATCCATCTATGATATAAGTGACCTCTAATCTCATCTGGACTCTGTGGGACCTTATCGTACAAGCAGAGAGCTAACTCATTAGCATCGTCACCCACAGAAACCCGTTCAATCCAGACCGGTGGACCATGATCAACCTTTTCAATATACACCCAACCGGTGCGATCATTCTCAATAAGGGATTCTTCTTCCTCTCCATAAGTATCGTCCATATATGTTTCCATAGCAGGAGACACATCTTGATCAAACTCGACATGAATGATCCCTTTTTGCAAGATATCATCCCAAGAGTGACAATCCGCGGGAACCACCAGGACAAAACTTCGATATCGTTTTTTGTAATCGTATTCACGCCAAAATTTCGCAGAGCAGCACCATGTGGGAACAATATGTGGATATACCTCCTTGCCTCTCAACGCCAGCACTGCTTCGTGCGCTGCTTCCTCACGATCTTCATCGTCCATCTCCGGCCCACACGCGTCTCTAGCCGCGGCAGCGACAGCGGCATGCATCTCTTCAACAGCCTTACGGCGAAAGATCTTTTCACGTCTATGATGCTCAATGCATTCTTCAATACTGCCCAGAGGTGCATATACATCTACTCGCGGCCAGTAATTTCTCGCATTTCCCCATCCGCAAATAGCGTCGGACCGGAGAAGACTGTTCCCAATTTCCGCTCCTTGATCTGGGTCTACGTCACTGAGGAAATAGAGGTGTAAACTTAGTTTTCGAATAATATCCTGGTTCATCGACCACGATGGGCCTCCCACAACTGTATATGGTTTCTGGGCGTGGTCCAGGAATGTGTGTCTGGAGAAGTCTTTGCTGCCGAGTTGTTTTCGAGGCGCTCGTCCACCGGTGGACTTTCGGGCAATTTGTTTAGTTCGAGCCATTTTTGTCAATATTAGGTGGTCATTAAGGATGAAATCGACGCCTGTATTCGAGATATCAAAGGAGGTGTTGGAATTGAGGTCTGATTTGAAAAGTCGTATCCAAGACCAACCGCACTAAGCCCACAACAGCATAGCCTAGAATCTTATCTTTATCTCTTTCTTTTCCCTTTGTCGTCTTTATATCCCAAAAATTATATCACAATATTTCATGGAACTTGACAACTAGCTCTAAGCGAGCTTTAATGCTGATGCTGGTCTGCTGAGTTGCTGGCATACATGATCATTGATGACTATTTCTGAAACGGCCGAATGAATGCTTGCAAGCCTGTGCCTTTGTTAGTTCCTATCGGAGTCCACAATGATTTGAAGAATGGAGACAAAAACCTTCATGCCTTCTTACATGCAAATCAATGTTAAAGAGGCTCCTTAGAACCTTTGTCGCTGTTTGACGGCTTAAAGCGGCCGGATAGAGTACAGCCCGCTTATAAGCCGCTTAAGCCTCCCCAATAAACTCCAGCCATAGACCAAAATGCTCACCAAAAGCCTCTACGAGTCACGTTGGGCACCCCAGAACAACACTCCTCAATCAACCACGCCATCACCATCTTCCGCTCAAGAACTCGCGCGTTTCTTGAAGATCGTTTCGCGACTGAAATGGAAACTACCATTTCTATCCGAAGGATACCGCCTGGCCACGGCCCGCTTCGATATGTCGCCCTCCGACGTTGCCTATGCGGAGATCATGTTTAAGATCGATTTCCACGAATATTACGCACTACTTGAGCGCGCGATAGTACATTTACTTGCCGTTTGGGGCATTACCGTACCCAACCCCCGTTACAAAGTGACCGATCCCCAAAATTCTACCAAAGGCAACGTTTCGAGTGATCGGTGGTCCGCGACACACAGATACCACGCCACTGTCCTGGAAACGCTGGAAAGAGAATCGTGCCCTCTATACCCCGCGTTAGGTAGCGGATCAGTCCGCGATCAGCTACGGCGAGCCAAGCAGCTTCGCAATCGGTGGAAGACCGCGGACTCGCCCGAGGAAGACGAACAGCATAGATCCGCTGCCTTCTCTGGGACGTCGGGGAACAACAACGTACCTTTAGAGAGCTACGATCTAGAAGGAATGATAACAAGCATCTTCAGCGGCTTGGAGCAGGGGCATGCTTTGGCCCAGCAGCATGTTTCTAGAGACAATCCCGAGATGGAGATTGAGACCTCCGTCGCCGGTGACACTCGTGCCGATTGGGATTTCATTGTTGATGCGATGGATTGGGAGGCCGTATAGGCCTTTCAGTCTCGTGAGTATAGCGTTCTGGAATGTTATTGATACCCCGAGACGACTGTTGGATATCTGAGTCAATCTATCCATAGATACATCGTAGATAGAGGCATGCATATTATTGGCAAAGCATTATTTTACTTTCTAACGTGGTATGTTATCGTTTAAAGTATGCCTTAACTTGAATTCTGACAGTAGTCTAGTTGCCGCCAATCACAATCTCTGGATAGCCCAAAATCACAGCAAAATGGCTTATCAGAAAGTTGATGCTATTCATGGATGTGATTGGTCTGACCCCTGGATGTTTGCGGAGAAGCTTATCCCAACCATCCCAAACCCGCAGATTGTCGCAGCTCTTTCTTTATTTCAACACCACTTTTCATCAGTAGCAAGAGATAATCCGGCATGTCCTATTGAAAAAGTACACTAGAGAAAGCGGAGAGTTGGGATGGCAGACAACAGCAAAAGAAGCGCTGTTAACTCTGAAACGCCAGGCTTTGAACCGCGGAAGCGAGGGAAATACACCCAAGTCGCTTGGCAAGTGCAGACAAACTTTGTCGTTAATGTTTGAAATCGCTCATCTAACGGTTTTACAGTAATGAATGCAAGCGCCGAAAGTTGAAATGCAGTGGAGGGGATGTATGCAAGCGATGCGTATCAAATGAAATTTCTTGTGTATACGCCGCTCATCCCCGACCACCTGCAAGCGAGGAAAATCAATCTGCAGATAAGTACGAAAAATCGGCCCACATTTTTTACTGATTTACGCTTTAATGAGTAATCGGGACTGACCAGAGTTATAGCTCATCGTGGAAACTGAAATCTCTGGAAAGCCGCATGTCGGCTATGCAGAAGCAGCTAGATCTCATGTCCACTGAGATTGGAATCCTGCGAAGAAGATCCTTGCCATTCCAGCGACATGCCCAGGCGACAATTGAACCCAACAAGCCTACTGATCTCCGGTGGGCGACGCGGGCTCCAGTGTCACCTAGCTATGTCGGACCGACGAGCAGTGAATTCGGTCTCAATGTTCCGGATGATGATGTACCGGATATAGACGAAACGGAAAATTCAGAAATTGTGCAGCCATCTTCGTCAAATAGCCCGTATGTACCACCTATACTGCCAGAAGAAGGAAGAAAAAGAGCAAGTATCTCAACAAGCAATCCTCTACTCTCTCTCGGCGAGGCCGATGCTCTACGGCTTGTCGACGTGTACGAGGAGGCTGTTGGACTAATGTATCCCGTTGTTGATCTCAAAAGTATTCGGGAATACATTATTGACTACTATAGTCAGCACTCGAATGATTCCGCTAATGATATTTGCCCTCCTCAGAACGGTAATGAGGTATGGTGGTTCTCTGCGCGTGATACCGAGGTCTTGAAAATTGTACTTGCTCTGGCTTTGATATCCGAATCACCAGGTCAAAGCGAACTGGGAAATATACTGGCTTCCAGTGTTGAAGACACGTTCGCCCAAACCAGAACGCAGGTGCCTGAAGTCGATATGAAGGAGTTGATCATCCTCGCATTGGTGGTAAGTTGTTCCTTTTCTTGTTGATGAAATGGAGATCCTTGCTCATCGTGATTCAAGGCTCTGTATCACTCACTTCGTGATGACGATATTTTAGCATGGCGTACCATCGGTTTGGCCACTCGAGGTGCCATACAAATGGGCCTACATCGATGCGATACGTGGCTACGGACGGGAGGCATTTTCCCCGGCGATCTGGAACGCTCTTGGGCAATTAATCTCTTCTGGTGCATCTACGTTTTTGACAAGGAGTTCTCTTTCGAAACCGGTTTACCATTTTCCATGCGGGATTCTGACATGGATCCTACTCTGCCTGTGCCGGTATGTTCGTTTGTGACGTTTAATATCCACTGTCCTACACTAACTAGTGGTTATAAAATAGACCGAATACCACACATACCTAGAGTGCATGATTTCATATTGCCGTGTTGGCGGCAAGATAATGGATCTGATGATTGGTTGGGGCAGTACAGCCAGAGCGGTAGGATCTGATAATGAGTCCTTTCTGAATTTCCAGATACAACAATGGCAAGAATCTATACCTTCCGAGTTCCGCCTTGAGGACCTCCGGAGTGACAGGACTCCTACGATGAGAGACTCTCGCCTAGCAACACCACGGATCCTCTTACATTTACGCGCAAACCAGATGAGAATACTAGTGTACAAACAGAATCTCCTCAGTGCGGAGTCGATTAGAAACAACCTTACAGGCGCAAATATCGCCGTGACAAATGCCAGGAACACGATACACACATTAAGCAAACTACGCTATGTTTCGGCAATCTATTTTCAACGACCACAGCCATTCGACCGATTCCTCTTCTCGGCGCTAGCAACTTTGTTCCTGGCCATGTTCCATTCGCCAGATTATTTTGTGAATGTGTGTCGCGACAGCTTTTCTGAGGCACTGAATGCACTAAAACGATCATCTATCCGCGGGAGACATTCTCGACGACTTCGCAAAGTGATGAAGAACCTCAAACGACTCGGCATTAACCGACCCCCTAGTGGAAATAGACAATCTCATCCTTCAGCAGCACCACCACCACCACCACGCCATGCCAATCAACACCACGCTACAAATGTAATCGAATCTGAAACGATGTCAAACGCACAAGCCGCCGGTATGGATCCTTCAGTTTATTCAGTTCCTCCATCACTAGTCAATGAGACTACGCCAGACGACTACAGTGACCTGACCAACTTTTTTGAGTTTGCTGGTGATTTCTTCATGGACCCGCAACCCAGTCTTCGCGGCGATGTTGATCAAGCTAATGTTATGTCGAATGAGTTGACGCACCAATTCCAGAATTCGATTGATATGTTCCAGGGGGGAGATGAGACGTTGACTAGGTTGATGATGGGACTGTTATGATAGCGATAGAAGCATTCCGGTTGCGGCTCTTGTTCTCGCGGGAGCTTCTCAACTGTTGTATACGAAAGCAAGCAACTTTTAAGGCTAAAGCTACTTTTGTTTGCCGATGCAATGCCTGGCATCTACCTGAGGTATTTGGGCCATGATAGATCCAAGCATGTTCAAATTTCCACGTACAGTAGAACCTGGTTATAACGAACAGAAGGCCTCTCGGAGCCCAAAGACAATATGTTCAGAAGTGAGTTCCATTTAGGGATGAAGGGCACCTCTAATATGTTAATCCATTTTAGTATTAATAACTCGGAGACTCTTCAGTTCCATATTAAGGTCATCCGAGCTGATATTAGTGGAAATGCAGAGAGGCCTTCCTTTCGTTATAGCCAGGTTCTACCGTACTACCAAAAGTAGGTATCCCCCATCCCCCATGCCCCCTACTATCCCCCTACTATAAAGAAAAACATCCCAAGACTTTGATTCTCGAACATCTGACATAAGCAGCATACAGGCTAGGCAATACCTAATTAGCTGGAGCACTTCCAATTCTGTACACATTTAGATTTATACAGAGTACTTGATCTTGAATCCTTCCTTTGTCTCTCGAGCGAAGCGAGAGAAGACAGCTTGTAAGAACATAAATAAAGGGCCGGTGTCTATATCATCTCTTTACTCTCTTTGTCCGTGTGTAAGCTAATTGCTAAGAGGATCGGGCCGAGTTCTTGTATGTCTTCAAAATCCCAATCCAGATGGCGTATTCGCGCTGTTCAAAGCACCTTCTACCCGTATTCTCAGATCTCACGCGTCGTGAGGTCTACAGACTTTCATATCATGCAGCACAAACGGGGGTTCCTGGGGTAATGAAAGGAGAGTATTTTTCCTTGTCGGATTTTCAGAAGTCTGATATGGTCCAAGAGTACCTGGTCATCGCGAAGGATACCTTAGTTGATGCCTCATATGTCCCGGACTCCATCTCTCACCTGGGTACTCATTTAGTCTGGCGTTTTGATTTACTTATATAATCCTTGAGTATTCAATGTTGGTCTTTTAGATCTTGTTGCAATCCACAGTCAGAAGTGCAACATTGTCGAGGAATTCAATCGCAAACTCCAAACGGAATATGGTAGCCGGAGATATACGTATAAGTCACCTACAAGTCCACATAAGGTACTCATCTCTCTCAAGAGGTTGACGGGCCTCGTTTCTGGTCGAACGGTGTGTAGTTCTTCGGATCTCGGTATAGATTTTCCCGAAACTGTATATGCATTTATTCTCTTCGTCTATCCGCGATATCACTTCAGTTGCATGAGATAGCATTACGCGGATTGCCATTTGATACAGGATCCGACTCGTAGTCGCCCAAGCAGTTTGTTGGGGCAACCCCGGTACTTGATCTCCATGCTGGAGTGCAATATTTGCGCCTCAAGATATCCGACTTACCGAGGCTCAACATCCTTAAGAGGGGAAGGACAATGTGGACGCAAAAAGGCCTTTCAGTGGACCCAACTATTTCTTTTCCTGGTATAATTCGCGAGGCTAGTCCCCAGAGATCGGGTTATCCAGTCTGGAGCAAAAAGATCAGCAGGCTAGCGTTTTTGACTTTGCGTCAGTGCGCATTCGAATTTTGCTATTGAGAATGGATCGCCCTACGGTTCAACGTTCAGTCGGATAGGTGCATCATGCTGATCCGACCGCCAGCGTAGTGTGCGACGCCGAGTTATTCCAGGCTCCATCCAGCTCAACTTTAAACTGCAACCTGGGTCCAGTCTTGCTGGGTGGAAAGTCCAGGATCAATTACGCATTGTGTATGCGAATGCTGCAGCGCTGGAATTGAGTTTTGTCGTGCTGCCGAGGCGTACATGTGATTTGGCTGTGTAATACGTGAGGTTATCGCAAACGTCGATGTGATAAATCGATAAATGTACGCGTCGCCCCTAGCTCTAGTGTTCGGAAATCCAAAGCCACTAGCACCTGGTTATTGTCCTATTCACATCGTTCGACTCAACCAGTACTGCGTAGAAAGAGAAAGAAAGATGAACGGCCACGCAAACGGCCATGTCAATGGCTTCGAAAATGGCACCTCCAACACAAATACAATCGATGTCGCCGTCATTGGCGCAGGAATCTCTGGCCTTAACGCCGCCTACCGCGTCCAGACGAAACTACCAGATGCCACATACCAAATCTTTGAAGGCCGCGGTGATGTGGGAGGCACATGGGATCTTTTCAAGTATCCCGGTATTCGTTCCGATTCTGATTTTTACACATTCGGGTTTCAGTGGAATACCTGGCACAAGGATAATCCCATTGTACCGGGAAGTGATATAAAAAGGTATCTTCAGGAATCAATTAAAAAGACGGGGATCGATCGTCATATCCTTTTCCATCATCGGCTGGAGGTGATGGAATGGTCGTCTGAGGACCAATACTGGACTTTGACGATTGATGCTCAGGGCCAAACCAGATATGTCAGGGCAAGACATATCATCGTTGGAACCGGATATTACAATTACAATGAACCCTTGAGCGCTGAAATACCGGGTCTTGAGAATTTCAAGGGACAAGTGATCCATCCGCAATTCTGGCCCGAGGATCTCGATTATGCCAATAAAAAGGTAGCCATCATTGGCAGTGGTGCGACAGCAGTCACTCTTGTGCCCAATCTGGCACCAACAGCAGCACACGTTACCATGATCCAGCGCAGTCCTACATATGTCTATCCGCTACCAAATTCGACTCTCGGGTGGTTTTCTTGCTTCCTTCCTAATTCTCTTCGCCATAAGCTCAGCCGCATGTACTTCATTTTCCTGCAGCGTTTCAGCTATGAACTATGTCGTGCATATCCACGACAAGCCCGATCTATTATACTACGACGCATGCAATCACTCCTTGGCGGAGTCTTACCTATTGATCCTCACTTCAGCCCACGATACAACCCATGGGACCAACGACTCTGTCTAGCCCCGGACGGTGATTTCTTCGCTGCGCTTCGTTCCGGCAAAGCAGACGTTAAAACTGGGACTATAAAGACTATGACCGAAAACACCATCGTCCTGAGCGACGGCGAAGTGTTTGAAGCAGATATCCTCGTTACCGCTACAGGGTTACGGATCGCTTCCGCAGGCGAGGCATCTATCAAAGTGGATGGAGAAAAGATTGACATCTCCCAGAAATATCTCTGGAATGGATGCATGTTACAAGATGTGCCGAATCTGTGCTATGTGCTCGGGTATATCAATGCATCCTGGACACTGGGTGCCGATGCTACTGCATTGCTGTTTGTGCGTATATTAAAACACATGAAGCGCCGAAATGCGGTTGTTGCTGTTCCGCGAGTTGAGGATCCATCAGCTTTGACGCCCAAGCCACTTGTTAATATGAATTCGACGTACTTTCAGAAATCGCAGATGGTGATGCCGAGGACGGCAGAGGAGCAGCCATGGCGGCCAAAGGAGAGTTACTACGTGGATATTTGGCGGGCGATGTTTGGGCGGGTTGATAAGGGGATTGAATATATTGGCGCAAAGTGATTGCCCTTTGTCTATGAAATACATACTAGTTCTATATAGTTGATGTTACAGGTTTTAGGTCTATAGGTAGTTTGCAGGAGTTCGTGGCAGGTGGAATTAGGGTTATTCAAGAGGGTTGTTTTGTGTGTATAAACGTAGAACCAATGGATACTAGTATAAATTAATAGCACAAAATCAAATCTATGAGGCATTTTAACCTCATAATATGAGTATAGATTTTAAACATCATTTAATCCATCTTGTAACAACATTTACGCTAAAATACGACGTGTATGCACTGTAATGCTGCATCGATACCAAACTAATACGCTATTCACAAGTACCGAGGCACATGATGGGGGTTGCGCCTCAACATTTTTGATCTTTTACTGGTCTGTCTGACGATCTTCCCCTCTCCTATATTAATGATAACCTTCAGCAATTGTCTTAAATGGGCTTGCGTACCCGTATTATTTCGAACAAGAAGAATTGAATTTCCCGAGACTCAATTCATAGGATAATGCTTTGAAATATGCTTCAACAGGTCCAGTCCATTCAGGAGAGACAATATATAGGAACCCTGGGAACAAAAACCAAAATGCCTTCAGCCACACATAAACCATCTCACGATGAACTCAATAGTCTCAATTATCAAAATGGCTCAACCGAAAAGAATAAACCTGTGTATAGAGAAAGATCAAGCATGACACTATCCGAAAGACTCGATTTACCCCTTGCTCTCCTCTCGGTCCCCATTGTAGCAATCCTTGCTATTCTAACGGGACCATTTCGAGCTCGAAAACAAAGACTAAACCCCAAACAGACGATTGCGAGGTCGATGTTGTTGCATGTTGGGTATGCAGTTTTCAGGAGGGTTGTGTCGCGGTTTTCGCCTTTGCAGATTCAGTGCGTTCTCTTTACCCGCTTCTTGGTTTCACGACTGACTAGAATAGAGAGATTGTACCTTCTACTACGACGGAATATAAAATATATACTTGGAAGAAATGGATCAAGCAGCAAATCGTCGACCTTGGTGAGGGTGCCAAGGGACTTTGGGTGGGAGATCCAAATGCGAAGAATGTTCTGATCTGGATACATGGTAGGTAGACACCTCCCACAACTTGGGACTAAAAAATACTGACAAACCAGGTGGCGGATTCGCTGTCCCCGCAAACAGAGGCTACTTCACCTTCTTCGATAAATTCCTAGAAGAAATGAAAGCAGCCAACAAAGACATGTCCGTCTTCATGGTTGCATACACCCTGGTCCCAAAAGCAGTCTATCCAACCCAACTACGCCAAAGCATAACTGCACTGCGCTACATTCTCGAAAAGACAGATCGTAAAGCTGAAAGTGTCTTCTTTGGCGGTGACTCAGCCGGTGGGAATCTTGTCCTTGCTGTATTGAGTCATATTGCACACCCCCATCCAGACATTGAGCCACTTGAATTATCTGCTGGAAAGGAATTTGGTGGGGCGACGCTTTTATCTCCTTGGTCGTCGTTGGAGACGACTTTCCCAGTACAGGATACAGAACCATTGGGTGATTTGATTCATCCGGATTGCGCGAAGCCCTGGGCTGGAAGTTATCTTGCTGGTCGTGAGAGGGATAACTATACGGATGCACGATTGGCGCCTATTGAGTGGTGGCATAATCTACCCATTAAGCGTGTATTGGTGACTGCTGGTGGGTATGAATTGTTATTGCCATTTATTGAGGATTTTGCGAGTCGATTTAAACAGGGTCTTGATGGAGGTGATGGTGCTGGGGGTAAGGTCGAGTTTTTTGTAGGTCCCAAGGAAGCACATGTTGCACCTATGTTCAATCTGATGCTAGGTGATTCGGTGGAGACAGAACAGGGGAAGAGGGTCAAGGCTTTTTATAAGGAGGTGGTAGAGTGATCGTTAGAATTTGGAAATTGGAATTTTACCGTTGAAGTGACCTAAACTCGGTCTATGTCCATTACATTCTTGACCTCAATTTGGAAAATGCCACGCATTTTGTTACCGTTTGTTAACTTGTATACTGCCACTCGTGAATCAGAAGTTACCTTGCTTTTGCATTGTGATCGCGTCAACAGTGCCCGTTTCTCCCAGCTGAACTACAGGCAGAAGAGGACTACTCCCGAATTATAAGTTTCGACAATAAAACCAACTGACAACATTTGGCTTTCTTTGGCCTGAACTTTCTTCGGCATTTGAGGTAGATCATCTATAAAGACAAATTTCCAAGGTTTCGCAATGCATAGGCATCGCTACCCCTGACCCTTTGAGCTCGCAAGTAGCAGAACTGCCTATAACCCTCACGTCGTTAATCTTGATCATCAACCGGCATCTGTAGTTTGACATGAGACTTCAATATACCGCCAAAAAGAAGATAAAGGAGTCAGCTTACACCATCGACTTCAGGTATTGGACGATCATGACCAATCGGAGATCACCCCGACTGTCAATAACTCGATCCTTCAGATAATCAAATATCCAACCAAGGACTATTCCTGGATATAGCTCGCCTAACCAAGAAGAATACGAGGAGAACTACTACGTAGTAGAAAGTACTGCCTAATTCAAGCGGTCGGGATTCCGGCAAAATTGAATCCCGAAACCCGATGTATCAACTACCGGATTTGGCCTGTCAGCCTGAAAATAACCAACATCAAGTCAACTTGTTTAATAGTTGGTCAGATATTTAGCATTATTAATCTACTTCCACACGAAAGTTAGTTAATGAGCCCCGGTTACAAATCACAGCAGGACTGATCGATGTTCTTGACAAATCCCAACTGGAAACCCGAATACCCCGTCTGGTCATAACTCACATCTGTCTATGAAACGGAATTCGATTTCACCATCAAAGTGGACATAACCAGACTCGGAGTTTTCCTTTTGACGAAACTTGAATGCCTATTGACTGCCTAACCCCATTCGATTATGAATCGTAACGTGGTCGAAGCCCCTGCAGGCGCAGGTGCCGTAGGGCAAACGCCATCGACCACCGTGACATCCAGACCGGCGCCCTACGGCCGTGCATGCGTCAACTGTGTACGCGCAAAGTGTAAATGTATTCTTCGCAATGATGGGGATAATTGCGAAAGGTATGTTACCTTTCTCAAAATTTTAGTTAATTTACTAAATAACTGTTGATAGATGTTTCCGTCTCAAGAAAGATTGCATGCCTTCATCCTCTGTGCGGAAAAGGAGATCTACACCGAGAAACCCCTCGCAGACTGCTCGTCTGGAACAGAAACTAGATGGACTTGTATCTTTGCTCAAGGCGAATTCGCAGGGTAGTCTATCTGTAGAGGCTATTGATGCGTCTACTTCTGGCGTCTCCGCGAATGGCTTGACGAGCACAGGTGTCGCTGGCGGCACGACTCCATCTGGTGCTTCGCCACAATCTCCATCCAGATTCGGGGATGGCAGTTTTCCTTCATGTGCGCCTTCAGGTGCCTACGGGCATGATACTAGCACGCACCAACGCCAGAATCTCAGTCAGTACCAAGATAATCACAGGACTCAAGGACAATCAGCAACAATCCCCATCACCCCAAAGTCTACCTCCTCCTCATCCTTTGCATATCCTCTACCCCGTGACGTAGAACCCACAGCCAAAGAGGCAGATGTTTGGTTCCACACCTTTCAAACTCGATACTTGGAACATGTCCCGTTTGCTATTCCATATATCAAGAATACATCATCCACGCAATTACGGCAGGATAAACCTGTTCTATGGCTAAGCGTTATGGCTATTGCATGCCCCTTTACATCGAAACAAACCAACATGGGCCGAGCTTTTAAGGAGCTGATTGCTCGAGAACTTATCGTTAATGGGGAGAGATCGATTGATTTGTTATTGGGTATACTCACATTTACTCATTGGTATGTCTCCTCGTTTCTATTCTTGATTATTTTCTCATGCATATTTTTAGGGCATATTTTTTCATTCATCTTGGCCCTCTACTCACCACCATGACTCACCTTGCGGCTTCAATTATTGTTGATCTCGAATTAGACAAACCCTGTCAGAACGAATTCAGCAAACATCCTGGCCGACAAGTACTGACAAAGTTTCTTGGGAAGTTCAGTGTTCCGGAATCAAGAACCATGGAACATCGACGTTTGGTTATGGCTACGTATTGTTTTAGTGCGAGGTAGCTTCTCTCCAGCTATGTCCATTGTCAATGACCGCTAACTTGCGAACAGTTGCGCTTTCTTCCACCACAAAATCGAATCCGTCTCATGGTCAACATACCATGAAGAGACGCTAAAACTGCTAGAAGAGAGCAAAGAGACCCACGCCGATCTATTTCAGGTTACTCAGGTCAAGTTCATGCATATTCTGAGCAACGTGACCCGGTTATACGCACGAATACGTGTGTCGGAAAACGAAGCTACCACACAGCTGATTGTGCCGTTTATACAAGCTCTGAAAAGTCAATTAACTACGTTGCAAAATCAGATGCCGGATTATGTCGCTGAGAATAGTACGTCCAATGTCATTAGGTGTGTTGGAAGTTACTAATTGACTGCAGAATTCGTCCAGCTCACCTGCTTCTACGTCGAAATCGCGATCCATGAAATAGCCCTTGTGCGCGTTCAATACGTCCCCCTGGCCGCAGACCGCGAACTCGAATGCATGGAATGCCTCCTAACCTGCACTCGCGCCCTCCGATCCTGGAAAGATTTGTTTCTATCTCTAGGTCCAACAGAGTACATTGGCCTCCCACTCACAATCTGGAAACAATTCGCCCTCGTCCTACACACAGTCATGCGCCTCGCCACACTGGAAGACCCCGCCTGGAATATCGAACATGTCAAACAAACGGTCAATTTGCCAGCCATGTTCGACGTTATCTGCTCGAATCTAGATTATATAGCGACGTTAGAGCCCCGGAAATCCAATTCGGAGGATGACGTTCATAGACGGTCCCGAAAACATATGATTGGATTGATGAATTGGACAAATGCGGTGTTTGCGGGTATTCCAGCCCAGCCGCCTCCCGTGGAGAATACTTATACACGGATGAACTCTGCGCGTCAAGAACAGTCGCAGGCGCAGACAGAGATACAGACAGCGCAGCCTGCTACGACAACGACGTCGTCGTCTGCTTCTTCGATGCTAATGATGAATGGAGGCACGCAACAACATTCGTCAACCGAAGAAACAGCAGCAGTACTAGCGCAACAAATGCAGACTCCGTGGCCGCCTGAGATGTTTCCATATTTTAATCATGAGCCCTGGACGGAAGATGTATTTGGGTTTTGGGATATATACAGTGGGACAAAGATGTATGGATAGTGAGCTTGCCTAGATGTCATCTATTGCATTTGTATAATAAATGCTATCTCATCTTCTGTTTATCTGCTTGTAAGCACTTGAAGACTCGAGCCCTGAACTAAAACATCCTTGGTGATATATTACCAGATTAGGCAAATAGTCTATCAACCGAGATTCGTTCCAAGCGGGATTCACATCTCCGACCCCGACCACACCATCCAATCCTGTAAGCTTAAGCCGCTTATAACCATGCAGTTAAAGAGCACAGTCAAGGCTGTAAGCACTTCAGCCCAAAACCAGGGTCCGCGATGTAGTCCGCGCTAGACTAGCCGGAGATGCCCTATCCACAATAAGAATACTAAAATACTAACCGGAATTTATAAATTTATAGCTATTTAGGGGGTTGAATCGGCTTTATGCTTGACTTTGTTACTACTACGCATAATCGAGCAAGAGACCCAAATAAATCTGTACGTACGTAGGAGGCGGAAAGAATCATTCGTAACAATAAATCTATTCATTATAAAGATCTATGTCATATGTCACACCCGGAGAGGCGACCTACATACAAAACCCTCCCAAAGCTACAACCGGAATTCGGATTTCTCAACAAGATCAGATATAGAGGTCCATATTACTTTGAGAATGGGTCTCTAGGCTGCCACGTTCGTATTCGCATCGTTAGATTTGTTACAAGTCAAAATGCGTACTCCTGAATAGTCTGACGAACAGGTGAGTCAAGCGGAATTCGGGAAACCGCTCAATCCCGGGCCATCTTTTAGCAGCTTATCTCCGAAGATTATTTTCCGTATATTTGTTTGGACTGAAAAACATGATGTTAGGATAAATATCTAACAGTTCCCAGACAGTCATTTAGGCTTCTCTAAATCTGAATAGAGACAGATAGTGCATGGACAGATATCAACATGGCAGCAGACCACACAGTCGGAGACGTCTCCGCAACTCCAACCCTGAATGAAGACAATACAGAACACAAATCGAAAATGACTACAGAATCAGCTAGCGTCGATACTACGACTACCATGGGCAATAATCGAGAGAAACAACACGACTACAGCAACTACGAAGGCGAAGAAAAGGAAGAAGACATCTCCTCCAACCCACAACAAGTACAAGATGCCACCGCAGGCCAAGCAGCGTTGACACGAACCACATCATCAGTGCAATACGTAGAAGGCATGAAATTGTATATTCTCATGGCTTCGATGACGTTGATCTTCTTTCTGGTTATGGTTGATATTGCTATTGTTTCTACGGTAGTCTTACCTTTAGTCTTCTATGGGCTTGGATTGGATACTAACAGTGAGGGAACAGGCTGTGCCGGCGATTACGAGTGATTTTAATTCTTTGGAGGATGTGGGTTGGTACGGGACTGCGTATCAATTAGCCTGGTATGTTATACACTCAGAAGATGATTCAATATCTGACATCAAATAGTGCATCTCTCCAACCACTCGCCGGAAAAGTCTACTCCAATTTCCGCGCAAAGGTAAACCCTCCCCCCTCTCCCGTTACAGTGCACAAACCAACAAGCAATAGAAAGTCTACCTATTCTGCTTCTTCATCTTCGAAGTCGGCTCCCTAATCTGCGGCGTCGCCCAATCCTCCACCATGCTCATCATCGGCCGCGCCGTAGCCGGTATTGGTTCCTCAGGGCTAATGAACGGTGGTTTGACAATCCTATCTGCTTCAATGCCTTTACACAAACGACCGAAATATTTCGGTATCATGATGGGGTTTGCGCAGATGGGTGTTGTCCTGGGTCCCATTATAGGTGGTGCTTTTACGACTTATGTTAATTGGCGATGGTGTACGTTTCCTCCCTCCCCTCTCCCCCCCTTTCCCCCCTCCTTCTTCAAAAAGGAAGTACTGATTAAGGTAGGCTTTTATATCAACCTCCCTGTCGGCGGTGTCGCAGGCGCAATATTCCTCTTCTTCATCGAAATCCCTGAAATGATCAAACCACGCACTGATACCATCAAAACGATTGTTCTCCACAAACTCGATATCATGGGATTCTTCCTCTTTGCCCCCGCCGCAATTCAGGTCTTTCTCGCTCTGGAATGGGGTGGGAATAGATATACCTGGCACAGCGCAACTATTATCGGATTATTCTGTGGTTCGGGGGCAACTGCCATCCTTTTTGGGTTGTGGGAACGTCGACAGGGCGACAATGCTATGGCTCCATTCTCCATCCTCAAACTCAGACCCGTTTGGACGTCATGCCTGGTTATGTTTTTGTTCTTTGGGTGTTTGCAGATTGCGTCGTATTATTTGCCGATTTATTTCCAGACGGTTAGGGGTTCGTCCGCTATGATTAGTGGTGTGCACATGTTACCGAATGTGTTGAGTCAGTTGCTTTCTACTGTTAGTTCTGGCGCACTCGGTACGGCCCCTCCCCTCCCCTCCTCTCCTCTCTTCTTTCCTCTACTAACTTTTTGGTAGTCGGCAGACTAGGCTACTACCTCCCCTGGATAATAACCAGCAGCGCCCTGAGCGCCATAGCCCTAGGGCTAATCTCAACCTGGTCCCCCACAACCTCCATCGGAAAATGGATCGGATACCAGATTCTACTCGGATTCAGTCGCGGCCTAGGCATGCAAATGCCTCTAATTGCAGTGCAAAACAGCATAAAACCAAAATTTGTGCCCGTAGCTATGGCTCTGGTCTCGTTTGGTCAGACGTTCGGTGGCGCAGTGTTTTTAGCGATTGGTTCAACCATCCTATCAAATCAACTAAGGGTTGATATACCCAAATATGCCCCAGGAGTTGACGCAGCCACGGTTATACAGGCGGGTGGTTCAGGTCCGGCGGTTAGAGCTGCGGTGGGACCGGATAATGAGGCTGGATTGCAGGGGACGCTGGTCGCGTACTCGAAGAGTGTGGGTGCGGTGTATTGGTTTGCGGCTGGGGCGGCCGGGTTGATGTTTTTTGTTTCTTGGGGGATGGGCTGGAAGGATATACGGAAGAAGGATTCTCCTGGTGCTGCTCCTGTGGTTGGGCCGGAGGAGAATAAGATAGATATCGAAAGTAGGGCCGCGGCTGGCGAGACTGAGGTTGAGAAGACTGCTGAAAAGGTTTGATCCGTTTTATTGTTTGTGATTCCCCATTCTGCGTGTCATATCAGGCGTTCATACGGGCTGGATATTGTTTTCTCTTCTCTGCCATACTCATAATCTAATATCCTTCCTATACTCTTCTATCAGATCCATGTCTAGCTGTTACAATATCATACATGTACATATCAATCGAGGATATAAAAGTCTAGCATACAAACCCCGTTCTCTTATACTCTAAAATGTTCTTCGTAACAGAACCTTGAACTCAGAGTTATCTACTTTGAAAGATCTGGTCTGGCCTAAGTTTAACTACCTAGGTAGAGGGCTACTCGCGTACAACTACTTAATATATTGTACGTATGTAGCAAACGAACAAACCGTCAATTCTGATTCAAACCCTCATCCATAGCACCCTACCTACAACAATCATACTATAGACAAAAAATCAACAACCCAATCAGAATAGATAGACACAAAACAAAAATTCAAGAAAAGCAGTTAAGTTGTTAGCTTAGACACCCCATAGATAGATAGCAAGAAAACGAAACACCAGATCGAAAGAGATATATCTAAAATACCGGGCAAAGACAAAACGGTGGTTGAGAACGATGGGTAGATGAGGAGATGGTTGAGGTTGTAGGAATGGCGGCATGAAGGAGAGGTAGATAGGATAAAGATGAGGTTGTAGAGACAAGACGAGGACAAGGATAGTGGTATCGAGAGTCGGATGATCGATGACGAACGAGAAAGAGATGGGGAAAAAAAAGAAAGAAATAATATTGACAGAGAAGCGAAATCGAAAGCGAAATTGTAAAAGATCGTAAAAATTCTTTCTCTCCGCCTTGTGAGGACAGAAGAGAAGAAACATCATCGAGACATAGTTGAAGTAAGTCTACTTCATCTCAACATATCCTTTCTGTCTCCATTCGGCCTGCATATTCATCATATCCGTACGCTCTTGCGTCCACTGATTGTTTTGAGCGTTCCATTCACGCTTGCCGATTCTTCGTTGACGGATACAGCAGAACAAGAAGACGAGGGCACCGATACCCACGACCGCGCTGACGGAGACAATAATTGCGATCTTGGCTCCGGAGGAGAGATTATTCCATCTCTGGGCGGCAGATAGATGCACTGCGTTGAGTTCTTTGGAGACGGTTGAGTTGCCACTGCACCCGTTAGCTCAGGTTCATTATCTAGTTTGGAAGGAAGGGGACGGCTTACGCAACAACATTGATACTCTCCCAAGTTCCGGAATGATCGGTATAATTATACTCCTTGCCCGTGGTGAAATCCTGTGCCGAAACCTGCGACACAAACATAGTATAGGGACCAGCATTGTAATCAATCACACCGCCAGCCCATTCAATTCTACCAGGGGGTCCGGAAGGATCACCACCAGGCCAGGCTCCAATACGGATCGTCATCGGGGTTTGAGGATACCAGTCATAGGTACTATTAGACGCCTCTGCGGGGGTCACGGTACGCAACAATTGACCATCAACCCACCACTGCAACTTATCCTTATCCCACCACGTTGTATAATTGTGGTACGTGTCGTGCGTACTGCCACTGATATTGAAGTATTTGGCTGTCCCCTCGATGGTCTGTCCCTTGCCGAAGAAATTTGTCTGAACCGTGGTTTCTTCCGATCCAACCCATTCCCAATCCACCTCGTCGAGATCATCGGATTGGAGGACCACAGAGCTAATAACACCGTGGCCGGGGGCAGCCCGGACGTGGTATTCCAATCGGCCGAAGAAGATGTAAAAAGTTGATATGATGGTCGGCGAGTCGAGTTTCTTGTTAATTGTGAATCCCAGGGCATCCTCGGTGTAGTTCATCACGCCGTTGGTGATATTCCACGTGTCGTCTAGTTGTGAGCTAGAACTCAGGTTCCATGTATGTGCTGTTCCGAGGGCGAGGTCTGGCGGGCATGTCTCGTTTAGGGGTTGACAGTTTGTGGTTGTCTGGGCGGAGACGGTCGAGACGAGCGCAGCGACGAGCGCTGCCAATACTGAAGATCGCATCATGACTGACTCGAGTCGAAAATAAGCAAGTCGAAAAATAGCAAAAGGCGGGCGTGAGGAGAGTATCTCCACACGTGTGCCGGTGGTGTTCACACTGACAGAATGGTCGTTCGGGGAAGGAATGAACCCGGTAGTTAGCTAACAAGTAAAGGAGTGTAGGTTTATGATAGACAGATAAAGAATGGCATTCAAATCGAATCAATCAAAAGAGCGACATGGACGAGACTTGTCTGAAGAGAGTGTCAAACAGTTGGTGTAGAGGAGAGGAGAGTGGGAAAGAGATTAATCACGGCATAATGGGGATCAGACTCCGTAGAGGAGATAACGCTATCCCGAAGAGGATAGACGAGGGAAAATGACAAGAAAAGGATGAGAAAAGGGATCTGCTAAGAGACTCTGCGAGACTTAGCCTGACACTGAAAAGAAGGGGCTGGTCATATGATTGGTCGGTGCCTGAACCATGCCTGACGCCGCTGCACGCCGCCATTTTCTCGTATTACTAGTATTACTGTACTTACCGTACTCAGTGTACTCTGTAGACAGATATAATTATAGACTGCTACAGGTTATATAAATATATTCTCCCTTGGTCTGTAACATCAGATACACGCTGAATGACAAACCTGTACTCTGTACTCTGTACTCTGTTCTCTCTTCTATTCTTCACAAGGCATATTGACGAGCCTCATGTGGACCAATTCTCATTGGCCCGCTCCGGCCCCTTTTAATCTATTTTGTCCCTCCGGCGTATTTTACTCTGTACGGAGCCGTATGCCCAGACCATACTGTCGCCGCGTCGCATATGGCTTAAGGAGGAGATTCAGGTTCACACCAGGTGGCGTTGACTAGGATCGTAGAAGTGAGACGATTGATCAAGAATTAAGATGTCTGTGGCTGTTACCCTGTCATAGGTTGGATGTACGAATTGCTAATTTGGGACTGCGTATACGGGAGCTTGACAGGAGAATTGCCGCGACTCCGAGCAATAGCACGTGCTTTTCCATGCCCTATCTCTTGCCCTAGAAGTTTTGCGTCACCGTTCATCCCTGTAACTTAGTTATCAACTGGAAGTATCAAGAAGCATTAACTAACACATTAGGTATACATGAACATCGTCATCGTCATCGTCAATCATAACAGAAACAAACATTATACACTCCTTCCTTCCATCGCCACCAAAATAATCCCCCCCAATCTCACTCGGGTCCATAAAGAGAGATTCAAGTCAAGAAATATAAACCCTCTCCGGCCTCGACACGCTCGCCACGCTCCCCCTCCGAGTCCGACTCCGACTCACCCTCACAGGCGACTTTTCAATATATTCCACATAATCCCCTCCACCAGACCGATACCCTCTCGATCGTCGTTCCCGTCGGGGTCTCGACGATGAAGAATAGACCACCTCAGGCGCACCGTTTGTCCCGTCCGGATCGCGGTTGCCCGGTGCACCAGGTAGGTAGCATGATTTGATGAGCCAGATGATTAGCAGTGTGCCTGCGATTGAGCCGATTACGATGCCGGCGATAGCCCCGCCGGAAAGATTGTTGGAGCATGAGTCTGATGAAGAGGTGGATTGCCTTGCGAGAAGGGTTATGGGAGCCTGTTGTTTGTTTTGTTAGTGATGGTCCATGGTTCTGGCGCGGATAGTACCGAGGTGGACGTACCATGGTTATAAGATGATATCAATTTGATGAAAGTCCAGCCCGTATACAGTCAGTCTGTATATTGTATGAAGCGATACAGAAAAGTCCCAACCCAGACAGCGAAAAGAAGACAAAAGACAGAAGAAGAAGAAGAAGAAAAGAAAGTGGCAGGCACTATTAGTATATACTGCATCGATCCGCTCAACTCCGTGAGCCAGTCCAGAAACACCAGTCAGTCATCCATGCTACAGTACCAAATCCTTACGCAACCACCGACTATCACATCACACACCAATCAGCCATTGCAATGAGACATGGATAAATCCTTTCCGGAAGTCTGAATCTCGCATTTCTGCCTTTCTTCCTATCCTTTTTTCTCACTGTGTGAGATACTAGTCTGGAGGGGCTGGAATAACCATATAAAATGGTGACGTCAGATCCACGTCCAACTCGTGATGTGCATCGACTAACCCTAAAAGAATAAGATGTGATAAGTCTTTTATTTTCCTGTTTTTTTCTTCTGTCTCGGATTTTTCTTCCAGATTTGAGCCGAGGTTATTATGACTCTGGTCCACTCGGATATTTTTCTTTGGTCTCTGCCAGGTGGTGTACGCTGTGTAACGTGATCTATGGGATCTATGCATGTCACTTTATGGTCCAAGCAGCCCCTATTTACTTGATATATCCCACTACCTAGTTAGCTGCCTCAGGACTGCAGAGCTGATTAATCAATCTCCTTAACATACATAGTCGTTATAGGATTCTTGACCATTCCAAGGCTGGAAAAAATGAAGAAATGTAGAAAATGAAATTCGTCACTCATTCCTATACCTATAACCACATCGTCATATCCACTGTAGTTCCACATGTTCAATAAGAGAGATTATAGCAATCAACAGACACAAAGAGGTAGGAGTATGCGTTCCTGTCGAACATATCCCCGACAGAGATCGTCGACAATATCAGGCCACGACAAAAACACCATCGCTATTCAACACAAAAGAAAACGCCCGCTAAGAAAATCGCACAAAATCTCCCCCCCACCCCCCCAATTTGTCCACGCAATGTCCCAAACATACAAAACTCGTGCTTACTAGCAGAGCTTATGTACACTCTTGCTAATAAACCGAAATAAATATACTAACTGGCAATAGCCAACTGCGCAACCAAATCCGACGCAACATCCAAATAAGGATACGGACTCGTCACCTCCTTTTCTTTGTTTCGAATCCGCTTACTAACCGGTCTCCATTCCCCATCCAGATCCGCCCGAATCACATTCTGGTACCCGTCACACTTAAAATCGACCATGTAATTCGTGGCTTCGAGTTGATATAGCTGAATATCAATGAATACCCATACCCCGTAGGAGATGCGCAGCGATTGGACTTGTTCTAGAGAGGAGGGGATGCTTGTGCTGCCACCTCCGCTGCCGCCTCCGGTGTTATTGGTGATGTTTTCGGCACTGGCTTGCACGGCTGCTGCGATTGCGGCTTTGTCTTCTGCGCTGATGGAGGCGTTCATTAGGTTTACTTTTCGGCGCAGATCGCCCAAGTCACTGCGACTGCTGTGCGCGCTTAGAGATACACCAGGTGCTGTCACGCCTTCTTTTAATAATCGTGCGCGAATGAACCATGGATCTTTGGGGATGTAGTAATCAGATGGTAAATCAGGGTATTTGCGTTGTAGTGGCATGGGTTGGTTCGGATCCGGTTTTGGTAACGGTGCGTCGCCCTCTATTTGGTGTTAGATCATTCATCTGAGAAGTCGTAAAGAGTACACACCTGGCTCGGCGGGTATGATTTCCCAAACACCGCCTACTGCTTCAATAGCTTTATACAAACAAAACATCGCTTCGTACGGTTGATTACGTGATCGAATGCCAAACTGCCATTTTCTAGACCTCTTGGATGGCATAGGCGCCGCATGGAACTTTTCTGGCGGCTCTAATCGAAGTTTATCCAAATCAATCACGCTACGAGCATGCGGTTTGAGAGCTCTGAAAGTCGCGGCTTGCTGTTCCAGAGTTCGGTCCTCGGCTCGGCCTTGTCCAGCGGATGAGGATGTCTGTGCCTTCTGTCGTCTAGTACCATCCCGTTGCTCCATGATCTGGTCGTGGACATACGGCAGACTTGTAGGAAGAATACGCACATGGCTTACACGAGGCTCTTCTATTGGCATAGCCCCATAGGTAGTTGGTGCCGTTGGTGGAGGCGCAGGTGGCGGCGTAGCTTCCCGTGCCTGTGGTGTCAATGGAGTGAGGGCGTTTTCTTGACGAAGAGCTGCAGCGGCTGATTTTGGGGCTCGTGGGGAACTGTAGCCACTGCTGTCGTGCATGGGTGATGACGGGGCCGGTGGAGAGGACATGTCGAGAGAGTCTTCTTGAGGGGCTGTCGGTGTCAGTATTTAGTAATATAATATCGTTGAGGTAAAGAACATACAATTCGTCTGCATTAATTCATTCTCCGCGATGATAAAGAATGCATCTTTAACCGCACTAGGCTCAGCCTTGCGCAGTGCATCCTCAATTTCCTCCTTTTTATATCCCATGCTATGCTCCAATTTCGTAATGGCAAAATCATGAATCTTCTGCTGTACACTACTCGACTTTCCCGGCGCAAACTTGCGACGGTCAACTGCCTTGTTTGGATCCGCGCCTGTCGTGACAAACTCTTCTTGAGGTAATTGAAGATATTTTGGAAGACCATCAAGAAACCAGGGATCTTGTCGAATCTCCGCAATACTGATCCGGTGAACCGGATGAACCTGCAGCATGGCTCGAATAAGCCTGGCAGCTCCTGGTGAAATATACGAAGGCATATGAAAATTCCCGGCGGCAATCTTTTTAAATAGCGCAGGGATATAATCATCGTCAAATGGCAAACGACCCACGAGAAGAACGTATAATATAACTCCGCAACTCCACACGTCGACTTCCGGGCCGGCGTACAATTTCCCTGAAATAACTTCTGGTGCGGCATAATTGGGACTTCCACAGCTGGTTTTTAGAAAATTACCATCCGTCATGATATTACTCAGACCGAAGTCGGCAATTTTCACGTTTTTCTCGCTATCAATCAATAGATTTTCGGGTTTCAGGTCTCGATGGACGATTTTATGGCGATGGCAATATTCGACGGCACATATGATTTGCTGGAAAAACTTGCGCGCTTCGTCGTCGTTGCACTTGCCACGTTTGACAAGGTAGTCGAACAATTCTCTCTCGGCGTATTCCAAGACCATGACAATATCCGACTTTGTGGGAATGACGGTATATCTAGTACATATCTGTTAGCCCGATCAATCAGTACTAAGACGAGTACTCACAGTTTGATAATATGCGGATGTCGCAGTAACTGCAAATATTGAATCTCCCGCTCAACCCTTCCCACCATATCTCTCGACAACAACTTCCGACGAGGAATAATCTTCAACGCAACCTGCCTCCCACTAGGCTGGTGAATCGCCAACTTGACCTTCCCAAACGATCCTTCCCCCAACACTTTAACCGTCTTATACTGATCTAACCTCTGCATATCCCTTCGTGTGGCTGGCGACTGCACCGATCCCGACGAACTGCGATTCCCACCGTTATTATTCGGTCGTGGCGGAGGCGGCATTGCCATAGCAGCCGGATTCGAACTGGACATTATTGCATCGGTATTCGACTGATCGCGCGGTTTCTTATTATTAGGATTGGGAGGAATTGAAGCAAGCGAGACGGAAAGATCTTCATCGTCAAAGGCGGCGGCCATTGTTTTTTGACTAACTTTAAGGTACTGGCCGGAAGTTCTCGAAACTTTCTTTGCACGGTGTGACGTGAGGACCTAGTTGCTTAAATTTTCGCCGCGAGTTCTGTGGTCTGGTCGCTTATTCTGGTTGGTATTTGGCTGGTATGGTCGTGACAAAGCAAATTTAGTACGCTGGTTCTCTTCTCCAGGAAAAGCCAGGTTAACGTTAACGAGGTTGGGGATGTCGGATATGTATTGGATGAGCCAAGCTTGTCTCCCCCACAGTGTAGAGTGCACCGTGGTGGGGTGGTCGAGCTAGTCCGGTACCACCACAGAGCGAGACCGGCGGAGGACTGAGTCTGAGGATTGAGTCGATAGATACGCGTAATACTGTTGATAGTGCTTGATGAGGATAGGTGAGTGATGGAGGATGTGGTTGATGCGAATAAAAGAGAAGACAGCACTCTGATTAATGATAGGAGCCCCGTCATGACGCTGACTGTTTTTTTTGACCAATCAGAGGGAGGATGACCGGTATGTGGGAACAAACATTCCATACAATATGATTGGCTACAAACATATTGAGCCTGGGCGTCCCAAAAGGGTAATCAAGATCAAATCGGAGATTCTGGATGCTTGCGAAACAGATGGAGTGTATCGATCCGATGTGGCATGGAAAAAATACATACGAGAATTACTACTACAAGCCAAACGAGATCCTCCCAACTTCCTCCCCCCTTTCCCACGTCGCCTCCCTCAACGCCATCCCATCTCTACACGTATGCAACCTCTCCGTCTGCCCCAACGCCACCCATCGCGGCGTATTCGTCCAAATAGCCTTGAGCGTTACAGGGGTCATATCCCCATGACACAACGTAGCTTGTCTCAACTGCTCAATACAATGATCAATATGCATCCTTCTATACTCTTCCGGTAACCACGCCACATGTTCATCATGGTAATAATCCATGCCAATATGTTGTCGTATGGCGTTTATGCAGTGCAGACTGTGCAACATGTCGGGACCGCCGTAGTAGCCTGTTGTGGAGATTGAGTGGCCGTGGGAAGGGAGTTGTTCGAGAGTACCAGTAGGTGTGTCCCTGTCGGTGTTGAGCCAGGCGGTTTCGTCGTTGGTGAAGTGGATGTAACGCCCCTTGAGGAGGTTTTGCCATGCATCGTCAATTTCTGGGGAGGGGGGCCCTACGTATCGGGGTTCGGAGGAGTTGAAGGCCATGTATAAAGTGCCGTTGGGAAGGTCGCGGATGGCGCCGGTGTAGCGTTTTTGATGTAGTTTGATGGAGGGTTTCATTTCTTCTACACCACGACATTAGAAAGTTGAAATCCAAAGCCAGACCATTGTTCAGATACCAAGCTCCGTGTCAAACCCCGTCTCGTATGTACTATTCCTCTTCGATGATTCAAGTGTTCTCAGTAGATAGACGTTCTCAGCGACCATTATCAAAGTCAAGATCAAGGTCGTCACCGCCCATGCTGGTGAACGAATGAATGTGCCATAGTTCGATCGTCTGCTAATGTTACCGTCCTGTAAAAACGGCTCCTCGACGTCGCCACTGTTGTCTTGTATTAGGGCATAACCGCTTCCTGCTTCCATTTTCGCCTCTTCACCTTTCCCCAAGGGATTTGTCATTTTCGTATAGAAACCTGTGTTATAAAGTATGCATGGGTGAATAAACGAAGAATTGACAACAGCGCTAACATTTACTATGCGTTTGGTGAGGTTTATGATATAAGACCCTCAAGGTCCCACCCCTAGATACCTACTTGCGGCCTGTGTAGGAGGCGAGTTTGTGCGGAAATAAGGGATAGCATGCCATCCAGCATACTAATAAACTTATTCCAGAGCTTCTTCAAAAAAAGAAAAATGGGCGGAAGCCGGTAGCATTGGAAAATGGGAGAATGTAGATGATATGTAAGATATAGATACGTAGCTAGACAATTTGATCACGTAGTGTGTAGAGCGATGAGGCGAGGCATGATCCTGACAGGCTGTGTCCCTTCGTTCATACTCTCCTGCAATCGTACAGATTGAGATGAATGAATAGAATGGCATTGGCGAAGTTCATGGGAATTGCCCCTTGCATAGGCCGAGGGATCTCCACTCATCGATACACATTTTGTCTTCCAAATTTATTCTTCATCTCCAGAAACTCCACAGCCGACATGCATCGGACCACCAGCTTCGGACTGAATCAACTGTCTGTATTGAAGGTCTCCAACCTAACTCCAGCATCCGCTTTGACAGTGCAGCGCTTTGATGTTAGGTCGTCGAAGACACCACCGAAGTGCAACTCTAGGAGGAAAACAAAACCACCTGAAAGCTCTTCATGGTCCAGTTCGTCGTTCGTGTCTGTCCTTGGTGAAAAAGCTCGTATAGAATAGAGACTCAGCAGCTTGAAGTGGGAGCACATAAAAATTTCATGTCGGCTTTGATGGACGCCATGGATACCTTGATAGCCAGGCTCGTCGTCACGAAATTATTGCTTCAGGAAGAAACGCGTAACGATTGGGGTGGTTGTGGTGGGTATGATATTTTGATTTCCCAATTGTGATGATGGCGCCTGCCTGTTTCTGCGTGCGATCAAGTGATTCTACTTGGACCCGTGAATGACAGTCTTGGGATACAGTCCATCACCATAACTTTGTCTTTTGGGCGGTGGGCTGCGTTCATTTGAATATTCGCTGGGAGATATTTTTCGTTTCTCATGTTGCCTGGGGATAGTTGCATCGTGGCTGCTGAGGTTACTGCTGCCCTTGTTATTGTCTGGAATGATCCTGGCAAAATAGAGATCATAGAGTACCAGAGCAGCAGGGGCAGTAGTCATGGTCGTTGTCAGATGATAATGATGATGGCCTGTAGCTACTGGTCCCTTATGCCTCATAGAGGCCAACCATTGTAAGTGTTGGTAAAGATGATGGTGCTGATGAAGATGAAGGTGTTGCCGTTGATGGAAGTGGTAGCGGTGTCTCCTCGCCACCATCGACTTATGTCAATACACCAGGAGCAACTCCTGAGACAGAAAAATGTCAGCTCTCTCGCGTCCTAGGTATCTGACTTGCATAACATAAGGACTAGAGACAATCATCATGTGTACCTTTCTGGGATAAGGAAGAGGAAGGGAGAAGAGGAAAGAGTGTCTTGGGCGGTATTTAAGCAACCACGCGCGTTTACGCTTGCCCAAATGGGCAATCACGCCCCGTGAAGCCATGCCAGAAAAGAACCGCAAAAATAGAATCATATTTACCCAGACGACGCCGCACGACGCCACAAAATGTATTATGTACAGAAATAATATATTCAAGAGAAGGATTATGTGTCGACGGCGCCAGTTCTCACCTAGAGAGCCGTAGCGCTGCTTTCAGGGCAATCTACATACGTCCCTGTTACCGAATCATCGTCATCATCATCATTATCATCTTCTTCTTCTTCTTCTTCTTCTTCTTCTTCTTCTTCAATTTCTTCCCCAATTTCTTCCTCGTCTCCGACGTCGACTTGATACTGGAAGTCGTTCTCATCAAAAGCATACGTCTTGATGATACCACGGGCATATCCCTGATTGGATTTATTGTCAACATCTTGATCGCTGGTACCAAATGGATGGTGATGATGCTGTCTTGGTGCTTTCGCACATATCAATTCGACTGGGATATCGTCCGGCCCTTTTACTGGTTTTGAGCCCTGAGTCGGTCCACGCGCGATAATACCGACGGCTACCTGTTGCGCCTGGACGAGCGGTTCTGCGCCGGGAAGGTACCATGTCCGCCAAGGGGAAGCTGGATTGCCTGGCGCAGCGACACTCACGGATTCTGTGGCGTTATTGTTGCCAATGGTTGTGGCGTTGATAACAGCTAGACCGGAATAAGTGTCTGCAATTGCCAGGATCAAGAGGAAGGGAGGGAGTCATACCATAGGTGGGAATCTGATCCAACTGGAACAATGAAGTTGGACACCCGTCAATAAAAGGCCCAGGACTAGCAGTTGTCAACGGCTGCAACACCGTGTTTAACGGTAAGTCGTAAGGCACTGCTGAAGTACTGAGGTTATATATCGACGACCGCAAGAACTTCTTCAAGTTCTCGGAACATGATTCACCCCAAACGCCATCGCAACCATTATTGGCACCACCAACATAACCGCTCAAATTCCCGATACGCAACGCCACTTCCGTTGTCCAATTGACGCTGCGGAGATGCGAATTGAATTCCGTGAGCATTCCTCTATCATACTGAAGCCAATATCCGACTTTCACCGCAGGCAAGGATTCGTAGCCCGGAGAACCTACTCCAGCGTCGAAAGCATAATAGAAAAGAATTGGTGTGGGTGCTATAGCGTCAAACTGGAACGAAACAGAAACCTGAGCTAGGCCGTCGATGCAACTGGCATTGTTGAATGTGCAATAATCGGCTGCCGTCGGCAATATCGGAAGTAGAAGGAAAGCAAGCGCTGCCTTCAGAAGGTTGTGTTTATAATTCGCCGTCATCGCTTCCTTTCCTTTGTATTCGCTTCTTGCTTTTCTTTTCCTCCTCTCTACCTCTCCTTCCTGCCTTATCGCCGGAAGCTAAAGGCGTTTGCTGGGATTTCGTTTCCGAGATACATACGGCTATGTCCGCAAAATAGGCAATCGGCGTATGTGAGCATTATCAAACGGTAACCTCACACTTCATAGCTGCTCCTAGAGGAGCGTAAAAGTGTAGGTACCTTGCAGTCTGAACGATGAAAGGGAGAAGGAGAGAGTGGGAATGATTAATTTGAGTTTGAATGGAGATGGTTACACCGATTGAAATGGAGAAGAGGGGACGATCTCGGCCAATAGAGTCATACCTCCATTTACTCCATACGCCGTGTTGATAACGCAGAAGTATCCATAGACTGAAGATATATTCTAGCAGATGCATGAAACACGTTCATCAACTGACATAATTAGTGGATACTCGAAACATGACACTTTGTACTTCGTATACGATGACTTGAAGACACATTAATATGAAAAGGCTGTGAAGGACTGCAGATAGTCCGGTCCGATGATAGTCCGTGGGAAATGCCGAGCCGCAGTGGAACATCCAGCGAAGTACTCGAAAACCACTGTATCCTCACACGACAATCCTCTGCCTTGAGCCTTGCTCCTTTTTTTTGATTGCTTGCTCTGTCTACTACCTGTTCAGGCCATACTATACACCTCCCGCCATAGCAATTGTCTCCTCACCCTCACCGTTGGACACCCTAACCACCCGAGAGCCGTGACGTTTCCTGCAATTGCCTCATGACCCCTCTATGACCACGCCGGATGCCTTCAGGGATGCCGAGCACTTCGCTGATGTCTCTGGCATCCCAGATGTGGCCGATTACGCCGATGTCGATCAGCCCCTAACCTCCGCCCAGCAGGACCTGTGGCAGAAAGTGCAACGCAAGACGAAGATTGCATTGATCGATCGATTGCTGCGCGAGCTCGATGTTGTCATATACTGTGAGCTTGCTGCTTTGTATTATATGGAGTATGCATTCCTCATATTCCTCGCTTGATATGATCCTGACTGTTGAGCTAGTTGTACCTTTTTCCTCTTTGCCATACGTGTTATTGTACAGCTTATATTCTTCACGCCGAAAGCTCCCCCCTTCGAACCCACAAGAAGTCAGCCTTATGTCGGCACTATATTCACTGTTAATTCGTTATGTATGTTCCTGCACACAGTCGCCATCCATCCGAGTGCCGGCGAAGAAACACGAGGATATCTCCATGGTGGTTTGTTTATCGATTTCGTGGGACAAAAGGCCCCCGTATCACGAATCCGGCTCGTGATTTTCGATTTTCTCATTATGTTAATACATTTGGTCATGTTGGGTCTGATTTTGGAACGAGTTCGGATCGGTGAGAATCGCGAATCTACTACACAGGACCAAGAGTCCCCAACAGATACGGAGGATGGTACAAACCCGGGACAAGACCATGATGCCGAGGAAAGAGGGGTCTTGAGAAATGAAACGGATAATGATGAATCGTCTTCTTCTTCTCCTCCTGAAAGACCACGAGATTCGAGTCTTGAGCGAACGGCTCTGCTAGCGGAACCTGCTGAAGATGGCTCGAGTCCCCAATTGAGGAATAGTCATCCTTTAGATACGTTTGTGTCCGGGGAGGCGTTGATATTGGATATGGGCTTGTTTGAGACGATACATGACCAGTGGAGACACAATACAGGGAATAGGCCGCGCACTGCATTTACGCCTTCACAAGAGACGACGACTTTTTTACGAGAGCATCTTGGTGTTAGTGTAGGGCCTGATGGTCGAGTTCTTAGATTTCAACGATGAGGTAAATATATTTACATACGTTGCATTATGTCGTTGGCAGACATGGACATGACTTGGTTCGTATCTTACCAAATTAATACTTCGTAGTTCTGAAATTACAGCCAAACATCTAAGGACTTCGATACAGCCATCCTCGATCGAACCAACTCAAACTACGGTATGACAGTCTGAACCCATCCTCTAGAAAATCAGTAAACAGTAGAACCTGGCTATAAAGAAAGGAAGGCCGCTCCATATTTCCATTAATAGGACGAAACCGTTTAAGCAAGACGGTGAACCATCGGTCATCTAAGCTTAAAAGCGCATCCACGAATTCGTATTTGCAACTCTGAGTGGAGCTTCTCAAAGCGGTCGTCGGCATCTCGTGTTGCTTGCCGACAAAGGTCTGTTTGTTGTTGATTCGCTCTGATTGAATGAATCAGTTTAGTCTTGGTGCCTTACAGCCTCAGGCATCAAAACTCGAACTGGAGCTAAGCTCCACGTGGGCTCTCACGTGCTTTAGGGTTAGGGTTATAAACAAGTCGCACACCCAATCAGACAGCTGGCCAGCTTACAGACTTCTTTCCATTGTCTGAACTGTGAACACTGTGAACAATTGACCTGCAATACAATCAAGAGCTCACTCCATGGAATATATCAATTGAATCTGTCGACATACCTGCCAAATGGCTTCCTCGCCAGTATCCTACCGCCCCCGACAGAAAAAGAAGCTCCCAACAACCTTCTCCGGCTCCAGCAATAATGACTTGATCCTCAACGCCGGCTCATCGCATGCAGCTCCTGCTTTCCCGCTGGTTTCTTTCATGTGGTTTGCTCGCGGCGCAACTTCGCAATGGCTTATACTTCCGTTGATTCTTATGGTGGTTGGATTGTTTCGATGGGCTGTGAGTTTGTGGGGGTATTCAGGATTCAATACGCCTCCATTACACGGCGACTTTGAAGCGCAGAGACATTGGATGGAGTTGACTATTCATCTGCCGCTCACGAAATGGTATTTTTATGACTTGCAATACTGGGGGCTTGATTATCCGCCATTGACGGCGTATCATAGCTGGTTATTGGGAAAGATGTATGATCTACCTTCCATATTCTCGGAGTAGAATGGTATAGCTAATGTGAACAGTGGCTCACTGATTGAGCCGTCTTTCTTCGCTCTCGATACCTCGCGGGGTATTGAGGACCCCCTTCTCAAGCTCTATATGCGCGCCACCGTTATCGTATCGGAGTATCTTGTCTATATCCCCGCCGTCGTGTTATTTGCGCGTCGTTATGGTCGACTTCTTGGGGTACCGATGTGGTCAACTTCAATTGCTCTGGTCGCTATTTTGATGCAGCCGGGAAATATACTCGTTGATCACGGTCATTTCCAGTACAATACTGTTATGCTCGGTCTTGTGGTCGCCAGTGTTGAGAGTATACTCACTGGTCGACTTCCGTTGGCATGCGGCTTTTTCGTTGCGGCATTGTGCTTCAAGCAGATGGCACTCTACTATGCACCCATTATGTTCTCGTTCCTTTTGGGAAGTTGTGTCTTCCCTCGCATACGAATCGGACGATTCTTACTGATAGCTTTGTCGACTGTGGCTGCTTTTGCTCTTATACTTGTACCATTAATTGCTGCATTGCTGAATGATTGGACTCATGGCACCCCATTGCCTGGGACATCACCGACTCTCCTCGCAAATATTCCTATTGAGCTCGATGAAAAAGCATGGTACTATGCTCCATTACTTCAACTCGGCCAACTTATCCATCGCATATTTCCATTCGCACGAGGACTGTTTGAAGACAAAGTTGCAAACGCCTGGTGTGCTATCCACACATTCTACAAACTCCATCGGTTCCCATCATCATTATTACAGCGTGCCTCACTTGCTGCCACTTTGGCATCAATCTCAATCCCCTGTCTCGTCATCTTCCGCTACCCTCGACCACAATTCCTACTACTTGCTTTGAGTAGCTCTGCCTGGGGATTCTTCCTGTTCTCTTTCCAGGTCCATGAAAAGAGTGTTCTACTACCTCTCCTCCCCATGACCCTCCTCCTCGCCGGTGACGGAGGCCTCAACAAAGCCAATCGCGCCTGGATCGGTTGGGCCAATATCCTCGGCGCATGGACCCTTTATCCACTATTAAAACGCGAAGAACTCCGCATCCCTTATTTTGTCATCACTTTACTATGGGCGTACCTGTTAGGTCTGTTTCCAACGTCAATTGAGATATTCAGATCGAGGAATATTACCACTACCACCAAAGAGGCCACGGTGCGAGGACCCACAATTCTGGTCCATTTTATCTTTTACCTGAGTATGATTGGATGGCATCTTGTTGAAGCATTTGTGCCACCACCAGTCGATAAGCCAGATTTGTGGGTGGTGCTAAATGTGCTTATAGGCGCGAGTGGATTCGCGTTAGCGTACCTGTGGACGACAGGTAATCTTGTTGTGCAGGCTTATAGATTGAATGGGAGACCGAGTGGGAATGTGAAGAAGATTCAATAGGTCTCCCATTGCTTGTGTTGATACCAAGTTAGAAATTTAAAAAGTGACAATGATTCTTCTACTATAGTACATATATATATACAAGTATTTATTCCCATCCATGAACGCCCATATCAATCAATCAGAGAGGAGTCTCCTAAAGGATTCCACGAGCCAAAAGCCGTAATGATAATGCTGTATATGCAACTGACATCCCCTTCCATCCGGAATACATATTTCTTCCTCCCCTGGATTTGAATGTGCTTGCTTCAAGAATCAAATCTTGAACCCATATCCAGCCATACAAGCCTTATATTGCTCAACCAAAGGTTTACAATCCGTCTGCGCTGGATCATCAGCTTTGGAGAAGAGCATGCAATCATCTCGAGCGGTTTTTTCTTCTTTGCAGACGCAGCACGGCTATTATTCCGAGATCCGGTACGTCAGTCTGTGAAGTGATGTGAGAAAGGTGTTCGTGGGACGAACCTTGGGTTTTTCGGTTGATTTGGGGGTTTGAGCTCCTAGGGCCGTTGATGAGCCTGTAGAGTCGATAGAAAGGGTCAGCGAGAGTCCAGAAGGGGAGAGCTCATGATGCGAATTGAGTGAGTTCCGCGGACTGTTGCGGTGGAAAGAAAGACTTACCGAACCAGCCTGAGAACCAAGACATATCGAGTATTGAACTATGCGTTTTTATCTGGGTGACGCAATCGAAACGGCCAAAATTGTGAAGATTCAGAGGTTGTTGCTGGTCAGTTGATGAAAATAAATATGATTCGCAATTAGTAATCTTGATCTCGAAATCCGATGATCCGATGGCAGAATCTTTATGGGACTGGCAGGCGGTGAGACAAAAAAAGTGAGAACATGCGCTATCCTCCAAATAGTTTAGCTCATTATAGCTTATTCTGGCGGGGTTTATTGAAGGCGAATAACAGAACAAAAAATAAAAAACAATAGCCCCTCCTCCTATTTATTCTTTTGGCGACGCGCTCTGGAGGGTTTCCTTTCTACTTCACTTGATCTCCTAACCACCGCTTTCGAAAGATCTATTTAATCATAATCGCAAAATGGCAAAAATATTCTCCCTCGACGGCAAAGGCCTCAAACTCGATACCGCAGAAGACATCGAAACCCACGCAAAACCTCTCCTCGAAGACACCACATTCACAGAAGTCCACCTCGGTGGCAACACGATCGGTGTCGCCGCATCTGAACGTCTTGCTGCGGCTCTCGCAACCCAAAAGAATCTACAAGTCGCCGATCTCGCTGACATATTCACTTCGCGCCTCCTGTCCGAGATCCCCCCCGCGTTATCGGCGTTGTTGAATGCGCTGTTGGAGATTCCCGGTTTGCATACGGTGAATTTATCGGATAATGCATTTGGACTTAATACGCAAGCGCCCCTTGTGGATTATTTGTCGCGCGCGGTCCCTCTTCAGCATTTGATTTTGAATAATAATGGCTTGGGACCTAAGGCTGGCGTGCTTGTTGCCGATGCACTTACGGAATTGGCGAAGCAAAAGGAAAAAGCGCGCAGTGAGGGGAAGGATGTCCCGCTTTTGGAATCGATTGTCTGTGGACGTAATCGGCTCGAGAACGGAAGTATGGAAGCTTGGGCGACTGCTTACAAGGCGCATGCGAAGGGTATGCGCTCTGTGAAGATGACACAGAATGGTATTCGTCAGGAAGGTATTTCGCTGCTCTTGAAGGCTGGATTGAGTCACGCTGCTGGGTTGGAGGTCCTGGATTTGCAAGATAATACCTTCACGTTACTCGGATCTAATGCGTTGGCCAAGGTCGTTCAGGGATGGGCTTCGTTACGCGAACTTGGTGTTGGCGATTGTTTGTTGTCTGCCCGTGGCGGTATCAAGGTTGCTCAGGCTCTTGCGGCTGGTAAAAACGAGAAAGTTGAGACATTGCGTTTGCAATACAACGACATTAATGCGGAGGGTGTTAAGCAATTCTTGTTCGCGGCCAAGAGCTCTCTACCAGCTCTGAAACGTATTGAGTTGAATGGAAATAAATTCATGGAGGATGACGGCAATATTGAGGAGTTGCGTGTATTGCTCGAAAAGAGACAGGAGGAGCATGGCAAGGACGAGGATCCTGAGGATACCTGGGGTATCGATGAATTAGACGAACTCGAGGAAGATGAGGAAGAAGATGAAGATGAGCAGGATGAGGAAGAGGAAGAGGAAGAACATTTGGCGGATAAGACCTTGAAGGAGACCATACGTGCAGAGGATGAGCCTGTCAGCCAGAAGAAGGATGATGACGTGGATGCGTTGGCTGATGCACTTGGCAAGGCTGGGATATAAACAGCCCATTCTTCATTTTTTATCAACAAACAATCCCGTCATCGAGAAGCATTCCTTCGAAGAAGCATGGCTCATCTCACATATGCCGTCTCTCGTCCTGCTTCCCCCAATGTTCATCGGCCATGTGGACACGAAACCGCAATACCTTCCGGGAGAAATGAAAAGTCCAAAAGGCTCGAGTTGTTTTACTGCATTTTTCTATCGCTGTAAATAAGCAGATTCATAGATCATGTCGATTTGGTCTGCCTCACCCAGCCATCGATGATCGCTGCATGGCTTACCACCCTGTCTCCTAGCCCATGATGCTCATTGCTTAGAGCCTTTCCTGTCTGTTCTCTTTGTATAGCAATTAATCAAGATACCAAATTTTAACAAGAAGAAAATTTTACTCACATGAATTAAAAAATAATTATTCAGACTCCGATAATAGAAGGCTAAAGACATTGGCAGATGCCACTGGACCAATTAAATCGATTGCCGAGCGGTCAAGCGGACAACTTCCCAAAGTGTTTCTGTCGCAAAAAACAGCTTCATTTCTCTCTCTCTCTTCACTGTGTAAATCCTGAACTCTACCTTTCCCAATTTTCTTATCTCTTTGTTCAGTTTGTCTTCTTCTTTTATTTTCTTTCCTTAGCTGTGTACAGCGATTTCGAATTTGGGACTTTCTGGCATCAGGACTGGTTGTCTAGAACAAACGTTTACTCAATTTTGCGTTTCACTCCACCGCGCTGTTGCGCATCTGCCCGTTAGGCCTCTTCGAACGCTAATATTGTTGGTGGATATCTCAGCGGTACGTATATCCTGACTTATGGTCGATTCGCTTTGAATTCGTCGCATCGCGTCACCAGTACACTTGCCGGATCGCGACGACTATCGCAACCATAATTACATAGTAGCATTGTTTCACGACTATACGCATCGACCTGATGATCTGCGCTAAATATACTGTTGTACAGGTAATACAAAATGGATGCCAAAGAAATCGAATTCAAAGCCAAGGCTCTCACAAAAGCCGCGACATCCAGCGAACCACCAGCCAACATAATTAACATCTTGAAGGAACTCCAAAAGGGGGTCCGACCTACAGAAGACCTACTCCGCTCAACCCGAATCGGTATTGTGGTGAACAAACTCAAACAACACAAGGCCCAGGACGTCGCCCGCCTATCGTCCGAGATTGTCTCGAAATGGAGGAGTGAAGTGAATAAGCAGAAATCAAATGGTTCGCCGAATCCGCATCGTTCCAGTACACCCCGGACCGGTACGGCGTCGCCTGCTCCGGCGAGTACACCTGGTGATAGGAAGTCGACTGTTCCACCCGAGAAACGGTCCTGGAAGGCAGATGGTGTTGATACCAACGTCACGAATAATAAAGTCCGCGATAGCTGCCTGGGTCTGATGTACGATGGGTTATCGTTTATGTCTACCGAGCTTCCGAAGGTGGTATTAGCAAAGGCGATAGCTGTGGAAGCTGCAGCATTCACCTCATTCGGACCCGAAACCAAAGAACAATACAAGACGAAGATTCGAAGCCTGTTCCAGAATTTGAAGAATAAATCGAACCCACAACTTCGACAGCGTGTGCTATCAAACGAAGTGACGCCGGAGAAGTTTGTCAAAATGACCCACGAAGAACTCAAATCCGACGAGCGAAGGGCGTTGGACGAGAAGATTCATAAGGAGAATATGGACAAAGCAATGGTGGCACAAGCCGAACGAAGTATCAGCTCAAGTCTACAGTGCGGTAAATGTGGTCAACGCAAGGTTACTTATACCGAGGCACAGACGCGCAGTGCTGATGAACCGATGACATTGTTTTGTACTTGTCTGAATTGCGGAAAGTCGTGGAAGCAGTAACTTTTGCTTTCTGTCTGATACCGATCTCGGTCCTTGTTTTTGTTTTGTCTTTTCTAGAGCCTTTCATGCAGACATGCCTTAAGTATGATCCCAGGTCGAGACTACCGTTCATCTCGAAGGGAAAAGGAGTTGCGGGTGCTTCACTACTTTTCATTCTCTTTGCTTCTTATACTTCTGCTTGAAATTGTAACTTTAGCACAATATTCTCGTTTTCATCTAACAGTCTTGAAATAGTAATACAAATAAAGAAAATAATTTCACCCCGAACTCCCACCAAAAGACAATCCAGTCCCCAATTTATCTTTAACCGGATAATCGTTTCCCCCCAAAACTCCATCACTCTTCGCAGCTCCCGCGACGGATTTTGCTCCTTTCCCCTGACTCACAGCTTCTAAAACGCCCAGTTCCCCCTTAGCAGCCAAATATGCAGCCCCCGTATCAGCCCATACCCTATACTCCTGCACTTTGAGCCCCTGACCCGCATCATCCGGTTCACTTTCCCCCGTCAAATCCTCGGACAGAGTAACACGCCATATAAACGTCTCCACCCAAGATTCCTTTGTATCGTTGACCGTGAACCGGGCACGACCCCTTAGACAAACGGTCATATTTTGTGGATCGACGACCCAGTCATCTTCGTCGTCGAAGTGGGCGTCGCTGATGGAGAGGTGTTTAGCGAGAAGGTCGAAGTATTCGCCTACGGCTTTGAGGCCGATGAAGTCGCGTCCCAGGAAGGGGAGGTAAGATTGGAAAAGCGGGGAGCCGTGTTCGTGGACCAGAGGGGTTGGGGAGGTGGTGAAGTGTGCTAGGATGGTGGGAGTGGAGGCGTTGGAGGTGAAGGCTGAGATAAGGGAGTGGATTGAGGAGAGGATTGCTGGGCGGGGAATGGGCATGTTTGTTTTTTGTCTTTGATTAGCGATGTTGTAGTTATACTCTCACGACTTCACTGCGATAAGTATCAACAAGCAAAGAAAGAACGAACGTTGAGATGTTTTATTCTTTTGACAGAGCGATGATGTCATGAGGTAGCTGTCCCAAGGATTTCAGATATCAACTTCTCTAAACGCCAAGCTGGGATGTATAAGTGATTTATAGAGTTGAATAGAGCTTATGCTAGTGACTTGACCAGGGCTCAGTGTAAAATATCTTCCAGTTGATTGATTGTTTTGAAGGAAGAATCCGAAAACGGAAAGTAGGGCAAACGATTAGGGCTTCGGTCTTTAGCTTGTCTAGGCAGTTTATAGAAAAGAAGATATTTTTAACATCCTTGTTCACTTGGATGATAACGAGAGCGATATAACTCTCAAATGAGAGTATAGATACTATCCACGTTCATTCTTACCATCTTCAGCTGTTCAACTCTTTGATGGCGACTACCTCTAAAACCAAGGTGTCCAATCAATCCAGTCAACATACCCAAACCCACCACTTTCGTACCCAAACTGAAACACCTTCGCAGGCTCACCGTACTCTTCCCATATGCTACGATTCAATATCGTATCCCAACCCCCGGAAAGCCTCCCCGTTTCATTCCAACCAGGTCCGTACGTCTCAAATTCAGCCTGCAACGTAACCCCGAGCTTATAATTCTCAGCACCACCATTGACCCAATGAGTGTAACCACTGCTCTCAATACTCTCATCTTCATATGTCCGCGCGAATATTGATCTATGTAAGGAATTCCATGGTCGACCAAGCGCACATTTACCCTTGATACTTGCCGCGATTGAGGCATTGGCGGCATTTATGGTGGAATCAACGATATATACGCCAAACTTGTTAGGATAGGTAGTGTTTGTACCTTTCCAGGCGGTTATGCCCCCACCACAAGAGCGGAGTTGTAAGGAGCATGCCTGCAGCCATGCTGTGCCAAATCCATACAAGAAATCTGTCTGGCCGGCGATGATTGAGTTGAAGAAGTAGGCGTTGCCGAGTTTGCCAATATATACCTTTTTACTTGTCAGTTCAACCGGATTGATTGGGTAGAACGTCCGAATGACCTAACATACCGTATCCTGATAAGAATAAAAGCCTGAATAATAAAACCCAGCATTCGCATAGCTCACGCTAACAGCCAATGACGGTCCGGCAGAGTACTCCGAGAATACATTCCGAAAATCAATATTGTACGCCCGGAAATCAGAATTTCCATATGGTGTATCAGCTGGGACTGGCCATCCGGTTGGACCTGCTCCGGTAAGAGAGGCGTTCTGTGTTGGTGCGACCGTGAGAATACTAGTGAATGCATTGTCCATGTACCTGGAGTTACTGTTTGCTGCACTCCAGTATACGGTGACCTGGTTCTCGGTAGCAGTCAGAGGATCCCATGTTTCGCCGAGAAGAGTGACAGGGCCGGGGCGTGTGATATTTAATTGTTCGGTGTAGTTGCCGGCGCGGATCAGGATTGTTGCTGATGAGTTGTCGTGAGGGAGGGAGAGGATTGCGGATTGGATTGAAGTGAAATGTGCATGTTGAGAAGAAGGGGAGGAGTGGTCGTTTGAGACGATGATGGTGTTGGCTGGACAAGCTGAGATTATGCCGGCCTGGCAGGGAAGGCGAGAATCGATTCTGCTAGCTGGAGCAGATAATGCTGTGGGGATTAGAATAGAAATTGAGACGAGAGTCTTCCAGAGGTTATTCTTTGTTAGGAACTTCATCTTGTATAACTGTAGTGCTCTTTGTGGTGGTACATCAGTATGGATGCCCAGGTGTACTTGATGGAGTGTTCACCTGCACCATCTACCATACACAACATTACCTCCATAGTGATAATTCATGCTCCTTTTGTAAACACTCTGCATGCAAAGATCTTGAGGACATTTTACATTTTTCCGGGGCACTGGGAATTTGCGGGGAAATCAGAGCTTGAATTCCAGATTGTTTTCCTCTAACCCGGATACGTAGCACATGAAACAATAGTACTTTACTCAATTCAATCAAGCTCATAAACCCAATTTAGAGCTGTTCCTCGAGAAAGCTTTTTCCCGGATAACGCCGTCCTGATTCGTAGATAGCTTGGGCCTGCATATCTCCGTTTAGGGCTAGGATACGGAGAAATTGTGTCCACCTCTTATATTCATGAAACAAAACATAGTATAGGCCTATATGATCAATCATACCTAGGTATCACTCTGTTGACAATAAACTGGGAAGTTGGGGATAATAGAAATAGTTAAGGTCAAGGAATAAGAGTGCATATCACAATCATATCGTAAAAGACAAGACAATCTACATAACGGCACGTTTTACAACAAACTCATCTAGCGCCTCAACATCTCGCTTCTTATCCGGCGGTACACCATAACCGCCACCACCAGGGGTCTGCACAATAAACCTATCACCTGTATTCATCTCCATGGATGCCTTTGCGCCCACAGATATCGTTCTCACAGATCCATCTATAGGATCCTTTCGTACCCATAGATTGACACCTCTCTTCCCATCCTCTCCGCCAGCCATACCGTACGGCGCCACAACTCGTCTTTCAGATAGAATACTAACTTGCAACGGACGTCGTAACTCAATATCGCGAATACAGCCATCACCACCTCGATTTCGGCCAGCGCCACCACTACCCTTGCGAATACTAAATTCGCGAAGGAGAACAGGGTAGCGTTTTTCAAACGTCTCCGGGTCAGTCATGCGTGTATTGGTGCTACCAGTATGAACACCAGATTGACCCTCCCAGTTTGCGCCTGCACCCGCACCACCGGCGATGGTTTCGTAGTATCCAAAGCCCTTGGTCACGGCTCCAGTAACGGGATCTTTACCGCCGTACCCAAAAGTGAGATTGTTGCATGTTCCCTGACTAGCACCCATGACTCGGAATGCTTTAAGAATAACATCGATTATGCGTTGTGCGGTTTCAACGTTTGAGCCCACTGTTGCGGCTTTCATACTTGGGGAGAGGATTGTGTTTGGTGGGCAGACGACGTTGATGGGTGCCAGGCATCCTTGGTTCAGGGGGATATCGGAGGATATCATGGATCGGAGACAGTACATGATACCGCTGTACATGACTGCTGGTGGACTATTCAGGTTATTCAATGCTTCGGGACCGGTGCCGGTGAAGTCGAAATTGGCAGATCCGTCAGCGGGGTCGATGGTGATTTTTAAGGCTAATGGTGTTCCGTCATCCATGTAATCAACTGCCTCAAGAGGTTGACCTTGGAAGCGACGACTAAAGTCCTTAAGTAGACTGCGCACGGTCTCTTCGGCATTTTTTTGTACTGCACGCATGTACAGTTCGACGACGGGCCAGTTATATTCGCGCACCAGACCTTGAATTAGATGAATCCCCTTGTTATTTGCTGCAATTCCTGCTTTGAGGTCGGAAATGTTGTCGTTTAGTGTTCTGGTGCCGCTGCAGCCGGGATATGTAGCTGGGACGTCGTAGAGAAGATGGGCGACACCCTCTTCATCAAAGACACCCTCTTTCACCATCTTGAACGACTCAATAGCAGCACCTTCCTGCCACAGTTCAGTCGAGTTGGGTGGCATGCTTCCCGCAGCAATACCGCCGATATCAGCATGATGGCCACGGTTGGCTACAAAGAAAAGAATCTTGGTCGGATCATTTTCATCAAAGACGGGTGTCGTAACAGTCAAGTCCGGAAGATGGGTACCGCCAGCAACGGGATGGTTCGAGAGTATCACATCGCCTGGTTTCAATTCCCCCTTTGCATACCGTCTTGCTTGATATGCGATTGCGTAGGACATTGATCCCAGATGCGCAGGTATGTGTGGTGCATTAGCGACCAATTGACCGTCTGCAGAAAAGACTGCACAGCTATAATCAAGACGTTCCTTGATATTGGTCGATATCGACGTCTTTCGAAGAGTCTCACCCGTCTGCTCAGCGACGCTCATGAAACGATGACTGAAGACAGATAGTTGAATGGGATCAACCTCATCTGCGGATATCTTTTTGGTCTCTGCATCAAGTAGATCAATGACAACATGTTCATCCAGCACAGTCGCTTCGCTAGCAGGATCGACGACGATGGTCTGAGTTGCGTCGATAATCATGGCTGGTCCGAGAATAACGCTTCCTTTGGGTACGTCTTGCAGGTGGAATATACGTGCATCTGTCCATCCCTCCTTTTCGAAGTATACTTTTCGAATAAGAGCAGGTTTCGGATCTTGCTGAGAAGACCGACGGATTTCTTTGAGTTGTTTGAATGGGCTTTTGATCTTGACATCTACTGCCTTGCCAACGGATCGGACACGCACGTCGTCCACTAGGATCTCGCGTGGTTGAGTAAATCCAAACTCCCGTTTATGACGAGCAATAAAGCCTTCGGAGAAGTCGGCGGCATCAGACTGACAGATCATGAGGGAAGTATCGCTGCCGCGATAACGCATGTTGAGGAATACTTCATGCGATATCTGATCTTGGGTGAATCCTTCCTCAATGAGCTGCTTCGTACTTCGCTCACGGAGGGCTTCAGCTCGCTTCTCGAAACGAGCAGCGGACTCCTTGGTATAGACACCCGACTCAGGCTCTTGGAGCTCAACGACAACATCTGCAAGAGCCATTCCATAGGCTGACAAGATGCTAGAGAAGCGATGAATGAGTACTCGTCGGATACCGAGATCCCGCGCAATTGCAGTTGCATGTTGCCCTCCAGCACCGCCGAAGCAAACTAGGTTATGAGCGGCAGTCTCATAACCTCTTCCCTCGCTCAGAGCACGGATGGGCCGTGTCATAGATGCATTTGCCACGAGAAGGAAGCCCATAGCGACCTCTTCCGGTGTCAGGGTTTCGGTGCCTTTCTTTTCTGCATTGACAACTTCGGTGAGTTCCAAGAATTTCTTCTTAACGACATCAAAGTCCAGAGGACGAGCAAAGTAGTCTGGCAGAATACGGCCGAGGAAGAAATTCGCATCGGTGATTGTGAGAGGTCCGCCTTTGCCATAGCATGCTGGGCCGGGGTATGCTCCTGCAGATTCGGGACCTGCGACGAACAAGCCATTTCGCCAAAACAGCATTGAGCCTCCACCGGCCGCTACAGTATGAACATCTAACTGCGGGCTTTGAAGGGCAACCTGTGAGACGGTGGTTTCAAAGACATGTTCAAATGAACCGCTATAACGAGATACATCTGTGCTTGTTCCTCCCATATCGAAACCAAGTACGGGCGTTCCGTCTTCCTCATCATAGCAGGTGCGAGCACATCCAATAACGCCGGCAGCAGGCCCAGATAGAATTGCGCGCAGGCCCGTAAATCTAGTGAATGAGGTGAGACCACCATCTGACTGACATAAAAGGAGTTTCTTGGCGTTGTGATCTTCTAATCGGCCCTTAAATCCTGACCGGAATCCTTCAATATATTGCGCAATAACTGGAGAAAGATAAGCATCCGCCGTCGCCGACTGGGCTCGAGGTACAATCCGAATCATAGGTTGTAGTTCCGACGACACCGATGCTCTGAACCCGATCTCCCGTGCAATTGCTGCCACGACAGCTTCATGCTCTGGGAATGCAAAAGAGTGCATAAATGCAATGGCCAAGGTACGATACCCTTCGTCCCATAACGATTGAAGATCCTGACGGACTTGCGTAAGATCTGGCTTTTGCAAAATACGGATTGCTTCTCCCGTAAGGCCTTCGACCAAGCCTGGGTCGGATTTTATATTAATAGGTTGAGGTTCGGGGTCTTCGGCGAAACCTTCTATAGTGACTCTTTCGTCTACTTCGATGACTTTTTCATATAGCCTATCGAGCTTGGAGACTGAGAGGTCGAAGATACTCGGTCGAGCCTGGTTGCCAATGACAAGAAGGTCTTTGAAGCCTTTTGTTATTAAAAGAGCGACTTGCTCTCCTTTTCTTTCTAGAAGTGCACTAACAATGCATATTAGGTGGTACTCGTCTGAAATTAACTTTCAAAAATACTCACTTTGTAGCAACTGTTGTACCCATACGAATTGATTCGACTGGCGTAATATCCAAGGGTGTTCCCCTAGGAATAGTCTGGCCGGTAGCCTTTTCAAGGATCTGCCGGATACCTTCGATAGGCGCATCATCATATTCTCCAGGGTTTCTGGACAACAACTTGAAAATCAAGTCATTTTCTCTGCCAGGGATGCTTGCCCAGCTATTTCGATATGGTGTTAGTAATGGGTCCTTGGAAGATAAGAGAAGTATGCGAACGTACAAGTCACAAAATGTGCCGCCCCTGTCAATGGCAATTCTGATGCCTTTGGTTTCACTTTCTATAGCCATTATGATTATAATTCGTGGTTAAACGGCATCAAGGTATCTTCGTGTTGGAGGTAAGCCACCGGACGACGTGATTGCAATGCATCTTTATATCATGCATGCCAGTTATCATGTGATTACGAATGTCCGTATCATGCCTTCTGATAACATAGCATGGATTTCGGTCCACGAAATATCCAGCCGATGTAGGCAATACAAGTCGTGAAGGTCGATGGTTGTTGGTGGATATGTTAACTGGTCCGGCAACGGTAAAAAAATAGCCGAACCGAATGGTCCCGGTGTGATAGGGATTGTGCCGATTTGCTATTCGACCTACATGGGAACAGTTTAGGGTCATGTTTTCAAATAAGTTTAATCAGTCATCTAATCCTCGATGGTCTAACGGTCATGATTTCCGCTTGTCATATCCAGTTGTTGGATAACAAGCGCGGGAGACCTGGGTTCGACTCCCAGTCGGGGAGATGTTTTTGTTTTCTTTTTGTGCTTCTACACTTCAATTTCTTCGCTAGGCAATCGAAGAGCTTCGTGGTCGCTTTTTCTTCGTCGTCTATCGTTGATCTTATTCGCAGGCCCGAAATACTGCTGATACATCATACATTCTCTAGCAGATTGAAAGACTCGGTTAAGCAAACGCATTTAAAGAAGCTAGTTAATCATACTTGTGCCCCTGGACTCATAAAATAGATGCACTACTTGTGAGGCGTGTATCAGGGCTACCCAAGATACATGAAAACTTTTTAGCATACTAGACCTCACCCTACCACCAATGTTCTAAAGAGCCTCCCTCCCTATACAATATTGGGCACCATTCCATTCCTCGGAGCTGTGTGAAATTCCTTAAGGCGCTGGAAGTTGTCTAAATCTATTCTCTCACCCACGGATTCAGCGGTGTCACATATATATATACAACTTAAAAAAAGCGTCGAAGACATGAACGACTTATTACCTAGAAGAATCAGTATCTCCGACTGGCGTCAGAGGTAGACGTGGTAGAAGAAGCACTGCTCGATGACACACTCGTGGTAGAAGCTTTCAAGATGAAAACTGTCTTAATATCACAATGAGAGATGTGTCAATAACACTGCTATCCTCTGCAAATTCTTCATTGGATTAATATCATTGGTGGAAATGTACTTCCTATGATGTAACACGTGCCACTACAAGTCGATCTTCCCACATCACTCCGGGAATATCATATTGCATATATATCAATTTCCAAGATTCCACGAGGCTCTCGCCTACTTCATTGAATAATAAATGAGTTCGGAATGGCTGACAGAATCCTAACAGCAACCTACCTATCACTGCCGCAGAACGCTACTTTCACCGTCCCGCTTAAAGGCCTACCTCTGCTAATGGAGTGCCTGCCGCACAGCCACTCTCTTTCTACACCCCGGTTTCACCTAGTTTAAACCGTCTTCATCACGCCGTCAAGTCAAGAGAGCTTAAGAGGTACTTCCACGAAAATGTGAAGTTAGCACGGTGCTTCTGTGGCACGTGTGGGTGTTATATCGGAAAGAAAGACATCAAAGGAGAGTGGTATCTCTGTGTCTATTCCTGAGGAAGGAGGAGATATTCCACACATTGACGAGCGAGAATTACAGTGGAACGGATATAACCCAATGAATCCGATAAAAAAAAAGATTTACACAAAGCAAAAATATCTCCCCGACTGGGAGTCGAACCCAGGTCTCCCGCGCTTGAATTACTCGTTTGTAATGACAAGCGGAAATCATGACCGTTAGACCATCGAGGACTTGATGCTCCTGATCTCAAATTCTTCCTTCCAGCGAAAATATGGAGGGAAGCACTGAAAAAGAAAAAAACGAAAACTCCCCGACTGGGAGTCGAACCCAGGTCTCCCGCGCTTGTTATCCGACAACTGGATATGACAAGCGGAAATCATGACCGTTAGACCATCGAGGAATTGAATGGAAATGTGGGCTGCTATTTTGATATATGATCAAAAAACTTACGAAGTTCTCAACAACAGGCATTGTCCCCGATCGACTTGAAATGTCTATACTCCATAACGCAAGAATAGCTCTTGGCCATCAGTCTGTCCTGGCGCCAGTAGATATCAGCGGGTGGTCGGCTCTAGCGGGTGGTTCCGTGCACAAGGCGGTGAAGGACGGCTCCGGTAACTGTAAGATGTTGCCGGCCATCATTCTATCGATAATGACTCGGATCCTGTCTATATGCCCGTCCGTATACAACCCACCCAGAGCCTCCCATCATCTCTCGTCTTCAATTTCGTGAAACGAGACCCGCAATTAAACATATATACTACTTGAAAATAACAACATGCCCAAAACTGTGCGTCGGTCACTGAAAGACACTTCTCCGGTTTCTTTGGATGAGGTGGAGGAGCCACCTTCAAAACGACAAAGGAGTGCAGTAGCGTAAGTCTAAGTATTTCCGGTATCCATTAATCCTAGAAACTCGTTGATCGTTTGTATATAGTTGTAAAAGATGTCATGATCATAAGGTGAAATGCACTGGAGGCAATCCGTGTAACAGCTGTGCTCAACAACCCCCGGGCACTGAATGTGTTTACCCAAAGAGAGATCGAAAAGTTCCTGTTCAGGAGAGGTAAGCTTTTACTTCCAGGTCTCGACTCCATATCGCTAACGTGCAAGAAACCAGCTACCTGAACTGGCTAGAACAAGAAGTCAAACTTCTCAGAGGAGGCAAAGAAGGCTCAGAAGAAGATGCAGTTAGACAAGAATCACAAACTCAATACACACCCGAAACCGTCGAGGAAGATGGCGACTATGCAGAACGAATCGGCAACGTCGACGTTAACCTCAAAAATCCTCTCATGGAGGATAAGGCCTGGTTCGTAACAGATAGCGCATCATGGCAACCAATCTACATCGGCGAAGCGGCATGTACAGCGTTTGGTACTCGATTACGACAATTCCTGAATGGAAACGATCCCGTCGCCCCTTTATCGCGATCCAAGTACTCCAAACACAAGGCGTTTTTGCGCATGTCAGCCCCCAGATTTCAGTTACCCAATCGTGCTTATGCTCATTTATTACTGAAAGTGGCTTTACGCTTCTTGGGGAATGATTATCACTTGATGCTACGCAAGTCGACTATAGAGAAGATGGAGGAGCTTTATCGTACTGGTTCACTTGACGATACGGTTTTCCTATGCAAATTGTTTGCGCTCTTCTCGATGGGGGAAATGTATGCCAACAGACGGTTGGGTTCGACTAAGGGGTCCGATATCCCCGGTACTGGATTCTTTGTGCAGGCAATGAGTCTTACCCAGGATATGCATGAGGAGCCTTCAGTTGTATATGTGGAAGCACTTTTGATTATTGTAAGTCTTTCCTCGCATTATAATTTGACTGAGCTCTGATGTGTAACAGGCTTTATATTCACTGGCACTCAACCGAACCAGGTCAGCATATACCTACGCCGGAATGGCTCTTCGCCTCTGCCTTACTCTAGGCCTACATCACAATGTCCCTGAGGGCTACGCCATTTCTCCGGTTGAGAGAGAGAACCGTATACGCGTCTGGTGGAGCGTGTATATTATCGACCGCATCACTAGCTCGAAATTGGGCCACCCAGTCACTGTTCAAGACAGTGATATCGATGTCGACCTGCCCTCAATGGAGAAACTGAGCCCTACCGAACAAGAAGAATTCTCTGATCCGTCCCATATTATTGCCCACGTCAAACTGGCAAGGATCTCGGGCGATATCATGTCTGATATTTACGGCCGCTCCAACCAAGCCAAGGCGTTTGTGCAAAGTGTACAGAAGATCCTTCGCAACTTACGGTCGTGGGCGGAAACCCTACCCGAAAGTGTACAGATATCGCCGAGTCAGCCCTTCAGATATGCATCGAGGAATGTTGCCTCGTTGCATCTATGCTTTAACCAGGTGCGTCTTACCTTTGCCCGTACTGACTCTTAACTGATGAGAGATGACCAGTGCGTGATACTAACCACCCGCCCAATCCTCTTCCACGTCTTCAAATCCTGTTTCCAAGGCCAAGGCGCCCCAACCGCATCACCAACCACCATGGCCCTAGCGGACGCTTGCATCCATGCCGCCCGCAGCTCCAACGGCCTCCTAACCCAACTCTGGATTGACGGCGGAATGGCAATCTTCGGATACTTTGACTCCCACTACCTATTCTCGTCAACCATCATCCTAATGATGTCCAGCATCCTCGGCACACACAACAGCGACGCAGATCGGGAAGCCGCCGACACCGCATCGGATATTATGGAGTCACTGGTAAAAGACGGGAATCTACCCGCAGCGGGCTTCTATGAACATTTCCTTGAAATCCGTAAAACCCTGCTGGAGTTTACGGAGCGCGGTCATAGTAATGGGCCCGTACAGCTGATGGAGCATATCCCAGAGCCAGTCATGCCGGAGAATGATATCAATAATGAATTCTTGAATCAGACTCTATTGGGTGATCCTTCTATCCAGCACTTTTTGACTCAGGCGGATTTTCAATATGGGTTTCCGATGGGGATGGAAATGGCAGGTAATATGTTGATTCCGCGGTCCTCATTGTTTGAATAGGTTGGATGGTGTATATGTTATGATTTGATGATTTATGACCGATGATATGATTATGATTTTAGGTTCCAAGGTTGGCTGTATCTAGTTATTGTTCCGTTTCCGGTGCCTTTTTGTGATATGTGTATATAGCGTAGCAGTCTATCGTGACAATTCACCTTCCAGTGTTGTATGACGAAGAACCTTAAACCTAGAATCAGAATGCTACTAAAGTATTTCTGTCAATTACATCTAAAACTGGTCCAGGCTCAGCTATCTAAATTCGAAGTGGATAAGCCGGCTAGTTTAGGGCATGCCTTTCGAAGACTAAGTGACTAACTAGCTATTAAACTTCCTTTCTCACCGGAACCTTTCAATCAACAGGGTCAATCGAGAGATCCGCCATTTTTCCTCCAATCAAGATAATAAATCAAATTCATCTGATCACATGGACCGTTAAGCTGCAGATGTTTTACATGCCACTAGTACGTCCCGGGGGAGAATAATCCCGCATCGGCTACTCTACGAAGTACGAAGCTGTTAGCCAAGTCTTAAGGCGTGGGATAGCAATGAATCAGGCGGTATGGTATGTGCGGATTACCTTTTATAGAAGGTATAGAACAGGAATAGCTGATTGGATGTAGAGAGAATAAAAAAAGCAGCTGTCAATTTGTCATTCATATGATCAAGAGATCTCTCGCCCGAGTGAAGTTCTGCCTTGATGCCTTAATGCCTTGATAAGCTTTGGCGCTATCCTCAATACGTAAATTTAACGTGGGGTTATTCCGTGGGTGGGGGTACACTTCTGAGAACTTCCACGTGATGGATATCCACTTATTGTTGCAACAGGATACGATCCCCTAGTACGAGTACGTACTCACATTGTTCGAAATCAAGAATATTATGACATGCCTAGGCACTGTCTACTTACGTAGTACTCCGTACGTGGGCATGGCACACCAATCTTATGTAGTGGGATGCATCGACTTTTACCTGGAACCCCCACGTCGTAATTCCCCGCGAGAACATTCATCCAACAGACTTCGGAGTGTGCCACTGGGCCTTCAAAAGGTACTTTCGACTACCTTGTGGTTTGTACCTTTCTAGAAGAGGCAAAGACCCTGCAGGCCCTGGCTCAGTCTTACACACGACCAAGGAACGGAAATGATAATCGGTCGGCTATTCTGATTCTAGAAATTAGCCGAGCGCATCGCAGTACGACCTACGTACATAATCGGCCCGAGTCATGGCTGTACCAATTCATCTTTGACACCTACGTATGTGTGCAGACGACCAAAAGAGCAAAAAGGCATGGCAATGGCGCACCGCCTCCGCATTGAGTCCGCAGGACACGACCAACCAAACATCCGGCTTCAGTAGCCTGGAATAGAGCTCGCTCCATGAAAACGAGTCGGCAATCCAAGTGCGGATTTCCGAATAGGGCAATTTCTGTACGGAGTAAGTCCCAAGCGCCCCCGCAGTGGAGGCAAGGCTCCACGGCCCTAGTTCTAGAGAACGAAAGCAGCAAAATTCACGGAATAACGCCGGTCGTTAGAGGAAGGTTGCGCGATGACCAGTGGGTTGGTTCAGTTCTCAATGGATAAAGGCGTGGCTGGCCATTCAGATCATTGGTAATGCGATTCTAATCAATTCGTGCTTGTTGTGAGTCATTTTAATCCCGTCTAACTGAGTTGTGGTGGCTTTTGGCAGTTCTCATGGCCAGACCCTACCAATTACTACTAGTGATGCGATGGATTGGGGAAGTGGTGTGTCTGTGAGGGGTTCCATACCTTTTTTTCTTCGTCACCATGTGCTTGCTTTCCCCCGGATTTTATCTTCCCCAAAATTATTCCTTGCTTCTTTCTGAATCATGACATACGTGCAAAGCTGAAGGTTGACTAGAATTGAACTTTTATCAAATTGTCTGACGTCCATTGATGACTTGAATACCCTGACTGGCTACTCTAAAAGGTAAAAGAAAAAAAAAATCCGTTGCATCGTGCATCACCATGCCGAAACGTTCCTGGAACCACGTCGACGGAGCAGCGACACAGCCAGTCCGTCGTGGCTCCAATAAAACCGCAACAACTGATCTACAGATCAAATCCGGAAGTCCAAGTAGCCCGGATGAGATCAAGGCCAACTTCTCTCACCCTCCCACTCCGACATTGACGGACGCCGGGTCAGAACCTCGATCGGCGAAATCCGGATCTCGTCGTAGAGCTGCCAGTGCTCATTCGGATGACAATGAGCAGATTGCGTGGCCGTCTATTACGCGGAAGGTAAAGGCATGTGCTGCTTGTCGGAAGCAGAAGGTGAGTCCCAGTCTGAGAATTTGCTCGAGAATGGGTGTTGACGGACTGATACAATGGTAGATCAAATGTGACATGGACGATGATGTTCCTCCGTGCAAACGCTGTAAGGAAAGAGGCCTATCGTGCAAACTTAACAAGAGCTTGCAAACTCTCATTGATGAAGAGTCTAGGTATGCGCCTATTGGTCAGGGAATGGGAATGGGAATGGGAATTGACAAAGCATGACAGATGGCGCAAAACAGTTAGCCATGATTTGACTATTATGCACTCCGCACTCGAGCAGACCTTACGAGCATTAAACCTCCCATCGTTACCTTCTCTACACACCCCGTTACCAGAGACTGGCAGTATTCCAGAGGCTGAAGTGTCCATTGCTCCCACGGTCGACTTGTCCACCACCAGAGACCCTGAATTCTCTCCGCAACTTCACCCTGCCGAGGAAACTTCGGCACATGTACCCATTGAATCTCTGTACGAACTAACCCGCCTACGCTCGCTACGAGGAGAGGCAATTGATGAACGATCATCTGATCATGACGATTTCATCTCCCGCGGGCTGGTTCCTATCGACGAAGCCGAGAAATTATTCCACTTTTACCAGACACAGCTTGATCCATACATCTATGGTCTCGCCAGCAAATATAAGACATTGGAAAGCCTACGTAGGAGTTCCTCGTTACTCACAGCCTGCATCTGCACAGTGGCAGCTTCACATCAGGCAGGTCATGGTCAACTCTACGAAACATGCAATCAAGAATTTCGCCGACTAGTTTCGGGCTCGATGTTTGAACGCCGAGTTAGTCTGGATTACCTGCGCGCATTAGTGATTGGCTCGTATTGGTTGAGCGACGTTTCATGGACACTAGCTGGCCTTGCTGTCCGACGGGCAAGCGATATCAATCTCCACAAATTCTATTATCGTATTATCGATTCTGCGAATGGGTTGGCGCAAACACCGGATAGCTGGGATCCGTCTGACCCGGAAGCTTCGATTGATCCTGTTCGATTGTGGTATTTGCTGTATATCTGTGATCAGCATTTGTCGATATTGTATACTCGAGCGCCCATGATCCGTGAGGATGACACCATCCGTGGATGGCGCGCATATCTCGAGTCTCCGCACGCTTCACAGTCGGATATGCGAATATCGTCGCAAGTAGCACTCATGACACTGTTGAGCCAGATCCGAGAATTTTTCGGGGTCGATGCTTCCAAATCTATTCCTCGCGGAGCAATGCCTCATATCAACACATTTAGCCATCAACTCGATAAATGGCTGGCCCATTGGTCCTCTAAACTCCGTAAGCCTCTCTCTATGCCTTCGTCAGACAATGCTAATAACCTGCAGGCCCCAACGAGCACATCGGCAACTTCCCTTCCAAAGGAGTCCTCCTACACTATCACTTTGGCAAACTCCATCTTTACTCCCACGTCTTCCGCGGCCTCAAATCCGGCGATCACATCGAACACATCCCCTCATATTTCAAGGATGCAGCCTCAACAGCCGTATCCCACGCGACCACCATCCTCGAATTCTTATTAAACGACGCCGCCATCCGACGCAGCATTGTTGGTGCACCACACTATTTCCATACCATGATCTCACTCGCATGCGTCGTACTACTCAAAGTCGCGGATCGGTATCGTGACGACCTCGGCATTGATGTCGCGGGTACATATACACTTATCCAGCGAGTTATCGATTTTTTCAGACGAGTAAACTGTGGCCAGTATCATCTCGTTCATTGGATGGCCGATGGACTTGCGAAGATGCTCCAACAGTCCTCCCAGTATTCGCGCGGTAGTCCGAGCAGCAATAACAGCAGCAGCATTTCACACTCAGTCACCGCATTTCCATGGGAAACCACACATACAACTTCCCAAACTGCAAGAGGACTCAACACAATGAGTCCCTCTCTTGTGCACCACCACGACAGCTCCTCGTCAGTTGATAATACCCTATTCAACAGCGTCACCGAAATACCCGAACAACCATCCTTCTTGTCTCTTGACCCGAATTTCGGAAATATCAATACCGAAGAAGACGATCATCACGGTATGATGATGGGTGGTAGCGTCGGAGGTGCTGCCGGAGGTGCATTTTTGCCGATGTTGGATGGTCTTGAAGCTGGTGGTGATTATGGGTTAACTGATATGGGCTTTAATTTCATCTAATTTCGTTTTCTGTGAATACAAGGATAGATTTTCGGGCTTTCATGCTCTTTTTTTTTTGGGTGGTATATCTCATCTCATGTTTCTTCATACCCCTCTTTTGATGATTTCGGCGTGGTTATGGGACATTTCGGATTAGGAACTTTTCATGACAAAAGGAGGCTGGAGAATAATGTTATGTCTTGATGAAATATATACATTTTCAAACTAGTTTATATGCCTTTTAAGTCTGGGCAGGAATAAGTCCGAGAGAGCGGCATTCTCTCCGTATATAGCTTCTATCTTGAGTCTCGTGTGATGGATCTAGTAGTTGTTTGTGTGGTTTCATTGGTCAGATGTCTGCATCAATGTAGGTATTATTGCAGGGTTATGAGTGTTAACTTGGATTTAGTTCTAAGTGCCGTTTACAAATCCAATGGAACATAGCACATACCTAGGTACGCCTGGCTAGTGAGAGATTCTTGACCTAAGTGGGTATCATGCGGTTAATATGTGGATAAGATTAAGGCGTATAGTTAGTCTGAGTGAGTAGGAATGCAGGATTTTTACAGATGTACTTATATGAAAGCTTCGGAGCAAATGCGGTAAAGTGGAGCGACATGTAGTCAGGAAAAACGAGCTACTAACTGTGATCCGTGTGCAAATTTGGAAGATGTAGTCTTGTCTTGATACTGGTAAGTTACGTATCATGAAGCAGCTCTAGCCTAACCCTGCATGTATCTAGATATCATTCCAAGGTTTATGTATTCCCTTTCCGAGAGTGAGAACTTATGTCAACATTAGTATATAATTGGCGAACTAGAAACACTCCTTTAAATCATCGAGTGATATCTGAGACCCTGAAAGATGACAACTCTGTCTTAGATCCCTGGATAGTGGTTATAATCCCTCTACCCCCCGCGTCTTACGCTTTACACCCCTTCTTAAATGGTGATGCCTACTGTGAAATTAATAGTAGCGTAAGTCTTCGAAAATGAGAGCGCACAATCCCCATCGTCGTCCAAGAAAGACAGTCTATCTTGAGTTGTCGGAGCGGTCTGATTTCACGCTGGATTCCTACTCTGCACGTGTTGAACTGGGTGTTTCTTCCCCTATTCCCGCTGGCCTGAAGATCGAGTTGATCTAGATACGACGATGATGATTTACTACTCAGACAAAGAACGCAGAACAGAAGATTTCTACAATGAGCTCTCGTATACGGAGTCCGTGAATTATGTCCGAGCTGGTCCAGGTCTTCCTCAGCTTCTGAGATGCTGAATCTAGACGAGCAGGACCTGTATTGTCCCTCTCGGAAACGGTTGTGCAAGTCAATAGATTTGTAGAACCACATGTTGAGCCAGAAGTGCATCTGTATGAGGTGACAGTAGCATACCAGGGATATCATTGCGTCGTTCTTGTCTATGTTAACGTGGTACCTGAGAAACCTGGCCTTCACAATAATAACAAGTAACCAATCAGGGAATGACTGGCAGAGGAGACCACGGGATATCGCCGAGAGCATGGACAGCTTCGGCTAAGACTTCACGGAACAACTCCGACTTTCAAATTTCTAATCACCATTTAGTGCACATAATCTATCTTACTTTCGAATGAGTCATGTTATGGCTCATCTGGTGGATTTTCGGGTTTGATTCATACGAACACCGAGTTTGATCATGGAATGTGTTCTGGGCGTTTGAACACGGCTTTTTTGGTACTGATTACTCCGTGTGCATGAGCAGGTAGGTACGATGAGAGTACCAGCCTGGAAACAGAGGAAAGAATCTCAGAATATATCTTCCAATCTCGAAAGAACTAGCTTGTACTTCAAGCGCCTGTCAATAGATTAATGAGAAGCATTTAGGCCACACTTTCCTATCGACAGAGTCGGTGAACAGCAGAGATAACACGAACAAGGAATCTTCGTGCCAACCATGTTATTACAATACCCCGGGTATCGTTCATTTTCACCGAAGGAATAAGCACTAAATAGATGTAGGATAGCCCTGCATTGGGGCCTTGCTCTATACACTCAAGGCTTCATGCAGTATGCGGGGGGAGGGAATCGTCAGACAGAAGCCCTTGTTGGATCTCACTGTTTACTGCCAATTAGCATAAACCTAGCCTTTACATTTGTATACATACAAGTCATCTCATATCTTCAGCAGTCTCCCTCAACTTCTGCTCAGCTCGGGATAGTTCACAAATTAGGGTATCCTTCCCCACGGGACCCCCACACGCACGACCCCAGACTTTTGACCAAGCGCCCTCAAGACACTTACTTATTATTTAACCTTGGCTAACATCTACAGGATAGGTCCAATTTGAGACGTTTTGACGTTTATCGAACCGAATTTCCGCCGAATGGTCGAGCGTAATACTAATCAAAGGGTCTGAGGCTGAATAGTATACTTGATATCTTCCTCGATCATCTTATGGTACCTACCTGGGTATCGGCAGGGACCCGATAGACAACTGGCCTCGTGGTTTTGCTACCTAGGTATATAATAAGCGGGGAAATATCCCTTAGATGATATATCTTCATCTTTATTGTTTCACGGTCTCACCCGGAACAGTATCAGAACCTTGGAATCCGCATTGAACCCCGACACTGAGATCAAGACAAGATGGCAGGAAATAACTGGTATACGTTTGGTGTTGCCTTGTTCGCTGCCATTGGGACATTTCTGTTTGTACGTTTTGACTGAACTTCTGTTAGCTCAACACGTTTGAGGAGTACGGTGTCGTCAACAACTAACATCTGTTGCAGGGCTTCGACACCGGCATTGCCACCACAAGTTAGTCCTCACACAAGACAAGAACCACCTCACCACAAAACTGAATGAAGAAATCTCTAGCAATTGCTCATCAAAGTTGGATCGAATACATGGGTCATCCATCCAATGGTTTGACTGGCGCAGTAGTTTCAGTCTATATCGCCGGCGAAGCACTCGGAGCTCTCACTCAGACATTCATTGGTGACAGACTTGGTCGTATTCGTTTTATGCAACTGGAATGTGTTATCGTGACTATCGGCTGTGCTATTCAAACCGGATCTGTCAATATCGGTATGTTTTTGGCAGGACGTGCTTTGGCCGGGTTTGCTGTTGGGTATGTATATCTATGGATCACAACCGTTCAGGGGCATCGTTTCTTAATGTGTCATAGTGGAATGGTCGCCACAGTCCCAGTCTATCTCTCCGAAATTTCAGCACCACAACATCGTGGCTTGATCGGCGGTATATCCGGCGTCGGTATCGCGTTCGGTACCATGGCATCCAACTGGGTTGGCTTCGCGTGCTCCTACGCAACAAACGGCACAGTTCAATGGCGCTTACCACTCGGCATCCAACTACCGTGGGGCATAATCATGTTCATCGGTTTGGCCACTTTCATGCCCAATTCACCACGTCAACTCATTCGACAAGGAAAAATTGAGCAGGCCAGGAGGGAATTCATCAAGATTCGGCGAGACTTGCATTCGCATGAAATGCATGAAGAATTCACCTTGATGAAGGCTCAGATTGAGTATGAGATACAGCGAGAATTGAAATCGTATAAAGAGATTTTCAAGTTGTATCGTCATCGAGTTTTGGTTTCTGTTGCAGTGCAGACTATGACTTCTTTGACGGGTGTTAACGTTATTCAGGTATGGTGCACCCCTTTCTAAGCGTTGATGCTGACCGAGTTGCTAACATTTCTACAGTATTACCAAAGTAGGATTTACAATCTACTAATTATTTAGGCCTGGCGCTGACATATCCAACAGCCACGCTTTACAAATCCCTCGGAATCAGCTCTAAGATGATCCTGGCTCTCTCCGGCGTCTATGGCACGATTGCTTTCCTCTCCAACGTACTCACAACCAAATTCCTGACTGACCAATGGGGTCGACGAAAGTAAGTCGTCCATCAATCCAGTTACTAGAAAACAACCTAACTAACTTTGGGAAGAATGATTCTCGCCGGGCTTGGAGGAATCATCCTCATCGAGATCTACGCCGCGGTCATGCAACGCGAATTTCAGAACACGCACAACCGCGTTGGGAAAGGCTTTGCCATTTTGGGTATTTATCTTTTTGTTGTTTGGTATTGTACGTTTCATTTCTACCCACAAGTAATCAAACGGACGGATAAATGCTGATTGTCATGATAGATGGCATGCTCAACAGTACAACATGGATCTACGGCGCCGAAGTCCTTCCCATCAACATGCGAAGCAAAGTTATGGGTTTGGCTGCTGCGTCACATTTCATCGTCAACGTTGCTAGTAAGTTTTTATCCGAATATCGGATTATTCATAGCTATTGCTAATAATCTATGTCTCAAACAGTCACCGAAGCAGGTCCAAGCGCCTTTGCGAACATTCACGAGAATTATTACTATGTTTTCGTAGCGTGTACTGCATTCTTCCTGACGATTGCATATTTTTACTTTCCGTATGTCTTTCTTTCTTTACTGGTTTAAGGCTCGAGCTAATACTGTGGGTAAACGTTTAGTGAAACGAAGCAGAAAACTTTGGAGGAAATTGCAGCTGACTTTGGTGATCGTGTCGTTGAAGTGGAGGATGTCGATGTTGCTACCGAAGAAGCCATTACAGCTGCTAAGAACCAGGCAGAGCATATCGAATAGAGGGATATACTTCTGTTTGCGGGGATGAAATGATGATTTATCTGTGTCTTTCTGAGATGTGATCCTGTGATAAATGATAATTCTAATGAGGATTGATATGTGATACGAATGGATCCGTGTATCTATACGAAGCTGTCCGATTGTTGAATGAGTTTTACTCCCTATACTCGCAGGTACTTCACCAATACGACCAAGAAATGTATCGAGCAGATATTTCCAATGTTACCTATATTTCCATGAAGAAGACCGATCCAGGTAATGAATGCATGAGAACGCCGGCATCGGGAATCCAGCTTGTAAACTTGTCATCTTTCTAACTAAAAGTCAATCCAACAACACCTAACCGTGGTCATGATTATTCTTAGCAGGAATGTATAAGCACCATACGCACGAACGGAAGCATATCGCTTAATCTAGACCTATCTTCCCGATCCACCCCATATCCGAAGATGTGAGCGTCGTCCAACTCCATCTTTCTATATATTCCAAGAAGCAAATGTAAGACCCCTACCATGCAGTCGCAAAATACTTTCGCGGCAAAGTACTGTTCCGGTTCTTGCCAGAAAATGGTATAGCTTACACGTATACAATTCAGCCAACGTCAGCCACAAGATCTGAGCAAAAAGCCTTGACCCTGGATGTCTAAGTAGGCATTCTCGAATGATTAACTAACTCTGTCCAAGTATTGCCCAGGTGGCTTGTTTTATACTCAATTGTCTATGCCTCGTATGGCAGAACGGAACAAGTTCCACCGGAATATGATTGAAGTTTTTGAACCTTTTCAGGACAATAATAAAATAAGCTCTACTTAGTGGTGACAGTCTGGCAGACACGATGCATGGCCCTCTTTGCCGGGCTCTCTGCAGCTCGTATCTGGCATACATGGAGACATAAAAGCTTCTGGATTGGGTTAGTCTCTTCATTGGGGGAGCATTTGGCGAGTTCGGGGGATGGCTCGCTCGCACTGTGGCCTGCTGACGTCCCTACTTGGTCCAATGCTCGAAATAAAGCTTGCATTGTTGATTATGGGTATACATACTACCATATATTTCCCCATCTACTTGTTCTCTCTCGCGTTCTGAATAACTGAGTGACTGGGAAAAAGCTCTCGCTTACTACCGCTGGAATCTACGGCATCCTCGGTCTGATGATCCCCATCATCGACCAAGACAAGTCGCGACTGTCGCCCAAGCTTTATCTTGTCATCTTCATGACTGTCGAATTCTTCAGTCTCCTCCTTCAAGCAGTTGGAGGTGGCGTCGCCGGTCTGCGTTCAGCAAAAACACATCTCCATGGCCAGGTACCTATACCGTACAGGAATCATCTGGCAACTAGCATCGACCTGTGTCTTTGCCACGCTTCTGAAATACGTGATATTCCGGGGCGTAATCGCATCCTTCGAAACCCGGCGCTGCGACTTACCAGTCTTGCCCCGATGATCCCCGTGACATGTATGGTAGCCCGCGGTGTGGATCGGAGCATGGAGTTGATGAATGGATGGCATGGATATCTATTCACCCACGAGGTGTTTGCGATTGTATTGGATGCCGGGGCTCATGTTTATTGCGAGTCTGGCGATTTTGATTCCAAAGGCTAAGGAATATGTGTCCCATCGTGCTTTGGGTCAAGTAGCAGTGGAGTTGAGACAGGATGGAAATAAATTTATTCCTATATATGTCTAGGAACTTTCCGTTTATTCTCTCAGAGCTGGTAAAAAGGACTCAGGGGAAGTATTTGTGGTTAAGTTCGAGGGGGAGTATAGAAATTTGAGCATATAAGGTAAGGTATAAAATACTAATATATCTGCTAGTGTAAGCATTTACGTATTATCTTTATAAATATGTAAGCCATACTGATTTTCTAATGATTAACTAGCTCTAGCCAAGCGTTGGCTTGTTTTATACTCAGAGTCTTAGTCGACTGTGCCATATAAACCTTAAAGCGGGCGGAACAAGTTCCGGTGGAACAGAAAGATGATATAGATTCCAAGAGTCATATGGCAGTCACTGATGATATAGAGCTGAATAATCGTTGTCAATGGATATGCCATCCCCACAGGAAAGACGAGTCATTCACGTATTATTGTCGCTGTGGGTTCACGTAAAGGGTTCTAGGTCTACGCATTCTCCAGAAAAAAAGAATCCCCGGATTTACAGAGCGGATTTGCGGAGGTTGGGATTTGTGGGGTAAAAACAAAGCCCTTCAGCTCCAGCATCAGGCGATTCTCAAACGGCGTAAAAATCCTGAATAAGACCCCTTCCGGTGGAATGGAAAAACTCAACCTTTTGATTCCAAATCCCTATCTCCTATTCTGAAGTTCAGCTGAATATCATAAACGAGAAATCATTCGAATCCCGTCGTCGGCGCACCGGAGGCTCGTTGCATGATCTGGGGCTGGTGTTTGAGTTTTACCTGTCAGATAGACTCGTAGATTAGTTTTTTGTTGTCCGCCAGTCTAGACTAGACTGTTGTATTAGCCGGAAACCTCGGCATTTTGTCAACTTTTTGGTGCTTCTGTATGGTTCGTCCGGCTATGATGATCGTATTGTGGTCATTTGCATTAGACTTTCGGGTTTAATTGTCATTATTGTGTCGCCGGATATACTGCTTGTGCGTATTCGTCCGTGTTGGTTTGGTGCGTCGGATAACAGTAGACTGGTTTGATCCAGACGGAGATGATTTGCGGTGTTTGTGGTCGTGTATCGTACCAATTCTTACTGCCCCTGCAACTGGACACCCTCGACAATCTGTGTCTCTACGGATCGTGAAAGTGAAACAGCCATGTGTCCGGCGACTGCCTCTTCACCACCTCCAACACACATCCCGCAAGCGTCCGTAAACTCCAATCCTCGACGACGGGGGATAGGATGGCACAGAGTCGCATAACACACACATATGGCGCACGCTAGCATAGGTGGCTATGTGACTAATCCCTGGATTTTACCATAAGCCGTCAGCCATCGGCGCTAGAACAACACCCTATTGCAGTCTGTCCTTTATCAGACAATGAGTATACGTACCCCAACGAAACGGACGCCAGAGACGAAAGGAAAACCCCCGCATTTTTCCAGTTTTATACCCCGGACAGTACTTTCCAGAATTGGTAGTCAGCTCCAGATTCATGTCTAGATTGAGGGTTAGCACAAGGATTTAGATCAAAAACGGGATGGTGAAATGGGGACGAAAGAGAAAGGGAGATGCTGCCTGAGCAGTCAAGTTGTGGTTCTATCGCCTTGTATCACCCCATCTGGAATCTTGGGCACAATGTGGTCAAAGTCCGGGGATCCCGATGTCGACGAGTCAATGCATTGATCCTTCAGCCATGTGGTTTCATCAGGAAGTAGCTGTTCTTGCTATCTGGTGAGGGATCTCGAGACTATATATATAAGTGTATCTGACCTACACTTGCCGGGTTCTATCTTTTCGATCTGTCTCGCTCATCATTTCCATAAGCATACTACCTTCTCTGCAAACATACCCACACCCTTATTTCTTTTCTCTTGTCCTGCATAGTTGATAGGAAGAAGAAAATGTCTGAATCAAGTGATATGAGTCGTCTGCAGACTCATGACATCGAGATCGGTGTCACTGATGCCCTCCAGCGCCATGCATCCCGCCATGTAGCTCAACACAAACCCGTCTCTCAGCGTGTACTAGACTTTGAGCGCCGACGACCAAGATGGTTGCGTGAGTGTGTTGGTGAAGCGACGGGTGTATTTCTTTACGTGTAAGTGATTTTCAACAGGAACGACACCCACAGACAGAATACTGACTGAATATTATCTATAGCTTCTGTGGCTTAGCCTCTGTCGCTGGCTTCATCTTAAATGGAGCATCAACAGAACCTCCTGTCACTGCGTTTAGTAGTTTCTTCCAAATTGGGCTTGCCTTCGCTCTCGGTATCATGTTTGCTATCGTCATTGCTGGACCAACGTCCGGTGGTCATTTCAACCCGGCTGTGACTATTGCTTTGGTTATTTGGTATGATCAGTCTCCTTCCCCACCGATTGAGAGATACTAATCGTCCGAGTGATATAGGCAAGGGTTTCCATTGAAGAAGGTCCCTCACTGTACGACCAGCCTGCTTCAACGGTCCATCTGAACCACTTGCTAACATATATTCCTTGCTTCAGATATCCTCTCTCAGATATTCGGCGCTTTTATGGCCGGTCTCATGGTCATGGCCATGTACCGAGAGCAAATTTTGAAGTATGAAGCAGCTCTCAAAGCTCTTCATATGCCGTTGGTGTCTGCGACGGGCCCCGCAGGAATTTTCTGCTCGTTTCCAGCGGAGGGACAGAGTATGGGATATCTTTTCATGTAAGTTGCCTCCCCCCCGAAGACTCAGACCAATATCGGTTCGTGGGGAAAGATGCTAATCCCGATTTCGTTCCAGGATCGAGTTCTTCGTTGATTCCTTCATTGTAAGCCAACATGGCCTTACCCTTTTCGTTGTGTAAAGACTGACTGTATTAGGGCCTCGTAATCTGGTCCTGCATCGATCCAGCAAACCCCTTCGTGACCCCCTCCACCGTCCCCATCGTCATCGGCGTAGGCTACGGCGTCATGGTTTGGGGTTTCGCTGACATAACCATCTCAACCAACTTGGCTCGAGACCTTGGTACAAGATTCGTAGCTGCCATCTTCTACGGCGGTGAAGCCTTCTCATACAAGTCGTACTGCTGGATTAGTATATTGGTCAACATCCCAGCAACACTGTTTGCCACGGGATTCTATGAGCTATTCTTGCGTGATTCCATACAGATGATTCATAAAGGTGGTGTTAAGCATGCTGAAGGTGAGGATGGTTTGCGTCGGTATTTGAGTGAGGTTGGAGTATTGAAGGATGAGAATGAGATTACTGCTGTGCACAAGAATTAGTCGGCTGGGAGACTTCACAATACCTAGGTGTGCTAGGGAAAGTGCTTCCAAGGTTGGCTTCTTTTTAGAGCTTTGGATAATTTCAACGGTTGTGGTCTGTTTATATCTGACGCACTTTGATATGTTGAGTAATCTAAAAACATGGTCCTCGGCTACGTTCAATTAGGGTCTACCATACCCTAAGCAGAAATTTGATGACTGAACGAAAATCCTTGAACGGCCCGCACACACATCTCCCTAATTATCTATCGTAAATGTGTTGATCTACATATCATACTAGACAGAGTCGATCGTAACGTATACAGTGGATCTATACTCCGCAAACTAGGGTCCAAAAACTGGAGAAGTAAATATGGAGATTAGTGGAACCTACGGAAACGCTTCCTCACCCAGTTTATTCCATCATTCACTTTTGCGCTCATTCGGGTTACTCGGTTACTCGAGATGTACTCGAGATGTACACCAGTTGCACACATGACTACTCATTCACCAAGCAAAAGTGATCTCCTGACGGGAGTCCCCGCCGAGATATAGACAGAGCGCGGTGCCAGATTAGGCCTAGTGAGATATATCTCGCCTACACTCCTCTATCTAGACACGCGCACACACAATATGAGGTTATATAGGCCATCTATCTGACCACGGCAGTTATGTAAAAGCGCCAAAGAGTCACTTCTTGTAACTAGTTCTTGACACCCAGGGCTTACCCCCTGACGGCCTTTGTCCCAATAGGGAATTGTTGGGAAGCGTGCAAGTCACGAACCATGGCCGTTAAATAGAAAAACACACACACACACACACACACACACACACAAACACACACACACATATATATATATATATATATATATATAATATGAGATTTATGTCCTCATAGTGCCTTCATCAGTTATTATCTAGGTAGGCAGGGTCCTTAATCATGACAACGGCTACCTTCGGAACCCTTTCCGATACTGTCTCTTTGTATAGTTCTTAGTATTCTCACTCGAATTACAAATTAAACTGCATACTGCATTGACAAGAGTTCGTACTGGCGGAACACCTACCGCAATGATAGCATTCCCCTCCCACTGTTGAGACTAGACCAGGGTATTGCATGGATCTATCCATCCAGACTGACCATACACGGATTGCCGTGTGCTATTGTTGCATTGCGTTGTATCGTAGTAAACCCTGGCTACAACGAAATGATTGCTCTTTTCGTTATAAAGAAAATTTCGCTACAATACTGATACTACTTCAGGTACAGTTCCATATTTCCCATTAAATTTGGTAAGGTCTGTCCGTTATAATAAGATCTTTGCTAATATGTATTTCGTTATAACGAGACTTCGCTATCTTAATCCCATCTTCGACAGTCTTGGTTGACAGTTCCTCGCTTCTATTTACTTCTGCTTTCATATAAATACGTCGATTTTCTCCATAGCATCGCACATTCGTCTATCTGCATAGCAACCCCCAGAACGCAGAAAAATGGCGCACGAAGCCCTAGCTATCGGGATCCTCTCCATCCTTGTTATCCTCTACCGCTATCTCAATAAAACTGATACTCCCAAAATCAAAGGGTTGCCCGAAATTCCTGGCGTGCCCATATTTGGGAACCTGATCCAACTCGGCGGGAATCATGCCAAAGTAGCTGCGGAATGGGCTAAACAATACGGTCCTGTTTTCCAAGTGCGAATGGGCAATAAGGTGGGGTCTACATACACCCCTGCTACTTTAACAGGTTACTAACATATAGTGAATAAAGAGAATCGTATTCGCAAACAGCTTTGAATCCGTCAAACATCTATGGGTCAAGGAGCAATCAGCTCTCATCTCTCGTCCAACTTTCCACACTTTTCACAACGTCGTCTCGAGTAGCCAGGGATTCACCATTGGAACCTCACCCTGGGACGAATCATGCAAACGTCGACGCAAAGCTGCTGCCACGGCTCTGAACAGACCCGCTGTTCAGAGCTACATGCCCATCATTGACCTAGAAGCAACCACAAGCATTCAAGACATGTACCGGGACAGTCGTAAGGGGCAAATCGACATTAACCCGATCCCCTATTTTCAACGATACGCGCTCAATACCAGTTTGACGCTAAACTATGGAATTCGCATCGATGGCAACATAGAAGATAGTCTCTTGCGAGAGATTGTCGCTGTTGAGCGCGGTGTTTCGAATTTCCGGAGTACGAGTAATAATTGGCAGGATTATGTGCCGTTGTTGCGTCTGTTTCCCAAGAAGAATAATGAGGCTGAAGAATTTCGGGCTCGGCGGGACAAGTATCTGACTCATTTACTCAACCTGTTGAAGGAGAGTATTGCGAATGGGACGGATAAGCCTTGTATTACGGGGAATATCTTGAAGGATCCGGAGGCGCAACTGAATGAAGGTATGGCATTCTCACCTGATTCGAAAATGGCGAGTGTAGGAATATGATCTGACTATGATGGACAGCCGAAATCAAATCTCTCTGTCTCTCTATGGTAGCTGCTGGTATTGACACGATCCCTGGAAATTTGGTTATGGGTCTGGCATATCTGGCGTCAGAGGATGGGATGAGGATTCAGAAAAAGGCATACGAGGAGATCATGAAGGCCTATCCTGACAATGACGCTTGGGATAAGTGTCTTGTCGAAGAAAAGGTGCCCTACATCACAGCGTTGGTCAAAGAGATTCTCCGCTTCTGGACCGTAATCCCCATCTGTCTGCCACGGAAGAGTGTCAAGGACGTCACATGGAACGGTGTTGTGATTCCAGCCGGTACAACCTTCTTCATGGTGATTAGCCTCATCTCCCTTTTGCAATTGCAAATCATTAAACTGATTGATGTGACAGAATGCTTGGGCAGCCGACTACGACCCAACATACTTCAAAGAGCCCGAGAAATTCATCCCAGAACGCTACCTCGATACCCCTGAAGCCAACCAAGGCACTCCTCACTATGGTTACGGAGCCGGATCCCGCATGTGCGCCGGTTCTCACCTCGCCAACCGAGAACTCTACACAGCTTTTATCCGTATCATCACAGCTTTCACTGTCCACCCTCCTCAGAATCCGGCTGATTACCCAATTCTGAATGCATTGGACTGCAACTCTATACCTACGGCGCTGACCACGGAGCCGAAGCCGTTCAAGGTTGGACTCAAGGCGCGTGATCCGGTGTTGTTGGAACAATGGATTGCTGCTAGTCAGGAGAGGACCAAGAATCTTTGAGTGATCATAGGCAGGAGGGTGGCCGTTATGCAGTATTAATGACCTTAGAGATACATGTAAGTCTGGCATGCCCTAATTTCTTTTCGGCCATGAATTCCCAATACTATACGATACTCGGATCAGTGAATTTTTCTTACAACTTTGCGTACGTAGTAGTATTCTGAGTTCCATTCCTCCGGTGTAACATCAAATAGAGCTTTATTGGGCCGTGAGTAGTGTTGGCGCACCCATTGAGGGTCGGAGGGTTTCACTTCTTTTGAATATGCCGTAATCAATTGTATGGTTGTAAGCTCTGGAGAGAGAGTTCTAGAAACACCAAATCATGTATCCGTAACGTACTTCTGGCTTGTTTGGTTCTGTAAATCATGTTATATCTCTTCTTGTAGGTGGAATCAGCTACATCTGATATCTAAACTCCTTGTTCTCGCCATCAGTCAAATCCAGGAGCTCGCTACCTACAACATGTTCATCTCGCGAACCTAACCTGTAAATGCTCGAAAGACAGAGCATTCCGGCCGCCCGCCTCGTTAACTGACCGGGACCGTTCACGGGGTTGGATCTTCGACCGGATTTCTTGCATATTAGATAGGGTGGGATTGAAGGATACATGCTATCTTGCGCATTCAACAAAAAAAATTCAAATTCTCTGTTTCTTTCTCGGGGACGACGGACCTGCAGTACGTCTTCCATTCTTGTCTTAAAGTGTTACCCAGGTAAATTCACAGTTAGGCTGAGTTTGCAGGATTTAGAAATCCGTCATACCCGCACGGTGGAGTCTTTAAGGCTGCCAAGTAGGAAAATCGACTACCTTAATCTTACGGTCGGTATATTGAGTATCTACTTCCTCCGCAGATTCAAAATCCATTCTCATCAAGACATCCAATTCTTGATTTATCTAGTTACACTGTGACACTCTCTCAGTGAAGTTGCCGTGACTGAGCTAGTTGTATCTGATTGGCTGGGCAGTCATACAAATTACAAAGCAGGGAGGTCCAGTCCCCGCAAGCATGAATTAAAGCTATTGTTTCTTAGTCTACCCCGGATACACAAAATCTTCTTCAACATCTCGGTCGGACATCAGCAGACAATTGTCTATATCTATATACACATATAAATATATGACTACTATGAACCATGTCATCGGAACTGGTGGCACATTCATCTCAGACAGCAAATACTGGCGCCGCCGCGCCTGAGAAACGGAAACGTACCAAATACGCGGCCAAGGCTTGGTGGGCCACAATCCGGCAATCTGATTATGGGATACTGACCAGGTTTCAGTGTCGAATGTAAACGACGAAAGGTGAAATGCTGCGGCGAGCATCCATGCCAGCGCTGTCGTCGGCGCATGATGGACTGTGTCTTTACGCCGGATGAAGTTACTGCGGATAGTCGGTAAGTTTGCTTCATTAAGAGGAATGCACAAGCTGATTTGCGTCGTAGAAAAATTGAGGAATTGCTTGAGCAAATCTCCAAAATGCAGACACAAATTGATAGTCTGACTGGGACTGTGGAATCATTCAATTCGATGGGATCATCATCCCCGAAGAAGCGAAAACTGTCCCGTAGCACAGTCTCTGCTCCTTCAAAAGGCAGCCAGAACGCAAAGTCTGAAAGGTCACAATCAGCATCAGCGACGGGGAAGATATCTTTTCATGGCGTAACTACATCTTCATTCAACTTTGAAGTTGCGCGACAAACTCTACGTAGTAGAGGTATTACCGAAGTCGGCGGAGGAACTAGTGGCAGCGACGGGGACGAGTATAATACCAGCCAGGGAGGAGAAGTCGCAACAAGAAATACTTCACCCATTCTATCCCCATCAACTACACGCGACGAACACCATCAACCATCTTCAACCATTGACCCATTATGGGGCATCAACAGGGAAGAAGCAATCCGATTATGCCACGTTTACGAAGAGGAAATGGGTATAATGTACCCTGTGGTCGATTTTGAGACGATTATTTATCAGGTCCATGTCCTCTATAACCATTTGAACCCTTTGTCATCTTCCGAGCAGAACACCAAGGCTGAGCCGCTTTCGGACGATGATATCAATATCTTAAAACTAGTGTTTGCGTGTGCTCTCACTGCCGAAGCGAATGGCAATAGTGAATTGGCCATGAGGATTTTCCGGGGTGTTCGAGACGTCGCGTCAGATATGGTGTGGCAACCGCCGAACATCAAACGGGCGATTCTTATAACTCTTGTGGTGCGTGTGTCACATTCTGGTTGTTAGTTTCTACTAACGTTGGCACAGTCAATTTATCTCTTCCAAATAGATGAAGAGGCTACCGCATGGAGAACCATTGGAACTGCGCAACGACTATGTCTGGAAATGGGTCTTCATCGGTCAGAGACGTATCCCCAGCCTGCTATTGTTTCGTATGGAAAGGAAGACGCCTTGAAACTTTTCTGGTCTGTATACACGTTGGATATCAGGTTTAGTATGGGGACTGGAATGCCATATCAGCTAGACTCTAGTGACATTGATCCATCACTTCCACGGCCGGTACGTCTTCATTCCTTTTGTGCTATCAATCAGCTAATAAACAGACCAACGTCCCGTACCTCAACACAATGATCAACTACAACCGCATCGCCGAAAAAGTCTGGCGCTTCATCACCTCTCCAAACCGCAATCAACAACCCCGAATGGAAGAAATGGCCTATCTGGACTGGCAAGTCACGCAATGGTACAATTCGATTCCCGAGTTTCTGAAAATCCCCGATCCTAGTATTTATTATGCTTCCGGAAATGAACAGCATAACGAACAGAATAAAATCCAACAAGACGCTCCGCGAAGTACTTGTCGACTGAAATATTTGCTATATCTGCGCGCCGATCTGATGAAGATCCTCATCTACCGGCCTATCCTCTACACACCGTCTCAAATCGCGCAATCCCCCGTTGAAGCCGCGACAGTAGTCGACATTGCCAAAAACACAATCAGCTTCATCACACATCTCAACAATCATTCCAACATTTACCAACTACAACAAATCACGTTCAACTGGTTCTTGATTTCTGCATTGGCGGTGCTGTTTCTAGCTGTTGCGCATGCACCAGGACAGTTTACGAGTTCATGTAAAGATGAATTTTATATGGCTCTGGGACTTATTGAAGGGTTTTCGATGCATTCGTATATTTCGCAGAGATTGTGGAAATCGATTAAAGGATTGAGAAAGTTGGGTCCTAAGATTGGGCTTGCTCAGAAATCGGCGGAGGTTGTGCAGCCGCTACAGCAGGTAGATAATTATTCGACACCGACTGGGATGGATACAGTTCATCATGAAAGTATATCGACGGATATTCTACCATCCCATCAATATAGACAACCACTACCACTTGCAGCATCAACAACAACCCTACCAACTCAACAACCCTCGCCAGACGACTTTCTTCTTACAGACAGTACACAGATGTCCCGCGAGCTAATGGACTGGTTCGAAGCAATGGGCGGCCTTCACAATAGCATATTCAACCATTCCAACAACGCCAGCGGTGAGCCCGAATCCGGGTACATGGACGCCGGGGTTGGTGGTAGTGCAGGATGGAATGGGATGTTGACGGATACGACTTCATGGCCTGCAACAGATGATTTCATGTTTGGTGGATATGGGAGTGATTTGGCGAGTATTCTGAAGGATTGTTTTTGATTCCGTCTTCATCGCGCCTTTCCGGATTATCATATTCTTACTCCCTTAGACACCAAAGAATATCCATTTATAAAAATTTATACAAGAAAAGAAATAATAATTAATATATATGCTATAAAACTGATTCAAACCTCTGACAAATCTCTTCCTCGTCCGGCCTCATGGTCCTTCCATGCCGCCTACGAGATTGACACATTTGCCGAAACCAGTTTATGCGACAATCCTCCTTCATTACGCCCCAGCTATGCGTGAAGATATTCGGTTGACAATGTTGACATGTTCCTGACCCTGAAGAGGCAGAAGACGAAGTGTCAGGACAGTTTATGTACGGCGGGTGTTGGTAGCCTATGTCCCTGAACCTATCATCAATCAATATCAGCATTTCTTCTTCCAGAAGTAGAAAAGAAAGGATTTGGGGGCGGGAAGGTGCTACCAATGAATCCTCTCATTATCCTCAAACAATCCCAAGGCAATACTATGAACCGGCGCATCCCCCCACCTCTCATAAAAAAACCCCCCGGACTGATCCAAATGCTCAAAAAACTGTTGATATCTTTCCGAACGCCAGAAATCGAGATCCCCAATCTCGAAATTGCTCCAGAAGTGGCATGTACTATACCCGTTTGCGGCGTCGGTGTGGTCGGGCCGTAATGTGCGGTCTGTAAGCCACGTGAGCGAGTTGTCGGCCGCTAGATAGTCTGGATGGGATTTTAGGAAGGATTGCGTCTCGGGCCAGAGGGTGGTTATGGTGCCGGGATCGTCGAAGATGTTGATTGTGAAGCCGTAGGTTTTGTTGTTGTCGGCCATGAATTGGAAGGGGTCGTAGGTAATATCACAAAAGAATCTGACAATCAGCCTCCCCTTCATCCAAACGCAGAGTTAAGGTAGGGGACGTACTTGACATCAGGCTCAACACGCCAATAATATTTATACCCTTCCAGGGCAGGATGTCGATAAAAGAACCCCGAATTCCATCGACACATTTGATGATAACTCAATAATCCGGCGTATTTGATTCCTTTGCTTTTCATTTTGCGCATTGATTGTTTTAACTGTGATGGATCGATCCAAGGGGGTACATCCCAGTGCTCTTCTGGTATTACCTCTATCACCACATCATATCATCAACATCATCAGCCACCACAATCCTGAATATTTGAGGAAGGGACCAACCATATCGACACTCCGCCTCCGTCTCAGCCTGTGTTCTCGTCTTAAACTCCTCCGAAAACGGGACATTATTAAAAAAGATCCAGGGATAATTATATTTCGAATTCCAGGACGTTTCCAATTGCCGCATTGACGAAAGTATACCTTCTAACTCTTCATTTCGGACGAGGGATATAATCGCCGAATCCGCCCGGATGGATGTCGTTTGTGATGTGGACGGTTGGGATTGTGCTTCACCTATCAGTATTGCATTCCCTTGCAAAAAGAGAAGGGGAGAGGAGACATACAGAATTTGATACTAGATAACAATCTATCCCCAGACGATAAATACCAATGCTCGTATCCATAATCGAACCGGAGATAAGCCACTGCTAATAACAGGATTGTGATCAGGGTTATTGTCACTCGTTTTGTGAGTCCGCGAGGTACACCCAGAGACATGACAGAGTCGAGTAGTCTCTCTCTGAAAGTATGGTATGGCGTCGCGGGAATTCGGTGTCTGGAGTTCGAATCTGGAGAAAGTTTCAATGACGCATGTGTCATCAAGACACTGGCCACTCGCCCGTTCGTTCACCCGTTCGTCGTTCGCTGTGTCGCTCGTCACACTATCCGACTCGTTTAGAAAAATAATTCGCTCTCGACAGTTAATAATCCCCTGTCAGAAAAAAGTATTGATCGCAACCTCCTGAAATAATTAATCAATTCGGAAAAGAGCTATGGAGGGGGGCTATGCTTCTGTTGACCAATCGGAGTACAGCACTACTTTTCGGAGTAATCACGTGCTGAATATCAAGTTCTTCCAGGAATTTGAAGAAGCTGAAGACTGGTGATGAAGTGATCATTGACTTGCAATACACATTTCATTATAAAGCTATCCAGGCAGACTAGTGCAGAAATACGTGGACCTCACAATAGGCTTCCAGGTTAAATATAAACAATATCGACGCAACTCCAGGCAGAAGCATTACCTACCATGTACTAGTAGTACATATACGAGAAGAAAATGTACTAGTATATCTACAAGAGAGGGAGAAAATATCTTGAATATAACTTAATTTACCGGTATTAACCATACATACACATAAAAGTAACACAAAGCAAGTTATAAAAAAATTAGCTCTATGAAACCTCGATGAGAAAAAGCAAGGACACAGAATGTAAAATAGGAAAAAGGGGGGAAAAAGATGTACAACACTTTGTTCTCAGCGAGAAGAAAGTAAAAAGAAGAAAAATTGTCTATGAGTGGGTTTTCTCTTCTTTTTGCGTTTCTTGTTTGTGCATGTGACTTTTGGAAAGAGCAAGACACACAGGACATCTAAGCAAATAGGACATGTGAATGGGTGTTGGGCTCAGAAAAAGATTGGGTGGTCTGGTAGGCATATGGGAAAAGGTATCATCCCAGCCATATTCTTGGAGCAATGGAGAAAAAAAACATTAAAAAGAGGGTAAACAGGGATTAGTAGAAAGGAAGAAAAAAGATGTAAAAGAATGGGAAAAAAAAGTTGACTCCACCACATTTCAGTTTCGTTCTCCATATCCTCGTGCCGTTATGTCGCTAGACGTCAAGTCGAGACCAAAAATCGTTCATGTATGGCCAATGAAAAAAATGGGTATTAATGTATTTACTCATCTTCCTCCTCCTCAGGAGCACGAGTGGTGAGGACGTAACGAGAAGTGCCAGTATGGCGGTCTTGCTCGTGCTCAATGGCCAACTTGGAGAGATGGCCAATCATATTCTCAATGGCAGTGTCAGCCTTGGAACGAGTGTGACGACCGAGGTTGTCCAACCAGGGGATGTCAGTGAGGATGGCGTAGACGGTGGCAACAACAATGGTGACACCGATAGAGTAGGCCCAGATGATGACAACAGTGACGATGCTGGTGTGGCCATTGGAAGAAAAGTGAGCAGAGTCACCAGGGTGAGTGATCTGGTTCTCAGGGGAAGTCAACCAACCGAAAACACAGAAGAGAGTAGCCAAGACATCAACACCGAAGATGGCGCCAACAAGTTGCCAGGAAGGAAGAGTCTTGCCACCACGGGTAACGAAGATCAACCAGTTCTCAGTAAGAGCGACCTCAAGGAAGATGATACCCTGGGGATGACCGAAGTTCTCAATGACACCACCGTTGCTCAAGAACATGGCAGCACGGATGATCCAGGTACCGCCAGCGAGCAAGACACCGAGGATGACGGAAATGACCCAGATCTTAGGGAGTTGCCATTCGACGGGACGTTGTTCGTAGTGAGCATTATCGTAAGCAACAGCAATGGTGGCCAAATCAGCGAAGAGAGCAATGAAGACAATCAAGTCGGCAGGGATAGTCTCTTCAATGATGATCATCGTGGTAACAAGGTAGATTTCCAAGTGGAGACAGAGAGCGATACGGTATTGGATGTAAGCCTTCATACGCTGGAAGATCTGACGAGCGACCTTGATGGAGTCGACAATGGTGGAAAGACCAGGAGCAAGGAAGACGATATCAGCAGCAGCTTGAGCAGCTTCAGTGGCACCCTCGACAGCAATACCACAATCAGACTTCTTGAGAGAAGGAGCATCGTTGACACCGTCACCAGTCATGGCAGTCAAGTGACCACGCTGTTGCAACATCTCGACGACCTGGTACTTGTGCTCGGGGAAGACTTCAGCGAAACCATCAGCGCGCTCAACGAGATCATGCTGGCGGGAACCAGTGAGACCACCGTGGATAAGACGCTCAGAGTTGTAGACCTTGGTACCGAGAGCAAGCATCTTGCAAGTTTCCTTGGCAATGGCAATAGCGTCACCAGTCAACATCTTAACGGAAAGACCAAGGTTCTGGGCTTCAGTAATGGTGTGGGCAGTATCCTCACGAGGGGGGTCAAACATGGGGTACATGCCGAGAAGTTGCCAGGGCTCACCCTCCTTCTGGACAGCGACACCGAGAGAACGGAAACCACGGCGAGCGAACTCAGCAGCCTTGTCACGGTAGAGACGAGCCTCCTCCTCAGAGCACTCGGACAAGTTGAGAATAGCCTTGGGGGCACCCTTGGCGCAAATGTAACGGACACCATCGCATGTGCAGACAGTGGTAATACGCTTGGAGACGGGGTCGAAAGGAGTGTACTTCTCAGTAACCCAGTTGCGAGCAAGGATCTCACGAGCCTTGGGGTAACGACGGAGAGTGAGGATGGTAACCTTGTCAATGGGGTCCAAGTTCTTGACGTTGTGGGAAGAGGCAATGGCAGCAACAGCGAACATCCAGTTGACATCGACACCCTCAGCGACGTAGGGCTCACGGATGGAAAGCTGGTTGGCAGTCAAGGTACCGGTCTTGTCAGAGCAGAGAACGTCAACACCAGCGAGGGACTCGATAGCAGTCAACTTCTGGACGATAGCCTTCTGGCGAGCGAGGTAGGCAGCACCGACAGCGAGAGTGGTAGTGGTGACAACGGGAAGACCGACGGGGACACCAATGATAAAGAGAATCAAGGTGTACTTGAGGAGAGTGTTGTCGGACTTTTCAGGAGTAGCGATGCGGAGATGACGGAAGAAACCACCGATCCAGGCAGCGAGAATGAAGAACATGACAAGAACCAAGAGAGATGTACCGATGGAGTTCATGATAGCCTTGAAGTGACCCTGATCCTGAGCACCCTGGACCAAGGAAGCGGTCTTTCCGACGAAGGAGTGCTTAGCAGTAGCAGTAACGACAGCGAAAGCCTTGCCACGCTTGCAACCGGTGGTGTAGTAGCAAGTGTCACCCATGTACTTGTCGACAGCGAGAGATTCACCAGTGATGGCAGACTGGTCAACGGCAACGATGGAGTGACCGGTGTGGTGCTCCTGGTCGTCGTCGTCATCCTCAGTCTTTTCCTTGAGAGTGTCCTCAGCCATAGTAGTGAGGTACTCTTTGTATTTTTCGAAGTCACCGGGTTGTTCATAGTCGCAGATAAGACGGACATCGGCAGGGACGACCTGGCCTTCCTCGAGGATAACAATATCACCGACGACGAGCTCACGAGCTACATAATCAGCATTGTACTGATTTTTGTTTTGGGGCAGGCATACTCACCAAGAATCTCTTGCTCTTGACCGTCACGGACAACCCAGGCACGCATAGCAATATCACCCTTGAGAGACGCGACGACATCGGCAGCCTGCTTCTCCTGGTACCAACCGACAACAGCGTTAAGCATCAAAATACCGATAATGACACCCAAATCGATCCAGTCACGAAGACCAGCAGCCAAGAGGACAGCCAATTCCATAACTGTTTAAGGTTAGCCAATGATCGGACACGGATTTTCTGAGCACGTTGCTCAATTTGTTCAAATTGAGCGGCAGGAACCAAACTCTCGCCGGAAAAAAAAAACTTACCATAAAGAATAGGACCACGGAAGTAACCAATAAACTGAACGAACAGGTTCTGCTTCTCCGTCACCAGCTCGTTCCAGCCAGTCTTGCGACGACGAGTCTCAATGTCAGAGCCCTTCAAACCAGCGCGAATATCAGTGTCGACCCAGTCGTCAGGAGCGACAAAGGGCTCGTTGCTGTTGGTAGCACCGCCGCCACCAATTCGCTTCCACCATGGCTTCTTGGCCTCGGTGGCATCGAAACCGCCAGCGCTGGAGGTGGAACCGCGACGACGTTCGCGAGCAGTCGAGATGTAGCGATTCAAAGCGGTATACTCATCGAGACCGGTGGTATCGTTGTTAATATCAGTAGAATTGCGGGTGTTGGTTTGGCCGTTTTCGACATCAGCGGCATAGGAGATTCTCCGTTCAGCCATTTTTGCTATTGGTGTTGTTGGGCTCACCAGCCTCTCGATGAGCTAGGTTAAGACGGAGGGACACACTTTAAGCAACAATGGTGAATTGGGAGGATTTCCTATGGGAAAGAAGAAAGAGAAAAGGGAAGAGTAAGGAGAGAGAGGGAGAAGTCAAAATGGACGAGGGAGGGATGGGGGCGTCTTATTTATTCAGAAGAGGCTTGTCTGTTCGGCGCGACGGTGAGAGCGACGGAACCACCACCTTGACGACGGAAACAATATTAGTACCCACTGTCAGTAATACTGGAATTACGACTGTAACTTTGTACCCTTTCGCGGGCAGTGCCTTAGACCAATACCGCGTACGCGCTAGTAATCCGTTTGCCCCGAATGGGTCCTAGCGGGTTTGCCGCCTGCCGGATACAGCTCGGCTATGACGGGATGGTATTTTTACTTTACTGTATCGGGCGATTAGCCCCGTTTTAACCCTTCCTGAATGGAATGAAACGGTAATCCGCTGTAACAAAAAATTTTCCTCTGGCCGACTTGCCGGTTCTAACTTTACTATCAATACTATGAAGAGTAACTGTGTCCGTATTAGGACTAGTGTCTGCGAGATTCTTAGTCAGACCTCTAGCTTCCGCGAGCATCCCAGAGTCAGCCACTGACACCATTCCATGGAAAGTCTCTCGCTGCATATGGCTATCTGATTATTGCATCTTCCGAGCACATCCAGATACACCCAGATAGCATCTAGATAAGCATGGACACCGTAGATGTAATCAACTCAGGCGTTCTGTCTACGGCATCACAAACAGTAGCGAATTGCTGCGTCATGTATCGGCGTCATGATGTTTTG